GACTCTCTTTATTACCTAGATTCACTTTATTGCGCCAGATTCACTTTATTGCCCCAGATTCACTTTATTGCCCAGATTCACTTTATTGTCCCAGACTCTCTTTATTGGCCCAGATTCACTTCATTGCCCAGATTCACTTTATTGCCCCAGATTCACTTTATTGCCCCAGATTCTCTTTATTGCCCCAGATTCACTTTATTGCCCCAGATTCACCTTATTGTCCCAGACTCTCTTTATTGCCCAGATTCACTTTATTGCCCCAGATTCTCTTTATTGCAACAGATTCACTTTATTGCCCCAGATTCACTTTATTGCCCCAGATTCACTTTATTGTCCCAGACTCTCTTTATTACCCAGATTCACTTTATTGCCCCAGATTCACTTTATTGCCCCAGATTCACTTTATTGCCCAGATTCACTTTATTGTCCCAGACTCTCTTTATTGTCCCAGATTCACTTCATTGCCCAGATTCACTTTATTACCCCAGATTCACTTTATTGCCCCAGATTCTCTTTATTGCCCCAGATTCTCTTTATTGCCCCAGATTCACTTTATTGCCCCAGATTCACTTTATTGCCCCAGATTCACTTTATTGCCCCAGATTCACTTTATTGTCCCAGACTCTCTTTATTGCCCCAGATTCACTTGGACCCACAATGGGACTCCCTGCATCCCTGGGGACAACACCTCACCCAGAAGGACCAGCCTCAAAGCCATTTAAAGAATACTCAGTGGGAAATCCTCCCAGACTGAGAACCATTCGCCTGAGATGACTGTCAACCGGCTGAGATCGAATAATTGATAATGCCTTCCAGTACAAGAGCTGATCAAGTGTGAGGACTGGAGTTACACACATAGCGCGTAGCCTGAGATGACGCAAGCTTCAGTGTCGAGTGGATCTAGGTTGGATCACTAGGATCTTTTTAGAAACATAGTATGGCTATTTTGATTAAAAAACACAAGCATCTGTCATGGATTGAACCTCATAAAATGGGGAAGATTTATTTATAATTGGAGGCCATAATGGATTATGCAAATAAGCATATTTCCCAAACTGTGATTGCTTGTGACTTTTAGTATGTTGTATGGGATCTTATAGAAATGCCTGGTGGTGAAATAAATTATGTTGCAATTGGTTCCAAGTTGAGTGAAAGAATGGCCTACTTGAGCGAATATCACATCAGCCAAAATAAATCCAAACAAGTTAAAGAAGACAAAGATAATTGCAAAGATACTATGGTTCTTAACTTAGACCAGGACATCCTGTAACTTCAGCACAACAGTGTAACCAGGACGTGTATTAATGGGCAGTATCCGCCCGTTGGTTCACTACGCCAGTGTCAAGTCGTATCTCCACAGGCCGAGTTTATTCTAACAGTAACGACACATTTATTATGATTTTGTCATGACTTTCCCACTACACATTAGCGACTCAAGTCCAATGGCTGAAGGTGCATTGGTCACAATGAATGATGTGTAATCAGATGAAAAGACATCTATTTTTTCTTATGAATATACTGCTGCCGTTTTGTGTATGTACCGTATGGTATGTGGCAAGTGTATGTGTTTCTCTCTGTCTCTGTCTCTCTGTCTCTGTCTCTCTCGCTATCAATCTCTGACTCTCTCGCTATCTCTCTCTGTCTCTCTCTCTCTCTCTCTCTCTCTCTCTCTCTCTCTCTCTCTCTCTGCATTCGCTGTATTCGCAAAATATTGCACGCCAGACAGATGCCCATTCGCAATATCCAAATCAATTCGCGTTCATTTCACATCTGTCAGACAGCTTAAAACAACAACTTTAATGGTTGAGTGCACATCAGGTGTGTCATTTATTCCCTTAAATACGAATAGGCTAGTGTTCTCGTCAACACCTGTCTGACAACTGGTTCAAAAGAAAACAAAGTTTATACAAATCTGTGTTTATTCTTGATTTATTTTTGCTTTATACTTTGGAATATATTGCACCGTTAAAGGAGTTTTACATTAAATACATGAAGAAATAATACTTCCACATCAATGTCAATGTACCGTCAGTCATTCAAGACAGTTGGCATGTGACCTGTTGCATCAAGGAATTGCATTGGGGTTTTCACTCCCTGACGCAGTTGTTCCTCCAGGCAAAGGAGGAGCCGCTCTCTTTCAGTGCTTGTTCTCTTGATTCTGGAGGCGCTGTCCCGAGGTTAAACGGGATAAGCTTGGCTCTGTCTGTTTCTTCAATATTCTTTATGACTTCAATCAGACGATAGATGTTAGGGTGTCGATGAGGAGGAGACTTGTTCAGCCGGTAGTGGAACCCTTCCAGATTGTTGTTCGCCCTTTGGCCTTGAGTATCATGTTGGTTCCACTTTGGTATCCGGAATCTGGCATCATCGTCGACCCAGATTACTACCATGTCGTCGTTGAACTGCACAGTTCATGGCACGTCAGGGGTGGAATTCATGGCTTCCAGCCACAAATCTTAGACCATGCCTGATGGGAGAAGGACCAAACCAGCTGCTCTCCGGATCGACTTCTTCACTTGCGGGTCTTCTCGGTATAGAACCTCCAATCCTAGGTCTTGGGTCTTCCTCCAGGTAGCTTGAGGGAAATGGAAGTTGCATCCCTTGACCTTAGCCTGAGAGAATTCTATCTGAACGGCTCGAATGGCAAACTGGTAATGATAACAAGGCTTTTTAAACTCACTTGTAACAACAAGCAGTAAGCATAATCTCAAAAACTTCAGTAGAAACTAGTATGTTTACAGTTTCACCAAACAAGCAGGAAGCACCATCTCACAAACTTCAGTGAAAACAAACATATTTACAGTAAAACCAAACAACCAGAAAGCACCATCTCACAAACTTTAATGGAAACAAACATATTTACAGTTTAACCAAACAAGCAGGAAGCACAATCTCAAAACCGTCAGTGAAAACAAACATATTAACAGTTAAACCAATAAGCAGGAAGCGCCACCTCGAAAACTTCTGTAAAAACAAACATATTTACAGTTTATACAAATCTTATAAAACTTCAAAGAGATTGCCAGTGTCGGGGTCATGTCATTATATAAGTAAAGGGGGGGGGGGGGGGGGGGTCTGACAACGGGGTCTCTGACAAAAGGGAGGACCCCCAGTTATCCTGTCATGCGTGATACCGCCCAAAACCATGACAGTACCTCTCCGACATCGATCATGGTAAACAATTGTTACCTCTACCGCTACGTTGGCATACCGCTCGCCGCTACGTCGCCAACAACGTTTTCTGCCATCCGCGGCAAAACCTTGATTCATTTGTAAACGTGGGTTACGCCATAGGCGTACAGTCAGTTCCTGATGTTGCCACTCCACTCAATCTTTTCCGCCTCTGGTAAACTGTTAGGGCCACGCCTTTCAAAGGTCGCATTGCTTTCATGCGGACGGCATAGCGCCGGGGTTTTTTAACTGTAGATGTTGAGATTCGACTTCCTGTTATTGTGTCGAATTCTCTAATGATAACAGTGGCAGATTTTAATCTTTTGCGTAGTGCAGCTAATGTTATGAGACAGTCTGTCTAGGTGTCGTTTTGTAGGCCTGCCACGCTCAGATCTCTTTGCACCCCCAACCCGTTTGACGGTACTTTATGGAGAATGACACTTTTTGATTTGCCAAGCATTTTGGCATCTTGTGAAATTGACGTCGCAACCCCAACTTCCAACCCTCTGTCGCACAATTCACCATTATATCTGTTCGTTGTGGTACTGTTCCGGAGGCATTTTAAACGTGTGCTTAGCTCAGTTGCATCAGTGATTGTGAGTTCCATTATAGGTGCACACACTTTGGGTCCAGTGTGCACGTGCATCGCGTGCTGGTCATGCATGATGTAACATTCATATGCAATGCCACGGTATTGTAAATGTACACCTCAACGATAGACACATGCAAATTTGTTCCCTTGTATTTTGTCGGAATATATATCTGTACTACTACGGATGTTTACTTCTTTGGTGAAACCCAAAAGCACGGGTTTGGCGCTTACAAACCTAGAAACATAATCGGGGCGAACCGGGATTCGAACATATTCACGTGCTGGTCATGCATGGTGTGAAATATCATTAGATCTTGAGTTCATATGCAATGCCAATTGTAAATGAACACCTCAACGATAGATTCATGCAAATAGTTTGTTCACTTGTATTTTGTCGGTAGTATATATATATATATATATATATATATATATATATAAAGCACAGTAAAGTTCTAACACTCAGGCACAATATAATAATAATTAAATAAGTGGAGTAAGATTGGACACAGTTTTAATTGGCTAGCGCTTTCAACTCATGCCACGTACGAGTCTCATCAGGCCATAACTGAATAACGGACATGAAGTTTACTGCTATGGATGTATACTACGTTGGAGGAACCCACGAGCACTGGCTGAGTGCTTACAAACCTAGAAACATGATCGGGGCGAACCGGGATTTGAACATGTCCATGTAGTGTGGTAACCTGATAGGGTTCACATTTCCGTGCATGTCAAGTTTACAAGATGAGAAAAAACATGTTCTTTGATCAACACAAATACCTTGTATGAATATCATTTTGTACTAAAAGGCGACTGTGCTTGTCGTAAGAGGCGACTAAAGGGATCGGGTGGTCAGACTCGCTGTCTTGGTTGATGCGTTTTATCGTATCCCAATTGCGTGGATCGATGCTCATGATGTCAATCACTGGATTGTCTGGTCCAGACACGGTTATTTACTGACAGCCAACACATAGCCGTAATGATTCTGAGTGCGGCGTTAAACAACAAACAAACAAACATGTCTGTACGAGTACGAGTAATCTGAGTGCGATATGGGCAAAATATAGGGTTTAATAATATTAACTATTAACTATTGTATTTTACATGGCAAAACTGGCAGTGCACAAATAGTCTATCCCTCACTTGTTGTCAGATACAGCTTTAAGTCTTCCGTGTACTATTTTATGACTACACTGCATGCATCATCCCTCTCTCTGTGTCAGTTTACTTCCCTGTGTGTGTTGTTAGGAAACATGGCGACGGCAGTCGATCCACACATCTATCGTCTTTTACTGTTATATTTCCTTCACATAAGCCTTTCTCAGCAAGGTAAGATATTCCCTGTAATTTCATGTTTTGATAATCACAGCATGTGTCCGTCCGTCATGTGATGCCATGCTTGTAGTACTGCAGTCTTCCATCATATTAAGGGTCTGTTACACTCGTGTACTGGGTTAATGCGGTACGAATATACGTCACATATACCATACTTTGTAGAATAAATGCTTCTATCACGTCAGTACTGTATAACTACGGTCATATTTACGGGATGTATGTCATTGTATATATACACAGACACTCTCAGAGAGAAGGCCCAGTATTTTAATTTTGAATAAGAATTATTTACATATTCATTGCTTGGATATTTCATGAATCTAAATATGAATGTGGTGCGAATTTATCAAGACTTACCCTATGATTAAACCAGGATATACATTTTTAACAGACTATACAATATAAGGCGTAAGACATTAACCACTTCACAAAGTCACCCACTTAAACGATGATGAATTATTTCATAATATACAGCATCCCACATATCAATAGGCTCATTGTGTGCCATATATAAAATCAGCGAATCAGGGGCCTTCAGTAATGATATACACAACTCCCTTGGGAACATATACCGACAGTTGCCAATTCCATTTTGGAGACTGGTCCATTTGCATATAAATACTGTTGATTTTCTCAAAACTCTTGCGCATTTCATTTTAACAACGTCTGTAATGTATAATTTGTTGAAGAGTGAGTCAAGTGTGCGTTAAACCCAGATGTAACACGATGTCATATTTCAGCATCAGCATCACGAGAGTGTCACTGTACAAGCGGATGTGACGTCAACTTCTGGTGCACTGGCGGCTGTCTCCAGGGCTGGTCAGGCCCCACGTGTCAGATCCGTGAGTAGAACACCAAGTCTGTAGGTGGATTCCGTACCTGCCATGTTTCAGTTACATGATGATTGACACGTTCGTTCAAAAATATTGCTAATAGAGCTCCAACTGTTCAAATCTCACTCACTAATGTGGGAAGTAAAATAAATGTCTTCCGCTTATGTCTAATTATATGACATTTTGATGTTGTTAAAAGACAAAATTTTATATTAATATTACGTCACGGAGGACGACAGGTGTCAAAATATCACATATATTGTAAACCTAACAAATAGTGTTAATATCAGTTTACGTTTATGGAGCTTTTAACCGTACAAAAGCAAGGCGTACACATTGTGGAAAGCCGTGTACCGATTTGGCGCAAACCCTGCACCCGGACTTTATTGTTTAGAACTCAATAAACGCAAAAACATATTGTAGTCAATTCTTTTAAATTAAATAAAAAATAATAATTTCACAGTTTGCCATTTTAAACTTTAGACAACAATATGTAATCAGTGATGCTGTTCATCACAATAATGGGCATCCTCCCAAAATAACTACAGTCAAAACAACAAAGTTAATGGTCCAGTAGACAGCTTATCCCCTGTCTGTTCCCTTTATCCCGGAGTAGACTAGTCCCACAAAATACAGTTACCAAACACTGAATGATGAAAATAGAATGATTTCTAATGAGTCAGAAGACAACAACTTAACATTTCCAAAATGGTTTATAAGTTTCTAGTAAAATTGTATGATAGTAACGAACTGGTAGTGAAGTGTGACATTACATGTTGTGGCTGCCAACGATCTTGAAAGACAACAGTGGTAAGATGGGAAAGTGACGTTTCTGGATCAGTAATGTCTCAAACATTCGACGAGCCACACTACCATGAGTCTTCTAGTGGCGATTTGAGGAATCTGCCCTACACCTCTTGAAGCTCCTGGTCAAGTTCAGTCAATGTGGTCGACGGCTTTTGATGCTGACGCACACGTCTCTCTATTATGTCGAAGAGGTGTTCAAAGGGGGATAGGTCTAAGCTCATTGCTTGTCATGGCATTCTACATATGGTTGTTGCGCACGCCTTGCAATCGGGACAACAAAGGGTGTCAGAATGTTGTCCCCATAGTAATGTCCAGTGACCCTTCCTTGCACATTATGGAGGGGGGTTCGCTCAGTCACAGTGATGCGAACCCACACCATAACCGATCCACCGCCAAATCTGTCAAGAGGTCTCAGGTTGACATTGGCTTCACGTTTATTTCGACGTCGCCAGACACGACCACGCCTATCAAGGAAGTGCAAAGTGACTCGTCTGAAATCATGACACGTGGCCAGCGACGACTACTTCAGTTTCGACCTTGTGTACACCATTGAAGTCTGTTGGATATATAACGATTCGTAAGGGGCGGCAAATACTGTTTTCCTCAAAACTCTTGCGCATTTCATTTTAACAACGTCTGAAATGTCTAACTTGTATATATAACGATTGGTAAGGGGCGGCATGTGCCCGTCGAGCATAGAGATGAGGAGCATGTTGACGATTCCTAACCGTCTAACCCTTAAGTCATACTAAATAAGCCTGATAAAAGTTTGTTGAAATTTGATTCGCAGTTTGAGCTCGATTTCGTAGGGCCTTGTTTCGGATCAATCGATCCTGTACTCTTGTCGTTGACCTGGAACACCCTAAACGGGGTCGATCGTCAACATTTTGAGTTTGCTGGCATCTGTTCCATAGTCTGCTAATCACAGACTGTGAAACATTGAACGTCCTGACCACTACACGCTTACTTCTGCCAGTTTCCAACATGCCAATATCCCATAGATACTGCGCACGTTGCTTACGCCCCATCGGTTGTTCATACACAAACGATGAATGAAATCAAGAAAATCACAACTGTAAGATGAGCAGGATCAATACGAATGATGTTGAAGCAATGAAGCAATGTAAAGTGAGTTTTTAAAATCCATGGAGGGCGTAACTCTTTGTAGTAGCTTTATGGTGGCTGAATTTCATCACAATTTCGGATGAGTTCAGGTACTATTATCCTAGGGATTATTTCCAAGCTAGGGCTTCATCTCGGGTGTTTTTCTCTTGCCAAATTGTTTCATCCAAGGGTTCAATGTTTGTCCCCTGAACGAAAATACTGCCTGTTTTCTTCTCAGTTTCAATGTGAATTCTCCTGTTTCCTCTTGTACTGCTTCTTGTGAAGTACCAGTTGCTGTACCTGTGGCTAGTATAAGGGCTTTGTTATGTATTCTGTCGAGACGGCTCAAGACAGTGTTTGCTGCAGATGTCCCTCAACCATAGCCTATTTGTGATCTGATGAGTGATTTGTAGAGGTCCAACTGAAATTGCCCGCAATACGTTCATGTTTTCATGACATCTGTTTTCAACATATTCTAAATGTTTGCTTCAAGTGAGTTGTTGATCTAAGATCATGCCTAGAAATTTTGCCAACTTTTCGAATTTGATTGGTTTGCCTTTCATTGAGTGACAGGGTATCATTGCATCTCTCCCCGTGTTTGAATAGAAATCACTTATTTTCTTTTCACTTAAAAGGGTAAACCCCCATTTTTTGCACCATTATCTACTCTCAACTCAATCCAGGGCTGGCTGGAGGTTTTTCGGATTTGTGAAATACCTCTGTATTTACCCATATTGCTCCATCATCAGCGAATTTAGAAGTTTGGGTAGGAGAATTGACATAAAAAAATAGATGATTGATCCATCATGCCATACCATGTCGAAGGCTTTTTTTGTGAAGTCCACAAATACTGTGGTTAGGTATTGTCTGTTTAATTGGTGTTTTTATTTCGTTGTCCAGTCTTAAAATATGGTATAGACGTGATTGTCCCTCCCTGAAGCCGCTTTGATCTGGTTTGATGTGGTTGCCAGTTTCAATGGGGATGCATGAGCCTTTTTGTAACCATGGATTTCATATGGATTCTTTTGCACATGTGTCAAGTGAGTGCGATAGGTCGATAAGAATTTAGTAGGTCATCGTCTTTCCCTTGCTTACTGAAGTGGAATAACTGCAGCATGTGTCCATGCCATTGGGGTTGCTCCTTTATACGATCTAGTGCTTAACAACGCAGTGAGTAAGTTATTGGTTTGATCAGGTAGGTTTTCAATATCTCGATACTTGTTGTGTCATTTTCTATGTTGTATTGCATCATCACCGTCAATAATATACTGAACTGCAAAAGAAACGTCACCATGGATAGATATGTGAGAAACCTTATTTGTCAAAACACTGAAAACATACTTTGAGACATATCAAAAAGATGAAACTTGGCAAAACTGATCATCAAGGTTGAAAGTAAAGTGTCAAATGTTCTTAAAGTGAAACTAGTCTCTGAGAAAATGGCATCACAAGTCAGTATCTCGTGAGTCCGCCATGTGCATTCATGACTGCCGTACAGCATCGACACATGGAATGGAAGAGGTGGTTGATGAAGGCCATAGCCACTTGAGCCCACACTCTGAGGAACGCCTGATGCAGTTCAGCTGCAGTTGTTGACCGTGGTCGGACGCCATTCAGCCGTCCAAAGGTGCTCAGTGGGATTTAAATCGGGACTTAGGACAGACCACTGCATGGTTCTGTTGCCATTCTTCTGGAGGAAGTCCTTTGATGCTCTCGTAGTGTGGGCACGGGCGTTATCATGCTGAAACTTGGTTGCGGCGATGTGCCAAATGAGGTGTGGCGTGTGGCCTCAAGACTTGATCAATGTACCGCGCTGCTGTGACACCATTGCCTCTCCCTGGACAGATGTTCTGGAAGTCCCCAGGGGCGACCCTCTGTGCAAGACCAGTTCCATCCCACACCATGACCATGCTCGGACCACCGCACGAATTTCTCTCAACAACTCAAGCATCCAAATAACGTTCCCCACGGCGTCGCCAGATTTCTCTCTCTCTCTCTCTCTTTCTCTCTCTCTCTCTCTCTCTCTCTCTCTCTCTCTCTCTCTCTCTCTCTCTCTCTCTCTCTCTCTCTCCGCAGCCGTAGCAAAGCGATCTCGAAGATGCTTGGTGGTCTGGTACCGTTGCTGGAGCCTGTATATGGTCCTTACGTGGACTTGAAATGCAATGGCTACTTCCCAGGCGGTTTGTCCAGCTTGCAATCTTCCAAGGGCTTGGAGTCTGATTTCTTGTCAATCTTGGCATGTGGTAGCAATTCAATAACGAATTAATGTTATTCGATCTGGGTGGATATTTATAGGGCAAGAAATGGGGGAACGAATGTGCATTTCAATTTGCACGGAACTCACTTGCATCGGGTTACCATGGCCGCGGCTGTGATGCGTTTTGGCGATTGGTTTTATTTATTTTATTCTGCTTTGGGTTTTTTTAATCATCAAATTTCATCAGACTGTTTAAGAATTTTATTTTTTCATTTAGAGATTTGCAGACAGACTACCATGACTCTTTCCATGACTCCTGGACTATCTCACTTCACTGCATTTATTCACAAAGACCGCCAACGGTGGTGCACGAGATATATAGAATGTACAACATATTGATATCAAGGTGATTGGTACTTATATACACATAGTTTTTTCTAATAACCTCAGACGGATGGACAAGAAATTTTGACAGGTTTTTCTGGGTTTCCAATAGAATTTTCGATTGACGCAGATGCCAGGCAATCAAAAACAATACAGACCGCCGTCATATAGCTGGAATATTGTTGAGTGCGTCGTTTAAAAAAAAAAAAAAACGAACATAAAATGGCACTTTCAATGATCTATCTCTGTGGACCGTTATTTCTGTCAATCATATTGATTCAGCTTATCATACAGTAGTGATGTATTTGATATCATTTATTGTTTATGTATGAACCACCGATGTGGTGATTGCAAACCGCGGAGCCACTATGGACTATTGGCATGTTGGAAACTGGTAGAAGTAAGCGTGCAATACGTTCACTGTTTCACAGTCTGTGATTAGCAGACGACGGAACAGATGTCAGCAAACTCAAAATGTTGACATTTAACCCCTTTCAGGGCGGAGATCAACGACAAGAGTACAGGATCGATTGATCCGAAGCCAGGCTCTATGAAATTAATCTCAAAAGGTGAATCAAATTACTACAAACATTCATCGGGCTACTTTAGTACGAGTTACGGGTCAGACGATTGGAAGTCTTCTACATGCAGCTCATCTCCATACACGATGGCAACGTGTTGTGCCAACCCTTTATTATCGTCACATTGCCAACAGATGTCAGTGTAAACCATATTCACAATGTCTTAACTCATATGGTGTGGGATGGCATCACTATGACTGATCGAACCCACACAATATTGTTCAAGGGACAACACATTGACACCCTTTGTTATCCCATGTGGGTCGACGATTTGTCTTTCAGGACGACAACGCCCGTGCTCGCCGTGCACGAATCATAAATGCTCACCTACAGCAGCACAACATCCATAGAATGCCATGGCAAGCAATGAGCTTAGACCTTTCCCCCACTGAACACTCCTGGAACATGATGCGTCAACGTCGAAGGCCGCCAACCATGTAAGCTGAACTTGGTCAGGCGCTGCAAGAGGAGCGGGCCAGAGTCCTTCAAATCGCCTTTGGGAGACTAATATGCAGTATGCCTCGTCGTTGGAATGAATGTTTGACAAATCTTGGTGGTGTAACCCACTTCTGATAAAAAAAACGTGAACTATAAAACTTCTCGCCTTTCTCCTATCGTTCTTCAAGATCATTGTGATGATAACATCTACTTCATACTTCATTACCTGTTGTAATGTGCTCCAAATTCGTTCATTTTAAATATACAGCTTTTAAAAAAACCTAATGTCTCTAGTAATCATATGGGCAAAACACGGATTGATAGAGTTTGCCCATCGGTTTTCGATTCAAACTTAAATGAATATGAAAAAAACACAGTCAATCCTGAAATATCAAGGATATGTTTCTCAGGTAAAACAAGTTATGGTGAATATGTGTCAAATAGTGGCTTAATTGTTTTTACTCACACATAATTCTTGTCTTTCTCAAACTGAATTTTGGACAATAAAGCAACTGTTGTTTTTGGCTGCATTTACTGCTGAACCACATTTATCACAAACAAAAAAGGATGAACCTCCTAAATGTATCCCTCATGATAAAAGGTTCAGCATATTTGGTTGACATGGTGCATTTTGAAATCGTAAACTTTCTTATTATAAACAAGAAAATATGAAACATGAATGTGGGATTCTTCAAAGTGGTAGTGAGGATATTGAGAAGCAGCATTGGTTTAGTTCCAGGTTTTGTGCGGGTTGTTGATCTGAATTAAGGAAACGCCAATACCAGGCTTAACACAAAGTTGGATGCTGTTCCATGTGGTCAAACAATGTTTTCAACATCATGATGCTTTACTCACATATAAAACAGACATTGAAAGTGTGTAGTAACCCAACGTGAAGTGGGCGCTCCTGTAGACAAAAGAGCAAACCTCGCGAGATTTGGTTCTACGTACACCGCGCTTCACTATTATGACGTGATGCAGACCTGACACAAAAATCACAGGGACGCCCCTAATCCTGTGGCGTTTGTTTTGTTGGTTTGTTCATCTTGGATGCGCACGCAATACTCAGCATGCCCCCCTTTGCGCATCCAAGATAGCGGGACTTCCGGTAGGGGAGATCACTCCTGCTGGCTTGCCTACCAGTGTTCTGTCCTATACTACTGACGTGACGCAGACCTGTGGGTTAGAATTGGACGTTAGAGGCGACTTAATGTATGAGGCTGGCAGCCTCCCTGGTCAGCCCTACGGCGTGGATAGTTGCTTACATTCTAATTGTGACGTAGAAAATGTGACCTCATAATCGGCTTGTGAAATAGAAGAGCTCAATGTGGCATGCTCTCTGTGGTGGCAAGGACACGAATAACACTTTCTCAGTCTATTTCTATCCTGTTTTCTGCACATAAGGTATTATCTCGCATATTGTGAATGTCATGGTGATGCAGATCTGCAATTTATAACCTATAATTGTACAAATAATTTTATTTTAAAATGTTAATGACAATGACTGAGAAGAAAGTACTTTCCTGGAAACATTCGCTTCCAATGTTGATACTACTGAAAAATCGCCTGCGATTGGTGTTGTGATATAATACCTGCCCCATCAGAATTCAAGTAATTTCCAAATTCTTGGTAGAATAATGCTTTACTGAAAAATTAATCTCAACGAAATCAATAAAACACACAATATGTTTATTACCAGGGAATATAGCTCTGAACAAATCAACAGAACAAAGCAGCACTATCAATGACTGTAAGTGGGCGAAAACAGCCGCCTGGAAACACGTGTGTGGGGACAAGACTTCCTCCCTGGCTGTGGACGGTGTGACCAGCAGCAGCTACTGGTCAGGGACCTGCACACACACCGCGACAGGCAAGACATTCGCCTGGTGGACCGTGGACCTGGGAGAGACACACCTCATCACCAATCTGACAATATTCTTCTCAAATAGACGCAAGTATACTTAACACATTCTACAGTAATGAATCACGACTTACCCCTCTAGGAATGGTTCATCTATTGGATAATATACAACCAACATTAAAACCGAAATAAATGAACACTCTGTAGATAGGAGTTTAGTTTTCTGTTCGGTAGCATGCTGTCAGTGAATCCATAACTATCTCAATTTTCGTGGATCGTTCATATCCATATATTCATATCCATATCCAGACCTGCATGGCAATAGTCATGCTATCGGCCAATGTTTACTTAGCAAAGGGGTTTTCAGTTTTGTGATTCACCCTTCAAAGCAACATCTCTAGCCTACACCACATATTGTAGTATCATCATACACTGGTGAGACACCTTAATCCTTCATTTACCATCAGTAGTCTATTTGACGTTTAATGCACGTGCCTCCACATGAAACAGTTAATTGTCGATTCAACCAGCCGATTACCACGTTATACTCTCGTGTTGACGCATTGATGTACATCTCTAATTGTTTGTTTCTAGAACGAATGACAGGTTTCTTGGTACGCGTAGACGATCATCCCTGCTATCAACAGGACCAGTCCCACCTTCCCATCTCCCCTGTCAGCATCAGCTGTGACACCCCTACATCTGGACAAAGTGTCACTGTTCGTCTGCCAACACTGAACGGCTCGGAATACATTCTCAATCTCTGTGAAGTGGAAATATATGGTTAGCAAAGAAAATAAATGATTTATATGAAAAAACACATGCGACATAAATATTTTATAATGATGACCCATGTGAGTGGAAGTTGAAGTTTACTTCTTCGGTAATCATTGTAATGTGATAATACTGAAAATGTTAACTATTCAGTGACAACAAAATACTAATATGTTTTTATGTCTTTGCAGAGTGTGCTGACGGAGTTTTCGGGCCTGGCTGTAGTTCCTGGTGTTTGTGTAAGAACACATCTGAGGTGTGTGACAAAGACACTGGACACTGTGAGAGTGGCTGTGCTGACGGGCACACTGGGGCGGACTGTCAGGAACGTAAGTACACATCGGGTCAGAGTCCAATGAATGAAACTATATACCAGTCTTGCACTGGAGAAAGTTAGGTCTATTTGATTCCTAAAAGGGTTACATATTACCATTATTCAACACTTTTAACAATGTTCCATAGAAAACTGCTGGATCGGATATTATAAATTACGTATCAGAAAGTAAACGAGGATATCCGTGTAGGTAGACACAAATCAAAATGATTCCTGAAAAACACATAGGGTGAGCACGTTTTGCAAATCTACATATTTAGATAGATGTGGCAAATTATGGAAAGACATTATATCAAATCCCTCGAACGAATCTTTGGTTTTACAAAATTAGAAATCTGAATATTTCATCTACTAACGTCCATAACTATCGTTAAGACACAAGAAACCTTAGGATGTCACTTGATATCACTATTTGAGGTTTTTTTTTCGGAATATAGACATCGACCTTTACTAACGGTCAGTTAATCTTAACTTTTTCAATATTGTCTCAAACAAGTTGCCAGACACAATGAAAGAAACGTGAGAGAACATAGTTTACATAAATAACATCTTGTCTCCATACAATATTCCAACCCCCGCCCCCGGAATATGAATATCAATGGGTGGTCCCTAGTGACTCGCAGACTGAGACACTGCAGCGTGTCTACCGATTCTGTTGATACCAAAACGACATGTTAACTTTGAAACACCTCTGTCGTAGCAAAGATTCTGCTGCTTGCAAAGCCAAGAGAAACACGTCATTAATTTCCGGCACAGTGTGACTCCCTGTCTATAAAAATAGCACAAGAAAATAGTTATTCTTCAAACTGTTGAAAAAACAACAGATTATCTGCCACACAAAAATATATTGTTGAAAGGTACTTTTGGTTAAAGAATATTTAGACTCACAGTTGTAATTAAAAAATACTAGTATATGGTTTTGCAGCTGTAGCTGAAATGCTATCTCGTCTCCATACATTATATCAATCACCCGCCCCCAGAATATGAATATCAGTGGTTGGTCCCCAGTTACTCTCATATGAAATATACTACTCAACATTTGCTAAGAATCACAAATTTACAAGGCTGTCCGTCAAAGTGTGAATCTGTTGAATTACCCAAAGACAATATTGCATGTCCATTGTCAGGTAGCACACAATGCCGACAAACATGCCAACATGTGAGGAATAATTAGTCAGATCACCCATCAAAATGAGAGTATTCGACCAAAACTGAAACGTCAAAAAAATCAAAAAAACTAATTCATTGTCCAAACAAACTACTCTCAGTAACACGTATGTGATCCACGTGTTGCACAGTTTCATGCTCCCAATACGTGTCTGGATGGTTTAAAAAAAAAAACACTCTTCAGGAAGAGCATTGCCGAGTTACAGGGCACCGTTAGAGGGTGATGTGTAGCCCGTTCCACATGTGTTCGATAGGGGAGGGGTCTGGTGACCGGCCTGGACACTCCATGCAGACAGTGGTCTCCTGTTCTAGGTAGGCATCTGGCAACACCCCACACGATGAGGTCGTGCGTTATCGTCCATGAGGATGTAGTACGGTCCGATTGCACCAGCATACGGTCTCAAACGCACATCCAGAATGTTATCCATGTAGCGACCACCTGCCATTGTGCCCCGCTGTAGGACGTGGTGATAGGTTCTTTCAGCTCCACTGATCCCACCTAAATCCTGATTCAGCCCCATCCATACTGGCCATGTTTGGCTACGTTTGAATCCAGAAATCCTTCGTGTCTACGCAAAGCTCGGCACGAAGATCTGTGAAGTAAATGTGAAGTAGTTATACAGTGCTAATGGGACAGAAGCATGTATAGTACAAAATATGGTATACTTGACTTTTATACATGTTTCAAGTCAGAAACACGTTACCGGATAGGCCCATGCCAGTTCTGAGTTGGCCGTTGCTTGCCAAACGACACGGAGATAGCGCCGTCAGGTGCTAACCCGCAAGCTAAACTGGTCAACGAGGCAGTTGAAACTCGGTCCATGCTCGTCCTCCCCCGAAAGGACTGTTCGCCCGGTCCGCGCCTTTTGTCCGCACCCGCTTTCCGCCTGAGCCCGCAATGTTTCGGCCGATTTTATACATTGAGACTGTTCACATTCCATGATGCGCATTCCACATGTCCATTTGCATATAATACTGTTGATTTCCTCAAAACTCTTGCGCATTTCATTTTAACAACGTCTGAAATGTCTAATTTGTTGAAGAGTGTGTCAAGTGTGTTAAACCCAGATGTAACACGATGTCATATTTCAGCAGCATCTTCACGTGAGTGTCACTGTACAAGCGGATGTGACGTCAACTTCCGGTGCACTGACGGCTGTCTCCAGGGCTGGTCAGGCCCCACGTGTCAGATCCGTGAGTAGAACACCAAGTCTGTAGGTGGATTCCGTACCTGCCATGTTTAAGTTACATGATGATTGACACGTTCGTTCGGAAATATTGCTCATAGAGCTCCGCCTGTTCAAAGCTCACTCGCTAATGTGGGAGGTAAAAAAAATGCCTTCCACAAATGTCTTATTATATAACATTAGGTGTAGTTAAAATACAATGTATGCTCAAATGTTACAGCCAGCCTGAAACCATTTTTATTTAATATTACGTCATGTAGGATGACAGGTGGCAAAACATCCCATATATTGTAAACCAACCAAATACTGTTTTTATTTTGCGTTTATGGAGGTTTTAACGGTACAAAAACAAGGTGTGCACATTGTTTAAATCCGTGAACTGTTTTTGCACAAAGCCTGCACAAAGCCTGAACGAGTCAATTCTTTTAAATAGAATAAGTTATAAATAATAATTTCACAGTGATTTCAGATGAGACAGAAGACGTCTTTAATTTAATTGGGTTCAAATTCGAATCTTAAATAGCTTAAAATTTCCAAAATGTTATATAAGTTTCTAGTAAAATTGTATGATAGTAATGAACGAATTGAAAACACATTATGGGTAGTGAAGTGTGACAGTAGATGTTGTGACCGCCAACAATCTTGAAAGATGATAGGGGTAAGATGGGGGAATTGACGTTTTTGGATCAGTAATTTGTCAAACATTCATTACATTGGACGAGCCACACTACCTTCGAGTTTTCTAGTAGCGATTTGAGGAAGTCTACCCTAATCCTCTTGCAGCGCCTGGCCAGGTTCAGTCAATGTGGTCGACGGCCTTTGATGCTGATGCACACGTCTCTTTATTATTTCGTAGAGGTGTTCAAAGATCATTGCTTGTCATGACATTCTATGGATGTTGTGCTGATGGAGATGAGCATTGACAATTCGTGCACTGAGTGCATGGGCGTTGTCGTCCTGAAAGACAACACGTCGACCCGCACGCCTTGCAATCGGGGCATCAAAGGGAGTCAGAATGTTGTCCCGATAGTTCTGTCCAGTGACCCTTCCTTGCACATTATGGAGTGGGGTTCGCTCAGTCTTAGTAATGCCACCCCACACCATAACAGACCCATCGCCAAATCTGTCAAGAGGTCTCAGGTGGACATTGGCTTGACGTTTATTTCGACGTCGCCAGACACGACCACGCCTATCAAGGAAGTGCAAAGTGACTCATCTGAAATCATGACACGTGGCCAGCGACGACTACTTCAGTTTCGACCTTGTGTCGCCACTGAAGTCTGTTGGATATATAACGATTCGTAAGGGGCGGCAAATACTGTTTTCCTCAAAACTCTTGCGCATTTCATTTAACAACGTCTGAAATGTCTAATTTGTATATATAACGATTCGTAAGGGGCGGCATGTGCCCGTCGAGCATAGAGATGAGGTGCATGTTGACGATTCCTAACCTTCTGACCCTTAAGTCATACTAAATAAGCCTGATAAAAGTTTGTTGAAATTTGATTCGCAGTTTGAGCTCGATTTCGTAGGGCCTCGTTTCGGATCAATCGATCCTGTACTCTTGTCGTTGACCTGGAACACTCTAAACAGGGTCGACATTTTGAGTTTGCTGGCATCTGTTCCATAGTCTGCTAATCACAGACTGTGGAACATTGAACGTCCTGGCCACTACACGCTTACTTCTGCCAGTTTCCAACATGCCAATATCCCATAGATACTGCGCACGTTGCTTACGCCCCATCGGTTGTTCATACACAAACGATGAATGAAATCAAGTAAATCACAAATGTAAGATGAGCAGGATCAATACGAATGATGTTGAAGCAATGAATCAATGTGAAGGGAGTTTTTAAAGTCAATGGAGGGTGCAACTCTTTGTAGTGGCTTTCCGGTGGCTGAATGCTATTTACCGCCTCCGTGGTCTAGTGGTAGAGCGTCCGCCCGGAGAGCGGAAGATCCGGGGTTCGATCCCCGGCCGCGTCATACCAAAAGACGTTAAAAGATGTTACCTGTTGTTACCCTGTCTGGCGCTCAGCATTAAGAGGCTAAAACAAGGACTGGTCGGCTCGGAGTCAGTATACTACGGCATGGTATCTCAGTGTGCTAGCATTATATATCGGCATCAGTCCGGACTAGAACAAGCAGCCACACAAACACACACACGTACATGCACGTCGCTGTATAAGTGCAATAATCTTGGACGAGACGCCTCACCTCACCTCACCTCAGGTACTATTATCATAGGGATTATGTCCAAGCTAGGGCTTCATCTCGGGTGTTTTTGTCTTGCTAAATTGTTTCATCCAAGGGTTCAATGTTTGTCCCCTGAACGAAAATACTGCCTGTTGTCTTCTCAGTTTCAATGTGAATTCTCCTGTTTCTTCTTGTACTGCTTCTTGTGAAGTACCAGTTGCTGTACCTGTGGCTAGTATAAGGGCTTTGTTATGTATTCTGTCGAGACGGCTCAAGACAGTGTTTGCTGCAGATGTCTCACAATCACAGCCTATTTGTGATCTGATGAGTGATTTGTAGAGATCCAGCTGAAATTGCCCGCAATACGTTCATGTTTTCATGACATCTGTTTTCAACATATTCTGTATGTTTGCTTCAAGTGAGTTGTTGATCTAAGATCGTGCCTAGAAATTTTGCCAACTTTTCGAATTTGATTGGGTTGCCTTTCATTGAGTGACAGGGTATCATTGCATCTTTTCCCGTGTTTGAATAGAAATCCCTTATTTTCTCTTCACTTAAAAGGGTAAACCCCCATTTTTTGCACCATTATCTATTCGCAACTCAATCCAGGGCTGGCTGGAGGTTTTTCGGATTTGTGAAATACCTCTGTGTTTACCCATATTGCTCCATCATCAGCGAATTTAGAAGTTTGGGTAGGAGAATTGACATAAAAAAATAGATGATTGATCCATCATGCCATACCATGTCGAAGGCTTTTTTGTGAAGTCCACAAATACTGTGGCTAGATATTGTCTGTTTAATTGGTGTTTTTATTTCGTTGTCCAGTCTTAAAATATGGTATAGACGTGATTGTCCCTCCCTGAAGCCGCTTTGATCTGGTTTGATGTGGTTGCCAGTTTCAAGGGGATGCATGAGCCTTTTTGTAACCATGGATTCCATATGGATTCTTTTGCACATGTGTCAAGTGAGTGCGATAGGTCGATAAGAATTTAGTAGGTCATCGTCTTTCCCTTGCTTTCTGAAGTGGAATAACTGCAGCATGTGTCCATGCCATTGGGGTTGCTCCTTTATACGATCTAGTGCTTAACAACGCAGTGAGTAAGTTATTGGTTCGATCAGGTAGGTTTTCAATATCTCGATACTTGTTGTGTCATTTTCTATGTTGTATTGCATCACCACCGTCAATAATATACTAAACTGCAAACGAAACGTCACCATGGATAGATATGTGAGAAACCTTATTTGTCAAAACACTGAAAACATACTTTGAGACATATCAAAAAGATGAAACTTGGCAAAACTGATCATCAAGGTTGAAAGTAAAGTGTCAAATGTTCTTTAAGTGAAACTAGTCTCTGAGAAAATGGCATCACAATTCAGTATCTCGTGAGTCCGCCATGTGCATTCATGACTGCCGTACAACATCGACACATGGAATGGATGAGGCGGTTGATGAAGGCCATAGGCTCTTGAGCACACACTCTGAGGAACGCCTGACGCAGTTCAGCTGCAGTTGTCGACCTTGGTCGGACGTCATTCAGCCGTCCAAAGGTGCTCAGTGGGATTTTAATCGGGACTGAGGGCAGACCACTGCATGGTTCTGATGACATTCTGCTGGAGGAAGTCATTTGTTGCTCTCGTAGTGTGGGCACGGGCGTTATCATGCTGAAACTTGGTTGCGGCGATGTGCCAAATGAGGTGTGGCGTGTGGCCTCAAGACTTGATCAATGTACCGCGCTGCTGTGACACCATTGCCTCTCCCTGGACAGATGTTCTGGAAGTCCCCAGGGGCGACCCTCTGTGCAAGACCAGTTCCATCCCACACCATGACCATGATGCTCGGACCACCGCACGAGTCTCCAACACACCACCACAAGCATCCAAATAACGTTCCCCACGGCGTCGCCAGACTCTCTCTCTCTCTCTCTCTCTCTCTCTCTCTATCTTTCTCTGCCATCTGCTGTTGAGATACAGTAACGGCTCTCGTCTGAGAAGACGACTCTTCTCCACTGCTAGTTGCGCCAATGCTGGTGCTGTTTTGCCCACTGAAGACGGTCCTGGCGATGACGTGGTGTCAGAATGGGTCCTCGGTGTGGCCTGTGGCAGTGGAGGTGTCTGCTCTTCAATAGTCGATGCACAGTGTCCGGACTAATGTGTCGCTGATGTGTCCCCCTGGTCTGTCGAGCAGTGTCCGCAGCCGTAACAAAGCGATCTCGAAGATGCTGTCGCACAATCTGACAATCCTGACGTCGGGTTGTGACCCTTGGCCTTCTACTACGTGGTCGGTTATCTGTAGTGTTGGTGGTCTGGTACCGTTGCTGGAGCCTGTATATGGTCCTTACGTGGACTTGAAATGCAATGGCTACTTCCCAGGCGGTTTGTCCAGCTTGCAATCTTCCAAGGGCTTGGAGTCTGATTTCTTGTCAATCTTGGCATGTGGTAGCAATTCAATAACGAATGAATGTTATTCGATCTGGGTGGATATTTATAGGGCAAGAAATGGGGGAACGAATGTGGATTTCAATTTGCACGGAACTCACTTGCATCGGGCTACCATGGCCGCGGCTGTGATGCGTTTGGGCGATTGGTTTTATTTATTTTTTTCTGCTTTGGGATTTTTTAATCATCAAATTTCATCAGACTGTTTAAGAATTTTATTTTTTCATTTAGAGATTTGCAGACAGTCTACCATGACTCTTTCCATGACTCCTGGACTATCTCACTTCACTGCATTTATTCACAATGACCGCCAACGGTGGTGCACGAGATATATAGAATGTACAACATATTGATATAAACATTTCATCAAGTTGATTGGTACTTATATACACATAGTTTTTTCTAATAACCTCAGACGGATGGACAAGAAATTTCGACAGGTTTTTCTGGGTTTCCAATAGAATTTTCGATTGACGCAGATGCCAGGCAATCAAAAACAATACAGACCGCCGTCATATAGCTGGAATATTGTTGAGTGCGTCGGTCTCTGTGGACCGTTATTTCTGTCAATCATATTGATTCAGCTTATCATACAGTAGTGATGTATTTGATATCATTTATTGTTTATGTATGAACCACCGATGTGGTGATTGCAACGCGCGGAGCCCCTATGGACTATTGGCATGTTGGAAACTGGTAGAAGTAAGCGTGCAATACGTTCACTGTTTCACAGTCTGTGATTAGCAGACGACGGAACAGATGTCAGCAAACTCAAAATGTTGACATTTAACCCCTTTCAGGGCGGAGATCAACGACAAGAGTACAGGATCGATTGATCCGAAGCCAGGCCCTATGAAATTAATCTCAAAAGGTGAATCAAATTACTACAAACATTCATCGGGCTACTTTAGTACGAGTTACAGGTCAGACGATTGGAAGTCTTCTACATGCAGCTCATCTCCATACACGATGGCAACGTGTTGTGCCACCCCTTTATTATCGTCACATTGCCAACAGATGTCAGTGTAAACCATATTCACAATGTCTTAACTCATATGGTGTGGGATGGCATCACTATGACTGATCGAACCCACACAATATTGTTCAAGGGACAACACATTGACACCCTTTGTTATCCCATGTGGGTCGACGATTTGTCTTTCAGGACGACAACGCCCGTGCTCGCCGTGCACGAATCATAAATGCTCACCTACAGCAGCACAACATCCATAGAATGCCATGCCAAGCAATGAGCTTAGACCTTTCCCCCACTGAACACTCCTGGAACATGATGTGTCAACGTCGTAGGCAGCCAACCATGTAAGCTGAACTTGGTCAGGCGCTGCAAGAGGAGCGGGCCAGAGTCCTTCAAATCGCCTTTGGGAGACTAATATGCAGTATGCCTCGTCGTTGGAATGAATGTTTGACAAATCGTGGTGGTGTAACCCACTTCTGATGAAAAAAACGTGAACTATAAAACTTCTCGCCTTTCTCCTATCGTTCTTCAAGATCATTGTGATGATAACATCTACTTCATACCTCATTACCTGTTGTAATGTGCTCCAAATTCGTTCATTATAAATATACAGCTTTTAATAAAAACTAATGTCTCTAGTAATCATATGGGCAATACACGGATTGATACAGTTTGCCCATCGGTTTTCGATTCAAACTTAAATGAATATAAAAATCAATCCTGAAATATCAAGGATATGTTTCTCAGGTAAAACAAGTTATGGTGAATATGTGTCAAATAGTGGCTTAATTGTTTTTACTCACACATAATTCTTGTCTTTCTCAAACTGAATTTTGGATAATAAAGCAACTGTTGTTTTTGGCTGCATTTACTGCTGAACCACATTTATCACAAACAAATAAGAATGAACCTCCTAAATGTATCCCTCATGATAAAAGGTTCAGCATATTTGGTTGACATGGTGCATTTTGAAATCGTAAACTTTCTTATTATAAACAAGAAAATATGAAACATGAATGTGAGATTCTTCAAAGTGGTAGTGAGGATATTGAGAAGCAGCATTGGTTCAGTTCCAGGTTTTGTGCGGGTTGTCGATCTGAATTAAGGAAACGCCGATACCAGGCTAAACACAAAGTTGGATGCTATTCCATGTGGTCAAACAATGTTTTTAACATCATGATGCTTTACTCACATATAAAACAGACATTGAAAGTGTGTAGTAACCCAACGTGAAGTGGGCGCTCCTGTAGACAAAAGAGCAAACCTCGCAAGATTTGGTTCTACGTACACCGCGCTTCACTATTATGACGTGATGCAGACCTGACACAAAAATCACAGGGACGCCCCTAATCCTGTGGCGTTTGTTTTGTTGGTTTGTTCATCTTGGATGCGCACGCAATACTCAGCATGCCCCCTTTCCGCATCCAAGATGGCGGCACTTCCGGTAGGGGAGATCACTCCTGCTGGCTTGCCTACCAGTGTTCTGTCCTATACTACTGACGTGACGCAGACCTGTGGGTTAGAATTGGACGTTAGAGGCGACTTAATGTATGAGGCTGGCAGCCTACCTGGTCAGTCCTACGGCGTGGATCGTTGCTTACATTCTAATTGTGACGTAGAAAATGTGACCTCATAATCGGCTTGTGAAATAGAAGAGCTCAATGTGGCATGCTCTCTGTGGTGGCCAGGACACGAATAACACTTTCTCAGTCTATTTCTATCCTGTTTTCTGCACATAAGGTATTATCTCGCATATTGTGAATGTCATAGTGATGCAGATCTGCAATTTATAACCTATAAGTGTACAAATAATTTGTATTTTAAAATGTTAATGACAATGACTGAGAAGAAAGTACTTTCCTGGAAACATTCGCTTCCAATGTTGATACTACTGAAAAATCGCCTGCGATTGGTGTTGTGATATAATACCTGCCCCATCAGAATTCAAGTAATTTCCAAATTCTTGGTAGAATACTGCTTTACTGAAAAATTAATCTCAACGAAATCAATAAAACACACAATATGTTTATTACCAGGGAACATAGCTCTGAACAAATCAACAGAACAAAGCAGCACTGTCAATGACTGTCAGTGGGCGAGTACAGCCGCCCAGAAAGACGTGTGTGGGAACAAGACTTCCTCCCTGGCTGTGGATGGTGTGACCAACAGCAGCTACTGGTCAGGGACCTGCACACACACCGCGACAGGCCGGCCACCCGCCGAGTGGACAGTGGACCTGGGAGAGACACACCTCATCACCAATCTCACAATATTCTTCTCAAATAGACGCAAGTATTATTAACACATTCTACAGTAACGAATCACGACTTACCCCTCTAGGAATGGTTCATCTATTGGATAATATTCAACCAACATGAAAACCGAAATAAACGAACACTCTGTGGACAGCATGCTGTCAGTGAATCCACAACTACCTCAATTTTTGTGGATCATTCAAATCCATATATGCTGAATACTGAATCACACTGAATTACCACAGACCTGCATGGCAAAAGCCATGCTATCGGGCAGTGTTTACTTGGCAAAGGGGTTTTCAGGTTTGTGATTCGCCCTTCAAAGCAACATCTCTAGCCTATACCACATATTGTAGTATCATCATACACCGGTGAGACACCTTAATCCTTCATTTACCATCAGTGGTCTATTTGACGTTTAATGCACGTGTCTCCACATGAAACAGTTAATTGTCGATTCAACCAGCCGATTACCACGTTATACTCTCGTGTTGACGCATTGATGTACATCTCTAATTGTTTGTTTCTAGAACGAATGAGAGGTTTCTTTGTACGCGTAGACGATCATCCCTGCTATCAACAGGACAAGTCCCACCTTCCCCGCTCCCCTGTCAGCATCAGCTGTGACACCCCTACACGTGGACAACGTGTCACTGTTCGTCTGCCAACACTGAACGGCTCGAAATACATTCTCAATCTCTGTGAAGTGGAAATATATGGTAAGCAAAGAACATGAATGATTTATATGAAGGAACACATGCGAAATAAATATTTTATAATGATGACCCATGTGAGTGGAAGTTGAAGTTTACTTCTTCGGTAATCATTGTAATGTGATAAAACTGAATATGTTTACTATTCAGTGACAACAAAATACTTATTATATGTTTTTACGTCTTTGCAGAGTGTGCTGACGGGAGTTTCGGGCCTGGCTGTAGTTCCTGGTGTTTGTGTAAGAACACATCTGAGGTGTGCGACAAAGACACTGGACACTGTGAGAGTGGCTGTGCTGACGGGCACACTGGGGCGGACTGTCAGGAACGTAAGTACACATCGGGTCAGAGTCCAATGAATGTAACTATATACCAGTCTTGCACTGGAGAAAGTTAGGTCTATTTGATTCCTAAAAGGGTTATGTATTACCGTTATTCAACACTTTTAACAATGTTCCATAGAAAACTGCTGGATCGGATATGACAAATTACGTATCAGAAAGAAAACGAGGATATCCGTGTGGGTAGACACAAATCACAATAATTCTTGAAAAACACATAGGGTGAGCACGTTTTGCAAATCAACATATTTAGATGGATGTGGCAAATTATGGAAAGACCTTTTATCAAATCCCGGGAAAGAATCTTTGGTTTTACAAAATAAGAGTTTCTGAATATTTCAGCCACAAACATCCATAGCTGTCGTTAAGACACAAGAAACGTTACAATGTCACTTGTTATCACTATTTGAGGGTTGTTTTGGGAATAAAGACATCGACCTTTACTAGCTGTCAGTTCAATCTTAACTTTGTCTCAAACATGTTGCCTGACACAATGAAAGAAACGTGAGAGAACAAAGTTTACATAAATAACATCTTGTCTCCATACAATATTCCAACCCCCGCCCCCAGAATATGAATATCAATGGTTTGTCCCTAGTTACTCGAAGACTCAGACACTGTAGCGTGTCTACCGATTCTGTTGATACCAAAATGTTAACTTTGAAACACCTCTGTCGTAGCAAAGATTCTGCTGCTTGCAAAGCCAAAAGAAACACGTCATTAATTTCCGGCACAGTGTGACTCCCTGTCAATAAAAATAGCACAAGAAAATAGTTATTCTTTAAACTGTTGAAAAAAACCCAGATTATCTGCCACACAAAAATATATTGTTGAAAGGTATTTTTGGTTAAAGAATATTTAGACTCACAGTTGTAATTAAAAAATACTAGTATATGGTTTTGCAGCTGTAGCTGAAATGCTATCTCGTCTCCATACATTATATCAATCACCCGCCCCCAGAATATGAATATCAGTGGTTGGTCCCCAGTAACTCTCATATGAAATATACTACTCAACATTTGCCAAGAACCACAAATTTACAAGGCTGTCCGTCAAAGTGTGAATCTGTTGAATTACCCAAAGACAATATTGCATGTGGAATCAACAAAAGTCCATTGTCAAGTGGCACACAATGCCAACAAACATGCCAACATGTGACCAATAATTAGTCAGATCACCCATCAAAATGAGAGTATTCGACCAAAACTGAAACGTCAAAAAAATCACAAAAACTAATTCATTGTCCAAACAAACTACTCTCAGTAACACGTATGTGATCCACGTGTTGCACAGTTATATGCTCCCAATACGTGTCTGGATGGTTTAAAAAAAATCCACTCTTCAGGAAGAGCATTGCCGAGTTACAGGGCACCGTTAGAGGGTGATGTGTAGCCCGTTCCACATGTGTTCGATAGGGGAGGGGTCTGGTGACCGGCCTGGACACTCCATGCAGACAGTGGTCTCCTGTTCTTGGTAGGCATCTGGCAACACCCCACACGATGAGGTCGTGCGTTATCGTCCATGAGGATGTAGTACGGTCCGATTGCACCAGCATACGGTCTCACGCGCACATCCAGAATGTTATCCATGTAGCGACCACCTGCCATTGTGCCCCGCTGTAGGACGTGGTGATAGGTTCTTTAAGCTCCACTGATACTCACCTAAATCCTGATTCAGCCCCATCCATACTGGCCATGTTTGGCTACGTTTGAATCCAGAAATCCTTCGTGTCTACGCAAAGCTCGGCACGAAGATCTGTGAAGTAAATGTGAAGTAGTTATACAGTGCTAATGGGACAGAAGCATGTATAATACAAAATATGGTATACTTGACTTTTATACATGTTTTAAGTCAGAAACACGTTACCGGATAGGCCCATGCCAGTTCTGAGTTGGCCGTTGCTTGCCAAACGACACGAAGATAGCGCCGTCAGGTGCTAACCCGCAAGCTAAACTGGTCAACGAGGCAGTTGAAACTCGGTCCATGCTCGTCCTCCCCTGAAAGGACTGTTCGCCCGGTCCGCGCCTTTTGTCCGCACCCGCTTTCCGCCTGAGCCCGCAATGTTTCGGCCGATTTTATACATGGAGACTGGTCACATTCCATGATGCGCATTCCACATGTCCATTTGCATATAATACACGTTGATTTCCTCAAAACTCTTGCGCATTTCATTTTAACAACGTCTGAAATGGCTAAGTTGTTGAAGAGTGTGTCAAGTGTGTTAAACCCAGATGTAACACGATGTCATATTTCAGCAACATCTTCACGTGAGTGTCACTGTACAAGCGGGTGTGACGTCAACTTCCGGTGCACTGACGGCTGTCTCCAGGGCTGGTCAGGCCCCACGTGTCAGATCCGTGAGTAGAACTCCATGTCTGTAGACGGATTCTGTTCCTGCCATATGTAAGTCATGATTATTGACACGTTCGTTAGGAAATATTGCTCATAGAGCTCCACCTGTTCAAAGCTCACTCACTAATGTGGGAAGTAAAAAAATGCCTTCCACAAATGTCTTATTATATAACATTAGGTGTAGTTAAAATACAATGTATGCTCAAATGTTACAGCCAGCCTGAAACCATTTTTAATTAATATTACGTCATGTAGGATGACAGGTGGCAAAACATCCCACATATTGTAAACCAACCAAATATTGTTTTTATTTTGCGTTTATGGAGGTTTTAACGGTACAAAAACAAGGTGTGCACATTGTTTAAATCCGTAAACTGTTTTTGCACAAAGCCTGCACAAAGCCTGAACGAGTCAATTCTTTTAAATAAAATAAGTAATAAATAATAATTTCACAGTGATTTCAAATGAGACAGAAGACGTCTTAAATTTAATTGGGTTTAAATTCGTATTTTAAATAGCTTAAAATTTCCAAAATGTTTTATTAGTTTCTAGTAAAATTGTATGATAGTAACGGACGAATTGGAAACACATTATTGGTAGTGAAGTGTGACAGTAGATGTTGTGACCGCCAACGATCTTGAAAGACGATAGGGGTAAGATGGGGAATTGACGTATTTGGATCAGTAATTTGTCAAACATTCATTACTTTGGACGAGCCACACTATCAATGAGTTTTCTAGTAGCGATTTGAGGGAGTCTGCCCTAATCCTCTTATAGAGCCTGACCAAGTTCAGTCAATGTGGTCGACGATGCACACATGTCTTTATTATTTCGTAGAGGTGTTCAAAAGGGGAAAGGGTCTAAGATCATTGCTTGTCATGACATTCTATGGATGTTGTGCTGATGGAGATGAGCATTGACAATTCGTGCATTGAGTGCATGGGCGTCGTCGTCCTGAAAGACAAACCGTCGACCCGCACGCCTTGCAATCGGGGCATCAAAGGGTGTCAGTGTGATGTCCCGATAGTTCTGTCCAGTGACCCTTCCTTGCACATTATGGAGTGGGGTTCGCTCAGTCTTAGTTATGCCACCCCACGCCATAACAGCCCCATCGCCAAATCTGTCAAGAGGTCTCAGGTGGACATTGGCTTTACGTTCATTTCGACGTCGCCAGACACGACCACGCCTATCAAGGAAGTGGAAAGTGACTCATCTGAAATCAGTTTCGACCTTGTGTACAACATTGAAGTCTGTTGTATATATAACGATTCTTAATGTGCCCGTCGAGCATAGAGATGAGGTGCATGTGGACGATTCCTAACCGTCTGACCCTTAAGTCATACTAAATTAGCCTGATATGGTTCCATAGTCTGCTAATCACAGACTGTGAAACATTGAACGTCCTGACCACTACACGCTTACTTCTGCCAGTTTCCAACATGCCAATATCCCATAGATACTGCGCACGTTGCTTACGCCCCATCGGTTGTTCATACACAAACGATGAATGAAATCAAGAAAATCACAAATGTAAGATGAGCAGGATCAATACGAATGATGTTGAAGCAATGAATCAATGAAGGGAGTTTTTAAAGTCCATGGAGGGCGTAACTCTTTGTAGTGGCTTTATGGTGGCTGAATTTCATCACAATTTCGGATGAGTTCAGGTACTATTATCATAGGGGTTATTTCCAAGCTAGGGCTTCTTCTCGGGTGTTTTTGTCTTGCCAAATTGTTTCATCCAAGGGTTCTATGTTTGTCCCCTGAACGAAAATACTGCCTGTTCTCTTCTCAGTTTTAATGTGAATTCTCCTGTTTCTTCTTGTACTGCTTCTTGTGAAGTACCAGTTGCTGTACCTGTGGCTAGTATAAGGGCTTTGTTATGTATTCTGTCGAGACGGCTCGAGACAGTGTTTGCTGCAGATGTCCCTCAACCATAGCCTATTTGTGATCTGATGAGTGATTTGTAGAGGTCCAACTGAAATTGCCCGCAATACGTTCATGTTTTCATGACATCTGTTTTCATATTCTAAATGTTGGCTTCAAGTGATTTGTTGATCTAAGATCGTGCCAAGAAGTTTTGCCAACTTTTCGAATTTGATTGGTTTGCCTTTCATGGAGTGTAGTGCTTAACAGCGCAGTGAGTAAGTTCTTGGTTTGATCAGGTAGGTTTTCAATATCTCGATACTTGTTGTGTCATTTTCTATGTTGTATTGCATCGTCACCGTCAATAATATACTGAGCCGCAAAAGAAACGTCACCATGGATAGATATGTGAGAAACCTTATTTGTCAAAACACTGTAAACATACTTTGAGACATATCAAAAAGATGAAACTTGGCAAAACTGATCATTAAGGTTCAAAGTAAAGTGTCAAATGTTCTTAAAGTGAAACTAGTCTCTGAGAAAATGGCATCACAAGTCAGTATCTCGAGTGTCTGCCATGTGCATTCATGACTGCCGTACAACATCGACACATGGAATGGATGAGGCGGTTGATGAAGGCCATAGGCTCTTGAGCACACACTCTGAGGAACGCCTGACGCAGTTCAGCTGCAGTTGTCGACCTTGGTCGGACGTCATTCAGCCGTCCAAAGGTGCTCAGTGGGATTTTAATCGGGACTGAGGGCAGACCACTGCATGGTTCTGATGACATTCTGCTGGAGGAAGTCATTTGTTGCTCTCGTAGTGTGGGCACGGGCGTTATCATGCTGAAACTTGGTTGCGGCGATGTGCCAAATGAGGTGTGGCGTGTGGCCTCAAGACTTGATCAATGTACCGCGCTGCTGTGACACCATTGCCTCTCCCTGGACAGATGTTCTGGAAGTCCCCAGGGGCGACCCTCTGTGCAAGACCAGTTCCATCCCACACCATGACCATGATGCTCGGACCACCGCACGAGTCTCCAACACACCAACACAAGCATCCAAATAACGTTCCCCACGGCGTCGCCAGACTCTCTCTCTCTCTCTCTCTCTCTCTCTCTCTCTCTCTCTCTCTCTATCTATCTTTCTCTGCCATCTGCTGTTGAGATACAGTAACGGCTCTCGTCTGAGAAGACGACTCTTCTCCACTGCTAGTTGCGCCAATGCTGGTGCTGTTTTGCCCACTGAAGACGGTCCCGGCGATGACGTGGTGTCAGAATGGGTCCTCGGTGGGGCCTGTGACACTGGAGGTGTCTGCTCTTCAATAGTCGATGCACAGTGTCCGCACTAATATGTCGCTGGTGTGTCCCCGTGGTCTGTCGAGCAGTTTCTGCAGCAGTAACAAAGCGATCTCGAAGATGCTGTCGCACAATCTGACGAGCCCGACGTCGGGTGGTGACCCTTGGCCTTCTACTACGTGGTCGGTCATCTGTAGTGTTGGTGGTCTGGTACCGTTGCTGGAGCCTGTATATGGTCCTTACGTGGACTTGAAATGCAATGGCTACTTGCCAGGCGGTTTGTCCAGCTTGCAATCGTCCAGGGGCTTGGAGTCTGATTTCTTGTCAATCTTGGCATGTTATAGCAATTCAATAACGAACGAATGTTATCCGATCTGGGTGGATATTTATAGGCAAGAAATGGGGGAACGCATGTGCATTTCAATTTGCACGGAACTCACGTGCATCGGCTTACCATGGCCGCTGCTGTGATGCGTTTGGGCGATTGGTTTTATTTATTTTATTCTGCTTTGGGTTGTTTTAATCATCAAATTTCATCAGACTGTTTAAGAATTTTATTTTTTCATTTAGAGATTTGCAGACAGTCTACCATGACTCTTTCTTAGAATCATCTCCATCTGTTGCCTACTCCTGGACTATCTCACTTCACAGCATTTATATGGGGGCACGGGTGGCCCAGGCGTCTAAGGCGCCGCAATTCGCTGTGCAGAGTTGCGTCCCTTGGGCACGCCAGAAACCTATGATTGTGGGTTCGAATCCCGGTTTGCCCCGATTATGTTTTTAGGTTTGTCAGCACCATACCCGTGCTCGTGGGTTTCACTGAAGTGGTAAACGTCTGAGACCTGCATCACTTCGGGCTTTGCTCCCACATTAAGCTGACACGCCGTGATATGACTGGAATACTGTTAAAAGTGGCGCTAAACCCAACTCACTCACTCATTTACAGCATTTATTCACAAAGACCACCAATGGTGGTACACGAGATATATAGAATGTACAACATATTGATATAAACATTTCATCAAGTTGATTGGTACTTATATACACATAGTTTTTTTCTAATAACCTCAGACGGATGGACAAGAATTTGCGACAGGTTTTTCTGGGTTTCCAATAGAATTTTTTGTCAGCATATTTCTTATTTAAATAAATTTGGTCACTTTCTGTATAAGAGTTCATCTGGATTGCAGCAGTGCTTCAGATTTAAGCAAGTAGTGGAATTCGTCACCAACTGCAGGAGAGTCACAAAACTTACATAGTCTGTTTTCTCGTGGCACATTATTCCGCCGACCAGTCTCAACAGGTAGGTTATGGTTTATGGTTTTGAATCTAAGTAATAGCAAAGATATGTTACTAAGAAGGAGTAAATAATTTTCAAATTCTGATAGTTATTTAAAGTATTTATAATAAACTCCCTATGAACTCCTGTGAATGCTACATTGCCAGTTTTGAATGAACTGATCTAATAAAATCTTGTCAACCTTTGAGACCAACCACGGTGTTGAGGATTTTTTTTGTAAACATGTGGTTGCCAAACATTACTTAAGATCATTTTAAACAACTTCAGCTATGGATAAGAGGATGGATTTCTGATTGTGTATTTGTGTATATAATTGTACAGTATATGTGATAATTTTGGCATTTCAACTTCCTAGGTAAGCTTATGCCAAAATGTGATTACATGATTATACATTTGAATACTTAGGTTCACCATACACCATAAAATTTGGTGTTTCTTGTCTGTCATAACTTGGAAGGGCAAAGAGAATTCTCCTCACAGTGTCCCTAAAATGCGTTACCCATGCATCTCTTTGGTGACAGGTATTCAAAGGCAAATGGAGATGTGATTACCCCTGGTCATATGGAAATTCCAAGGGACAAATTGTTTGTCTCACCTTGTGACCACTGACCAACATGTGCATTTCCTTAGCACAACATCAATAAACACATTAGGTGGAGACTATATCCATGGACAGAGTACTCTAGGTCTGAAAGTATTGCGCATGTTTCTATTTTTTGCAAACAGGAATTGTGCGTTTTTTTGTATTCTTCGCTTGATGTGAGAAATACGTACGTAGTTTGGTGATATCATTAATGTATTCTAAAAAACTGAGATAAATATATCACTCTGTTAAATGTGTTCAAGATTTCGGCATATGTATTGGGTTAATTTCTTCTATAAGGAAAACAATGTGAACCTCGCTTTCGAAATGTCAAGTACCCAAGTACCAAGTTGTCCAAATCCCCATTGTTCTTGGCGCCTTAGGTTTGGTACCTCCAAATCTGTTGACTGACATTGGGAGAGTACCCGGATTTGCTGCCAGGAATTAAGCCCTTCTGACAATCTGGGTAACGCAAAAGGCCTGCCTATGACGTTGTTTCTTTGCACTTATGTTAATCTTGGCATGTTGTTGAACTGTCACTGTTTGATTGACGCAGATGCAGGTCAATCAAAAACCATACAGACCGCCGTCATATAGCTGGAATATTGCTGAGTGCGTCGTTAAACAATAAACAAAACGAACATAAAATGGCACTTTCAATGATCTATCTCTGTGGACCGTTATTTCTGTCAATCATATTGATTCGGCTTATCATACAGTCGTGATGTATTTGATATCATTTATTGTTTGTGTATGAACCACCGATGTGGTGATTGCAACGCGCGGAGCCACTATGGACTATTTGCATGTTCGAAACTGGTAGAAATAAGCGTGCAATACGTTCACTATTTCACAGTCTGTGATTAGCAGACGACGGAACAGATGTCAGCAAACTCAAAATGTTGACATTTAACCCCTTTCATGGCTGAGATCAACGACAAGAGTACAGGATCGATTGATCCTTTTACATTGTTTCATTCCTTCAACATCATTCGAACAACTGATGGGGCCTAAGCAACGTGCGCAGTATCTATGGGATATTGGCATGTTGGAAACTGGCAGAAGTAAGCGTGTAGTGGTCAGGACGTTCAATGTTTCACAGTCTGTGATTAGCAGACGACGGAACAGATGTCAGCAAACTCTCTGGGCGGAGATCAACGACAAGAGTACAGGATCGATTGATCGGTTTTGTGCGGGTTGTCGATCTGAATTAAGGAAACGCCGATACCAGGCTTAACACAAAGTTGGATGCTGTTCCATGTGGTCAAACAATTTTTTTAACATCATGATGCTTTACTCGCATATAAAACAGACATTGAAAGTGTGTAGTAACCCAACGTGAAGTGGGCGCTCCTGTAGACAAAAGAGCAAACCTCGCGAGATTTGGTTCTACGTACACCGCGCTTCACTATTATGACGTGATGCAGACCTGACACAAAAATCACAGGGACGCCCCTAATCCTGTGGCGTTTGTTTTGTTGGTTTGTTCATCTTGGATGCGCACGCATTACTCAGCATGCCCCCCTTTGCGCATCCAAGATGGCGGGACTTCCGGTAGGGGAGACCACTCTTGCTGGCTTGCCTACCAGTGTTCTGTCCTATACTACTGACGTGACGCAGACCTGTGGGTTAGAATTGGACGTAAGAAGCGACTTTATGTATGAGGCTGGCAGCCTCTCTGGTCAGTCCTACGGCGTCGATCGTTGCTTACATTCTAATTGTGACGCAGAAAATGTGACCTCATAATCGGCTTGTGAAATAGAAGAGCTCAATGTGGCATGCTCTCTGTGGTGCCCAGGAAACGAATAACACTTTCTCTGTCGATTTCTATCCTGTTTTCTGCACATAAGGTATTATTTCGCATATTGTGAATGTCATAGTGATGCAGATCTGCAATTTATAACCTATAATTGTACAAATAATTTACTGAAAAATTAATCTCAACGAAATCAATAAAACACACAATATGTTTATTATCAGGGAACATAGCACTGAACAAATCAACCCAACAGAGCAGCACTATCAATGACTGTCAGTGGGCGAGTACAGCCGCTCAGAAAGACGTGTGTGGGGACAAGGCTTCCTCCCTGGCTGTGGACGGTGTGACCAGCAGCAGCTACTGGTCAGGGACCTGCACACACACCGCGACAGGCTGGACATCCGCCTGGTGGACAGTGGACCTGGGAGAGACACACCTCATCACCAATCTCACAATATTCTTTTCAACTCCAAGCAAGTATTATTAACACATTCTACAGTAATGAATCACGACTTACCCCTCTAGGAATGGTCCATGTGTTTGATAATATACAACCAACATGAAAACCGAAATAAACGAACACTCCGTGGACAGCATGCTGTCAGTGAATCCATAACTACCTCAATTTTTGTGGATCATTCAAATCCATATATGCTGAATACTGAATCACACTGAATTACCACAGACCTGCGTGGCAACAGCCATGCTATCTGGCAGTGTTTACTTTGCAAAGGGGTTTTCGGGTTTGTGATTCGCCCTTCAAAGCAACATCTCTAGCCTACACCACATATAGTAGTATCATCATACACTGGTGAGACACCTTTATCCTTCATTTACCATCAGTGGTCTATTTGATGTTAAATGTACGTACTTCCACATGAAACAGTTATTTGTTGATTCAACCAGCCGATTACCGGGTTATATTCTCCTGTTGACGCATTGATGTACATCTCTAATTGTTTGTTTCTAGAACGAATGAGAGGTTTCTTGGTACGCGTAGACGATCATCCCTGCTATCAACAGGACCAGTCGTCCCTTCCCAGCTCCCCTGTCAGCATCAGCTGTGACACCCCTACATCTGGACAAAGTGTCACTGTTCGTCTGCCAACACTGAACGGCTCGGAATACATTCTCAATCTCTGTGAAGTGGAAATATATGGTTAGCAAAGAACATAAATGATTTATATGAAAAAACACATGCGAAATAAATATTTTATAATGATCACCCATGTGTGTGGAAGTTGATGTTTACTTCTTCGGTAATCATTGTAATGTGATAATACTGAAAATGTTTACTATTCAGTGACAACAAAATTCTAATATATTTTTACGTCTTTGCAGAGTGTGCTGACGGGAGTTTCGGGCCTGGCTGTAGTTCCTGGTGTTTGTGTAAGTACACATCTGAGGTGTGTGACAAAGCCACTGGACACTGTGAGAGTGGCTGTGCTGACGGGCACACTGGGGCGGACTGTCAGGAACGTAAGTACACATCGGGTCAGAGTCCAATGAATGAAACTATATACCAGTCTTGCACTGGAGAAAGTTAGGTCTATTTGATTCCTAAAAGGGTTACATATTACCATTATTACCATTGTCTGGTCCAGACATCATAGCTTGAATATTGCCAGAGCGGCGTTAAACAACAAACAAAACAAAATTACGTTTAAGAGTCCGATACCATGGATGCACATTCCATATTTTCGGTTTACTAATTACCAGTTCACTGCACAAATTGCCGCATGGAAAATGAAAAAAAATCACTTAAAATGTCTCTATTCATGTCCGATCCATCCTTGTGTCTATACGAATACGAACAAAATAAATTAGTAAACAACTACAAACCAGAGCAAACAATTCATATTCTGACAAACTGAATTAATTTTCTTACAGGAATTCCAACTGTGACACTCGTGTGACAGGCAGTAAAACAAATTCGAACCATTAAAAAAAATATAGGTTAATGATTTAGTTTTAGTTTTTTTAGAACCAACCCTGAAAGAATTTCTGAACAAAAACGTGACCCTAATAGAATACAACGCGTCGCCTTAGAAAAAAGACTATTTGCTCAATTTTGGAGACATAGACTAAGTCTTTTTTCGTCTGTGCGTACTGTGTAACAATGTAAACGAACTGTGTTTACCACGCAGAGTGTAAGGACCGTTTCTATGGGGCTCAGTGCAGCTCTAGATGTGGACGGTGTCGTAGTAACGCCATCTGCAGCAAAACGTCAGGCGACTGCCCGGATGGATGTGAACCAGGATGGCAAGGGAAGACATGTGACCAAGGTAACCCAGTTGTTTGACTTTCACATTACACCCACTTGCTTCAAACAAATGAAGGTACATTTTGCATTTAAATTATTTTTACACATGTTTCTGTACCTTATTGTGCTTACAGTCCACTGTGACCCTTGTAAAGTGTTTCGATTACACGTGTTACGGCCTGTAATGTGAGTGAGTGAGTGAGTTGGGTTTAACGCCGCTTTTAACAGTGTTCCAGTTATATAACGGCGTGTCAGCTTAATGTGGGAGGAAAGCCCCAAGTGATGCAGGTCTCAGACGTTTACCACTTCGTTGAAACCCACGAGCACGGGTATGGTGCTGACAAACCTAGAAACATAATCCGGGCAAACCGGGATTCGAACCCACAATCATAGGTTTCTGGTTTGCCCAAGGGACGCAACTCTCGCAGCGAATCGTGACGACTGGGCCACCCGTGCTCCCGCCTGTAATGTGGCCTTCCTATACTGTATCAGTACTTTGTACAGGGAACTGGGTATACCTACCCAAACAAGCATTCTACTACATGGTGAAAGTTTAATGGCAGGTTAATGTATGTTAGTTACAACTAACATGAGCGCAACCTCTTTTATATATGAGTCCCTCAACAGCTGCACTGTTGTTGACAGAATGTGACGAAGACAGATATGGTGACGGGTGTTCTGAGACTTGTGGTCAGTGTGCAGGGAAGTGCAGCCCTGTTAACGGAACATGTGATCAGGAGGGTTGCAGTGATGGGTGGATGGGGCAGAGGTGTGACGAAGGTGAGTGACCTGTAGCCAGGGAGGTGGACAGGGCAGAGATGTGACGTAGGTGAGTGACCTGTAGCCAGGGAGGGTGGTCGGGGCAGAGATGTGACGTAGGTGAGTGACCTGTAGTCAGGGAGGGTGGACGAGGCAGAGATGCGACGTAGTTGAGTGACCTGTAGTCAGGGAGGGTGGACGGGGCAGAGATGTGACGTAGGTGAGTGACCTGTAGCCAGGGAGGGTGGACGGGGCAGAGATGTGACGTAGGTGAGTAACCTGTAGTCAGGGAGAGTGGACGGGGCAGAGATGTGACGTAGGTGAGTGACCTGTGGTAAGGGAGGGTGGACAGAGCAGAGATGTGACGTAGGTGGGTGACCTGTAGCCAGTGAGGGAAGAGGGGGTAGAGATGTGACGTAGGTGAGTGACCTGTAGCCAGGGAGGGTGGACGGGGCAGAGATGTGACGTAGGTGAGTAACCTGTAGCAAGGGAGGGTGGACGGGGCAGAGATGTGACGTAGGTAAGTGACCTGTAGTCAGGGAGGTGGACAGGGCACAGATGTCACGTAGGTGAGTAACCTGTAGCCAGGGAGGGTGGACGGGCAGAGATGTGACGTAGGTGGGTAAACTGTAGTCAGGGAGGGTGGACGAGGCAGAAATGTGACGTAGGTGAGTGACCTGTAGCAAGGGAGGGTGGACGAGGCAGAAATGTGACGTAGGTGAGTGACCTGTAGCCAGGGAGGGTGGACGGGGAAGAGGTGTGACGTAGGTAAGTGTCCTGCAGCCAGGGGGAGTGGACAGGGTGGACATGTGACGTAAGTGAATGATTGTAGCTCGGGATGTTTGACAGGGCAGACATGTGACGAAGGTGGGTAACCTGTAGTCAGGGAGGGTGGACGAGGCAGATATGTGACATAGGTAAGTGACCTGTAGTCAGGGAGGGTGGACAGAGCGGAGATGTGATGTAGGTAAGTGACCTGTAGTGAGGGAGGGTGGACGAGGCAGAGATGTGACATAGGTAAGTGACCTGTAGTCAGTGAGGGTGGACGGTGCAGAGATGTGACATAGGTGAGTGACTTGTAGCCAGGGAGTGTGGACGGGGCAGAGATGTGACGTAGGTGAGTGACCTGTAGCCAGGGAGGGTGGACCGGTCAGAGATGTGACATAGGTGAGTAACCTGTAGTCAGGGAGGGCGGACGAGGCAGAGATGTGACATAGGTAAGTGACCTGTAGCCAGGGAGTGTGGACGGGGCAGAGATGTGACGTAGGTGAGTGACCTGTAGCCAGGGAGGGTGGACCGGTCAGAGATGTGACGTAGGTGAGTGACCTGTAGTCAGTGAGGGTGGACGAGGCAGAGATGTGACATAGGTGAGTGACCTGTAGTCAGGGAGGGTGGACGGGGCAGAGATGTGACGTAGGTGAGTAACCTCTATTCAGGGAGAGTGAACGGGGCAGAGATGTGATGTAGGTGAGTGACTTGTAGCCAGGGAGGGTGGACGGGGCAGAGATGTGACGTAGGTGGGTAACCTGTAGTAAAGGAGGATGGACAGAGCAGAGATGTGACGTAGGTGGGTGACCTGTATCCAGGGAAGGAAGAGGGGGTAGAGATGTGACGTAGGTGAGTGACCTGTAGCCAGAGAGTGTGGACGGGGCAGAGATGTGACGTAGATGAGTGACCTATATCCAGGGAGAGTGGACGGGGCAGAGATGTGACGTACGTGAGTGACCTGTAGTGAAGGAGGATGGACAGAGCAGAGATGTGACGTAGGTGGGTGACCTGTATCCAGGGAGGGAAGAGGGGGTAGAGATGTGACGTAGGTGAGTGACCTGTAGCCAGAGAGTGTGGACGGGGCAGAGATGTGACGTAGATGAGTGACCTATATCCAGGGAGGGTGGACGAGGCAGAGATGTGACATAGGTAAGTGACCTGTAGTCAGGGAGGTGGATTGGGCAGAGATGCGACGTAGGTGAGTGACCTGTAGTCAGGGAGAGTGGACAGAGCAGAGATGTGACGTAGGTGAGTGACCTGTAGCCAGGGAGGGTAGACGGGGCAGAGATGTGACGTAGGTGAGTGACCTGTAGTCAGGGAGGGTAGACGGGGCAGAGATGTGACGTAGGTGAGTAACCTGTAGTCAGGGAGAGTGGACGGGGCAGAGATGTGACATAGGTAAGCGACCTGTGGTCAGGGAGAGTGGACGGGTCAGAGATGTGACGTAGGTGAGTGACATGTTGTAAGAGAGGTTGACAGGGCAGAGATGTGACGTGGGTTAGTGACCTGTAGCCAGGGAGGTGGACAGGGCAGAGATGTGACGTAGGTGGGTAACCTGTAGTCAGGGAGGGTGGGCGAGGCAGAGATTTGACATAGGTAAGTGACCTGTAGTCAGGGAGGGTGGACAGAGCAGAGATGTGACGTAGGTAAGTGACCTGTAGCCGGGAGAGTGGACGGGGCAGAGATGTGATGTAGGTGAGTGACCTGTAGTCAGGGAGGTGGACGGGGCAGAGATGTGACGTAGGTGAGTGACCTGTAGTCAGGGAGGTGGACAGGGCAGTGATGTGACGTAGGTGAGTAACCTGTAGTCAGGGAGGATTCACGTCCATTTCGGTGTTCACCATTTCCCTTGCTGTATTCAGATAGATCTGTTTTGTTTCAAGTATGCGAGTCCGGCAGTTACGGCCTGAAGTGTGAAGGGCGGTGTGGTCACTTCACACTTAAGGCGGTCATCAAAAGTTTCGAGCTTACTCTAGGGTGAATGTTATACAGTGAAATTACATTGTCTGGTCCAGACATCATAGCTTGAATATTGCCCAGAGCGGCGTTAAACAACAAACAAAACAAAATTACGTTTAAGAGTCCGATACCATGGATGCACATTCCATATTTTCGGTTTACTAATTACCAGTTCACTGCACAAATTGCCGCATGGAAAATGAAACAAAATCACTTAAAATGTCTCTATTCATGTCCGATCCATCCTTGTGTCTATACGAATACGAACAAAATAAATTAGTAAACAACTACAAACCAGAGCAAACAATACATATTCTGACAAACTAAATAAATGTCTTACAGGAATTCCAACTGTGACACTCATGTGACAGGCAGTAAAACAAATTCGAACCATTAAAAAAAATATAGGTTAATGATTTAGTTTTAGTTTTTTTAGAACCAACTCTGAAAGAATTTCTGAACAAAAACGTGACCCTAATAGAATACAACGCGTCGCCTTAGAAAAAAGACTATTTGCTCAATTTTGGAGACATAGACTAAGTCTTTTTTCGTCTGTGCGTACTGTGTAACAATGTAAACGAACTGTGTTTACCACGCAGAGTGTAAGGACCGTTTCTATGGGGCTCAGTGCAGCTCTAGATGTGGACGGTGTCGTAGTAACGCCATCTGCAGCAAAACGTCAGGCGACTGCCCGGATGGATGTGAACCAGGATGGAAAGGGAAGACATGTGACCAAGGTAACCCAGTTGTTTGACTTTCACATTACACCCACTTGCTTCAAACAAATGAAGGTACATTTTGCATTTAAATTATTTTTACACATGTTTCTGTACCTTATTGTGCTTACAGTCCACTGTGACCCTTGTAAAGTGTTTCGATTACACGTGTTACGGCCTGTAATGTGAGTGAGTGAGTGAGTTGGGTTTAACGCCGCTTTTAACAGTGTTCCAGTTATATAACGGCGTGTCAGCTTAATGTGGGAGGAAAGCCCCAAGTGATGCAGGTCTCAGACGTTTACCACTTCGTTGAAACCCACGAGCACGGGTATGGTGCTGACAAACCTAGAAACATAATCCGGGCAAACCGGGATTCGAACCCACAATCATAGGTTTCTGGTTTGCCCAAGGGACGCAACTCTCGCAGCGAATCGTGACGACTGGGCCACCCGTGCTCCCGCCTGTAATGTGGCCTTCCTATACTGTATCAGTACTTTGTACAGGGAACTGGGTATACCTACCCAAACAAGCATTCTACTACATGGTGAAAGTTTAATGGCAGGTTAATGTATGTTAGTTACAACTAACATGGGCGCAACCTCTTTTATATATGAGTCCCTCAACAGCTGCACTGTTGTTGACAGAATGTGACGAAGACAGATATGGTGACGGGTGTTCTGAGACTTGTGGTCAGTGTGCAGGGAAGTGCAGCCCTGTTGACGGAACATGTGATCAGGAGGGTTGCAGTGATGGGTGGATGGGGCAGAGATGTGACGAAGGTGAGTGACCTGTAGCCAGGGAGGTGGACAGGGCAGAGATGTGACGTAGGTGAGTGACCTGTAGCCAGGGAGGTGGACAGGGCAGAGATGTGACGTAGGTGAGTGACCTGTAGCCAGGGAGGGTGGACGGGGCAGAGATGTGACGTAGGTGAGTAACCTGTAGTCAGGGAGGGTGGACGGGGCAGAGATGTGACGTAGGTGAGTGACCTGTAGCAAGGGAGAGTGGACGAGGCAGAGATGCGACGTAGTTGAGTGACCTGTAGTCAGGGAGGGTTGACGGGGCAGAGATGTGACGTAGGTGAGTAACCTGTAGTCAGGGAGGGTGGACGGGGCAGAGATGTGACGTAGGTGAGTGACCTGTAGTAAGGGAGGGTGGACAGAGCAGAGATGTGACGTAGGTGGGTGACCTGTAGCCAGTGAGGGAAGAGGGGGTAGAGATGTGACGTAGGTGAGTGACCTGTAGCAAGGGAGGGTGGACGGGGCAGAGATGTGACGTAGGTAAGTGACCTGTAGTCAGGGAGGTGGACAGGGCACAGATGTCACGTAGGTGAGTAACCTGTAGCCAGGGAGGGTGGACGGGCAGAGATGTGACGTAGGTGGGTAAACTGTAGTCAGGGAGGGTGGACGAGGCAGAAATGTGACGTAGGTGAGTGACCTGTAGCAAGGGAGGGTGGACGAGGCAGAAATGTGACATAGGTAAGTGACCTGTAGTCAGGGAGGGTGGACAGAGCAGAGATGTGACGTAGGTGAGTGACCTGTAGCCAAGGAGGGTGGACGGGGAAAAGGTGTGACGTAGGTAAGTGTCCTGCAGCCAGGGGGAGTGGACAGGGCGGACATGTGACGTAAGTGAATGATTGTAGCTCGGGATGTTTGACAGGGCAGACATGTGACGAAGGTGGGTAACCTGTAGTCAGGGAGGGTGGACGAGGCAGATATGTGACATAGGTAAGTGACCTGTAGTCAGGGAGGGTGGACAGAGCGGAGATGTGATGTAGGTAAGTGACCTGTAGTGAGGGAGGGTGGACGAGGCAGAGATGTGACATAGGTAAGTGACCTGTAGTCAGTGAGGGTGGACGGTGCAGAGATGTGACATAGGTGAGTGACTTGTAGCCAGTGAGTGTGGACGGGGCAGAGATGTGACGTAGGTGAGTGACCTGTAGCCAGGGAGGGTGGACCGGTCAGAGATGTGACATAGGTGAGTAACCTGTAGTCAGGGAGGGCGGACGAGGCAGAGATGTGACATAGGTAAGTGACCTGTAGCCAGGGAGTGTGGACGGGGCAGAGATGTGACGTAGGTGAGTGACCTGTAGCCAGGGAGGGTGGACGGGGCAGAGATGTGACGTAGGTGAGTGACCTGTAGTCAGTGAGGGTGGACGAGGCAGAGATGTGACATAGGTGAGTGACCTGTAGTCAGGGAGGGTGGACGGGGCAGAGATGTGACGTAGGTGAGTAACCTCTATTCAGGGAGAGTGAACGGGGCAGAGATGTGACGTAGGTGGGTAACCTGTAGTAAAGGAGGATGGACAGAGCAGAGATGTGACGTAGGTGGGTGATCTGTATCCAGGGAGGGAAGAGGGGGTAGAGATGTGACGTAGGTGAGTGACCTGTAGCCAGAGAGTGTGGACGGGGCAGAGATGTGACATAGGTAAGTGACCTGTAGTCAGGGAGGTGGATTGGGCAGAGATGCGACGTAGGTGAGTGACCTGTAGTCAGGGAGAGTGGACAGAGCAGAGATGTGACGTAGGTGAGTGACCTGTAGCCAGGGAGGGTGGACGGGGCAGAGATGTGACGTAGGTGAGTGACCTGTAGCCAGGGAGGGTGGACGGGGCAGAGATGTGACGTAGGTGAGTGACCTGTAGTCAGGGAGAGTGGACGGGGCAGAGATGTGACATAGGTAAGCGACCTGTGGTCAGGGAGAGTGGACGGGTCAGAGATGTGACGTAGGTGAGTGACATGTTGTAAGAGAGGTTGACAGGGCAGAGATGTGACGTGGGTAAGTGACCTGTAGCCAGGGAGGTGGAAAGGGCAGAGATGTGACGTAGGTGGGTAACCTGTAGTCAGGGAGGGTGGGCGAGGCAGAGATTTGACATAGGTAAGTGACCTGTAGTCAGGGAGGGTGGACAGAGCAGAGATGTGACGTAGGTAAGTGACCTGTAGCGGGGAGAGTGGACGGGGCAGAGATGTGATGTAGGTGAGTGACCTGTAGTCAGGGAGGTGGACGGGGCAGTGATGTGACGTAGGTGAGTAACCTGTAGTCAGGGAGGATTCACGTCCATTTCGGTGTTCACCATTTCCCTTGCTGTATTCAGATAGATCTGTTTTGTTTCAAATATGCGAGGCCGGCAGTTACGGCCTGAGATGTGAAGGGCGGTGTGGTCAGTGTGCAGGAAGACATCTCAGATTCACGTCCATTTCGGTGTTCACCATTTCCCTTGCTGTATTCAGATAGATCTGTTTTGTTTCAAGTATGCGAGTCCGGCAGTTACGGCCTGAAGTGTGAAGGGCGGTGTGGTCACTTCACACTTTAGGCGGTCATCAAAAGTTTCGAGCTTACTCTAGGGTGAATGTTATACAGTGAAATTACATTGTCTGGTCCAGACATCATAGCTTGAATATTGCCCAGAGCGGCGTTAAACAACAAACAAAACAAAATTACGTTTAAGAGTCCGATACCATGGATGCACATTCCATATTTTCGGTTTACTAATTACCAGTTCACTGCACAAATTGCCGCATGGAAAATGAAACAAAATCACTTAAAATGTCTCTATTCATGTCCGATCCATCCTTGTGTCTATACGAATACGAACAAAATAAATTAGTAAACAACTACAAACCAGAGCAAACAATACATATTCTGACAAACTAAATAAATGTCTTACAGGAATTCCAACTGTGACACTCATGTGACAGGCAGTAAAACAAATTCGAACCATTAAAAAAAATATAGGTTAATGATTTAGTTTTAGTTTTTTTAGAACCAACCCTGAAAGAATTTCTGAACAAAAACGTGACCCTAATAGAATACAACGCGTCGCCTTAGAAAAAAGACTATTTGCTCAATTTTGGAGACATAGACTAAGTCTCTTTTCGTCTGTGCGTACTGTGTAACAATGTAAACGAACTGTGTTTACCACGCAGAGTGTAAGGACCGTTTCTATGGGGCTCAGTGCAGCTCTAGATGTGGACGGTGTCGTAGTAACGCCATCTGCAGCAAAACGTCAGGCGACTGCCCGGATGGATGTGAACCAGGATGGCAAGGGAAGACATGTGACCAAGGTAACCCAGTTGTTTGACTTTCACATTACACCCACTTGCTTCAAACAAATCAAGGTACATTTTGCATTTAAATTATTTTTACACATGTTTCTGTACCTTATTGTGCTTACAGTCCACTGTGACCCTTGTAAAGTGTTTCGATTACACGTGTTACGGCCTGTAATGTGAGTGAGTGAGTTGTGTTTAACGCCGCTTTTAACAGTATTCCAGTTATATAACGGCGTGTCAGCTTAATGTGGGAGGAAAGCCCCAAGTGATGCAGGTCTCAGACGTTTACCACTTCGTTGAAACCCACGAGCACGGGTATGGTGCTGACAAACCTAGAAACATAATCCGGGCAAACCTTTTGGGAACATCTGGTGTGATTACTATTTGATAGTGATTCATGAAAACAGGCTCATGATACAGTCGAAATCGTACAAACGACTCTACTAATAGCAGAGATTTCTTGTGGTTATGGAGAGAGTTTTGACGCTTTTATTTAAAGGGGAAAAGGAAGTAGTACCATCCCCCCAACATGGATGGCTGTTAGACCCATTTCAGTTGAAGATACATCATGAAAGCGCGGTAGCCATCTACAGCGAATACCTAATCACTTTGATACCTGCTGCCTTGTTGGTTTTGGGTGTTCAAATGCAGCATGTGAGCTTGCAAAGTGTTGCACTTAATACTGTATAAGGGTGTGCTGCACATTCCTATTCAATTCAGGCGCGGTTACATTTACAGGCATCAGTTATGCCTGTTCGAGCAGTGACACACAATGAGGACAGATTTGAGATACATACAGGTAGACGACCAGACAGAAACTGGTATTCACATCGCCTCGCCTGCAGCGTCACGCCACAGCACTGTGCATGCAACACACACGTTGGCCACGTGCTTAGTGGGGGCAAACATTGTTTGTTGATGAATCTCGGTTTTGGGTTCAATTTAATGATACTCGAGTAAGAGAATTTCTTAGGCAAATGTAAATAAAAAGGGAAAACACATGCCATGGTCATGTGCGATGGGCATGTGTTTTAGATTCGCTATCAAATGGTGACAAGGTCTGGGAGGCAGTATCTTAGGGCGGACTGGCCGGAGCACACAAATACTATGGCACCAAACGAGCATACCTAAGACCAGTTCGGGCGACTGGTATGCAGAAGCCACGCCCTTCCTGTAGACCTGATGGACTTTGGGCAATTCCTTCTGGTAGTGGTAGGCACTGTTCAACGTATTGCATGTTGAATGATTCTGGACAAAGGATGAATATCCTGGACTGATCAGTTGGCGAAAGAATATCCCTTTTGAGAGTGCACAACGGGAACCGCAGTACAAGACGTGACACCTGTTTCCTTCTAGTCTAATAAATTCATTTGTTTTTTCAATTTATATATTTTAAACATTTTAACCCTGATTTTTTTCAGAATAAAATTCAAATCAGAATATGTAAATTAAAATCAGTGCTTCTTGTATGTAGCATGTCCAGACGGTACCTTTGGCCTAAACTGCGGACAACGCTGTGGTCAGTGTCTGGCTGGACATGTGTGTGACAAGGTGACAGGACAGTGTCCGGGTTCGAGGTGTGAGAGGGGATGGATGGGACTTCAATGTGGAACAGGTGGGATGGCCAGGTTATGGTCGTACACACACATAAAATTGTGATCAGAACAGATGAAGGTTCAGGCCTATCCGGCCATTTAATAAGATAAATCTATTGAATGTTCACTGCATTAAATGCTCCATTTCTTATTATTGTGTTCTGCTGTATATATTTTAACACAAACAGATTCTATCCATTCTACCCATCGCTGGTACAGTGAGGTTGCAGTCTTGATATTCCTGTTACCTTGATATATATGAAAGCTATAGTGAATGACTCTTTTAATCAGCCTGCAACGGCACTGGCTTCTACGGCTACAACTGCAACGAGACATGTGGGATGTGTCTCGGGGATGACTGCCACCACATCACAGGAGAGTGTCCACGTGGGTGCAGACCAAAGTATGAGGGTGCCACGTGTAACCTGAAAGGTATGTAACATGGTTTTGCTCTGGAATATGTTGGAGTCATCTGTCTTGCAACAGGTATCGTAGCTGTGGGTGGACTTGGTCGAATGTAGGTGATACATGACCTAAGATAGCTTGATCTGTCTGGGAAATGCAACTTAGCAGTGGGGAAAAAAGAGGTAGAAATCTTGCAAAGTGGGGATGGTTAGATTGGTTGGTTAGAATGTTGGGTAACGTGACATCAAAGTGTAAGGTAATTTGGTCTTATTTTGAAATATATGTAAGGGGTCTATGAAACAGAGGTCATCGGTCGTTCACGGAGAAGTAACTGCACATGATTGTTACGTCACTATCTTGAGCACAGCAGTAAAGCCGAGTTCCGTGTGTGGCAAGATTACATAAAAGAATCCCTTCATCAACCGAATTGTTTGAAAAAAACCATTGTGCCATAAGCTTGCACTAAAATCCCGTGTCAAATGATAGAACTTGCACTTGTCAAAAGTCATCGATATTAACTCTAACAAAGAAAGAATAACCTTTTTGTGGAATACTTTCCATCTACGAAATTTGCTTTTCTAAAGATTGTTACCACCTATATACTTTTGGAGGGTGTATATGTGAATTGTACCTTCTTTTGGGTGTGTCCGCCCCCCCCCCCCCCTCCCCTTCTGAAGTATGTGGAGTAATATGCCTCTCCTCGAGGAGGTGGCCTCCCCTCCCTCCTCTGGTGTATGTAGGGGAGGGAGATATTATGATATGTGGTGCTTGGGTTGTGATCGTTCTCCCCTCTGGGGCCATATCCCTTGCATGATGTGCGTTGGTCCCCTTGTAGTATGACGGGTTGAGATGCTTTTCCTGGAGCTGACTGACGAATATGTGTTCGTTTGCTGTGTGTCGACTAGGAGGTGTGTGGGGATATACCTAACTTTCGATTTGGAATGTGCTCCAAATACCAATGTTACCTTAATGTTATTTCAGAGCCAACTAACGTGGGCACCCAGGCCGGTATGGCTGTGTTCGTCGCTGTCCTTGTCGTGCTGGTGATCATCGCCGTGTACCTTCTGAAGAGGTACTGCATATACTTGTGTATATTACAAAATATATGACACAGTTTACAACATTATACAACATTATAAAAAGTTTACAACATTTCAAAACATGTTGCAAGATTCCAAAAAATACAGTTGACAACATTACAAAACATTACAAACATTACAAAACATTACAAAACATTACAAAACATTACACATAGTTTACAGCATTACAAAACATTAAACAAAGTTTAAAACATTACAAAACATTACAAACAGTTTTCAAAATTACGAAACATTACAGATTGCAAGATTCCAAAAATCAGTTTACAACTTTACAAACAATATAGTTGACAACATTACAAAACATTACAACCAGTTTAAAGCATTACAAAACATTACAAATAGTTTTTCAACATTACGAAACATTACACACAGTTTACAAACTTGCACAAAATTACTAACAGTTTACAAGGTTGCACAGCGTTGCAGAAACGTTTACAACTTTACAAACACAATACAGTTTGCATCACTACAATACATTACAGTTACAGTTTACAACATTGCCAAACATTACAGTTTACACATTTCAACATATTACAAACGGTTGACATTATTACCAAACATTACAGATCGCAACTTTGCATCACATTAAAATTTACAGCATTACAAAACATTACAGATTGCAGCATTACAAACAGTTTACAACAATACCCAAAAAATATAAACAATTTACAACATTAAAAAACATTACAAACAGTTTACAACAATGCAAAAAATACAAACAATTTACAACATTAAAAAATCATTACAAACAGTTAACAAACAATGCAAAAAAATACAAACAATTTACAACATTAAAAAATCATTACAAACAGTTTACAACAATGAAAAAAATACAAACAATTTACAACATTAAAAAATCATTACAAACAGTTTACAACATTTCCAAAGATTAAAAACAGTTTACACATTGACAAAGTAGACACTATTTATGGATAACACATTCTTTCTTTCATGTAAAGGCGACGTTTCTGTGTTGAGCCTTATACCGTTGTCAAGCAAGACTAAATAATGAACATGGTACAGAATATATATGGTAGAGGGAGGATTAACAACAATAACAACACTTGGATACAAGTAAGAGATTAACATGAATAAATTAAGTAACAACAGAAGGATAATTCTGTAACAACATGATGGACAGCGAACACGGTCATGATGGGGAGGCCAAAAAGACAGGGCTTAGTAAAGTCATGGAGGTTGTTGGAGAGGATTTGGACGTTTTTCCAGTTGATGTTGTTATTGGGACGGCTGCTGATACCCCACCAGAATCCTTCCTCCCTTAGGAAAATCTGCTGACTCCTTCATCTCAGGCTCCATTGACTTCTGCGGCGAACTCAAGAACATCACCGACCCAGATGAAATTCATTATTCAGCCTTGCTTGACAACGGTATAAGGATCTATACAAAACGTTGCCTTTATTGTAAATATTTTTTGTCCATAAATTTTGTCAACTTTGACATTAGTCAACTTCTAAGTAATGCCTATCAAACAATTCAGTTTACACATTACAAAACACTTCAGTTTACAACATTACAAACAGTTAACAGCATTGCAATAAAGTAGGTTACAACATTGCAAAACATTGCAAACAGTTTACCAAATTACAAAAAGTTGACAACATAATACATAAGAGTATTATACATAACAAATAAAAGTACAAACAGTTTGTAACATTTCAACACATTACAGTTTACAGCATTACAAAACACTTCGACTTACAGCAATACAAACAGTTTACAGCATTACAAAAAATACAAACAGTTTGTAACATTTCAACATATTACAACATTACAACAAATTTTAACAGTTATCATTATTACAAAACAGTACAGATTGCAACGTCACAACACATTACAGTTTACAGCATTACAAGACATTACAGACTGCAACGTCACAAAACATTACAGTTTACAGCATTACAAGACATTACAGACTGCAACGTCACAAAACATTACAGTTCACAGCATTACAAGACATTACAGACTGCAACGTCACTAAACATTACAGTTTACAGCATTACAAGACATTACAGACTGCAACGTCACAAAACATTACAGTTTACAGCATCACAAGATATTACAGACTGCAAAATTACAAACTGTTTACATCACAAAATATCTTTGAATGTCTATCAACGGTAATTCCATGCCTGTCAATAGTCTATTATATGCTTATTGGTACAAGTGGTAATTGGCATTGTTAGCGTCTGATGGTTCGGTAGTGTTCTTGAAAGGTAGTTACATGTGTAACTTTAAAATATATATACACGTACAGTTATATGTTCTATTTTACTTGGATAAAAAATACATTGAGATTCTAGTTGTTTACCGGTAATTCTAGCTTAAAGCTAGCTACATTGTTTTTAATGCACTTTGAACACATTACACAGACGGCAACAAAAGAGATCGAATGGTGAAGTCGCTGCAGCTTCGTCTGATGTCGTCATTAACCCAGCATTTCCTGGTACGTAATAATAAATTTGCAATAAAAGCGGCAAGACCATTTCTGTATTCATAAGAAATCTCAGGTAAAGGCAGATTCGATTGTACGATTCTGGCTATATCCTGAGCATGTGTTTCTGAATTACTTATCAAATAGCGACGATACTAGGTGTTCGCGAAAGGTGAGCGTATCCTGCCACACAGGTGGCATCCGTCACAAACGCATGCAATGACAAGTCAGTTGTTCACCTGAAAAAAAGACGCGAAACATATGGTACAGGTCAAAAAAGGGAATTGCAACGGACTCGATCTTCGTTACTGATGCGTCTAATTTGGAAATTTCCAAAAATTCGCTGTGCAGAGTTGCGTCCCTTGGGCACGCCAAAAACCCATGATTGTAGGTTCGAATCCCGGTTCGCCCCGATTATGTTTCACGGTTTGTCAGCACCATACCCGTGCTCGTGTGTTTCACCGAAGTGGTAAACGTCTGAGACCTGCATCACTTCGGGCTTTCCTCCCACATTAAGCTGACACGCCGTTATATAACTGGAATACTGTTAAAAGCGGCGTTAAACACAACTCACTCACTCCTATCAACATGATAATACAGACTACTGGAATGAAAACGTGCTCGCTAAATACAATGTTTATTCCTAATGCAGGATATTTACCGTCCCCAAACACACTCGCGTGATAACCTCTTTATCATATAATGTCATTCTTTAATTCTGTGTTTCAAAATCGCTTTCCCTCTCTCACAAACATTACCTAAACATTGAGAGTTTTCTTGGAATGCGGGCATTAATATTTATTACGTCACAGGGTAAGTGATGTGTCAGTCGGACAGTGACAGTAGCCAATATAGTTCCAACTGAAATCTGTTTCTTATACAGTGGCGAAGCAACATATACGCAAAACAACAATTGTTTTAATTGCCTTTCGCGGCAATCCATCGGTCTGTCCGCTAGAGTAACTGCCCTTTGTCAAAGGAAAGCTACTCTAACCCTAGTCTATGAGACGTCACGGCCACGGTCAGACGTTGTTCACAGTCGGTCTGTCCTGTCATTACGTTAAGAAGTGTAGTCAGATGTACACACAGCGACAAAACGAAACAAGATAACAATTCAAACATATTTCGGCCAAATCCAACTATTTTAATTTGTGGAGAAGGTTTCAAGCCGCAGAGGTCTACAAGCACAGATATGGCTACTGATCCCGCTTGGCTAGGCCTCGTGCCCTCGCAAAATTGTTTCGAAATTTATGTCTCCAAAGTTGCCCAAACTTTTATAATGCCTTAGCTACTTCACAGTTAGACACTGATATTCAGTATATTAGACTATTCTTTTGATAATGATAGCAATTATCCCTGTAGTTTATCCAGATTCCCGATGGTTAATTCTGACTCGATCGCCGAATGACGAGGGCGACGCCATGTTTGTTTATAAACAGTGAAAGTAGTCCCTACTTTGATATTTGATATTTGCATCTCTATCCTCACATGACCCCAACGGATATCGTTTTTATCCGTTGGCTTTATCCTGCCGAGAAACCTACCCATTATATGATAATACAGACTACTGGAATGAAAACGTGGTGGTGATTACTCGTGGTAACAGCACTGGTTCGTGACCATGGCAAACCCGGGTTCCATTCCCCCGATGGGTTCTATGAGTGAAGCTGTTTTTGGTGTCCCCCCCCCCCCCCCCCCCTCACCGTTTAAGGTCAGGGTTACTGTATTGATCAGCATGTGATCGGTGTCCCAGTATCGTTCAGTCATGACCCGGTAGCATCCATTTCACGCCTCATCAATCAAGCGGTGATGACTTTGTTGAAACTGACAATGGTCTGAACATACAATGCCATTTAGAAAGTGGTTTGTAACAAATGTTATATTTGTGTGTTCATAGCTTTCGGCCATGGGAGCCGTGCCAATTTACACATGGCAGAGGGGTACACAAACCACGTGATCTAGACTACCAGTTATCGGACTTTCATTTTTTGTGGAAGCCTCGGTGGCTGAGTGGGTTAGATCGCTGACTTTGTGTGCTGGCGATTAGGTGCTTCACTTTGGCAGTGTGGGTTCGAATCCCGGACGGGACTCAACCCAAAACAAGGACGTGAATCTGTACTTTACTCAGAAAGTGTTATCCCAAATATAACATTTGTTACGTTGCCAATGGTCTACCGGCTTTTAAACAGCTACTATCCTATTGGTCATGTACTGTTATCTTTAAGGTGAAGAAGGCGTGTTGGACGAGAATGATGATGACGGCATTTACGCCAATGTGGAAGTGACCACGGTCAAGGTAGCTAAGCTTCGAGAATACATCGCCAAGAGAGAGGACAAGTTTGTGTCGGAGTATGGGGTACGTTACTTCACGATATTGTGCCTCGGACGTCTTTGTTCTTATCGACTCGACCGCCTCCGTGGTCTTGTGGTAGAGCGTCCGCCTGAAGAGCGGAAGGTCGGGGGTTCGATCCCCGGACGCGTTATACCAAAAGACGTTAAAATATGGTACTTGTTGTTACCCTGTCTGGCGCTCGGCATTAAGGGGCTAAAACAAGGACTGGTCGGCTCGGAGTCAGTATACTGTGTCTGAGTGGGGTATTCATGTTAAACTGCGGCATGGTATCTCAGTGAGCTAGCACTATAAATCGGCATCAGTCCGGACTAGTACAAGCAGACACACACGTACACACACACACACACACACACACACACACACACACACACACACACACGTGCATGCACATCGCTTTATAAGTGCAATAATCTTGGACGCGACGTTAAACCCAATTTCACCTCACCTCTTATCGACTCGAACTACTTACGTCTATTTTCTTCTGATGTCTAGGGAATGCAATGCTGTACTTTTATGTTATCTTCTAATGCTTAATACCGGCGTTTATATTCCTCTTTTGATAAAGTCTGACGTTTACGTTGCTTCAAAATATACACTAGGGCAACAGAGGTGTGAACAGATATTAAAAAAGTATGTAACACGTTTTTGGCTGCACCTATGATAAATAATGAATTGATGGTTATAGAAGTACATGGATCAGTTCCTTACTGTAATGGCGGTATCTGTATGTGGCATCCGTCACGCGACAGTCATGTTTGTGCCTAAACTGAGAAATCTCAAACATTGATGAATATCAATGCATTTAGTACATACTCCGGTTACTGCATCACATGTACAGGTGACACCCGTGAAACATGTTCTATTGCACAGCTGTTTATGTTTCATATAATGTGATGCAACTTCCCAGGACGTATGTTTCACTTCCAGAGAGTGCCCCGGGGTCTTCTTCATCCTCACACCGCCGCCATCAGCCAGGAACACATGGCCAAGAACAGATTCAAAGCCATGTATCCTTGTACGAACTCTGGTTTAAATGCTATCAACTTTGAACAGTATATATTGCAAAGTATCACGGAAATGAATATTGACATTAAAAATACTAATCGAATAAACGCTATTTCATAGACCTGTGTGCTAAGTAATCCTTCCCAACCAGTCTGCTCCGTTGGATGTCACAGGCCGAGGCTTAAAAGTAATGTGAACACTAAAACAGGAATGCATAAAGTATTATCAAGTATATATTGCGTCATTGGTAAAATAACTGCATTTTTATTCATTCAACGCTTATTCTGAAAGAACGTCGTAGCATATCACGAGTATGAGGGCCTCTGAGGCGTAAAAGTTTAACTGGTCACACAGTTGGTCACATGATCTCTTACAGATGACCACTCCCGCGTTGTCCTGCAGAAGATCCCTGGGGACAAGAACTCCGACTACATCAACGCCAACTACATCAACGTATGTCTCCCTTTTTATTTATGCTTGCATACTTACATATTTCTGTCCGGCGTAATAAGGAATAACTGAGCTAGTGTGTGCTTTTGACATACAGCTGATAAGATCTGGATTTAAACAAGTGAGTGAGTTGGGTTTAACGCCGCTTTTAACAGTAATCTAGTTATATCACGGCGTGTCAGCTTAATGTGGGAGGAAAGCCCCAAGTGATGCAGGTATCAGACGTTTACCACTTCGGTGAAACCAACGAGCACGGGATTGGTGCTGACAAACCTAGAAACACGATCGGGGCGAACCGGGATTCGAACCCACAATCATAGGTTTCTGGCGTGCCCAAGGGACGCAACTCTGCACAGTGAATCGTGGCGCCTTAGACGACTGGGCCACCCGTGCCCCTGGATTTAAACAAGAACTATTGAGACTGAGGTATTAATCAATATACCTTTGATATGTGATAGGCATTTAGAAATGGGAAGAACGTGAAGACATGACACTTTTTATGAATAACAACTTCTCTATTCTCTCAAAGCAACTTTTAGGGATTCTACTTGCCTTTTCATCAGATGAATACCGAGTACATATATTGAGTTAATATGTTCACACGTTGTTTACCTTGTGTGTTATATCTTCCCATTGATCATAATAACCTGAACATGAAGAGTGATATTATAATAATAATAATAATGATAATAATAATAATAATAATAATAATTATAATAATAATAATAATGATAATAATATTAATGTTTCTCATTATGAGTGTCATTGAGGGGGTGGAAAGTAAAGGGCGATTCAATGATGCCTAATGTATGTATAATTGTACACAGACCTACAAGAGGAAGAAGGCTTTTATTGCAACTCAAGGTAAGGGTTAACCCCACCTGGCCTATTAACAATGGCTCTGTAGTATAATCATTATCCTATATATATTTCTCTGCTTTGTTCAACTATCGAGTTCATCTCATCAACTAGCCTCATAATCTGGAAAATATATTCTATCATCATAAAATTTATCTAAAAGCCAACCTAAACGCAAATCACGACGCCGGCCGGTTCTGTGACGTCATGGCATTTTCTTAGAACGTTTTCTCCATAATGGAACGATAAGAATATTTTGCTAGAAGTTGCTATACCATTATTGAAAATAACATTGTTATTGTGTTCGTAAGGTCCAACGCCGAAGACTGTGGGCGACTTCTGGAGGATGGTGTGGCAGGAGGAGACCAACATCGTCGTCATGCTCACCAGACTCAAGGAGGGGATAAAGGTGATGCTGCAGCTCAAACATCTAAATGTTGTCACTTTCTCCTCATCCGTAAATGTCATACACGATTAAATTAAATATTAAATATTTGTTCCGACAAAGAAGATTTATGTTTCTTTTAAGAATGTCGGTGTATGTGTTTCTGTTGCTGTGAATGTCGGTGTGTGTGTTTGTGTTGCTGTGAATGTCAGTGTATGTGTTTGTGTTGCTGTGTATGTCGGTGTATATGTGTGTGTTGCTGTGAATGTCGGTGTATGTGTTTGTGTTGCTGTGAATGTCGGTGTATATGTGTGTGTTGCTGTGAATGTCGGTGTATGTGTGTGTTGCTGTGAATATCAGTGTATGTGTTTGTGTTGCAGTGGATGTCAGTGTATATGTGTATGTGTTGCTGTGAATATTAGTGTATGTGTTTGTGTTGCAGTGGATGTCAGTGTATGTGTTTCTTGCTGTGAATATCTGTGTATATGTGTGTTGCTGTGAAAGATTTTGTATGTGTTTGTGTTGCAGTGGATGTCAGTGTATGTGTGTGTTGCTGTGAATATCTGTGTATATGTGTGTTGCTGTGAAAGATTTTGTATGTGTTTGTGTTGCAGTGGATGTCAGTGTATATGTTTATTGCTGTGAATATCTGTGTATATTTGTGTGTTGCAGGTGAAATGTGAGAAATACTGGCCGGAGAGGAACAATCCACTGCAGCTGGCAGACCTGACCATCACAAACGACGGGGTCGTTGAGAGACCGGACTACTGCATCAGACAGATGATCCTCCAGCACAAGAAGGTTCTCACCACCACAATATCTGATACATTACCCCTATAGATCGTGTCCCCTGTACCCCATGCTTGTCAATAGAGTCTACCAGGATGGTTACAACGTATGACCTGGCTGTGTATCATCTTATACCTTACCCCTATAGACCGTGTCCCCTGTACCCCAAGCTTGTCAATAGAGCCTACCAGGATGGTTAAAGTGTGTGACCTGGCAGTGTATTATCTTATACATTACCCATAACCCTGTAGACTAGGGGCTTGTTCCATAAAGCGATCTTAGTGACATGATTGTCGTAAGTCAGTGTTAAAGTATGGGATTTACCATCGTCTTAGCGCTAAGATCACTTTGTGGAACAGGGCCCCGATCCCCTGTACCCCATGCTTGTCAATAGAGCCTACCAGGATGGTTACAATGAGTGATCTGGCAGTGTATCATCTTATACATTACCCCTATAGATCGTGTCCCCTGTACCTCATGCTTGTCAATGGAGCCTACCAGGATGGTTACAGTGTGTGACCTTGCTGTGTATCATCTTATACATTACCCCTATAGATCGTGTCCCCTGTACCTCATGCTTGTCAATGGAGCCTACCAGGATGGTTACAGTGTGTGACCTGGCTGTCTATCATCTTATACATTACCCCTATAGACCGTGTCCCCTGTACCTCATGCTTGCCACGAGACCCTACCAGGATGGTTACAGTGTGTGACCTGGCTGTCTATCATCTTATACTTGACCCCTATAGACCGTGTCCCCTGTACCCCAAGCTTGTCAATAGAGCCTACCAGGATGGTTACAGTGTGTGACCTGGCAGTGTATCATCTTATACACTACCCATATAGACCCTGTCCCCTGTACCCCAAGCTTGTCAATAGAGCCTACCAGGATGGTTAAAGTGTGTGACCTGGCAGTGTATTATCTTATACATTACCCATAACCCTGTAGACTAGGGGCTTGTTCCATAAAGCGATCTTAGTGACATGATTGTCCTAAGTCAGTGTTAAAGTATGGGATTTACCATCGTCTTAGCGCTAAGATCACTTTGTGGAACAGGGCCCAGATCCCCTGTACCCCATGCTTGTCAATAGAGCCTACCAGGATGGTTACAATGAGTGATCTGGCTATGTATTGTCTTAACAAAAAGGGTTTTCGAGCACTGGTTTGTCTGGCCCAGATTATAATTACACTGAGACATTCAATCTTAACCCATCAAAAAAGGTTCCATACCCAACATGATTATGGACGGGAGCAGCCATTCAGCCGGACACAGCCATGAGGCTGTACTATTGCTTAAAGCGGCGAAAACATCATTAACACTCTTTCACACTGTAAATCTACAGTATGACATTAAGAAAACCAGAAAACAATTTTGAGGTATAAAGATATTATTTCTAGACACCATCACTAACAATAAACAATGAATTTTCTGAAGGAATTCCTAGGCAGATCTCTTTACAATAAGGAGATAAAACAAGCACTGGTCATCACGGAGTCACATAGTGTCTGAGTAGGTTTGTCCAGAAACCGGCATCAGTACTGCAATACGACGTGCAGCCCACCCAGATCTCCAACCATCACCACCACCACCACACACACACACACACACACACACCCCACCACACACCACACACCACACACACACACACACACACACACACACACACACACACACACACACACACACACACACACACACACACTACATGTACGTTTCTAAATAAATTCACTAATCTTAAAAGTCCATTACAATATATTTACCCATCCATCCCCAAGTGTATATTTATCATACTGAACTATTTAGAAAGACACTATGAATATGTTCTATGAATATGTATTCCGCAACAGCTGAACGAACGCCGTCGCGTGATGCAACTGCACTATGTCACGTGGCCGGACCATGACGTCCCATCAAGCCCTCAGCTCGTGCGGTTCTGGAAGGTGTTCCGGTCAATGACGGTTGACAGCCAGGCTCCCGTCGTCGTTCACTGCAGGTTGACAAATTAACCTAGAACTTCCTTTTATAGTAACCTATTCAAAACAAGAAGAATGATCAGTGTGTGTTGTAGGTTTTTGTGAAGAAAGCATCATTCTGAACAGGTAACAGGGACGATGTGAAAGCATGTTGGTTAAGTTTGCCAAGTCCAAGACATAGATTTAATTCCCAAAATGGTGCAGTAAGTGAAGCTGTGTCATCCCTTTGATCTTTTTACGCAAATTGTGTGAGTGGAGGGTACTTTCTGTAGAACAGGCCACGCTTACCCTATCGCGAACACCTGGTGCCATTTCAGTTTTTCAGTGATCCTTTCATATACTTTTACCACTACCGTATTCGACGTAATAAGCGCCCAGGACGCTCTCAAAAGTAGAAATAGGGGGCTCTAATTAGATTATTATTTTGAGTTGAAAGATCGTAAATTTTGTGGTTTATGCTGACAGCCTGAAATGTTTATATACGACAGATATATTTTTCCAGAATTCAGTTGCCCACAATTAAGGGTGCATATAACATACGAGTGCGTATTATACACAAATAAATATGTCTTGTGTACATTAATCAATTGGAAGGGGTGCAAATTGAGATTGTTCACTAACCAATATATTAGCAAATATCGCTTATTAGAGCAGGGCGCTTATTACGTCGAATACGGTATTTTACCTTTTAGGCCCAATGAATTCTGTTTCGGCAGATGCTCAAGACACGTCGATCCCTGGTGTTGACGTGTTATTTCCTATACATCATTGTGCGCCATGAATAAATCACATTAAAATTAAAATAACCATGGATTTTCAGAAAAGTGCATGATAATTACTAACACTTTGTCATAATTACCCTGATGCCCCTGAAATTGCACGTGCATAAAATCCCCTGAGTAAACAATTCGTGAAACATTGAACGTGGGACCGGGTCAGTTCAAACATTACAGTAAACCATCGATGTGTTGCAACTGTTAAAAGCAACTTTGATGACGAACACACTTCGTAACGTCATGCCAAGCCCTTCTGAAAATGGGTTGTTGTGAGCAATGGGAATGCTTGAAACCGAAAACGTTGTTGCTTGGCGCTTTTTGTGTTTAATGGAACAACATGCAGTCACTCTGGTGGTCGATACCAACAGACTTGGAACACCAGGGACCGACAACGTTCAGGACAAGCATGAGTAACGTCACGTCGGCAACGTCTGGTTGACATGTGAACATCGGGTTCGGACTGCAACTTTGACGGCCCACAGCATCCTTGGCTTGGTATCCCGTCCGATGAGTCCGACTTTTCCGTCCCTCCGATCTCACGTCCTGTAGATTCTTGGACGTCACATCGTATTTCAGGGGGACACTACACGCCCTCACGTGTGACGTGGGGTCACGGACTTCATTGAACAATAGAACATTCCCACACTCCTTTGGCCTGCTGTTCTCCATATCTGTCGCCAATCGGGCATGTGTGTGATGAAATGACACGTCGTTTAACAACTTCCAAACAAACTGGTGACGTTGGTCTAGCTACGACAGCCCTAGAACGACACCCAATACGCCTCCCTCCACCTTCCTGTATCGCCAACTAGGGAAAGTTTGTGTTACTGCTAATGGTGGTCATACCCGATACTGACCCTTCGCCACATTCCGCCTGAGATAACGTTTACAGAGGACGTTGTATTGTTCTGTGGCAAAATCGTTCTTTATATAATGCTGCTAAAAGCAGTGTACATTTTACTTACTCACTCTGTGGTAGTCACGTGAGGAACCCGTCACCAGTACATGTACACAGTCGCCCTGAGAAATGTGTTTATTTCCAGTGCTGGAGTTGGGCGGACAGGGACGTTCATTGGACTGGACGCGCTGATGGAGCGGGCTCTGCAGGAAGGAGTGGTGGACGTCCATGACTTCGTCCTCAAGATGAGAGCTGACCGGGTCAGCATGGTGCAGACAAAGGTCAGACAGAGAAACCGTTTGTCCGTTGTTATTGCTGATACTCAGTATTATTGTTAGACAGTCAAAGGGTTAATATTGTCCCGAGCCACATATAGATCAAATGTCAATGAGTGCAAGAAAAGTAACATTCGTGATGGATATGATTAACACTCTTAAAAACACACGTTCCTGAAATTCAATGTCAAGGCAGACGTTCCATGGATGTTTGATACATTCATTCTTTCACGTTGACGTACCTCGACATAACCAAACTTTCGGAGACTCAATTTCACGAAACACCTGTCGGCTCATTTATATTATGATACATACTATGGCAGGACATTTCTGAGCTTTTCTGTACAAAGTGTTACTTAATGGTTAGTCCCAGCCACCACCAGCACACGCTAGAGGATCAAATATATGTCTTAAGCCTCAGTGGTGAAAGAGCCTATATTTAACGGACATTGGTAGACATTAACCAAGAGCCTATATTCAACGGACATTGGTAGACATTAACCAAGAGCCTATATTCAACGGACATTGGTAGACATTAACCAAGAGCCTATATTCAGCGGACACTGGTTGACATTGACCAAGAGCCCATATTCCACGGCCATTGATAGACATTGACCAAGAGCCCATATTCAACGGACATTGGTAGACATTGACCAAGAATAAATATTTAACGGTCATTGGTAGACATTGACCAAGAGCATGTAGATATTCAACGCACATTGGTAGACACTGACCAAGAGCCTATATTAAGAGGACACTGGTTGACATTGACCAGGAGCCCATATTCAACGGTCATTGGTAGACACTGACCAAGAGCCTATATTAAGAGGACACTGGTTGACTTTGACCAAGAGCCCATATTCAACAGTCATTGGTAGACATTGACCAAGAGCATGTAGATATTCAACGGACATTGGTAGACATTGGTAGACACTGACCAAGAGCCTTTATTAAGAGGACACTGGTTGACATTGACACATTGACCAAGAGCCTAGACATTGACCAAGAACCTGTAGATATTCAACGGACATTGGTAGACACTGACCAAGAGCCTTTATTAAGAGGACACTGGTTGACATTGACACATTGACCAAGAGCCTAGACATTGACCAAGAGCATGTAGATATTCAACGGACATTGGTAGACATTGGTAGACACTGACCAAGAGCCTTTATTAAGAGGACACTGGTTGACATTGACACATTGACCAAGAGCCTAGACATTGACCAAGAACCTGTAGATATTCAACGGACATGGGCAGACACTGACCAAGAGCCTATATTAAGAGGACATTGGTTGACATTGACCAGGAGCCTATATTCAACGGTCATTGGTAGACACTGACCAAGAGCCTATATTAAGAGGACACTGGTTGACATTGCCCAAGAGCCCATATTTAACGGTCATTGGTAGACATTGACCAAGAGCCTATAGATATTCAACGGACATTGGTAGACACTGACCAAGAGCCTATATTAAGAGGACACTGGTTGACATTGCCCAAGAGCCCATATTCAACGGTCATTGGTAGACATTGACCAAGAGCCGATATTAAGAGGAAACTGGTTGGCATTGACAAAGAGCCTATATTCAACGGTCATTGGTAGACACTGACCAAGAACCTGTAGATATTCAACGGAATGGTTGACATTGACCAGGAGCCTATATTCAACGGAAATTGGTAGACACTGACCAAGAGCCTATATTAAGAGGACACTGGTTGACATTGACCAAGAGCCCATATTAAACGGACATTGGTAGACACTGACCAAGAGCCTGTAGATATTCAACGGACATTTGTAGACATTGACCAAGAGCCTATATGAAGAGGACACTGGTTGACATTGCCCAAGAGCCCATATTCAACGGTCATTGGTAGACATTGACCAAGAGCCTATAGATATTCAACGGACATTGGTAGACACTGACCAAGAGCCTATATTAAGAGGACACTGGTTGACATTGCCCAAGAGCCCATATTCAACGGTCATTGGTAGACATTGACCAAGAGCCCATAGATATTCAACGGACATTGGTAGACACTGACCAAGAGCCTATATTAAGAGGACACTGGTTGACATTGCCCAAGAGCCCATATTCAACGGTCATTGGTAGACATTGACCAAGAGCCTATAGATATTCAACGGACAATGGTAGACACTGACCAAGAGCCTATATTAAGAGGACACTGGTTGACATTGCCCAAGAGCCCATATTCAACGGTCATTGGTAGACATTGACCAAGAGCCTATAGATATTCAACGGACATTGGTAGACACTGACCAAGAGCCTATATTAAGAGGACACAGGTTGACATTGACCAAGAGCCTATATTCAACGGACATTGGTAGACATTGACCAAGAGCCTATAGATATTCAACGGACATTGGTAGACACTGACCAAGAGCCTATATATATTCAACGGACATTGGTAGACACTGACCAAGAGCCTATAGATATTCAACGGACATTGGTAGACACTGACCAAGAGCCTATAGATATTCAACGGACATTGGTAGACATTGACCAAGAATGTGACCGTACGTTCCGGGGCCGTGTGCCCAGAGTGCGGAATCGAGTTCCGCCCCGACCGTGTCTTCTTTACAAGCATACAGTTTTATACATAATGTTGTGGATAAAATATGCAAATAATGATATACCATTTCATTTGCATAAACATGCATTAGTTGACTTTAACTTGATTGACAGTTCTGTTCATTTAACATCTAACGAAGCAAAGACAGGACATGCATTATAGGTGGCATGTCGCTTTAGGCGTCAATTAGCAATCAATCCTGAATGTAGGACACCGTCACGAAGGACAGATCAATCTCATTAAAATCATATCTTAGTTCTCGATACCCCTAAACAAAGACCTGAGGACATCCCATTACGGGTCACGTCAGAATGACCTTTCATCTAACGAATCAGAGCGTCGCTTACCAGATCGGGAAGGTGACAGTCGGAATGTTTTCTAATCATGCAACCTCAACATTTTAACAGGGGGTATTCCAAACGACAGTTACCCTGCAGTTATAACTGATACCATAAATCTATTAGCCATTCCAGAATGTTCTTTTGTTCAGTTTTTAAATTTTGAATCGAGAATTTGTCAAAATGTTTTGAAGCATAGTCGCCATTTTGAAACTAGTGCCATAAAGCACCAGAAAGCTGCCTTTTGATTGGCTAATGTCGACTTCTTGTCAGTCATCCCTCTGGTCGGTCAACGTTCGCAAAAGGTGACCCGTCATTGGATGTCCTCAGATCTTTGTTTAGAGTAAGTAAGATCTGATTTTAATGAGATTTAGGACAGACAGGTCCACCTTTGACCCTTAACCCTACAATATTAGTTTTTTGTGCAATGTCAGTGCGCCAACTGTACAAGACAGGAATGTTTTCCTTTGATGATTTTAATGTTACCTTATATTTCTCAACATATAAACATCAAAGAAGCTGTATGACAATATCATTATATCATCTCAGTTTCCCTGAATACATCTTCATCAATGAGATATTCCCATCTCTCAAAGTCTACTTATTCCCCAGGAGCAGTACCTGTTTATCCACCAGGTGGTGCTGGAGGCGCTACACAGCGACATGACACAAATGACGCCCGCCATGTTTAACAGACGGTTCAGCACCGAGAACCTTGCTTCGGCATCAGAGGAAGCCATCTTGAAAAGAGAATGGGAGGTAAGGCATGGCCTTTGAAAAACACTGCCCTTCGCCGACATTGACAATATGTTCTACAGGGAGGGATTATGATTTACTTCTCTTCACTACAAGCCACTATCGGCACATTAACGAATTCAACATTTCGACTTCTTAGCTTCCAACAACCGTTTTCGATTAAATATTGTTTCTAACAACCCGTGAAGATCCGGGTTAGAATAGATCTTCAGCAACCCATGCCTACTGAAAATTTACTATGCTTACGTGCCTCCCTCAAGGTAAGAATTTTTTAAATCCACATCAAAAGTCTGTTAAGGGGAGGGGTGTGGGTAGAATATATTAGCAGTATTATATGGGACCCGTGAAGATCCGATTTAGAATAGGTCTTCAGCACCCCAGGCTTGTCGTAAGAGGCGACTAACGGGATCGGGTGGTCAGGCTCGCTGACTTGGTTGATGTATGCCATCGTATCCCGATTGCGTGGATCGATGCTCATGACATCAATCACTGGATTGTCTGGTTAGGACTCGATTGTTTACAGACCGCCGTCATCTAACTGGAATATTGCCGAGATCGGCGTTAAACAACAAACAAACACATAGTTTGTGACACTAGATTCATCGTGTGGCCTGCTCGCAGACCAAGGCAGTCAGTGTGTTGATTTAAATTGTTAGCCGATTTTGATGGGGTTTGTATGTCGAGAAGGTACCAGGATAATGTGAGTGAGTGAGTGAGTTGGGTTTAACGCCGCTTTTAACAGTATTCCAGCTATATCACGGCGTGTCAGCTTAATGTGGGAGGAAAGCCCGAAGTGATGCAGGTCTCAGACGTTTACCACTTCGATGAAACCCACGAGCATGGGTATGGTGCTGACAAACCTAGAAACATAATCGGGGCGAACCACCAGGATAATGAAATTTGTGGACGAATAATGATAATTTTTCGTTACGAAGAGAACTTATATACATTCTACTTCATCATGCTTATATTATTTCAGAAACTCCATGAACTGAATGAAGAATTAAGCGCCCCTGCAACCGAGGGGGCTCTTTTGTCAGAAAACACGCGGAAAAACCGAAGCCAGAACATTCTTCCAGGTACCATTTATCCTTCCATAGTATGTGTCAAACAGACATATGATGAAATATGATGAGAAATGTCTTACATAGTTCTATGTTTTACTTACGAGGGCAAACCTATCGGATTTCATAAAAATCATATGTGCCCTAGGGTCATATCACGTCACGTGTATTGTTTCCGTCATAATGACGGCATTGTTGACGTCATTCGAATCTTATTGTGACGTAAGGTCGGAGCGACGATGGGAAACGATGACATGCATCAACCCAGTCAGCGAGAATGACCCCCGACTCCCGTTAGTCGCCTCTTACGACAAGCATAGTCACATTTTACAGTAATCACAGGCTGCTGAAGATCTATTCTAACTCGGATTTTCACGTGTTGTCACAAACAATATGTTATCGAAAACAGATATTGTGAGTCGTACGCTAAATCCGTTAATGTGCCGATAGTGGCTTGTAGTGAAGGGAAGTTTGTGTAATCAGAACCATAGCTTTCATGAACTCTGAACAATTATCTCAGCTAATTGCAATTGCAGCAATTAATGTGATGTCACTTTGTGACAGCTGTCAGTGTTTCGATGAGTTCACTGTTGATAAGTACGTGTTTCAAAAAGTGTTAGTATGATAATTTCAATTTAACATACAATTTCACAATATAAGTGACAGCTACACCATACCCATCACTTCATTTCTACATTTGCAAAGATAGAATTCAAAGGGCATTGATCAATATGTATTATCTCATTCCCAAAGAACTTTCCACTACAAAGTCATGTCACCAGTACTACATCCATAAACCGCCTCCGTGGTCTAGTGGTAGAGCGTCCGCCCGGAGAGCGGAAGGTCCGGGGTTCGATCCCCGGCCGCGTCATACCAAAAGACGTTCAAAGATGGTACTTTAATTGTTGTTACCCTGTCTGGCGCTCGGCATTAAGGGGCTAAAACAAGGACTGGTCGGCTGGGAGTCAGTATACTGTGTCTGAGTGAGGTATTCATGTTAAACTGCGGCATGGTATCTCAGTGAGCTAGCACTATAAATCGGCATCAGTCCGGACTAGTACAAGCAGCCACACAAACACAAACACATACACGTACATGCACGTCGCTATATAAGTGCAATAGTCTTGGACGCGACGTTACACCCCATTTCACCTCACCTCACTACATCCATAAGAAGAATGAAAGTACTTCAGTGTGAAGACGTGGAGAAGACGTGGAGAAGCTTTTCAAGAAGAGAAAGTCACCAGATTATCGCCTAGTCTTCTATGCCACCAATCAGTAATCACAGACACAGCTCGGACAGTTGTGGCTTCAGTTCATCATTGTCCATATCAAGCCCAGACATCCCAAAAGCCTGGGCTCTGTTGGAAGACCAAATGGTGACATAAAAGCATTCTGAGGCTTAGATGACTGACAACAACACCCAGGACTGGACAATTGGGCTCAAATTTGTTCAGCAATAGAAAAAACTGTGGGCATCACGCTGGCATCAACCGAACCCCCTGCAAAGCCATGTTGGGAGACCAACAGAGGACCCGAAAGCTGGCTTAACATCTTCCAGCCTTCCACCTGAATTTCTTGAAAAGGTTCAGTCTGAAGACGTTCTTCTGGCACTTCATCAGTTACCACAACCAGCATTGGTTGTCACCAGTGAGCCACCTTCATCCACCGACGAACCATTACCTCCTGTCACCTGCCAACCATTACCAGGTCGGGATAATGTTGTTGTTCCCATTTCCCATGGTTGATAGGGGTAGAGGGGACCCAAGAATCATACTTGTAGTTATTGTAGATCGGGACGAGCATGACATGTGCAGAAGTACAGTGAAACCTGGGAATCTGAGCACAAAGTATTTGAGGAATCAGTTTGACCTCTGTCCACAGCGACTCTTGAATGACGTTAAACACAGAAAGTCCCATTACACTTCGTCAAGCTCTCAAGGCTACAGCTTCTGGCGGACAAGTGAATTCCACTGTGACTGCACCAAGAGCAAGAAACAGTGTCACCTAAACACGTGCAAGTGTTATAAAGTAAAGGAACTTTGTAATATCAGATGCAGACTCACTTGTCAAAATAGGAAATAGCCATGTTACTCTTTGGCCAGGGATGTCGGCTCCATTACTTTTAAGGAATGGAGAGTTACTCGGATATTCCCATCTCCATAGAATACACCTTCTCTCTACAGCTGCCCCGTGCAATCTACCAGGCAGGATAGTAAATTCGCTATTTACGAACCTATTGGCCTGTTACTCATTAAGTTAATAATTCACTAGACTTTCTTCTCAGTGAAGTTGTGGAGCAACACTAAGAGAGCCAATTGTATCTGTAGTACATCTCATATTATCTATATAGTAGTATTAAATGTATTCCACTTGACATGGATTTGACTTGTCAACTTAATTAAGGTGTGTAGCTTCATTGTAATACACAATTTCAATGGTGACTATACTATTTAATCTTCTGACTTCTAGTCACCCCGATATATGTCAAACTCATCTTTCTGTCAAATTATTAACAGCTTTCAAGGTCAAGGCCACTACTATGAGCACACGAAGAACTAAGGACCCCAAAAACTTTTAAATTAACGGGTGACCTCTTAGACGAGGTGTCCAGTCGTTTAGACTGATTCAGACAGTAGAATGCAAAAAGTAAATTATCAGACATAATGTATTGAACTGCCTTGTATTGCCTTAAACTTAGTATAACATATACTAAAATATAACAACATATGCTTACATTACTTCACTTATGCAGTTTTTAACGTTTTCTATAATAGACTGCATGTTAAAATCTATTTTATTAACTTGCAGTCTATTGAAGGCTTTTTTTATGATTCAATCGCTATATTTTGGATGCATTTAACATGTATTAACTGTTCAAATTATAAATGTGTAATGTGCTGATAGAAACATAGTAAAACACATGGTTTCACTACTGATAATTTTATAAAACATCAATCTGATCAGTAATATTTGTGTCATATCATATCCATGTGTTGAGGTGTTAGGTGTACAAGGGTAGCTGGTTGAGACCATCCCCGCCACTCGCGTTTTTTTATTTCGCTAAATAGAGGTGAGCTCCTGTGCCTCTGATACTCAATTTTACTCCCCATAATATTGTCTTGTTTTCAGTACCTGAGGACGGTGATTACATTATTTCATGTTGGCAAAACTACGAAATATGTTTCTGAAATTCCCCAATCTGTTACCGTTTAACTGTTCTTTCAGCTGATAAATGCCGGCCAATTCTAAGTCTGCCAGTTGCCGAAAGTAACGATTACATCAACGCAGTATTTGTCCCTGTAAGTACGATGCTATTGTTAAAGATTCAGTTGAAATCCTGGAGGGCAAAATGAATCTGTATGATTGAAGTTTGATATGATTAAGATGTCATTTTGTTACCCTACAACGTGACTTGATGTTTCCGTTCTTAAACAAGCGGGACAATGTCTCCCAATACGTCCTATACAAAAGTGTGTCTGTCTCCAAGACTTCAAACACGTCCTAAACCTTCCCAACTATATCGCAATGATCATTGCCTTCTCACTATAGCACTATACCAAAGCCTTCTTACTCTAATCCCATTCTCTGTATCACATACTTCAACGCCCCCTTACTCAAAAACGTATTTCAACGTCTCCTTACTCCAACTCTTATTTCAACGTCTCCTTAGTCCAACACTTGTTTCAGCGTCTCCTTTCTCATATTTTAACGTCTCCTCATACCAACTCGTATTTTAACGTATCCTTACTCCAATTCGTATTCCAACGTCCTCTTACTCCAACACGTATTAAACGTCTCCTTACTCCAACACGTATCAAACGTCCCCTTACTCCAACACGTATTGCAACATCTCTTTACTCCAACTCGTATTTCAACTTCTCCTTACTCCAACTCGTATTTCAAAGTCCTCTTACTCCAACAGGTATCTCAACGTCTCCTCACTCCAACACGTTTTTCAACGTCTCCTTACTCCAACTCGTATTTCAGCGTCTCCCTCCAACTCGTATTTCAACGTCCTCTTAATCCAACACGTATTACACGTCTCCTTACTCCAACTCGTATTTCAGCGTCTCCTTACTCCAACACGTATCTCAACGTCCCCTTACTCCAACACGTTTTTCAACATCTCTTTACTCCAACTCGTATTTCAACGTCCCCTTACTCCAACTCGTATTTCAACGTCTCCTTACACCAACACGTATTAAATGTCTCCTTACTCCAACTCGTATTTTAACGTCCCCCTTACTCCAACACGTATTTAAACGTCCCCTTACACCAATAATCATCTCAACGTCCCCTTATTCCAATATGTTTTTCAACGCCTCTTTACTCCAACACGTATTTCAACGTCCCCTCACTCCAACACGTATTTAAACCTCTTTTTATTCCAACACGTATTTCAACGTCTCCTTACTCCAACACGTATCTCAATGACTGTGTGTAGACGGAGACCCGTCAGAAAAGCCTCCTGGCCACACAGCTGCCTCTGCCCTGGACTGTGGTGGACTTCTGGAGGATGGTGTTGGACCACGATGTGCAGACCATCGTGTCTCTCGTCTCAGAGGAATGTTCATCTCAGGTAATTCAGTTGGAAGCCCGTGGTCGTGTCGGTGCCTGCTGACTGCTTTGGCCTTCACAACTGTGAAGCGAAAGAACATTACGTTCTCGTTTTTATTCTAATTTCTTTTTCGGGAATTCCGAAAAATGTAAATAAGATAACTTAATGAGATATTCTTGATAGTATTTAACTCCTAACTCATGCATGTTAACTCAGGTGTCCAGTTAGTAAGCACACTTCTACTCAATGTTAGTTGAGGCGGTTTTGACAGAATCGGGAGAAGAAGTGACACAGTTCAGTCGTTTTGGCAGAGACACGGGGAGGGGGTATTAATCTGTGTCTCGGTACTATCCCTTTTGGTAACATATCTACTTGTAGCCTTTCTGAACACATAGCATGACTGTTTTTGTATCCACTACCAGGTAGACGCAGCCTTATTTTGGCCTAAAACAGATGAGGTTTTGGAGTGTGGACCATTTCTTGTCACGAAGACGGATTCAAAGGACGAGGCTATAGTGTTGAAAGTCTGGTTAAAGGTACGCAATATATTTTCCTGGGCCTTATCGCTACTGTTGTAATGACGAGGTGGAACAAGACGCAGGGAAACCAATAGTACACACATATACATACAGCCACATTGACACAGCCACAGATACATTGTACATTGTAGATGTTATTCCCGGTGCCTTGGCATGGTACTCTCTTCATCTGCACTGCATGTCGAACAACCCGTTTCACAACTCAATGAAAGAATTGAACTTTATTTTCATATATGTTTTTGGTCCCCCAGAACGCTGATGAGAGCACCAAAAAGGATGTCACCTTGCTGTTTGTGACTGACTGGGCAGAGGGAGTGGACACGCCTACAAATACGTCACAGTTCCTGGGCTTCATCAACGACCTTGACGCCCGGAACACCTCCGACAACATCGCCGTCATGTGCATGTAGGTTAAGTCCGTCACCATCCATTTTATTTTTAACAATCCATCGAAAGTATTTTGAGTTAAATTTGCAAACATACTCTGCAAAAAACACACGCAATAGTAGTAAAATCGTGTTGCCGATATCCATGCAAACTTTTGTGTGGAAAAATGAGGTACTGCAGTAATTTGGTGAACGGACGGAAAAATCGAAGAAACACTACCACGTGAGAGCCTGGCGCCGAAACACACCAACATGACATGCACGTGCAACATCACTTGTTGGTCTATAAAAACGTTGGGTTTTCATTTTTTTCATGCCATCTCAATCTTTAACGTAGCACCAAGCATCGTAACAAGACGTGACGCATGGGAAAACACGTGACCTCACTACTAGAACACAGGACTGATTCAAACGGCTACGTCACTTACGTGAATGAACCACCACGGCGACCTCTACAACTACGGCGATTCCAGCCCAGGATATAAAGCCCGGACAGTGAGAAACCGTTTATGCGTCGAAGGTATTTGCCCTAGACGACCAGTTAGAGGGGCCATTTTGACGGACCTGCAGCGTCGGCGACGTCAGTGGTGTTAAGGTCACAGAGTATGGCCACAACTGCGATGGAGACAAGTTTGGTTTAGTAACGAGTCACGTTTTATGCTTCGCCGTGCGATTGGGGGACGACGTATTTACAGGCGGCACGGGGAACGTTATGCCCGAAACTGCATACAGGAAGTGGACAGATTTGGCGGTGGTAGTGTGATGATGTGGGCAGCAATCTCCTACACTGGTAGAACTGACTTCAAGGTTATTTCACGCCACAACGTTACAAGGATGATATTTTTCGGCTACACGTCCTTTCCATTATGCAAGACAACGCCTGACCTCACAGGGCAAGCCTATTTGTGGAATCACATCCTGGTCCTGCCATGACCTTCAAGGTCTCAAGATTTAAACTCAATTGAACATTTATGGGTGCACAGGTTCAACGACACCGAGCACGTCAGCAACAACCACAGAACCCCGACAGTTGGCACAAGCACTGCAGAGTGTGTGAACATTCCCCAGGCCACAGTTCGGGATTTGATTGCTTCCATGGGACGACGATGCCACTCACTTTTGGACTCTAATGGTTGCCCTACAAGATATTGAGAACAGATTACCTTCACCATGAAAATCTACTGATCAATGTGTGCCATATGGAACATGGGTCAATGAGAATGATGTGTGCAAGTATTGAACAATCGATCACAATCTGTTGATTATTTGATATATACGAAAAACATCGAAAATCACTTTTGCGTTTTAGGTTTTTTTTGCAGAGTATAATATAGTATGCCAAATGAATGTAGTTTGTTGTTAAGGCGTTGTTTGTGTGTGATGCTTCTGTAAGATTATCGGGTGTAGAAGAGAAGACAACACTGGCTATTGTTGTTGCCTCGTGTTCTAGGGATGGTGCCAGTAAGTGTGGACTGGTGTGTGCTGTGCTGAACATCATCCAACGACTGAAACAAGACCAGGAGATTGACGTGTTTCTGACAGTCAGATTGTTGCAGACAGTCAGACCCAGCTTCCTGATTTCCTATGTGAGTACATGATAATCAGAATATTGCAGACAGTCAGACCGAGCTTCCTGACTTCCTATGTACGTACGTGACAATTAGAATCTTTCAGACAGTCAGACCCAGTTTCCTGACTTCCTATGTGAATACGTGACAGTCGGATTGCTACAAACTGACAGACAGCTTCCTTACTTCCTATGTGAGTACGTGACAATCAGATTGCTGCAAACAGACAGACAGCTTCCTTACTTCCTATGTGAGTACGTGACAATCAGATTGCTGCAAACAGACAGACAGCTTCCTTACTTCCTATGTGAGTACGTGACAGTCAGATTGCTGCAAACAGACAGACAGCTTCCTTACTTCCTATGTGAGTACGTGACAGTCAGATTGCTGCAAACAGACAGACAGCTTCCTGACTTCCTATGTGAGTACGTGACAGTCAGATTGCTGCAAACGAAAGACAGCTTCCTGACTTCCTATGTGAGTACGTGACAGTCAGATTGCTGCAAACAGACAGACAGCTTCCTTACTTCCTATGTGAGTACGTGACAGTCAGATTGCTGCAAACAGACAGACAGCTTCCTTACTTTCTATGTGAGTACGTGACAGTCAGATTGCTACAAACAGACAGACAGCTTCCTTACTTCCTATATGAGTACGTGACAGTCAGATTGCTGCAAACAGACAGACAGCTTCCTGACTTCCTATGTGAGTACGTGACAGTCAGATTGCTACAAACTGACAGACAGCTTCCTTACTTCCTATGTGAGTACGTGACAATCAGATTGTTGCAAACAGACAGACAGCTTCCTTACTTCCTATTTGAGTACGTGACAGTCAGATTGCTGCAAACAGACAGACAGCTTCCTTACTTCCTATGTGAGTATGTGACAGTCAGATTGCTGCAAACAGACAGACAGCTTCCTTACTTCCTATGTGAGTACGTGACAGTCAGATTGCTGCAAACAGACAGACAGCTTCCTGACTTCCTATGTGAGTACGTGACAGTCAGATTGCTGCAAACAGACAGACAGCTTCCTTACTTCCTATGTGAGTACGTGACAATCAGATTGCTGCAAACAGACAGACAGCTTCCTTACTTCCTATGTGAGTACGTGACAGTCAGATTGCTGCAAACAGACAGACAGCTTCCTTACTTCCTATATGAGTACGTGACAGTCAGATTGCTGCAAACAGACAGACAGCTTCCTTACTTCCTATATGAGTACGTGACAGTCAGATTGCTGCAAACAGACAGACAGCTTCCTTACTTCCTATGTGAGTACGTGACAGTCAGATTGCTGCAAACAGACAGACAGCTTCCTGACTTCCTATGTGAGTACGTGACAGTCAGATTGCTGCAAACAGACAGACAGCTTCCTGACTTCCTATGTGAGTACGTGACAGTCAGATTGCTGCAAACAGACAGACAGCTTCCTTACTTCCTATGTGAGTATGTGACAATCAGATTGCTGCAAACAGACAGACAGCTTCCTTACTTCCTATGTGAGTACGTGACAGTCAGATTGCTGCAAACAGACAGACAGCTTCCTTACTTCCTATGTGAGTATGTGACAGTCAGATTGCTGCAAACAGAAGGACAGCTTCCTTACTTCCTATGTGAGTACGTGACAGTCAGATTGCTGCAAACAGACAGACAGCTTCCTGACGTCCTATGTGAGTACGTGACAGTCAGATTGCTGCAAACAGACAGACAGCTTCCTTACTTCCTATATGAGTACGTGACAGTCAGATTGCTGCAAACAGACAGACAGCTTCCTTACATCCTATGTGAGTACGTGACAGTCAGATTGCTGCAAACAGACAGACAGCTTCCTTACTTCCTATGTGAGTACGTGACAGTCAGATTGCTGCAAACAGACAGACAGCTTCCTTACTTCCCATGTGAGTACGTGACAGTCAGATTGCTGCAAACAGACAGACAGCTTCCTTACTTCCTATATGAGTACGTGACAGTCAGATTGCTGCAAACAGACAGACAGCTTCCTTACTTCCTATGTGAGTACGTGACAGTCAGATTGCTGCAAACAGACAGACAGCTTCCTTACTTCCTATGTGAGTACGTGACAGTCAGATTGCTGCAAACAGACAGACAGCTTCCTTACTTCCTATGTGAGTACGTGACAGTCAGATTGCTGCAAACAGACAGACAGCTTCCTGACTTCCTATGTGAGTACGTGACAGTCAGATTGCTGCAAACAGACAGACAGCTTCCTTACTTCCTATATGAGTACGTGACAGTCAGATTGCTGCAAACAGACAGACAGCTTCCTGACTTCCTATGTGAGTACGTGACAGTCAGATTGCTGCAAACAGACAGACAGCTTCCTTACTTCCTATGTGAGTACGTGACAGTCAGATTGCTGCAAACAGACAGACAGCTTCCTGACTTCCTATGTGAGTACGTGACAGTCAGATTGCTGCAAACAGACAGACAGCTTCCTTACTTCCTATGTGAGTATGTGACAGTCAGATTGCTGCAAACAGACAGACAGCTTCCTTACTTCCTATGTGAGTACGTGACAGTCAGATTGCTGCAAACAGACAGACAGCTTCCTTACTTCCTATGTGAGTACGTGACAGTCAGATTGCTGCAAACAGACAGACAGCTTCCTTACTTCCTATGTGAGTACGTGACAGTCAGATTGCTGCAAACAGACAGACAGCTTCCTTACTTCCTATGTGAGTACGTGACAGTCAGATTGCTGCAAACAGACAGACAGCTTCCTTACTTCCTATGTGAGTACGTGACAGTCAGATTGCTGCAAACAGACAGACAGCTTCCTTACTTCCTATGTGAGTACGTGACAGTCAGATTGCTGCAAACAGACAGACAGCTTCCTGACTTCCTATGTGAGTACGTGACAGTCAGATTGCTGCAAACAGACAGACAGCTTCCTGACTTCCTATGTGAGTACGTGACAGTCAGATTGCTGCAAACAGACAGACAGCTTCCTTACTTCCTATATGAGTACGTGACAGTCAGATTGCTGCAAACAGACAGACAGCTTCCTGACTTCCTATGTGAGTACGTGACAGTCAGATTGCTGCAAACAGACAGACAGCTTCCTGACTTCCTATGTGAGTACGTGACAGTCAGATTGCTGCAAACAGACAGACAGCTTCCTGACTTCCTATGTGAGTACGTGACAGTCAGATTGCTGCAAACAGACAGACAGCTTCCTTACTTCCTATGTGAGTACGTGACAGTCAGATTGCTGCAAACAGACAGACAGCTTCCTGACTTCCTATGTGAGTACGTGACAGTCAGATTGCTGCAAACAGACAGACAGCTTCCTTACTTCCTATGTGAGTACGTGACAGTCAGATTGCTGCAAACAGACAGACAGCTTCCTTACTTCCTATGTGAGTACGTGACAGTCAGATTGCTGCAAACAGACAGACAGCTTCCTGACTTCCTATGTGAGTACGTGACAGTCAGATTGCTGCAAACAGACAGACAGCTTCCTGACTTCCTATGTGAGTACGTGACAGTCAGATTGCTGCAAACAGACAGACAGCTTCCTTACTTCCTATATGAGTACGTGACAGTCAGATTGCTGCAAACAGACAGACAGCTTCCTGACTTCCTATGTGAGTACGTGACAGTCAGATTGCTGCAAACAGACAGACAGCTTCCTGACTTCCTATGTGAGTACGTGACAGTCAGATTGCTGCAAACAGACAGACAGCTTCCTGACTTCCTATGTGAGTACGTGACAGTCAGATTGCTGCAAACAGACAGACAGCTTCCTTACTTCCTATGTGAGTACGTGACAGTCAGATTGCTGCAAACAGACAGACAGCTTCCTGACTTCCTATGTGAGTACGTGACAGTCAGATTGCTGCAAACAGACAGACAGCTTCCTTACTTCCTATGTGAGTACGTGACAATCAGAATCTTTCAGACAGTCAGACCCAGCTTCCTGACTTCCTATGTGAGTACGTGACAGTCAGTCAGTCATGCAGGGAGAAAAATGTGTAGCTAATATAATATGTACATATCTCTACATGCAGGCACAGTACCAGTTCTGCTACAAGTTGGTAAAAGAATATCAGAAGACTTCCAACACAGTGTATGAGAACTTCCAGGGTTAGAGAGGGACACGTCAGCCTCGATTTCCTCAACGCTGGTCGAGCCACGTCAAGGAATTACCAAAAAATACATACAAATATATATTTTTTAGATGAAACATGTTTCTTGTACACATAGCATTGTCAGGGTTTGGAAGCATAAGAAATCACAAAGGTGGTTCAAAATTTTATCCAATCCGTTGTTCCATGTGTTTGATAGTTTGCTATAGTTTTACCCGTAGTCTTCATGTACTGTGTGTTTTTAATGTTACATGCTCAGGTGGTTCTACACCAACATCCGCGTAAATTATTTGCACCTCGTTCCACGATGTGCGTGCCCATTATAATTACATACAACTGCAATATGTAACGGTTTTCCCTTGCCATTCGCATGAACCTTATTGAAGCCATCTTACTGCATGGTTGCATATATATTTCTTTTGATTTATTTTTTTCTTCTCTTTTCTTATGATTATTATCATTATTATACAGATAAAAATAAATAAATGCAGCAAAGAGGGTTTGGGTGATCCTGGCACAATCAGGCTGGTTAGGCTCATCATCAGCTCAGGGCCCTTGCCCCCTCTACACGCAGCCCAGACAGCGAATGGGACTTCTCCCAGGAAGCGCTGCCTAGTCAAACTCACCGATACATTTTCGGAGAATGTGAAGACTCCCCAACACTGCAGCCTTCTGCATTACCAAATTTGTCAGACGGGTTGTATTCCTGGCAGCAATCCCGGGTACTCTCCCAATGTCAGTCAACAGATTGGGAGGTACCAAACCTAAGGCACCGAGAACAATGGAGAGTCTGACAACTTGGCACTTGGGATGCAAGCGTGACATTTCGAAACGGGGGTTCGCATGTTTTACTGAATCTTGTCAATCACATAAAGGACAGAAAGTTCAATGATATAAATGATTTCATTGGATTTATCAAAAAGCACAAAATCAGGTTTGTTGGCCTGGATAGCTCTCATGGGCCTATTCCAAAGAATTTTGTATATATCATTTTCCATGACGCCCTCCACATATTCTGGTCCCTACCTCTGTGTCAAAACATGTTTCACAAGAGAATCATCAAACAAATAAATGTGTTCAAAAGTGCACAATACAGTCCTATCATGAAGAGCCTCCACGTTAATCAAATCACGCCCTCCTATTATAATTGGTAATCGGTTGCGGGAAGAACGAGGGTTGTGGGATCTATAGTCTGGCATGATTCTTCGAGTAAGAGTGTCAATACCCTGATTTTTTTGTACAGTATACGACTTCTAAACAGTAGTCACATGTATTGCTTAAGTATTGCTATTTTTTTACATTTTCTGATTCGCCATTGTCATCGTTGTTTCGTGTATGTTTCGAAAAGTAGTTACTGAATAACTACTCTCCGAATTCACTTACTAACATATCTGGTACAGTAAAGTACGTTTATAACGAACACGCTTATAACGAACTGACGGATATAACGAACTGATTTTATTGTCCCGACTATTTGCTATAGTTATGCTGTATATATGCTTATAACGATCTACGGTTATAACAAACTGAAGGTAGTGGTCACTTCGAGTTCGTTATAACCGTAGTTTACTGTATTTGTGTTTTATTGACGATTATCATGAAGCCTACACTTGTTTTCTGTTTTAGAACATTAGAAGAACCGCACGCTGAAGTACTTTTTAACGCCTAGAACCGAACGCTGTCGTATTTTTTAACGCCATCGTGTTTCGCGTATGCCGGAAATGAAACTATACAAACATCCCTGAATTCCTTATGCATTTTTCTCATAACAGTCTATGTCAAAATAGAAGTAGTCAAACAAAAAGCGAAATATATTAAGTTGAAAACGAACAAGTGTGCTCTGAAAACCATACTCGTTTGAAGACGTAAACACAGCAAAATGAGTATTATTTTCTACAATATTGCGAGACACTTGCGCCTATCCGTTGCATGCATTACCTGAAATTATTGATAGGACGTACGAGGATATTATACCTGCATAGAATATTTGGTAAATTCAACAGAAATGGTTTATGGTTTCGTCCAACAAAACGCCATGACCGGCACAAAACCACACACAACGACCCATTCTCTAGGTTACTATGGAAAACGTTCTTACAATACCCAATGCGCAAAATATAATCTTGGACAATAGTTAGTAAACCAGCCTTATAGTTGAAAATAATATAACATCATGATAATTCTATATTCTACTTCCCCGTATAATTGCAAAGCTAAAATTAGATACAATGCCGGAAAAGCGCAATTCTCGCGCACCACTTCATAATCTGTCTGCACCAAAAGGAACCCGCATCCAGGGGATTATATAAATGCAAAATGATTCCAGTATTGATATATATTTGATATTAGTTCTGCTTCTTCTTAACGCAAATAAAAAGTGCCTCAAATGTTAAATTGTTTGTTCTACAAATGAAATTATCACATTTAAATAAGTGTATCTTCTGTGCCCTTGACAAAATTTGGACATACCGTATTCGACGTAATAAGCGCCCAGGCTGTCTCAAAATTAGAAATAGGGGGCTCTTATTCAAATATTATTTTTAGTTGAAAGATAAATTTCGTGGTTTATGCTGACAGCCTGAAATGTTTATGTGCGGCAGATATATTTTTTCCAGAATTTAATTGCCCATAATTAATGGTGCATATAACACAGGAGTGCGTATTATACGCGAATGAATACGTCTTGTTTACATTGATCAATCGGAAGGTGTGCTAATTGGGATTGTTCACGTGCCAATATATTAGCAAATATCGCCGTGGGCGCTTAATAGAGCGGGGCGCTTATTACGTCGAATACGGTAATAATAATGTGCACTTATAATGTAGCAGTTCATGCTCAAAGCGCTACATTATACCCCGGTCAGTGCAGCAGTGAGCAATTTTCATTCTCAGCTTCCTTGGGAGTATACAACCCAAAGCTGCATATAAGACGCTAGAAGGTTACCATCTCATCCTACCGGGTACCCACTCACTGCTGGGTGAACAACACATGTGGTACACGTGCTTCAGTGTGGGGCAGGCCCGAAGCCCTAGAAACTCTCAGGAGTCAAGCTGCTTAACGTGGTCACCCACCCAACTACTCTCCGAGACCGACGTTGCTTAACTTCACCTGATTTGTGACCTGTGCGCTGTGCAGAGGACCACGTGCCACCACGACATGATATTTAGTGGGTTGTTTTATTTAAGTCAAATAGTGAGTGAGTGAGTGAGTGAGTGAGTGAGTATGGTTTTCGGCCGCTTTTAGCAATATTCCAGCAATTTCACGACAGGGGACATCAGAAATGGGCTTCACACATTGTACCCATGTCGGGAATCGAACCCGGGTCTTCGGCGTGGCGATCGAACGCTTTAACCACTAGGCTACCCGACCGCCCCTTTATGTCAAATAGGACGGTAGAGCGTTATTAAATATGATTATTGCGGGTTAAATACCGATCATGTTCCCAATTTGTTTAATACATATTTGTTTGTTTGTTGTGTAACGCCAGAGCTATATGACGGCGGTCTGTAAATAATCGAGTCTGGACCAGACAATCCAGTGATTGATATCATGATTATCGATCCAGGCAGTTAGGATACGATGACATGCATCATCCAAGCGAGCATGACCATCCCAACCCGTTAGTCGCCTCCTACGAAAAGCATAGTTGCCTCCTACGACAAGCATGGGTTACTGAAGACCTATTCTACCCCGGATCTTCACGGGTCTGTTTTATAAACGTTATCATTTATGTGCTAACGATGTATCTTCACTGAGCGTTCGTCGTCATGAAAGCAGCCCGGATTAACGTACCGGACGTTAAAATCGTCGCCAAAAACATCAGATAATGTTCCTATATCGAACACATGTACAGTTCTAATATACAGTTCGATGTATTCATACGCAACGGGGGCGGTCGGGTAGCTTGGAGGTTAAAGAGTTTGCTCGTCACGCCAAAGGTGAGGTGAGGTGAGGTGAAATTGGGTTTAACGTCGCGTCCAAGATTATTGCACTTATATAGCGACGTGCATGCACGTGTATGTGTGTGTGTGGCTGCTTGTACTAGTCCGGACTGATGCCGATTTATAGTGCTAGCTCACTGAGATACCATGCCGCAGTTTAACATGAATACCCCACTCAGACACAGTATACTGACTCCGAGCCGACCAGTCCTTGTTTTAGCCCCTTAATGCCGAGCGCCAGACAGGGTAACAACAAGTACAATCTTTTAACGTCTTTTTGTATGACGCGGCCCGGGATCGAACCCTGGACCTTCCGCTCTCCGGGCGGACGCTCTACCACAAGACCACGGAGGCGGTCCGTCACGCCAAAGACCCTGGTTCGATTCCCGACATGGTTACGTCGTGTGAAGCCCATTTCTGGTGTCCCCCGCCGTGATATTGCTGGAATATTGCTAAAAGCAGCGTAAAACCATACTCACTCACTCACTCATACGCACGGTTTTAGTGTGAAATGGTTTGTTAATTAAGAAGTATCAAATGAAATTTGATACCTTATTTTAATTCTGTTTTGACCATTCAGGATTAAGGATTCTTCAGTGTGATGGTAGAATTCATCTTTACCGCCATCAGACAACTCGAAGTGAGAACAGGGTCAAGTTTGACCTGACGGGCAAACGACCAAGCATCCCAACATCCTGACGTCTTGGTATCCGTAACGGCTGGCCCGCCGACTCTTAACGATTGTTACCGACGGACGCCTGGTGATGCTGGTCGTATACGTTTATGAGTACCAGTTTGGTGAGTGAGTGAGTGAGTGAGTGAGTTATGGATTTACGCGGCTTTTAGCAATATTCTCTTGCAATATCTCGGCACAAGACACCAGAAATGGGCCTCACACAATATAACCATTTGATGAATCACGAATTGTTCTCTTACATATGTCAATGTAGTCTCAGGAAGACGTAATTTAAGTTATAACGTTGCTAAATTATGATGTCACTATTGACATCATAATGTAAATGTATATATGCTGTTTCAAAGAAGTCATTGAAGAAGAAAATGAAATTATTTCTGTTTTCCATTGCATATATTAATCTAATTAAAACGAGAGAGAGACAATATATACATATTAAACACACACACTGCTGCCTTCACAATGTACATTGAATATTTGATTAAAATGCTGGACACACGTGAATCCATTAAAATGCAGATTAAGTGAAAATGGTTGCAATTGCCTTGCTAACACAAAAACATTCAACAATATGGCATTCATTTACCTGAACATACCAGCAATGTTTTCATTAAAGTGTTTCTTAATTTCTTTGTAAAACGGATTCAGTGATTCATCCACCAAAGACTTCACATCTCATCACACAATGTGCCGATTTTATACCTGTCGAATCTGTTAAAAAAATATAAAAAATATTATTATCTTTTTCATTTTTCTTACATGATTCAGTTTAATTTTCATTCCAACTGACAACACTTTTCAGGGATTAAAAAAAACACATATTATTTCGACCTCGGGCCCTTTTGTTTCGGAACACAAATCCGTTAACCAAGTAATTAAAACATAAGACCCAACACACAGACATTCAGAATGGGCAAAGGATGGCACTGACATATACAATCAGATCTCTTTTGAAAACGTCTATGAACAGAACGCACGACATTTTCTATTTTGTTCGACAACATATTGTTCTAAACGCGCGGCTTATTTAAGACAACGAAATCTAGGAAGGCATTGCTAGTTATGGATGCAATGAGTATTTGAGTTATGAATGCAATTGTTCTGTATCAGTACTCCACACACGTCATGAAAAGGTTAAAGTTATTTAGCACTATGGCGCCTCGTCCTCTTGGACTGTGAGCGTCCACTGTGATGGAGAAGATGATGGTTCCAAAGTCGCCCGATGATTGTTCAAGTATCAATATCAAAATAAAATGGCAACTGAAAAGAATTCAAGATATTCTCAGTCTATTTAGCTGCCTTCTTCCCTTTGCCTCTTGCTTTTTTAGTGGGTGTTTTTGTCTTCTTGGTTGGTTTGGATTTTTTAGCGGGTGTTTTTGTCTTTTTAGTTGGTTTGGCCTTTTTAGCTGCCGCTTTAGTGGTTTTGGTTTTGGTCTTTGATTTCTTTACAGCAGCTGCTTTTGTCTCTTTCGATGCGCGTTTACCCTTAGAGGGGACAGCTTTCTTGGGTGTCGTCTTCTTGGGAGTGTTCCGAATCTTTTGGACACCGCTGATGAGAAAATTACTTCTTTCAATTGTTCTGAAGTTTTCAGCTGCTTTCGTGGGCTTGTTCCACGCATAGTCAAATATTGCGTTGATGCGATTGACTGTTTCAAGGAAGAAGACGTTATCGGGCGGGTACACAGCCCTCCTGACATAGATCTGTGCTCCCCGTGCGACATTGCTGCTCACCGCGTCGAATGCGCTTTTTTTCCTCAACAGGAATGAATCCCATACCTGTTTGTTTTTGAAACCCTTTGTAAATTTAAACAGCGTCGTGTAGATGCGCTTACGGTGGATCGGAGGTCGTACGCCGAGTTCGTAGATAGCCTGGACGTCGTGCTTACGCTGGAACAGGTCTGACCTCACGTATCCGTTAGCTCCTCTGAATACCCGTCTGTTGTCGCGGACGGACTCTGGAAGGGGATAATGGGGCTTGTGTTTGAGTGGGTAGATGGCGCGTTTCCAATCCGTCCAGCCCATGTTCATCACTAGATCATCTTTGTCGTCGTTGTCGTTGAAGCGACGGATGAATTTCTCATCATCTACAGTTTCACGCAGGAACTTCTGAAATATAATATTAAAGTTGAATTAGATATCACTCAATCACTCAGTCTGATTCTTTGGGAAGGCTGTGCTTGCGCTACAATGACAGTGTACCCAACCTACCAAAGGAACCAAGATGTCAATCACTTTAAGGGGGTACCGCCATGCTGGGTTTGAACTCCTGTGGCGATTCAGGGTCAGATCCCCATGTATCCTATGAATGTCAAGAGCTGCCTAAAAGAAGAGTAACCCCGTGGTCAGTCAGTTACTTTGCTGTTTGCTTTGGAACGTCGGTTGTTCGATCACCCGCCGCGTCGTACAAGCACACACACACACACACGCACGCACGCACACCGGCATTAAACAACATGCACTCACGTACTTCTGACTTCTGAAACAATATGTTTGGTCTTCATACCTCAGATTTCTTTGCCTTTGCCTTCGTCTTGGGCTTTTTCGTTTTCTTTGCTCCTCCCTTTTTCTTTTCCGTTTTTGCTTTAGGTTTGGTTTTCCCAGCGCCCTTGACCTTCTTGGCCGCGCCTTTAGCCTTCACCATCGCTTTTAGTTTCTTCAGGGCTGTGACCTTCGAGCTGCCTGTTTTGGCCCCAAGCAAGGTCTCTGTGGGGATTTTCATTAAGGACGGGGATAATGTCAGCGAAGGAGGATCAGATTCATCTCTCAGCGTCCCGAACAATCCCTCCAGATCCTTATTGATGGCCCCTCCCCCGTGGCGTCCCCGGACTTCATCCTCGTATGCCTGTAACACACAACAAGGAACTCTCTATGTCTAGGTGTCACGTTACACTGATCTATACTGCAGCATCACATACAGCCACCCACCCTCACATATCCACATCACAGCTAACCACCCTTACATACCTACATCACAGCTGTACATCCCTTACATACCCACATCACAGCTAACCACCCTCACATACCCACATCATAGCTGACCAGCTCTTACATACCCACATCACAGCTGACAGCTCTTACATACCCACATCACAGCTCCCCACCCTTACATACCCACATCACAGCTAACCACCCTTACATGCCCACATCACAGCTAACCACCCTTACATACCCACATCACAGCTCCCCACCCTTATATACCCACATCACAGCTAACCACCCTTACATACCCACATCACAGCTCACCACCCTTACATACCCGCATCACAGTTAACCCACCCTTACATACCCACTTCACAGCTAACCACCCTTACATACCCACATCACAGCTAACCACCCTTACATGCCCACATCACAGCTAACCAACCTTACATACCCACATCACAGCTAACCATCCTTACATACCCACATCACAGCTAACCATCCTTACATGCCCACATCACAGCTTACAACCCTTACATACCCACATCACAGTTAACCACCCCTAAAATACCCACATCACAGCTCACCACCCTTACATACCCACATCACAGCTCACCACCCTTACATACCCACATCACAGCTCACCACCCTTACATACCCACATCACAGCTCACCACCCTTACATACCCACATCACAGCTCACCACCCTTACATACCCACATCACAGTTAACCACCCCTAAAATACCCACATCACAGCTCACCACCCTTACATACCCACATCACAGCTCACCACCCTTACATACCCACATCACAGCTCACCACCCTTACATACCCACATCACAGCTCACCACCCTTACATACCCACATCACAGCTCACCACCCTTACATACCCACATCACAGCTAACCATCCTTACATGCCCACATCACAGCTAACAACCCTTACATACCCACATCACAGCTCACCACCCTTACATACCCACATCACAGTTAACCCACCCTTACATGCCCACATCACAGCTAACAACCCTTACATACCCACATCACAGTTAACCACCCCTAAAATACCCACATCACAGCTCACCACCCTTACATACCCACATCACAGCTCACCACCCTTACATACCCACATCACAGCTAACCACCCTTACATACCCACATCACAGCTAACCACCCTTACATACCCACATCACAGCTCACCACCCTTACATACCCACATCACAGCTCACCACCCTCACATACCCACATCACAGCTAACCACCCTTACATACCCACATCACAGTTAACCATCCTTACATACCCACATCACAGCTAACCACCCTTACATACCCACATCACAGCTAACCACCCTTACATACCCACATCACAGCTCACCACCCTCACATACCCACATCACAGTTAACCCACCCTTATAAAACCATATCACCATATCTAACCACCCTTGCATACACAGATCACCTGTGTAGCTGGAATAACGTGATGCGAAGTATCAATTCACTCACCCCGAGGAGGTCCGCTCCCCTCTCCCTGTAGCAGATAGCCATGATCATGTCGAAGATGTTAGAGAACTGATCCAGTAGCAAGTGGCGACCCAGAGTGATGCGGGCCATTTGTCCCCAAAATTCGTCTGCATCCGTGATTCCCCCAGTCTGCACGCCATAGATGCGGACTCCCTGCACGAGGGAACGTGATAATTTGTTAACCAACTGGTTTGTCCTGAATTAATGTATAATATGCAATAGGAAATTTAGAATATGGGTTACATTTCTTACCCAAAAGCACAAGTAACGAACTTCAAATTTAATAGGGAACACGATAACAGTTAGTATTCCCTTCATTGTGTGCGTGACGTGTATATCCCACATACCATATCTCTCAGAGCCCTGCACTCTGTCTTCCAGTCAATGTTCTCCTCATTCTGAGGATCATCCGCCTCGTGGGGGGTGGCGTCCCCGATCATCACCAGGGAACGCTGACTCCCTGGAGTCCAGGACAGAACGCTCTGACAGCGCCTCAACACCACTTCGTAGGCCTCGGGGAAGTCACCACCTCCGGTAGGCTTCACGTCTCTTATGAACTTGCAGATCTCGGGGGTGGAAGCGCCGAAGTCGATCCACTGAACAACGTAGTTGCTTGCGTCGCAGTAGTCGCCATGGGCGAAGATGGCGATACGAATGCCAGGGATATCTGCTTGGAGACGCTGAACCATGTCCTGGATTTGGCTTCGAACCTGCTCCAGACATCTGACAAAACACAACACCGTTTCAGCAAAGTCATTTGTACTATTTATGATAAAATGATAGAAGCAGGTCTGTGTCCGGTGAAGCCATTTTTCAGCTATACTTTTAATAAATACAATCCGTTGATTAGGGACAGATTATATCTGAAAATACATACACGTGTGTCTAGATAATCACTGGGCAGGTTATTCTTCAGGCACGCGTCAAACAGGATTATATTTAGGCAGTTCATAGATGGGATTATCTTTTTGGTAAAAGATCTTACGCCCAACAGAAGGAAAGTACATGGGAGGCCAGCTCTCACCTCATCATGGAGCCTGTCGTGTCAAATGAGAAGACGATCTCCATGAGTCCCCCAGGTGGAAGGGGGATGTCCACTACGACTGCACCGTCACCATCCTCGTCATCATCAGCAGCTGCAGCTGCAGCTTCTTCAGCGGCGGCACTGATGAGGCTGGCAGACTTCTCCTTCGTCAGCGATGGTTTGGACAGAGACTTACTGAGACTGAGAACCTTCTCCAAAGCGACTCCAGTCTCGGACCCCGCTTTCGACGACTTGGACTTGGACGACGACTTGCTGAGAGATGGGACGTCTCCCCCGCCGATGACGATGCTGCCTCCTCTGCTGATGCTCTTACAGATGAGGGGCGTCTTGGTACTGGTGGATGTCTTGGACAATTCCTTGCTTATTGCAGCAGGTGCTTCAGAGAAACTGGTGGTGCGACCGACAGTTGACCCTGAAGCAAGCCGGGTCAAGGTCGTAACTCTATCGTCACCTTCAACGATGGAGGCGGTTTTAGGCAGTGAAGGGGCAGTAACGACCTCGCCTACAACAACAGACCCTTTCTTTGACAAACTCTTCTTGCCAGAGAGAGGTGAAGCCGACTCGGGTTCTTTATCTTCGAGGGTAAGGGTGGGGGCCCTTCTCAATCCCGGGGGAGGGGACGCGTCTCCTGATCCTCCGGGGCTGGCGCTTTCTTTCGTCGTTTTTCTTTTAAGACTTGGCCATTTTGGTAGAGGCAGCGGTGGTCGGATGGTGGATTTCTCCCTGACAGGTTTCACTGTGGTGGACGTTCGCTGTTTGGTCAGTTTACTGACCGGTTCATAAGGCGAAGCCCGTGATGCCTTACGTTTAATCCCCGGCATGATGCTAGGTTACCTACAACACAGAGAGGCGGAATTACCTGATGCAGACTAACGAGTGTATTAAAATAACAAAAACCACGTTATTTTCTAGACCGTCCACGAAATCCCACCAAGATATCAATAATTCTTCACACAACTTATTGTTTACTCTAGATAATATATATGGCTTATTCTTCCGGCTATTGATATCGTACACAATTTAACCGTTTGTTAAAAGGGTATTTAAAAAGAATATAAAACTCCATTTAGAATGAGTTGTAAAGGCTAGTCTTATCGTCGAATTCTTTTGAAATTGTATGACTTCTCTTATTTTGGGGCATTTAATCCCACCATCTAAAGTATCACATACTATTTGTGATCTTTTCATTTTGTCCGGTTTATTTCACCACAAGAATTTGAAACATTTTGGTTGAAATTTATCAACTATTATTTGGGGTGGAATTGGAGTAGATGAGAATAGATTATTTAGTTTGGGTAAATAGGGTAAGAATAGAGTTCCGACAAAAATTGTTTGGTGTCTTATTGACAACATTATCTTCCCGAGGCAAGAGAGTTAACTGACTTTAAAAGTCCAGTTTCCACCCTTGCCGAACTGGGCTGGAATTATTGGGCTCGATCGTAGCGCCACCAGTGGTTATTACGAGTTATGTCCCTTCTCAGCCTCTCCTATAGACCAATCAGATTCCACCACTTGCGTCTGTTTCAAACAGAACGGTGGCGCCCAGTCAAGACGATCTGATCGTTCATCCAGATCCATGTTGTGATAAAACGGGTCTTACATCGCGAAGTCCATCAAATCACGCGGGCACCTTTATTAAAAACATGAAAAGGTTTGGAAAATATCTGTTGACAACGAGTTGGCGGTGCACGTGCTTTGCAAAAACTGCAATCGACCGAAATCTGCGCGACATTTTACGAACCGGATTTCGATTTCGTTGCGCGATTTTGATTGGACAATGCAAAGACTCGTTAGTCCAGTCAAAATGTAACTCCATAATCCCAGCCTAGTTCGGCAAGGGTGGAAACTGGACTTTTATAGTCAGTTAACTCTCTTGCCTCGGGAAGATGTGACAACATTGACATCAGGGTCTCACATTGCTTGAATCTGTTTTCGTAGTTAATATCCACCATATCATCCATATCAAGACAGACTTATGTGCCCAATAATTCAAAAGCTTCCTCTATCCAGCCTAATTTCCATTTCGAGCGGAGTTTCATTTTTTTTATCTTTTCTTTGACCCAATCCATGTTAACTTTGTCTTATCTATGTTTACTTTTAAACCTGAAAAGCACGCGAAGAATGTACATACAGAACACCGTACAGGCGTTGTTCAGAACCATCAAGTGAGCAGGATGTGTCGTCTGCATATTGTGCTAGGAGATGTTCAATGTCACCAGTTCTTATTCCCTTTATATGCTGGTTATTTCCTATAAGTATTGCTAGTATTCCTACACAAAGGATGAATATATAGGGTGATAAGGGATCTCCTTGGCAGCATCCTTCTTGATATGTCAAAGAATGAGAAACCAAAACCATTGTCAAGAACTCCTGATTGTATTCCATTGTAGAAAGTACGTATCCGTTGTTTAACTCTCCAGGAACTCGGTATTTCTTTTATGAAAATCCAATCGACAGTATCGATTGCTTTTTTCAAAATCGATATTTTCATATACATTGTATTTCTAAAACAAACTTGGCTTTCAAGATAAATACTATAATGCACAGATGCCAAGATATGATATGTTATGTCGGACTGTTCACTCAAAGACAATTCTTAGTTCTGTCAAAGTAACGAAATAAGTAAAACCAACCATGTCCTCACAATAGAACAATGATTATTTCGGGAAGCAAAGCATGAATGGCTGCTGTATGCATGACATGTATGCTGCTATTTGAATTACAATATCAAAAACCGCCTCCGTGGTCTAGTGGTAGAGCGTCCGCCCGGAGAGCGGAAGGTCCAGGGTTCAATCCCTGGCCGCGTCATACCAAAAGACGTTAAAAGATGGTACTTGTTGTTACCCTGTCTGGCGCTCGACATTAAGGGGTTAAAACAAGGACTGGTCGGCTCGGAGTCAGTATACTGTGTCTGAGTGGGGTATTCATGTTAAACTGCGGCATGGTATCTCAGTGGGCTAGCACTATAAATCGGCATCAGTCCGGACTAGTTCAAGCAGCCACACAAACACACACACGTACACGCAGGTCGCTATATAAGTGCAATAATCTTGGACGCGACGTTAAACCCTATTTCACCTCACCTCACCTCACCTCACCTCACAATATCAAAAATAGGCGGCCTGGACGCCTTAGGTGCCGCAATTGGCTGTGCAGAGTTGCGTCCCTTGTGCTTTCCTAGATTTGTCAGCACCATACCCGTGTTCCTTTCTTACATTCATGTGTTAAACGTCTACATTTTCACCAAGCATCACTTCGGTATCACTCATATTAAACTGACACGATGTGATATAACTGAAATACTGTTCAAAGCGGCGTTATTCCCAATTCACTTACCCACTGTTTGGACTCGAGTGTAATGTTTCTCGTAATGCATGACCGAACCTGCTTAGGTCCCTTTGATCGTCTAGTTTGTAACTACTTGAAACCGGTTCGTCTACTGAGTATGTGCTCGTATATAAATAGGTCGTCATTTGCCTCCTAACGATCACGCAACCGAGACAAACCGATGTCCTGCTTTGGGACCGCCTATTTGGTATTCAGGGGTGGTGGGTGGCGTAGTTGTTTCTACACTGGGTGTCTTTAAAAACAATATGTTGAGGGTACAAAACAAAGTGCGTCCTTTCAGTGATAACAAAAATAGTTTGTCTTGTATTACTGCCCGAGAGAACAGTGTGTGTGTGTGTGTGTGTGTGTGTGTGTGTGTGTGTGTGAGAGAGAGAGAGAGAGAGGGGGGGGGGGGGGGGGGGGGAGGGGGGGGAGACTGCCTAAACAACGGCCATCCGTCATGCCCGAGAAGTTCTCACCCTGGATACACACAGTGCTAGATATTGTGTGTGTGTGTGTGTGTGTGTGTGTGTGTGTGTGTGTGTGTGTGTGTGTGTGTGTGTGTGTGTGTGTGTGTGTGTCTGTGTGTGTGTGCGTCTGTGTGTGTGTGCGTCTGTGTGTGTGGCTAACATTCCAGACTCGCTACTGCATGTTCGTCATGTTCCGCTACGCCTTCCATCCTCTATCTGCGGATTAATATAAATCACCATATTCGTCGGATTATATGCAAAGTAGCTAAGACAGATTGTGTATTTCATAGGAAGTCACCGCTAATCCAACTGATCACATTTTTAATGATCAACAAAATTTCTTGGGTTTCTGGCAATGATTTATCGGTGTATTTTTCTTCGTTATAAACGTAGTTTACTGCATACCCATACCTGTACATCCCTGTTATGTCGGAATGAACAAAAACTGACAGCAAATACAAGGTGGATGTACACAGTGTTTTTGATGTGCTCTCTAACATATTGGGATTTACGACGATGTAGTGAGGTGAGGTGAGGTGAAATGGGGTTTAACGTCGCGTCCAAGATTATTGCACTTATATTGCACGTGTGTGTGTGTCTGTGTGTGTGTGTAGCTGCTTGTACTAGTCCGGACTGATGCCGATTTATAGAGCTAGCTTACTGAGATACCATGCCGCAGTTTAACATGAATACCCTACTCAGACACATGTGGTATACTGACTCCGACCCGACCAGTCCTTGTTTAAGCCCTTTAATGCCTTAATGAGCGCCAGACAGGGTAACAACAAGTACCATCTTTTAACGTCTTTCGGTATGAAGCGGCCGGGGATCGAACCCCGGACCTTCCGCTCTCCGGGCGGACGCTCTACCACTAGACCACGGAGGCGGTCCGATGAAGTGTGGGGAATGTGTAGTAGATCAATACATTACGGCCCGCATCCATCACTCCCTTCACGCCGGGATGTTCTATATGCGTGTATAGTTAGCGGACATCTCGACAAGACGCCGTCTTCGCTGCCTGGTTCCCCGCGTATGAAAGTATTAATCATTAACGAGCATATGCAGAAAAAGAAATATAATTGCCAGTGTTAATATCGAGGTGCATGTCGGAAACGCATTATCGTGAAATCGCCAACACACCCTGAACACATCAACATTTTAAAACGGAGGTCGTGTATCAGTTGGCAAGGTAACCGGCTCATTGGTATTTGAAGGTATTACATAACCCAAAACCACTGCACCCGCATGTTAAACTATACACATAAAAAAAAAATGAAAATCAAACAAACAAAAATAATATAGGTCAGGATGACATCGCTTCTGCTACGCCCTTCTATACAGAGAGGCAGTGCGTATTTATCAGTGAGCCACTGACTTACCTGTTTTAGCATACCGACTGTCAGCACATACAGCACTCACCTTGTTCTTTCCGTTAAACCTCTGCTCCCGTGTCCCGTATATGATGCACCTGTGGTTATATATACTATATATGTATTTTTCAAATTGCCAGTCAGCTTAGGTATGTCACAATAGAACACGTTCGCAAGTCTGGGCTTGATGGCATTGCTCAAAGGAGACGGTAAAGCCCCGTTATAGCGCGTGATCGCTGTCCATCGTATATAGTATCTGGTTGTTTTATCTACCGTGAGTTGGTTTTTTTGCGGTGTATGGAATTTTGATAGGAGATCTGTATGTTTTTTCATGACCGCAAATGAAATGAAGGGAGCATTAGTTGATGAATAAATTGCTTTAAAAGGAGACAATCTAGTAAATCGTCTCGAAATGTGAGCTGTTCGACCAAGGTCGTTTGTATAGCGCATGTGCAGTGCCTGTGACTGACATATTACGTCACTCTTTGAGCAGAAGATATTCTACATAATATATTATAGATGATATTATTTAAGAAATATACGACGATTTGGGATTGTTTATCGGACAGTTAAACACTGCGGGGAGAATAGACCATGACGGGCGTACGATAAACAACGACCACGAGTGTCTTATATGATTAGTGAATCTCACCCGAGTGTCTTTTAATTGATATCAAATATATCACAACACGAGTTGATAAAAGTGGGAAAACTCCGAGGCTTGTAGAGGGTTTTTTCCACTTTTATCAACGAGTGTTGATATATTTGATATAAAAAACACGAGGGTGAGATTTTATTTATCATCCATCATCATTCTTCCAACTTTTTCAGTTTGTAGAAAGTAATAAGCAGTGTCTTAAGTGTAAAAAGTACTGCTAACAGCTTCAGTAGCAGAGCCATAAGTGATGTCATTTGATTGTGACGTCATGGTAACCAATGACGTCACATTGGTCTGCAAAGCATTGTAAGGAGAACATTTAGGAGAGCTATGACGTCACACATACACACACACACACACACACACACACACACACACAAACACACACACATATATATATATATATATATATATATATATATATATATATATGATGACACGCTGAATAGAACCCGATCTCGGCAGTGTTGGACACGCCCATTTTACGAACAGGTGGGTGATGTAGGGTGAAATTGGGTCCAAGATTATTGCACTTGTATAGCGACGTGCATGTACGCGTGTGCGTGTGTGTGGCTGCTTGTACTAGTCCGGACTGATGCCGATTTATAGTGCTAGCTCACTGAGATACCATGCCGCAGTTTAACATGAATACCCTACTCAGACACAGTATACAGAACGCCAGAGCGGAAGGTCCGGGGTTCGATACCCGACCGCGTCATACCAAAAGACGTTAAAAGATGGTACTTGTTGTTACCCTGTCTGGCGCTCGGCATTAAGGGCTAAAACAAGGACTGGTCGGCTCGGAGTCAGTATACTGTGTCTGAGTAGGGTATTCATGTTAAACTGCGGCATGGTATCTCAGTGAGCTAGCACTATAAATCGGCATCAGTCCGGACTAGTACAAGCAGCCACACAAACACACACACGTACATGCACGTCGCTGTATAAGTGCAATAATCTTGGACGCGACGTTAAACCCCATTTCACCTCCCCTCATAGCAACCACACATAAAAAGGGCACACACACACACACACACACACACACACACACACACACACACTAGTGCATATAAGTGCATTATTTGGGGATATATTTTCAACAACAATAACACAGATTGTTTCGCGAATGTTATGCATTCATTATGTTTTATGTTAAAGGCAGATTGAGCCTGTTGTAGATTTCTTATTGTTCTTCTACTGCTTTTCACCAAGACGTTGTCTTTAGAATTACTCACGGCATTGTGATATATATACAAATTATCACAATGAATGCTCCCTAAAAGGTGACGTAATTGTAGGTCATCTTGACTGAAGCATTTTGATGGGTAAACTTATTATTTCAATATCTAAATAATGTCACGTACTAAAATGCCCAAATTGCAGCGTCATTTATGTACACACTGCTTCGGCAATATTCGTTTAAATCAGCTCCCATCGGAAATAGAAAACTCACGTGATTTGTCACATGACACAAAAGGCTAAAGATGGCGGCGTATGCAATGTGAGTATTTCATTAGTGACACAAAATTATCTTTAATAAACAGGAAGAGTTCATGAGATGTTGTCATTTGAACAGTCTACCGATTAACAACATCTGCGTGAACTGGAAAGTTAATTGTACATGTCTGTTTCATTAGGTGGTAATATTCACGAGCAATCTTACAAATACATCGTCATCTGGAAGTAATTGTTACAACGCCCCTTGAAGAGGAGAAAAAAATGATTTTCTTATTGAGTAAATATGTAATTTTCATTGTTAGGTATTTTTGTTTGTTTACATGTTTACTTTGAAAAGAATTTGAAAACAAATGAAACGTCAATGTTAACATACATACGTTTTCTGATGATATGTTGATAAACCAAAATATTGACATATCATCATTGATATCTTTAATGTCTTTACCTCTGTATCTTCCATTACAACAAACACATGTGTTAAAATATTTGGAGAATTAATACAGTGACATCATACTGTCAGAAATTAATTTATTTTGCTGAAATGTAGATTTCTTTATTTTTCTTTACCACTGATGGCTTTGGGCCTGTAATAATATGCTGTATGTTTGAAGTGAGTATGGGAAAATGTGGACTAGAAGATATATCCAGTACACATTAATTATCAAGCCTGATCATCATGTTAACTTTTTATCCTGAAATTGTATGTATTTTGTAAAATGTTATTTTTTTTATTTTCAGAAGAACACAGTGACATCTATGTGTTACATTTAATTGAGGAATATTGCGTGTATAGATGACGATCATGAATAGTAAGGGCTTTAATGTCCCGGGAATTCCACCCGACCTGCGGCGTGAAGAAACTGTAATGCAAATAGCAGATTCTCTGGACTATTTAGACAAAGTAGCAAATGACATCTTTAACAGGATTAACAGTCGTGTAGCAGACAACAAAGCAAGACTGCAAAAAGTGAATGACAGAGTGAACTTGGCACATGCCAGAGTAGAGAAATTGAAAGGCAGCAATAAGGCCACCAAGGTGTTTGCTTGTGCTAAGTACCCAGCTGGGGACGGGATTGAGGACTATAAATCGTTATTCAAAGACACGGCTGGTCTGAAGGAACCCAAACACAGTCACTACAGGTTACAAGCCAAACATCAAGTTGTAGATGATAGAGTTATTCGAGAGAAGCTCCTCTACTATAATGTTCACCTGGACTTAAAGCGGAAGAAGAAAATCGGGGAAGATAAGGAAGAGGGACTTGGGGGACTGCCCAAAGTCCTACCCTCCGTCAGCTCTCTGCTTCTCTTTAATACCTCAGAAAACCCGTAAGTGGGAGTGACGTTCCTGTGTTTGATTATTGATTATGCACAACTAATGTAACAATTGAACATTATTGTAGTTCAGTTGATTGAGGGAGATTTGATATCAAAGGTTAATTTTGGATGCTCAACTGTGATAAATCTATACCTTGTATGTTAATTATTAAATACAAACATATAAGTGATATGAAACAAAAAAAGATATTTTACTAAAAGCAAATAATATTTATATCCTGAAAAATTCTCAAACTATTATTTACACTTCGTCATGATATGAGCTTAGTCATAAATTACGCATGGCATGAGAAACCAAAGTAAGGCTAGTTTATGTCCATCATGGCAGGGAAATGTTTCTGACTACGGTTAACCTGTGTGGCTGCTGAAGTGTTTATGGTGTTAGAGTCTCTAGGCATAATCTTATGATAACACAAAATAGCATTTAACATGTGATAGTGATGTTGGGAGACCTCATTGCAGGCATGAAGTTTCCACGTTTCATGATGCCTGTTATTTCACTCCTAGGTACAAGAAGTATGTTATGCTAGACCCCCTAGGCGTGGTGACCAAGACGCGGGCAGCCATTGAGGAAGAGGAGGCGGGACTAGCAGATGCTCCCAGCACTATCGTACAGCGTGAGGAGCTTCAGAGACAGGCCGCAGAAAGCTTCTTCTACATCCCTGACATCGGCACTGTCCCAGAAATAGCTGTACCCGATTTCCTACCTAATCTCCTGGGTATGTTCCATTGATCATTTGATGATGATGATGATGATGATGATGATGATGTACTGTGATGAACTGCAGATGCTTGACTGGGTTTCGAGCAAATCTCACACAAATTATTTCCTGGAAATATTGGATTGCAGCTCATTAGGGGCTATCTGCCTGATTAATGAACAATTTCTTGAATTTCAAACTTCAGTTGTTAAAAAACTAATTCATTGTTTTAAAATTTGGTATGAAATTGTCAATAATCATGATTATTATAAAATATTCTTGAGGGACCCAAAACCTTTCATTTGTATTCCTTGATTAGGTATCAATAACATGGTGAGGATGAATATTACATTGTACAATTAATAAGTCTTGACAAGGTCAATATGTGACAACAAGAACTCAAGGACCCAACCCCCGAGGTGGTCTGTCCTGTCCTGGCAGGGACCCAACCCCTGAGGTGGTCTGTCCTGTACTGGCAGGGACCCAACCCCTGAGGTGGTCTGTCCTGTCCTGGCAGGGACCCAACCCCCGAGGTGGTCTGTCCTGTCCTGGCAGGGACCCAACCCCCGAGGTGGTCTGTCCTGTCCTGGCAGGGACCCAACCCCTGAGGTGGTCTGTCCTGTCCTGGCAGGGACCCTACCCCCGAGGTGGTCTGTCCTGTCCTGGCAGGGACCCAACCCCCGAGGTGGTCTGTCCTGTCCTGGCAGGGACCCAACCCCCGAGGTGGTCTGTCCTGTCCTGGCAGGGACCCAACCCCCGAGGTGGTCTGTCCTGTCCTGGCAGGGACCCAACCCCTGAGGTGGTCTGTCCTGTCCTGGCAGGGACCCTACCCCTGAGGTGGTCTGTCCTGTCCTGGCAGGGACCCAACCCCTGAGGTGGTCTGTCCTGTCCTGGCAGGGACCCAACCCCCGAGGTGGTCTGTCCTGTCCTGGCAGGGACCCAACCCCTGAGGTGGTCTGTCCTGTCCTGGCAGACCACTGAAGGGGTCGGGTCCTCCGGTCTTTGTTTTTGCATAGTGACATCATCAAGAGTAATCATTCGTTTTCTTATACCGAAATTCACTTTAAAGTTTATGAAGTCTTTAAACCACCCTCTGTTTCATGCGAACCATGAAATATCCATACCAGTTGCCATGTTCATGTTTTCTAGCAGATGAGTCAATATTCATCACATGACAAGTCAATAATGATCATTTGATGAGTCAACATTCAAGATCAAATGTCAGTCACATAATTTGGGGGTCTACATTGAAATGTATTGTTTTGTCACATGGTTCAGATGAACCAATGGAATTGCAAGATTCTTAATAGAGGTATAACAATACATTTTCATTGGTATCCTTTGCTCTCAGGTACAAGATGGTTTGAACATAGAGTGCTGTTATGGGGAATGGAATAATGAGTGTTTTATATTTCAGGTGTTGCTGATGATCTGTCATTCAGTGCAGACCAGGGTCCATCGATTGCTCCTTCTGTTCTGGCCTCCAACATTCCTGAATTGCCCTCCGTGGACCTACCTGAGGCTGTACCACCTGGGCCTGCAGCCCTTGGGGGTGATGCTCCTCCTCCACCCCCTGCACCACCAGGACCACCACCCCCAGGTCCACCTCCATCAGCACCACCACCCCCACCTCCACCACCCCCGCCTAGTGACGGTGGTGCTCCCCCTCCTCCTCCTCCTCCTCCACCTCCACCACCCCCAGCTCCTCCAAGTAATGACCTTAGCTCTGCTCCGGCCGAGATAGCAGCACCTTCTGATGGGCGAGCAAGTCTCTTGGATTCCATACGCAAGGCTGGAGGTGCAGGGAAGGCTAAACTGAAGAATGTGAAAGATAAGAAGAAAGAATCCAAGAAGAAGAAACAAGAGGAGAAGTCGACTGGCGGAGGGGGAGGGGGAGGCGGAGGCGGTGGAGACCTCATGTCAGATCTGTTTGCCAAACTGACCATGAGGCGTAAAGGCATCTCGGGGACAGTCAAGCCAGGCGCAGCTGGAGGGGGCGGAGGAGAGAAGGCAGAGTCTTCTTCTAATGGAGGAGGGGGAGGAGTGATGGACAAGATCTCCTCGATGATTCCTCCCCCACCCAAACCTGGGGATGGTGCTGCAGAAGCTGAAGACGACTGGGAGTAGAGCCATGTTTAATGTCAATCACTGGGAAGCCATACGCGATGAAATGATACAAGTACATACGTGCAAACAATGTGTATTACACAAAACTTTCTTCATTTCTTGGTTTTCTTCTTGCAATGAAGGCATAAAACTAATCATTTTATAAAACAAATAATTATTTAAAAATTTGTTTTTTAAATATGTTTCTTAAATTTCTTTACATAGTACTGTGAAACCATGTTATCGGCGTGGCACTGGTATCAGTAACATTATAAGTATTATGAATCATGCTGTGTAATATAATTTAATCTGTTATTATGTACAGATAATAATTCTTGTAAAGACACACTGAGGGTTTCACTGGTAAAGTTTATGATTTGCACTTGACGGATTAGAAAGAATCTGTATACCGTATTCGACGTAATAAGTGCCCCAGTCTTATAAGCGCCCATGGCGATATTTGCTAATATATTGCCTACTGAACAATCTCAATTAGCACCCCTTCCAATTGATCAATGTACACAACACTTATTTATTCGTGTATAATACGCACTCGTATGTTATATGCACCCTTAATTATGGGAAATTAAATTCTGGAAAAATATATCTGTCGTATATAAACATTTCAGGCTGTCAGCATAAACCACGAAATTTACGATCTTTCAAATCTGTATTTTTTCACCAAAATAATATTCTAATAAGAGTCCCCTTTTTCTAATTTTGAGAGTGCCCTGGGCGCTTATTACGTCGAATACGGTAGCTTGAATTTCTCAAATCAATAATTGTTGGACAATTGAAATACTTCCTGAAACTTCACTTCCTTTACCATGAAGATAAAGGTTGTAATTGACAGGTTAAGTTGACAGTCAAGTATTCAATAGTGATACCTGTCAGTGCAGCCCTGTATGAAATTAATATTGAGCCATGTTATTGTGGGATGACAAGATTGCTTCACCTCAGACTAATGCATATCTGTCAAAATGGCACAAATCGTTTGTCATCTGTGTAATGAATGTTCAGTGCTCAAACATTGAAACTGTTAATGTTAATTGTTACACACTGAAATTTTATCTTTTATGTCAGATTGTTATTTTGATATAGGGAAGGTAAAGAGTATCTACATATAAAGAGGACCTGTTAAGTGTGGGTTATAGTTACAGTTTGCCTTCATTACCGTACTTAACAGCTTTAAAACATTTCAGAATTGTTATGATGATCAACTTGTCTGTATTTTTCTCTGATGGAAAAATATCAAATACATTATATCTTGATGCAAAATCAGACTTCCAAGTTTTTATCCTTTAGATTTCTGTCTCTAGATTGCCCTGTACAAAGAGATGTATAGAGAATCTCAATCAAGTGTCTTTTGATGTTAAAATATATCAACACAAAGTAATAACTTAAATAAGAGTTAAAAACTCAGAGGCTTGACAAACTTTAAACTTTATCGACTGTTGATAAATTTTCATATGAAAAGATACAAGGGTGAGATTAAATTGATCGTCCCAAATCATTCTTCAAACTTTTCAAGTTTGTAAACAGTAAAAACCAGTCTCTTGAGCTTAAAAAGTACAACTAGCCAGCTTCAGTGGTAGAGAGATTAGCGAAGTCATTTGATTGTGACGTCATGGTAACCAATGACATCACAATGGCTTACTAAGCATTATGATGTGTATTCATTGCAGCAATATCTCCGAGCTGATAACATTTGATCAAACCGAGCTGATAACATTTGATCAAACCGAGCTGATAACATTTGATCAAACCGAGCTGATAACATTTGATCAAACCGAGCTGATAACATTTGATCAAACCAAGAAGTCACTCAGGTGACAATTGGCTAAAAAGAGCTTGATTTCAAATCTGTATCTATACACACTCAGAATCAGATCTTAGTGCTCGCTACTAATACACAAACTTTAGTGAGAACTAAAATCTGAATTTAATTAGATTGGTATCTATACATTAAAAATGTCGCAATTTATTAACTGCCAAAAAAAAGTCTGTTTAAGAATGGCCTGATTTCAGTACAAGTCATGGTCTTAGTTGGGAATGAGGAGATGATGATGATGATGATGATGATGATGATAGTGATAATGATATTTACTGTTATCCTGTAAGAGGCGACTAACGGGATCAGGTTGTCAGGGTCGTTGACTTGGTTCATGCATGTCATCGTATCCCAATTGCATGGATCGATGCTCATGTTGTCAATCACTGGATTGTCTGGTCCAGACTTGATTATTTACAGACCACTGTCATATAGCTGGAATATTGCTGAGTGTGGTGTTAAACAACAAACAAACAAACAAACATCAGTGATGCTGTGCTATCAATAGTATCTATGGGCATAATAGATGAAAGCATACCATGGGTCACGTACTTCATTTGTTATCCTCCTTCCACATTTAGCTGACATGCCGTGATATAACTGGAATACCATCCAAAACCAATCGTTCATTTGTTGTAAAAAATAACCTTGCAAGAGACGAGGGGATCCATTGAGAAAAAACAAATCCTTTCATATCAGACAATAATCAGAATTACCCCCCTTACTCCCTGACATGTTCTGCGTTTCCTGGGACTTGGCTTCATTGTAGGCTTAGTCACCATGTTGGTTAATGCAAGGATATCTATGTTGGTGCAAGTATTAAATTATACAACTATTAATGATTGCAATGGTTATACTTATTTTGAAAACAAAATCACCAATGGGTATTCCTAGTTAGAACAGGCAAGGGGGCAGTGGGGTAGCCTAGTGGTTAAAGTGTTTGTTCATTATTCCGAAGGCCTGGGTTCAATTCCATGGGTATAATGTGTGGAGCCCATTTATGGTGTCCATGTGATATTGCTGAAAGCAGCATAAAACCATATTCACTCACTCACTCGTAGGAGGTAGGAGGCGACAAAAAAGACCGGGTGGTCAGGCTCAGTGAGGAATATTGCTTCAAGTGAAAATCAACGAGTAGGGGTTTGAACCAGTGGACTGTACTCCCCAGCCCAACACGCACACTGTGTTATTGTGTGGTATCTGTGTTTCACGATAACTAGTAACCACTGGGTTGTTGATGTAGAAATTATTCCTTGTTCCAGTATCACCAGTGATTCTCGGCTGGGACATTAGCAAGGATCTGGTCAAAACACGCTGGTTTTGCTTGTGTGTGTCGTTTCCAGTAGTAATTGCAAATGCATGTTGTTGTTTTTAAGAAAATTGAAACAAAGTACAGTCAAGTCTCGTCAATCCGGCACTCGTTAATCCGACAATCGGCTTTATCCGACACAAATGATGGGAACCAATTTAATCAGTGCTATTTAGACCCTTTAATCCGACAGTCTTGCACTCCGACTCACCTAATTTGCAACGAATTGCTGAAATCACTCATTAATCAGTCTCATTTATCACACATTGATCAGCGTACTCCGTGGTCATCTGCCCGCGAGTACACAGACCCGTGTTTTGATGTAAGATGAATTGGCAAGTAGCTGCATATTTCACATGTTCGTATCGTTACCTATCGTGTAGTTGTCCAATTTTCGATCACGAATGTTGATAATACCTAATTTCGTGTATCCGACATACTCGTCAATCCAACATAATCATATGCAACCAACAATGTCGGATTAACGGGACTTGACTGTATTCATTATGACTGCAGTGACTGAAGAATACTGCAGGCACTTCATGACGGCACTAGCTAGCTGGTCATGTGTAAACACGCCATGCTGTTTATCATACTATATACTGCCAAGGACAATCACAAACATGGAGCCACTGGGTGTACAAGACCCTGAATGGCTTGGTACCCATTCAAATTAAGTTCTTTGAGGTCAGTCAGGGCTTGTCAAGTGTGTCAGGTGACATGCTAAGCAGCCAGTAGGTTGATGATCGGGGATACATTTGTTACATAAATGTGACCCGGTGGGAAGTTAGTACATGGAACATCTATACATTCTGTTGAATATTTGTAATTAATATTGTAGATGCAAATTATAAGACGGAATAAACTTTCTATACTGAACTACATACTTGTCCTGCTTTTTACTTCGACACTTCCATATGGTATTCTGTATGCCTGCAAGAAAAGTTTGTTTGGTTTGGTTGTTTTGTTGTTTAACGCCGAACTCTGCAGTATTCCAGTTATATGATGGCTGTCTGTAAATAATCGAGTCTGGACCAGACAATCCAGTGATTGACATCATGAGCAGCGATCCATGCAATTGAGACACGATGACATGTATGAACCAAGTCAGCGATCCTGACCACTCGATCCCGTTAGTCACCTCCCACGACAAGCATAATCGCCTTTTATCGCAAGTGGTTTGCTGTCTGGTATTGAGAAGTCCCCATACTCTTATTATTGAGAATATGGGTAACTCAATTCTTATTTACCAAAACACACTTCCTTCGTGGATACTCTCGGCGTCTTCTTGGTTAAAAACAACACATTCAAGAGTGAATATTTAATAGTTTATTCCGTCTTCATTCCATGTCCTTCTCAACATTGGTGTGCGCATTGGAAGAGGGTTTCATGACCAGACAACTATCACAAGGGACCATCAGAGGCAGACCTACTCCAGTGTCCCATCTTACGACTATGGAAGTCTGAGTAACTACAGGAGTCACGGTAGTCGTGCTACAATCACGTTGTGAAACGGACCAGAACATGCCATTTGTCACTTATAATGCTATGTTTTGTGGAGGTTGCATGAATATCTGATCTTCCTGAAGCTTCAAAATGCATCAATTCATCTATCAATTACATTCTTAACAATCAGCTATGTGAAATATCTGTCTGAAGTCACACTTATCATGCTTATAGCTGTCAAATATTCTCTAAATCGTAATTGGTTTTTTTCAAATCCAGCAAGTGCTTGTATATAGCCTTGATGTGAACTGGAAATTTAATTTTTTAAAAACTTCGATTTTAGGACTGAAGGCTATGTAGCTGTCTGAAACAAATTGTTTGGTGTTTGTTTCCTGGCAATATATCATTGATTATCATAATATGCATCACATCAGGACTTTACAGTTGTAGCCCCACTGGGGGTGCTTTATAATGGTTTGGTTGTCACCTTCAGTTCACTGATACTAGTGTACATATTCTGGACATAAATATTGCATTCAAAAATACATTCTCATCCAAATATTTTCTCCATACTTGCAAATTTACCCCAAAGACAGTTAAATGTACAATGTATTGTAAAAACTGTGTTGCTATTCCTCCAACAACAACTGATCACCTGGTCGCCAATTCTGGTACATTGCATATCCTGGAATACTGTGTATCAAGTCTGTGAGTATTAAACATTGTGAAAATCACCAATCTGTTATAAACCCGGTGATGTTTCAACTAAATGCTATTTGCTCTCCGAGACTCAAAATTATTATTATTTTTTTTTGTATTACTTAGGAAGTTAGGTCAACCTTTTTCTTTTGCGTGCTTTGCATAGCTTAGGTCACAATTATTCAGAAAAAAAATACTGAGCCATTTAAAAACTATTCATATCGATTTCAGTGAAAGCAACAGGTCTCAACCACTGCCAAGGGAAAGAACTCCTAATTTTGACGACAGTTGAACTGACTGTGTTAGAAATTGGCCCTAGTATTGTTGTCCTTGCCAAACTGCCCAATAGTTGAGATATCAACTATTAGTAGATATTTGCCCTTTATAAGGGTTTTGCTACTTGTTATCATCATAAGGACTAGTGGACTAAAACTTTTAGTTTCTACCGCCGACAGAGGTCTTAAAGTATCAGGTATCAGTTTGACAGGAATGAAAAGTTGCCTTTGTTGGGTTATCAATTTTCGATTTTTATCTAGTGACGTTTTACTCACCAAGACCTCCGACCTCAGACCTAAACATTAATGAATGCTCCAACAGCTTCAAAATATGTCCAGGGGCTTAATTGGGCCAATCCAGAAACAAACTTTCTAAAACACATAGATAGACCCTATCAAATCACTTTGAGCACACAATGTGTGTAGAGTTATGCACTATACAAGAGGACTAATATCATTATTATTTCAGTTCTCCCTTTGGTAAAACCAAAGTTTCCCTCTCGTGTGGCAGAAATCAACTTCAGCATGTATCAAAAATTCCATGGAAAGTATTAAGTAAAATCAGCCTGAATGGCAGAACCGGGTATATCTTATACATGATTCTCATTCAAATGGAAACTTCCTGTGGAAACTACACCAAGTCACTGGCACATTCCTTGTCTTGTGCAAACTACTGATCAACCAATGACTGGAGAGGGCTCTTAGACCATTAACATTATTAAATTAAATCTAAATTTCAAATGAAACACTTCACATTATTCCCATGCAGGGAATCCAACCCTGAGTATTCAGTGACAAGCAAACACTCGATCCGCTTAACTATCCCATTGTCCAAATTACAATATGTCCTGCTATTATCTCAATAATATCTTCGACATTTCATAGAATTTGATTTTCTTGAGAAAAAAGGGGGAAAAAATCATCTGAGGTAAACATGAACAGGAAACCTGACAAACAGATTGAACAAAAGATCTCCATCAACAAACTTCCCCTGGACATTCACACACTGTACAACTGCATAACTATAGAGCAATGTACATTCAAAGCACTTCCTCGGGCATAAATCTTTAACTTCCACAGCTCTTTGCAGAAACATCTTGAATTCATAGCCATGTGTCCTGTTTCATTACAAATGCCATACCGTAAACATATTCCCACCATTATCACATATGAAAAACAACAACATGTAAATACAGGCTAAAATAGTTTCTTGTCTTATTTGAATATCAGTGTGATGAGATTGTTTTTTTTCTAATGGTATGTAATCATGTCCATGAATATCTCTTAGAGTTATCTGCCCCTGTTTTGCGAGATTGAAAATGAGACTGGCAAAAGTGTTAAATATAATACAATTTCTTTCACCAGAACATCTCATATTTGTCTTTGTAAAGATATGAACTTGCAACAAAAACGACATCCTCAACTATCCAGGTTCTTTTTCTCCATCCTGTTACAATCAATACCCTGGACCCGTCACCAGCCCCATTGCTCTTGTCACTTACCTGACATAGAATTTCTCTCATGCATGAGTTTGAACTCAACAAGATGCCTCTTCTTAACGCCAGTTTTTTATAGACCTAAATTTAACATCTCTGCCTTGTCCGTGTGATGTATTTAAGTGAATCACAGCAGTGTCATAAGTGATCCAGTCTGGTTCAGTCTCAATACCATCATAGAGCTGGAACAGCACGGATTGATGCAAAAAACAAACAAGAAGAAATTTAGTGATACCTGGGATAGACAGGATCCTGAAAGAACAGTGTTATTGAATATACATGTATATTCTACCACTGTATTATTCAAACCAGCCTCATAAACGAAGGTAAGCAGCAAATCGGTCCAGGACAAATATCCTAACAGAATTGAGAAATGATACACTGAATGATGAAGGATTCAAAAACAAGCAACAAACATGCAACTTTGCAAATTCTGATTACAAATCGTAAACAGTACCACTCGTACAGAGTTCAGGTATATACAAACACCATATTGTATACAGGAAGCAGTTAATAGTCCTCATATTGGTTGGTATCTGGGCTGGAAACGCAAGATCATCATCCTCGTCATTAAATTATCACCCCTTCTCTCGAAACAATCTGTTTCCAGGAAACATCATCGACTGTCACATTTCCAAAGAGTTTCCACCGTCTCCACACCTTCAGGACCATGTCAGTAAAGGTAATACCAGTGGCAACAGTGCAGCAGTAGCTATGGCAACATCATTATCAGGAAAACATCTGAGATGACGACTTTGTTCTCTTACTCAAGTAAGCATGTATTTAATCCATTTGAAAGATTACCAATTTGACAAACTGGGAGCATTTGTTTCACTTATCATGTAAACAACGACCTAACCTGTATAACAATGTAATGGTTGTGGAGACTACGTTGGTCACTGTCCTGTGGCCTTTCGTTTTTCTGACCCATATTTTACCTAAAACACAAACTCCTGAATGAAGTTGTGTCGGATATCTTTGTTCATAAATGTCAATGTCAAGATCATTATCTGAGGAAATTCACAGTATCGTTGTGTTGTAACCTGTAACCACCTGTAACCAACTGTAACCACCTTGCAGGTGATGAATACTTCAAGTTTTGGGTCTAAGTCCATCTTTGTTGGCGATTGTGGTGACCGTGTCTTCATAACAACGGCCATGGCCACTGACAACAAGCTGCCTCCACAGTGGAGAGTTCGGACGACTCAATAATCGTCTCCCCTTGTTACGACTTCTTTACATGTGGGTCGGAGGATGATGGTGTGCTCAAATTGGGCTGTGTAGCAGCCTTTAATGTCACAGAGTGGGGGGTAGGGGTCAATTATCCCCACGTCACACAAGTTCTTCAGACCCATCAAGTACTTGGTCTGGTTGAGACGGTCCAACCAGCGCCGACAGAACGCCAGTGTTCCGAAGTTCTGGTTGATGACATTCAGCAGTTGCTTGGACTTTGTCAACCTGTGTGTCGAAAAATAAAGTAAGTGAGTGTTTGAGTGAGTGAGTGTTTGAGTGAGTGTTTGAGTGAGTGAGTGAGTGAGTGAGTGAGTGAGTGAGTGAGTGAGTGAGTGAGTGAGTTGTTTAACGACGTTCTCAGCAATATTCCAGCTACATGATGGCGGTCTGTAAATAATCAAGACTGGACCAGACAATCCAATGATTGACAACATGAGCATCAATCCACACAATTGGGATCAATGACATGCACCGATCACGTTAGTCGCCTCTTAGGACAAGCATAGTCGCCTTTTACGGTAAGCATGGGTTGCTGAAGACCTATTCTATCCCGGATCTCCATGGAGTGAGTGAGTGAGTGAGGTTAGGGAGTAAGGTGAGTGAGTGAGTGAATAAGTGAGATAAGGGAGTGAGTGAGAGTGAGTGAGTGAGTGAATAAGTGCGGTAAGGGAGTGAGTGAGTGAGTGAGGTAAGGGAGTGAGTGAGGTTAGGGAGTAAGGTGAGTGAGTGAATAAGTGAGGTCAGGGAGCGAATGAGTGCGGTGAGTGAGTGAGTGAGTGAGTGAGTGAGTGAGTGAGTGAACAAGTGATGTAAGGAAGTGAGTGGGTGAGGTTAGTGAGTGGGTGAGGTTAGTGAGTGAACAAGTGAGGTAAGGGAGTGAGTGAGTGCCTGAAAAAAGTATCCACCCCTCTGACAGGGTACGATGACATACAATATGCGAAGTGAGTGAGTGAGTGAGTGAGTTGGGTTGGGTTTAACGCCGCTTTTAACATTATTCCAGTTATATTATGGCATGTCAGCTTTATGTGGGAGGAAAGCCCGAAGTGATACAGGTCTCAGATGTTTACAACAGCGGTGAAACCCACGAGCAAGGGTATGGTGCCTACAAACCTAGAACCATAATTTGGGCGAACCAGGATTTGAACCCACAATCACAGGTTTCTGGCGTGCCCAAGGGACACAACTCTGCACAGCGAAACACCGAGCCTGAGACAACTGGGCCCCGATACGCAAAGTTACAGAGTCTGGTCAAAAGATCCCCATTTTTATCCTTCACTGCAATAACAGATACCAGTCTGACGCTGTGTTAGGGATTGTTCCTACTAGAGCCAAGTATGGCCTGCGACCTTTTGATACGATATGGACTCACGATACCACTGGTTTCACGATATGGACTCACGATACCACTGGTATCACGATATGGACTCACGATACCACTGGTATCACGATATGGTCTCACGATACCACTGGTTTCACGATATGGTCTCACGATACCCCTGGTATCACGATATGGACTCACGATACCACTGGTATCACGATATGGACTCACGATACCACTGGTTTCACGATATGGTCTCACGATACCCCTGGTATCACGATATGGACTCACGATACCCCTGGTATCACGATATGGACTCACGATACCCCTGGTTTCACGATATGGACTCACGATACCCCTGGTATCACGATATGGACTCACGATACCCCTGGTATCACGATATGGACTCACGATACCCCTGGTTTCACGATATGGACTCACGATACCCCTGGTATCACGATATGGACTCACGATACCCCTGGTATCACGATATGGACTCACGATACCCCTGGTATCACGATATGGACTCACGATACCACTGGTTTCACGATATGGACTCACGATACCACTGGTATCACGATATGGACTCACGATACCACTGGTATCACGATATGGACTCACGATACCACTGGTTTCACGATATGGACTCACGATACCACTGGTTTCACGATATGGTCTCACGATACCCCTGGTATCACGATATGGACTCACGATACCACTGGTATCACGATATGGACTCACGATACCCCTGGTATCACGATATGGACTCACGATACCCCTGGTATCACGATATGGACTCACGATACCACTGGTTTCACGATATGGACTCACGATACCACTGGTATCACGATATGGACTCACGATACCCCTGGTATCACGATATGGACTCACGATACCACTGGTTTCACGATATGGTCTCACGATACCCCTGGTATCACGATATGGACTCACGATACCACTGGTATCACGATATGGACTCACGATACCCCTGGTATCACGATATGGACTCACGATACCACTGGTTTCACGATATGGACTCACGATACCACTGGTATCACGATATGGACTCACGATACCCCTGGTTTCACGATATGGACTCACGATACCCCTGGTTTCACGATATGGACTCAACATATGTTAACAACAACAACAATGATCCCATCTATGACTTCTTAACCCTGTTTCTAACCTGAGTGGAATATGTCCAACTTCAAAGTTTTTCATGTAATGTGAAACCTCCATGTCATCATGGACCACGCCTTTTCCTGTGCTGCCAAATGTCTCGATGGCGTAGAACTCCCCCTCCTGGAAGACAATCATGTAACTCAGAGGCGAGATCAACACATTGTGCCACAGGGGACCAAACAGTTATTGATAAAACTACACAGGGCACAAAACAATTATCAACACGAAAACAGTGTTATCACTATCCCCTACCATGGAGCATTTTAAAATCTTGTATATTCATATTGTCATGAATAACATGTTAACAGTTAATGTTAACTGTACAAGAAGAGTCCTATAAAGCCTTAAGAACAGATATGTCATGAACAAATCTGATGTTACTTTTTTAACTGGGTCTTGATAAGTATCTCTTAGATAACAATCCTAACTTTCATTCTTATAACTTTAGCAGTTGCTAAGAAAACTTGTCCACATTTCATGCAGTATGCACTAAGTTGAAAAGCACAGGGAGCAAGGGCCATAACTCTGTTAAAAAGAATTTACGGCACAAATTTTCGAACTCAAGTCTTGATAAGTATCTCTTATAAAGCATGCGAACTTTCATTCATGTAACTTTAGCAGTTTCTGAGAAAAGTTGTCTCCATGTCACACAGTATGCGCTAAGTTGAAAAGCACAGGGAGCAAGGGCCATAACTCTGTATAAAAAGAATTTACGGCACAAATTTTCGAACTCAGTCGTGATAAGTATCTCTTATAAAGCATGCAAGCTTTTATTCATGTAACTTTAGCAGTTTCTGAGAAAAGTTGTCTCCATGTCACACAGTATGCGCTAAGTTGAAAAGCATTGGGAGCAAGGGCCATAACTCTGTATAAATTGAATTTACGGCACCTATTTTCGAACTCAGTCTTGATAAGTATCTCTCGTAAAGCATGCAAACTTTCATTCATGTAACTTTAGCAGTTTCTGAGAAAACTTGTCTCCATGTCACTCAGTATGCGCTAAGTTGAAAAGCATAGGGAGCAAAGGCCATCATGCAACAAAGGGTGTGGTGAGGGTACCTCCATCTTTGTGGCGTCCCCTCCCTTCACGATGGGCACCGTCTTCCCTGCATGGATCCTGTACTGGGACACTGAGTGACCGTTGAGATTCCGGATAGACTTCACTGAAACAGTCACAAATTGTCCTATTCATCAGCCATTGTGCTTCATAGTGATGGGAAACTCAGAAGGAAGCCATTCAACTGTTTACCCTATGCCCCTCTAGACTGGGGTGATGCATATGATGTCGATTACTTTCCACAACTGTGATCACAATTTTTTCTTTTTTGGTTGTTACATTAAGACTGACATACCTGGATATCTACTGACGTACCTGGATATCTTCTAGCATACCTGGATATCTACTGACGTACCTGGATATCTACTAGTACCTGGATATCTACTAGCATACCTGGATATCTACTAACGTACCTGGATATCTACTAACGTACCTGGATATCTACTAACGTACCTGGATATCTACTGACGTACCTGAATATTTACTAGCATACCTGGATATCTACTAACGTACCTGGATATCTACGAGCATACCTGGATATCTACTAGCATACCTGGATATCTACTAACATACCTGGATATCTACTAGCATACCTGGATATCTACTGACATACCTGGATATCTTCTAGCATACCTGGATATCTACTAACGTACCTGGATATCTACTAACATACCTGGATATCTACTGACGTACCTGAATATCTACTAGCGTACCTGGATATCTACTAACGTACCTGGATATCTACTAACGTACCTGGATATCTACTAGATATCTACTAACGTACCTTGATATCTACTAAAGTACCTGGATATCTACGAGCATACCTGGATATCTACTAGCATACCTGGATATCTACTAACATACCTGGATATCTACCAGCATACCTGGATATCTACTAACATACCTGGATATCTACTAACGTACCTGGATATCTACTAGCGTACCTGGATATCTACTAGCGTACCTGGATATCTACTAGCGTACCTGGATATCTACTAACCTACCTGGATCTACTTACTTACGTACCTGGGAGGCGACTAATGTGATCAGGTGGTCAGGCTCACTGACTTGGTTGATGCATGTCATCAATCCCAATTGCGTGGATCGATGCTTATGATATCAATCACTGGATTGTCTGGTCCAGACCGCCATCCTATGGCTGGAATGTTGCCGAGTGCAGCGTTAAACAACATACCCACCAAACCATCTTACGTACCTGGATATCTACTAATGTATCTGAACGGCGACCGATGTACCTGGACAGCGACAGAGGTACCAGGCCAGCAACTGACCTGTCTGGATAACAACTGAGGTACCTGATGACTGATGCACCCGCAGAGTGACTGACGAACCCAGATCTAGAGTGACATACCTAGATAACAAGCAACATACCTGGATATGTTTTGCCGTCCAGCTCCACCTCGTATGACTCCATGACTTCCTGTATTCGCTCACCAACATCACACAGACGCACATCAATGCCACATTCCTGAAAAAACAAATATTGTCATGATTGATTCAATACAAACTCTACATGAACAACTTACAGGATTTACTTCTCGCCTTCAATAGCAAGACAGCTACAACCAGCTATTCCATGCCAGTAATTTGCTTACCTCAATTCCATTTACCATTATTTCGAGTGCTCATTAGTAAATGTAACTGTTTGGACCATTATTTGTGTCTTCCATAATAATGTCTCCTAGGGTGACACCTACAATACACATCAGTGCAGAAGAAAAGAATATTTCATAGAAATGGGAGAATACACCACATTCCATCATTGCTCATAGTGAGATGTCATCAACACCATCCCTGACTCCCCCACCTCGTGACACCTCAATCCTCAGACACCCCTAACCCAACACCTTCACCCCATCCTCGGACACCTACACCCCTACCCTCACACCTTCACCCAATTCCCAGACACCCCCACCCTGAACCTTCACCCCATCCTCAGACAGCAACCCCATCCTCAGACACCACCCCTATCCTCAGACAACCACACCCCTACCCTAACACTTTTACCCAATACCCGGACACCCCCACCCTCAAACACCCCTACCCTAACACCTTCACCCAATGCCCGGACACCTCCAACCTCGGACACCCACACTCCTACCCTGACACCCACACTCCTACCCTGACACCCACACCCCTACCCTGGACACCTCCAACCTCAGACTTACACCCCTACCCTGACACCTTCACTCCATCCCTGGACACCCCCACCCTGACACCTTCCCCTGTCCCTGGATACCCCCAACATTAGACACCCCCACTCCAACCATGACATTTTCACCCTATCCCTGGACACCCACACCCTCACACTGACACCTTCACCCCATCCCCAGACACCTCCACTCTCACACTGTACAGAACTGTGCTGAACAAGAGTTAACTTCTTGAACATCTTCATCACTCACCCTAATACCCGTATTTGTTGCATCTTTCACAGCCTGAAGCAGTTTGTCGTACTTTTCATTAAACGTCAGCGTGAAAGCACAGTCCACCAGATGACCTGCATAAAAAACAATGAAAGGTTAGTTAAGAAAACTTATTTGGTGTCTTGTACATTTAAAATTTGTCATCATCTTCCCGAGGCAAGCTTGTCCACTAGCCTATATAAAAGTCTAGTTTCTACCCTTGCCACATAAAGCCCTATTTTCTTGTGCCCCTTGTAATAAAAAAGCGATATCTAATCAGATTGCTGTTCATATCTTGTATAGCTTCAGAAAGATGGCGACTACCTAGGCAACTAAGGCAACGACCTAGTCGATCAGATAACGAAAATATTCGCGATTTCTTCCCTGACACAAAAACAATCATTGGGGGGGTTTAAAAGATGAAAGAGACCTATTCGTGTCAACAAAGACAGGCAGCGGTTAATCACTTTCATACGAATATGTACCAGTCGCTGATGTTGATTTTGTGAAATGTTCTCTGATTGGACTATCGATATATGCAATAGTCCAATCATATTTAGCACAGGTAAGTGGCAAGGGTGGAGACAAGACTTTGATCTTAGGCAACTCGCCAAATCACCCCCCCGAACACACAACATGTCCGACCCATCTTTGGCAACCTGGCCAGCCACACCTCCTAATACACAACATGTCTGACCCAACCTTAACAACTCGGCCAGCCATGCCCCTTAATACACAACATGTCGGATTCATATTAGGCAACTTGACCAGCAACGCCCCCTAATACACAACATGTCTGACCCATCCTTGAAACTCGGCCAGCCATGCCCCCTAATAGACAACATGTCTGACCCATCCTTGAAACTCGGCCAGCCATGCCCCCTAATACACAACATGTCTGACCCATCCTTGAAACTCGGCCAGCCATGCCCCCTAATAAACAACATGTCCAATCCATATCAGGCAACTCGCCCAGCCACGTCCCCTAATACAGTACATGTCTGACTAATCCTTGAAACTCGGCCAGCCATGCCCCCTAATAAACAACATGCCCAACATATCAGGCAACTTGGCCAGCCATGTCCCCTTATACACAACATGTCAGACCCATCTTTGACAACTCGGCCAGCCACGTCCCCTTATACACATTATGCCCGACCCACCTTTGACAATTCAGCCGTCCATTCCCCTTGCATACAACACGTCCTTGACAGTTCAGCCAAGCCATGCTCCCAAGTGAACGTTATGTACCGTTAATGTGAGTTCCGAAGTCGATCTTGCAGACATCATCATACTGCAGGACCGTCTGGTCGCCAGCGTTGGGCGTGTAGTGGGCGGCGCAGTGGTTCAGGGAACATCCCGTGGGGAATGCCAACCCCGCCTCCAACCCATTCTCCTTGATCAGCTTCCTGGCAATACCTTCCAGGGTCTCACTGAAACAAACACAGACTCCTATCAAACTGTATGCCTAGAATGTCACACTGTATCCCCAGGCTGTGACGTCAGGTCACACTGTATCCCGAGGATGTGACGGCATGTCACACTGTATCCCGAGGATGTGACGGCATGTCACACTGTATCCCGAGGATGTGACGGCATGTCACACTGTATCCCGAGGATGTGACGCCATGTCACACTGTATCCCGAGGATGTGACGGCATGTCACACTGTATCCCAAGGATGTGACGCCATGTCACACTGTATCCCAAGGATGTGACGCCATGTCACACTGTATCCCGAGGATGTGATGCCATGTCACACTGTATCCCAAGGATGTGACGCCATGTCACACTGTATCCCGAAGATGTGACGGCATGTCACACTGTATCTTGAGGATGTGACGGCATGTCACACTGTATCCCGAGGATGTGACGGCATGTCACACTGTATCCCGAAGATGTGACGGCATGTCACACTGTATCCCGAGGATGTGACGGCATGTCACACTGTATCCTGAAGATGTGACGGCATGTCACACTGTATCCCGAGGATGTGACAGCATGTCACACTGTATCCCGAGGATGTGACGGCATGTCACACTGTATCCTGAGGATGTGACGGCATGTCACACTGTATCCCGAGGATGTGACGGCATGTCACACTGTATCCCGAGGATGTGACGGCATGTCACACTGTATCCCAAGGATGTGACGGCATGTCCTACTGTATCCCTGGGATGTGTCATTAAACAACAAACAAAATCTTCACATAACACCTAAAAAAAGATTGTCTGTGCTTGATTATTTACAGGAGTGCTGCATAAGAAACACACGTGCACACTGAACAGTTTTTGAAAAAAAGGAATTGCCAGACTGCCATCAGGACCCACAGACTTTAGAAGCTGCAGGCCCTGACTAAACTCTTTGGGGCCTCATTCAAAACAAGAGTGCTCTGAGAGCACAACATTCCAAGCATGAATTCTTTTAACGAGTCAAATGAAGCTCCTTAAAACAGAGGCAGTAACTATGTCAAAATAAGTCGAAATGATATGCGTATCATCAACACGTCAACATCTTGTGTGTAGAGTGTCAGGGATATTCTCTGGAAACTGTAGGAGTTGATTTCACAAGCTTAGTACCCTCTGTGGGACGGACGGACGGACAGACGGACGGACTGCGCCACGACATAATCCTCCTTCGGCCATTTCTGGCCCGGCAGGGGATAAAAACTGCAGCTTGTTCTGACAAATACATCAACTCGAAATCTACAGCAGGCCATAAGGACCCATACAAATTTGAAACTACGGACCCGACTTGAACACCGCACCCGATCTATTTTTTCGCCTCTTAAGACATAGGTTACAGCATAGGTTCACCTTTGTTGGGAACATATTCTAACCTTGAGTCACCACAGTGTGGTAGTAGTGGTTGGTACTTTCCCGATATCCATGCTTAAGAGTTGGGGTTGGTTTAACAACACTTTGAACAGTATTTGACCATGGCGTGTCAGCTTAATGTGTGAAGGAAGTCTGAGGCAATACAGTCCTAGATGTTTACTCCTCTGGTGAAACACCAGCACAGGACTGGTGCTGACAAACCTAGCATGATAAGCTGGGATTCATAATCATACCCACAATTATTTAACTGTCACACAAGGGATGCAGCTGTGAACAGGTGCCTTTGAAGACTGGGTCCCCCTGCCGCTAACACTGTAGAAACACTCACCAGATATCAAACATCTTCATCCCTGGTTTGATGAAGTCCCTCATGTACTGTCTGGTCTGAGAAGAAAAACATCACATATCAGCATGCTGTGTGAAACAAAGGAATCAATAGTATTGTGTGTGTTAAAATATGTGGCAAAGGCAAATGACTACAATTAAGATATTTCAGAGACACTACATGAACAGAAGGAAACAGTTGTTCTTGGTTGGGTTGGTATAGCTCGTCTAAATACACTCGATTAATATGGAAGTGCTCGCCCAAACACACCCGTTGCGCATGTTCTTTTTTTTGGTAAATCTCGTGCGTGTCATGCTGATGTGACAGACCACTACGTTGAACGGGGTAACATGTGGAAGTTGATGTTTATTCGTTGTGGGACAAAGACGTCCTTAGAGCTCAGGTCAGGAGATAGCCTTTGCTAATATTAGAATTAACTTCAATTATTCACTTTAGATGAATATATAGACACATTTGATTTTGGGGCGATTTGGTTAGTGTGGCAATGAAGGTTTGTGTTTCTGTCTTCTGTTTCTGTTTAATTAAAATGTCCGACATGATATGTTTGACTTGTTGTTTACTTAACGGGGAACAACGTGCCTCATTCCCACTACAAAATATATGAATGAACTTGAAGCTGTGATATTGAAGTTTATGTGCCTAAAAGCGGACACCCAACCCTTGGTTTGCTCTAGTACCTACAAGTTTGATATTACAAATAGTTGTCTGGTCACATTCTCATGAATGGACTTGGAAGTTTAGGTGCATAAAAGCGGACACCCAACCACTGGTTTGCTCTCGTGCAGCATGACTGACCTGTCTGTGAGCCTCAGCTGCCTGTCGCACTTCCTGGTACAGGGACGTATGTGCCTGGTCCAACGCTTTCTTCTCCTCACTGCTGAACCTATCCTTGGCTGTGCGACTGAAATACAAACAGTGAGAGTGATTGAGTAAGTTGGACATACAACATCTTTGAACAATATCTTAGCTTTAGTATTACCATGGAGCATCAGCTTGGTTGGCAAAGAGTGAACGAGTGAGAGAGGTGGTGGTGGTGGTGGTGGTGGTGGTGGTGAGTTGGGTTTAACCCTTGACTGGAACAGTATTCCAGTTATATCACTGCGTGTCAGCTTCATGTGGGATGAAAGCTGAAGGGATGCAGGTCTTGAACGTTTGCCACTTTAGTGAAACCTTGCCGAACTAGGCTAGAACTCCTGGGCTCGATCATAGTGCCACCAGTGGCTCCTACCAGTTATGTCCCTTCTAAGCCTCTCCTATGGATCACTTGCGTTTGCTTCAAACAAAATGGCCGCACCTAGTCAATACGATCTGCTTGATAATCAAGATCTGTATTGTGATAAAACGGGTCTTACATCGCAAAATACATCAAATCACTTGAGCACCTTGATTAAAAACATGAAAAGATTTTGAAAATATCTGTTGAACACGAGTTGGCGGTGCACATGCTTTGCAAATCCTGCAATCAACCGAAATCTGCACAACAGTTTACGAACCGGATTTCGATTTCATTTGGACTATGCATGGTCTCGTTAGTCCAGCCAAATTGTAACTCCATAATACCAGCCTAGTTCGGCAAGGGTGGAAACTGGACTTTTATAGTCAGTTAACTCACTTGCCTCGGGAAGATGTCTTTAGTGTGACCATGGTGTGACCAGCCACTACTTTAACCACTTGGCCATCCCACCACCCCATGAAGATGGGAGGCTCAAAAACATGACAATCACCCACATTCCTCAGATTCTCATGTTTTCCTTTATAATTTCTTCAAGCCTTCAGAAGCACAGGACTTAAATGTACATTATTTTGAAATCAGTTCAAAAGAAGCTTTAAACATGTTAAATATGTTGCATAACATTGATTCAAATTCATTTTTCCATTAACTGTAATATTGAAGCACCCAACCACCTGATCCCGTGAGTGAGTAAGTGAGTTTGGTTTAACGCCGCTTTTAACAGTATTCCAGTTATATCACGGCGTGTCAGCTTAATGTGGGAGGACGATCCCGTTTGTAAAATAGATGATTACAGACACATTCCTTCAGGAAACTTTTCAGCATTTATAACATTTGGTGTATTTGCATCTCTAGCCTCTGAAGTGTAAGAAACACTCCAATGTCCCCCACACTGACACTGACACTGAAGCACGTACTTGTCCTGAAGCACTGGGTACTCCATGATCTGTCCCTCTGGGTAGTTGTCCTCCGCAAACAGCTCACAGACAGGGATGGATGGTGGCACTGTCTGTTGTTTCGGCCCTGCATCAACACAGAAATGAGTGAGTGAATGACAGTGTAGCGGCCATAAAAGTGATGGGATTCGAAACCACGGACCTTCTGATCTCAGGTCAGACGCCTTGTCCACATGACCAAGGCGGCTAACCACGTTGGGAAGCTGACAAGGTGAGGACGTCATCTGTTGGTGCATCAGATGTGTGTCCCAGGGTAAATAACAGTGTCTTAACAAACATGAATCACCGGAGCAATTTTTACCGAGTTCGAACATAAACTTTTAAAGAGGGGACTTAAATCCTTTGTCTTTCTGCTTTGCCACCTTAACTAGGAATCCCCTAAATCTATACCGTATTCGACGTTATAAGCGCCCCGCTCTAATAAGCGCCCACTGCGATTTTTGCTAATATATTGGCTGGTGAACAATCCCAATTGGCACCCCTTCAAAGTACACAAGACTAATTTATTCGTGTATATGCACCCTTAATTACGGGGAATTAAATTCTAGAAAAATATATCTGTCGTGTATAATATGCACAGACTTTTCCTTTGTATCATTTCAGGATGTCAGTATAAAACACGAAATTTACGATCTTTCAACTCTGTTTTTTTTTCACCAAAATTATATACTAATAAGTGCCCCCTATTTCTAATTTTAAGAGCACCCTGGGCGCTTATTACGTGGAATACGGTAATTCCTAACATTAGTGTAATAACAAGGACCCTTTCATTTTCATCCTTATCTATATGTCAAAAGGACAGTTGAAATACAGTTACCATGGTTACAGACCTATACATCCTAGGTGATTTAGCCTGAACCATAGAATGAGATGTTCTATCTCCAGTGTACACTCCTACTCTAAACATCAAGTTCCAACACGTTGACCATGTAAACTCTCTGAGTACCCCTATCATACAGATTCGTATCAATAACTGACTGATTCAAAGTCTACGATCGCCATGTATTATTGTTAAGCTGAATACAATATCTGCTGACATATTTGTTAAACAATTCATTCTCCTTAACATACTTTAAACAAAAAAGTTACCCCCTGCAATCATGATAGGGTATTTCCAAATACAGAAAACAAAACAAATAATGACTATCTAAAAATGTCTCCTAATATTCATCTTCTCACCTTTCTTCTTCTTCTTTTTCTTCTTCTTCTTACCGGCGCCAGTTGCTTCACCTGCAACACAAATATTTTACAATCACAGTCTAACATTGGTACATGTTTTCCTTATACTTCACATGGACATATCGAATATGACCTCTGATAAGCCGAGGTATCAATTTTCATAGTTGGTTGGTTGGTTTGTTGTTTAACGCCGCACTCAGCAATATTCCAGCTATATGATGGCGGTCCGTAAATAATCGAGTCTGGACCAGACAATCCAGTGATTAATATCATGAGCATCGATCCACGCAATTGGGATCGATGACATGCATCAACCAAGTCAGCGAGCCTGACCACCCGATCCTGTTAGTCGCCTTTTACGACAAGCATAGTCACCTTTTACGGCAAGCATGGGTTGATGAAGGCCTATTCTACCCTGGAATCTTCACAGGTCTAATTTTCATAGATAAGTAGAGGTATTAACTTGGTCCTTGAACTTGTTGAAAACTGTATCAAAATGTAATCATCATTTATCACGTAGAAACATGATACCCCTGCATCACTTCTCAAACAAAAGACTGAAAATATTGTGAATGTTATTTATTTTGACAAATGACATAAAGACAGTTGCAGTCATTTTTTTATGTCAGCCATTTCCACCCACGATAACAGAGCCATATATAGTGTTCATACTAAAGCTTTATTCTTGTATTATTAAGTTTCATGGACCTCACACCATGAACCAACACAAAACATTGCACCAGACAGGTCCTGCTGCCACGTGCTTGGCTACAAAAAAAATTCTTCCTACATGTCCAAAGGGGCTATCTCTTCCCCAGTAATGATTCATGCCACTAAATGCAAACTGCATGATTGCAGTAACAGACTAAGAGATAATAACTATTGATGACAGGCTAAATGACTACTGCCATCTATATTGGGAAACTGGTGTATTGTCAACACAAACTGTATCAAATATGCAAATACTTAGATTACTTGCAGCAGGTGAATACACAGGTTGCAAGTGCATTTTCAAACTGTCTTTCAAAGTGTTTCTACCTTCTCCATCCTCTGGGTCATCATCTAAGCTTGCTTTTTCTATCTTCTCCGTAACATCTTTCACTTCATCTCCATCTTCTCCATCACCTGCTCCATCCCCTTCGCCTCCTGCAACAGCCATGTGTCATGTGAGCAATGTGGTCGAGGTAGATTATCATGATTATAGCGGGCTCTATTCCCTGACACTACATTGAGCAAAGGTTCTTTTACGCTGTAGTCAGCAATATTCCAGCCACGTGGCACCCTTACAAGTTCAGTATGTTACATAAAATTACAAGAAGCACCAAATCATTCTCATTTCATAAGTATGCATGTAAAATTTTCATTTTGTATTCTTCTATATATTGTTCATTATGTTCATAACAGTAAATGTAGTCCACATTGTCAATTTTTGATTGGACAAGCATCTCTTCCAGCTCTGTTTCTCTCTTAGCTTAAGTTAAGACCAGTGTCCCTGAGGATATCATACTATTAACTATTCATGTTTACTGTGTTGCTCTATTCAGATCATTTGTACATTAAAAAAAAGAATATTATAAACAAAATAAGTTCCCTCAACAATTGGTTGCCTCATACAATAGGAATACTCTAGTAGATTCATTAATACTTACTTCATACATGCAAGTATTAAATAAACAGGATCAAATAAAAAAAACAGCTCTTACATCATTTGTACATACATGTAGTGGACATTTGGTCCTACAAAATATTTACTGTTAGCAGTTAGTTTAAAGGTGACACCCTCCTTTTAGATACATTTAGAATTTACTTGTTCCAAATATATCCATATACTAGTATTTGTCTATATTTAGACACAAGCAATGCAAAGTGATATGCTTAAACCTGTGGGTTCATGGCAGTGACAGAAACTATTTTAGAACCATATCCTAGAACTCTACGACTGACACGAAATGCCACACCTGTCTTTTTCTTCTTCTTCCGCTTTTTCTTTTTCTTGGTTTGTTCCGATGACCCTCCTTCGTTGTCAGCATCATCTTCAACACCGTTCACAGGGGCATCTTCTTTCATAGTTGTTTCTTCCACAGCTTGAACGTCTTGTACATCGGCCATGCTTGTTGAGATGTACTAGTTTCGTACGAACTAATTTCATAAGTTATGGGCAACCTAAAGACTTTTCGCGAATGACATAAAGTGTTGTTATACAAGTAAATAAGTATATATGAAATAACAGTGACGGCATTAAACACTAATGTTATTAACATGCAATGAAGTAACTATGTCACGAACATATCACGAAATGTTGATGCCCCCCCCCCCCCCCCCCCCATAAAACCACTATAGGGTTTTCCTTCACTGGTTGATTCGTCCACACAGATCGGGATAATCCGTCCACACATATAGGGATGATCCGTCCACCCGTAGGAGAAAGACATTGTAATGCATTACAATCCGTTAAAGGGGGTTTGGCTCCAAAGGAGAACCATTTATTTCAAAATAACTCAAAATCGAGAATAGTCTATTATGAATGGCAATACGGTAAACGACAATGAATACCCTATACCCAACACTATCTGTTTATTATTTTTGTTCCCATCATTGGAAAAGGTTGATTAAGAAACTATCATGTTGTTATGTGTACAAGTTGACATCTTACACGGAGGGCGGCTCAACGGTAGGAGGAACAGCGCAAACACGTACTGCACGTGCTACAAAGTATACGTCGTTGTTGGCTGACAAGATTCACTCCCCAGCTGATGTAGTTTATTTTTATTAAGTGTATTATTTATTTCAATATGAAGCAAAAAGAGGAAAACAATTTTATGTCATTAATACATGCTAGAAACGAAACCCATGTAGGGTTAATGAATTGTTACAAAATACAAGCTATGGCATTTTTTGCATTCGTTTGGACACAGATACAAAAAGAATAGTAGTGAAAATAGGGTTATGTAATGTGAACGATCTGACATCCTTCGTCTCCGAAATCATTATCTTCGAACAATCAAGCCGGAACGAGAGGAAGGATAAGAGCCTGTTTTCCTAGAGGAAACGTGGGTAAATGACTCTCACACAGCCAGAGACCGCCTCCGTGGTCTTGTGGTAGAGCGTCCGCCCGGAGAGCGGAAGGTCCGGGGTTCGATCCCGGGCCGCGTCATACAAAAAGACGTTAAAAGATTGTACTTGTTGTTACCCTGTCTGGCGCTCGGCATTAAGGAGCTAAAACAAGGACTGGTCGGCTCGGAGTCAGTATACTGTGTCTGAGTGGGGTATTCATGTTAAACTGCGGCATGGTATCTCAGTGAGCTAGCACTATAAATCGGCATCAGTCCGGACTAGTACAAGCAGCCACACACACACATACACGTGCATGCACGTCGCTATATAAGTGCAATAATCTTGGACGCGACGTTAAACCCCATTTCACCTCACCTCACACAGCCAGCAGTCAGTGGGTACCAAGTGGGGACTGAAAGGAGTCTGGGCGAAAGCTACCAATGGGAAAAGGTGAAAGACATCGTTCTTCTTGCTGGCGGTGCTAGTCGGGGTTTTCTCCCAGGTTGTGACCTCGTCTTTCGAGCCAAGGCCAAGGACATCACAGAAATGAGTGAGAGAGTGAGTTGGGCGTAACGCCGCTTTTAACAGTATTCCAGTTATATCGCGGCGTGTCAGCTTAATGTTGGAGGAAAGCCCGAAGTGATGCAGGTCCCAGACGTTTACCGCTTCGGTGAAACCCACGAGCACGAGTATGGTGCTGACAAACCTAGAAACATAATCGGGGTAAACAGGGATTCGAACCAACAATCATAGGTTTCTGACGTGCCTAAGGGACGCAACTCTGCACAGTGAATCGCGGCGCCTTAGACGACTGGGCCACCCGTGCCCCTCACAGAAATGAACGCCAGGGTATTTCTGGAGTGGGTGAAACACAAACTGGTCCCTGCTTTGCCAACAAGTCCCTTTTTATCATGGACAATGCACCATATCACAGTATGCAGGATCTAGACAGCAAGGCCCCCACGTCTAATAGCCTTAGAGGAGATATGGTGACGTGGCTGCAACGGATGAATATGATCTTTCTTTCCAGGGCTACAAAACCACAACTCTATGAAATTATCAAATCTAACAAACCTGAGCCCGTGTACATGGTTGACAATCACAACAAAAAATTCTTGCAAGCTACGAGACCGCTGTTGGAAGCAAAGGTGTACACGCTGATTACATTACAATAATGGCGCTTTGCCAAACGACCAGTCTCGATTGACGAGTTAAATGTGAAATTAACAGTTTATAACGAAACATTTTCAAGAGAATAACTAATGGCAAGAAGTGATAGTAACTCCATAAATGATCATCGGTCATTAAGTTGCATTGTCAATGTAGAACTAACGTAAAAAGGAAGTCAACAGTTTGGGTACGGGCTAGACACTTACGATAACGGGAGACAATTTGTGAAGATGGTAGCTCTTTGAAGACAATAGTTCCGTCAAAGTGTTATGTTCACTGCAGCGAAATATCAAGTGTTTTGTTCACTGCATTGAAATATTAAATATTATGATCGCTGCAATGAAAATATCACTTTTCTCAACTTCTGAAAACTCTGTCATGAACACTGAAGTATATAATAAAATGAAGAAATCACCAAGAACAGTCCAAGGCGCGGGGTGGTATGAAACCCATTAGAGTGTGACATTTAAAAATAATTAATGGTTTACATAAAACGTTTGTGATTTGTTTTATAGAAAATAGAAAATGCACATTACGTCACTTTATTAAAATTAATACAAGAACACAATTATATAGATAAACCTTTATTATTTAATATCACTCCCCCGGACGCTCCCTGGCGTTGTGCGGACCTGTCCTTTGATATTCTGGTGGTTGGCCTCGGATTTTGTATGGAGACAAGCTGTTTTGTCAGCTACATCTACAATAAAAAACAAGTAATTGTTTACTCAAAAATATGAGCCCAAACACAGCTTGCAACAATGTATTTTTTGTGGCAGACAATTTTTTTCAACACTCAGAAGCACAATTATTCTTGTTTAAAAATTCTGGGAAAATGTATTTTTATCGATAAAATCCCTCACGTTAAACTCACTCACGATGACGGGTGATTGAATTCGTACACTTAAACATGTGTGTGGACTTGAATGCAGACACATGTTATAGGTGGCGCACCGAATTAGCCAATAATTATGTTCCTTTAGTATATCAATTGAGGCTAAGTGTCACCATTTTAAAACTGAATTGTCGAATTTAACACAAACCAGAACAAGTTCGTCTGAACGCTTCCGTTGAAAACTAGTTGTCTCGATTGTATTATCATTAAAACTCTCAATGCAAACTCTGAATAGCGACATGGTCAATATATAAATAATTGAAAAAGAAATAAGAATCGTGGAAGCTATGTTGGTAACTACTTATAAAATTCTAATCCAATACTTCATTGTTAATGTGAAATATTTCGTTACAGCCACAATCCTTCTAAAACGTCATGTTTTGAGAGTGTAAAGTTTAGCGCCATATTACGAAAAGTCAAAACAGCTGATTGACAAGTCGATATCTGCCCAGAAATGTCAATTTGCAGAGTCAATTTAAGATTTTCTTTATGCTAAAAGTTCCCTTCATTATCGTAGGTATTTTGGGTATGCATGCCAAGCGTGCCACTGATTGCGCGCCCTAATTACGCATAGAGAGAGCCGACTTACATCATAAGTTGAAATTGGGAGTCTAGCTGGGGGGGCTCTCAGGGAGACAATGATCCACTGGACTGTTTCCAGATAATTTCCTGTGTAGGCCTAGACGTAGAAATATATTTATGCCCGAGGCATGGACTCTGTAATTAAGACAACGATTAACTGCTTGTGTTTACATAAATTGGACAATCTGAGCAGACATAGACTACCTTGGACTGCCAGATTTGCCAGTCATCGATATCATCCCAAGGTGTGTCAGGTCGTTTGAGGATAACCCAAAACTTAGGCTAAAGGGTCTAATTATTAACAGTGATTGATACTCTCCAATGTAGATTGCAAGGTACTTGAACCATTGACCTGTGAAGGTTAACTGGTGGGATGTTGTAATAAGATATAGATCTATAAATAAAAACGTATTAGACATAACAACACATTCAAGTTATGCATTAAAATTCGTCAACACAATACTGTGTTGCAGTGTCTTAAAATAGACCTTTAACTGCCAATATAGATGATGTAGCTGTGAGGATGTGTGATGTTGGTGTAGGAAATGGTGCTGATGTTGGCAATCTGAAGACTGGTGTCACTCACCTGGGATAGTAGAAAGTAGAAAAATGTCATTAGCAAGATAAGATTGCTAAGGTTATAAGGCAGCAATTTTGATAATACAGGTAAGCTAAAAAACAATCAGTGAAAACCTTAACAAATCTTTAAAATGATAAATATATTTTAAGACTCTAGGTACACAGAAATTGAAAATTAATAACCATTTTGAAATAGGTAAAACATTTGCATATCAAATTTGCCATGTTGTCAAACAATATTCTTTGTTTTAGCTAAAAGACTTTTGCAATAAGTTGCCCATCTTCCGAAAGAGTTAACTGACTTAAAAAGTCCAGTTTCCACCCTTGCCGAACTAGGGGGCACGGGAGGCCCAGTCGTCAAAGGCGCTGCAATTCGCTATGCAGAGTTGCGTCCCTTGGGCATGCCAGAAACCTAAGATTGTGGGTTCGAATCCTGGCTCACCCCAATTATGTTTCTAGGTTTGTCAGCACCGTGCTCGTGGGTTTCACCTATCTCACTACCTGGGGGCACGGGTGGCCCAGTCATCTATGGTGCCACAATTTGCTCTGCAGCTTTGTTTCCCTTTGGCGCGCTAGAAACCTATAATTGTTGGTTCGAATCCTGGTTTGCCCCAATTATGTTTCTAGGTTTGTCAGCACAATACCCCTGCTCGTGGGTTTCACTAAAGTGGTAAACGTCTGGTACCTGCGCTTTCCTTCCACATTAAGCTGACACGCCGCGATATAACTGGAATACTGTTAAAAGCGGCATTAAACCAAACTCACTCATTCACTTGCCGATCTAGGCTGGAATTCCTGTGCTCAATTGTAGCGCCAACTGTGGCTTTAATGAGTTATGTCCCTTCCATGCCTCTCCTATGGACCAATCAGATTCCACCTCTCGTATCACTTGCATTTGCTTCAAACAAAATGGCGGCACCCAGTCAAGACGATCTGATCGATAATCAATATCTATATGGTGATAAAACGAGTCCCACATCATGAAGTGCATCAAATCATGTGAGCACCTTGATTGAAAACATGAAATGATTTAGAAAATATCTGTTGACACCGCGTTGGCGGTGCACATGTTTTGCAAATCCTGCAATCGACCAAAATGTACATGACAGTTTACGAACCAGATTTCGATTTCATTGCACGATTTTGATTGGACTATGCATAGACTCGCTGTTCCAGTCAAAACGTAACTCCATAATACCAGCCTAGTTTGGCAAGGTTGGAAACTGGACTTTTATACAATGTAGTTGGTTAACTCCCTTGCCTCAGGAAGATGTAAGTTGCCCTACACAATGTCCAACAAGTACAGGTGTAATAAAGAGGATACATGTATAAGAATTTCAGTTCTATTCTCTTTGTGTTTTCAAGTGAGGAGGGTATCTACTAAAATTGTGTACAAGCATCAGTAACTGTCAGTTGTATATTTCCCCCCGTGAAGATCCGAGTAGAATAGGTCTTCAGCAACCCATGCTTGCCGTAAAAGGCGACTATGCTTGTCGTAAAAGGCGATCGGGTGGTCAGGCTGGCTGACTTGGTTGATGCATGTCATCGACCCCAATTGCGTGGATCGATGCTCGTTAAACAACAAACCAACCAACAGCTGTATATTTCATGAATGTCTGTTGAGTTTCTTGTTTCACTTTTACCCTGTAAGGAGTCCATATCAGATCAGGTCCCTCTGTGGCCATGCTTGTCATTAGAACACTAAAATAAGCATTGAATTTTCACAATGAGTGAAGTGGCTGATTGTGTAATGCACTGGAGGCTTGCTCGTGCTATCAACCACTGGTTTGCATGATCCAGAGACTTGATCAAGGCGCCAGTAGTATAGCTGCCACACTGTAGTGCCAAGACTATGTACATCTTCATGTACATGACACTGGGGTGGGCTAGTGTGTCAGTTGCTTGTCAGATCTGAAGACATGTGTTTGATTCCTCACATAGATATGATGTTTTAAGTCCTTGCTTGATGTCCCATGCTGCCATGTCCAACTTGAATATTGGGTAAGACTTCCTACCGTATCCCCCCTAAAAAATATAGGTAACTAAAAGGATTGAGCGGCAATGCATACATATACAACTTTTGGAGGGGAGATACGGGCGGAAGTCTTTCCGAATATTGCTTCATGTGACATAACTACACTCACGCACCCATCTATGTTCCAGGTTACCAGTGCCGAAAGGTTAGCTATGGCAACTTCCAACACAGGTGCTAAGGCAAAGGTAATCAATTTTGACATTTTCTGGAACTTGTTCCCAAGTTAGTAGAAAACATGTTAATCTACATAGAAATAAGGATTGAAGTTCTGTTTGTGTCCTGCATTAGCTGTGCAAAGATACCAGTAGTCAGTGTTATCCAGAACAGTCTCAGCAGGTGAACAGGCTGAGAAAGGTACCGTATTCAGCATATTTGGTGCTCTGCTCCAAAAAGTGCCCCTTGACCCACTTCTAGACCACTAGGTAGGTAATCTTTATAAGCACCCCTGTTGAGACCAAACATTTACATGTCAGTCCATATTTTCATATGTATATTACCAATTTGTTTTACAGAAAACAGCAGTGCATTGGGGGTATATATATATATATATATATATATATTATATTATATTATATAAGGAGGGCACGGGTGGCCCAGTCGTCTGAGGCGCCGCAATTCGCTGTGCAGAGTTGCGTCCCTTGCACACGCCAGAAACCTATGATTGTGTGGTCGAATCCCGGTTCGCCCCGATTATGTTTCTAGGTTTGTCAGCACCATACCGTGTTCGTGGGTTTCACCGATGTGGTAAACGTCTGAGACCTGCATCACTTCGGGCTTTCCTCCAACATTAAGCTGACACGCCATGATATAACTGGAATACTGTTAAAAGCGGCGTTAAACCCAACTCACTCACTATATATATATAATTGCTCTGTAACTATCATCAAATGTGTTTCAGTTTCATGGACTTGATCGCTGTAAACAAATTTACTTGTATGTGGTTTTAATAAGGGGAGGGAATATGGTATATTGGAAAAGAAATAGATAAAAAAAGTATTTACTTCTAAACAAGTGGTGTTGGTGCAAATGGAGTTTAATACAACCTGTAAGATCGGTGCTCCATAACATCAGGGTACAGGTCCACAGTTGAGTGAGATGCTGCAGTTGATGTGCACAGTTGCCTCCCTTAGTGGTGCCAGGATTGACTGATAGTGAGTTTTAATCCCAGACTCTCCTGTTTATGGTCTTTTGTATGTCACATATTCAGCTCCAACCTCGGTGTTTTCATCTGTGACTGAAGCATTCATGCTTTGATCTTACAAGCCAGATCTCAGAGCTCCAGATACCTTTTTAAGCAATTGAGTTTTTACTTTAGGGTTTCTGTCTTAATTGGGTTGTTACATTTTTCATTGGGTAACCAATATTTTTTCACTCATCTATTCATCACTCTATTGAGGGGCACGGGTGGCCCAGTCGTCTGAGGCGCCGTGATTCGCAGTGCAGAGTTGCGTCCCTTTGGCATGCCAGAAACCTATGATTGTGGGTTCGAATCCTGGTTCGCCCCAATTATGTTTCTAGGTTTGTCAGTACTATACCCGTGCTCGTGGGTTTCACGGAAGTGGTAAACGTCTAAGACCTGCATTACTTTGGGCTTTCCTCCTACATTAAGCTGACATGCCGCGATATAACTGGAATACTGTTAAAAGCGGCGTTAAACCCAACTCACTCATTCACTCATCACTCTATTGGGTTTTTCACAAAATGAGTCAACATTTTAAGATTTGAAAAAAAATGAAATAATGTTTTAGATGTATTTAACTGTTCTAAATATATACGCTTGACTAGGAAAGTAAACTAGCTCGTGATTGTGTTTCGGAAATTAGCTCCTTTGTACGCATGCTGAAAAAGCTTCAATGGGTATTTACACATACTATTTTTATACATTTGAGTTTTTTGTTTAATGTACGCAAGTTTATTGAAAGTAATTGGGTTTTGAATAATTTATTTTTTTTGGAGGGGGGGTATTTTTTTGCAAATTTGCTTCTTATCTGTAGCTATGAGATGTTCTCCCACTCTTATCTTAAACTAATCCTATCTGACACTATGCATTTCTTCCTTCTTTCGATCTTTATTTTAGGAAATGTGCTTGGAGAAAGTTTCCAGCTCCTAAAAATGTGTCACCAAAACACATCCCAGCATCACCATGGTCACACCACCCAAACAAATGTGTCACATACTCTAGTCCTGTGCATGTGACCTTTCACGACTTGATCACCTGACTACCTATGCCACATCTTTCTCTTTCCCACCGCCACTCTGTGGAGATGTGTATCGAGTCGTAGAGAATCTTTTTTTTTTTTTTCTTTTTTTGCATGAGCTATCTCCTCATTCGTAATAACATCTGAGATACAGATTGAAGGAGAGGATGGGAACAGAACATGATAAATGCCTGGTCTGCAGGTGTACCTATTCCAATGCTGATCATCATGATCATTGCTGTAACCCGTGAAGATCCAGGATAGAATAGATCTTCAGCAACCCATGCTTGCCGTAAAAGGCGACCCGTGAAGATCCAGGGCAGAATAGGTCTTCAGCAACCCATGCTTGCCGTAAAAGGCGACCCGTGAAGATCCAGGATAGAATAGGTCTTCAGCAACCCATGCTTGCCGTAAAAGGCGACCCGTGAAGATCCAGGGCAGAATAGGTCTTCAGCAATCCATGCTTGTCATCAAAGGCGACCCGTGAAGATCCGGGGTAGAATAGGTCTTCAGCAACCAATGCTTGTCGTAAAAGGCAACCCGTGAAGATCCGAGGTAGAATAGGTCTTCAGCAACCCATGCTTGCCGTTATAGGCGACTATGCTTGTGGTAAGCATCTTCCCCAGGCAAGCGAAGACAAGTTTCCACCCTTGCCGAACTAGGCTGGTATTATTGAGTTACATTTTGGCTGGACTAAGTCTATGCATAGTCCAATCAAAATCGTGCAACGAAATCGAAATCCGGTTCGTAAACTGTCGTGCAGTTTTCGGTCGATTGCAGGTTTTGCAAAGCATATGAACCACCAACTCGTTGTCAACTGATATTTTACAAATCTTTTTATGTTTTTAATCAAGGTGCTTACTTGATTTGATGCGCTTTGCGATTTAAGAACCATTATATCACAATATAGATCTTGAGTTTTGATCAGATCGTCTTGACTGGGCGCCGCTATTTTGTTTGAAGCAAATGCAAGTGATACGATTGGTGGAATTTGAATGGTCCATAGGAGAGGCTTAGAAGGGACATAACTCATAATAACCACTGGTGGCGCTACGATCGAGCCCAGGAATTCCAGCCTAGTTCGGCAAGGGTGGGAACTGGACTTTTAAAGTCTGTTAACTCTCTTGCCTCGGGAAGATGGTTGTAAGAGGCGACTAATAAGGTCAGGTGGTCAGGGTCGCTGACTTGGTTGATGCACGTCATTGTCTCCCCATTGCGTGTATCGATGATCATGATGTGAATCACTGGATTGTCTGGTCTAGACTTGATTATTTACAGACCGCCATCATTTAGCGGGAATATTGCTGAGTGCGGCATTTAACAACAAACAACATCGACGACTGGCGTAAAGGGGTCACATCGCCTGTTAGGGTGTTTTTACCTTCTCACAAGTTCTTGTCTTACCGACAGTGTTATAGTTTAGGCAGTGTTATAGCTTAGTGTCTGAATCACTGTTTAGCACCAGCTTCTTCGTGTATGTCTCAAGATAAATGCAGTGTGAGATAGGATAATGTTTAAACATTTGTAAATTTTACATTAAATTGTATATTTCGTAGACTTATCTATCTCAAATGCTACATGCCCACTCAACCAATCCCCTCCCGTGGTGATGCTGGGATCTGTTTGGGTGAAATGTTTATAGAAGCTGGAAACTTGGTTCAAGCTCGTTTCCACATAAGGATTGAAAGAAGGAAGAAATGCATAGTGTGATATAGGATAAGTATATTAATAAACAGTTTAATGTAAACTTTACAATTTTCCTTTTCAAGTCGAGGAAGTATGTCTACACTACACTGAGAGATGTCCAGGCAAACACTGTGGTGGATGTGTATGGTGTGGTCAAGTTCCTCAAGCCACCCAAACAAACACGTGGAACGGGTGAGCACCGCACTAAGGATGATGCACTATAGTTAGGAAAGCGTACACTTGTCTTCTGATACTCTACGGACCGCCTCCGTGGTCTAGTGGTAGAGCGTCCGCCTGGAGAGGGGAAGGTCCGGGGTTCGATCCCCAGCCGCGTCATACCAAAAGACGTTAAAAGATGGTACTTGTTATCCTGTCTGGCGCTCGGCATTAAGGGGCTGGTCGGCTCGGAGTCAGTATACTGTGTCTGAGTGGGGTATTCATGTTAAACTGCAGTATGGTATCTCAGTGGGCTAGCACTATAAATCGGCATCAGTCCGGACTAGTACAAGCAGCCACACACACACACGTGCAATATAAGTGCAATAATCTTGGACGCGACGTTAACGTCGCGTCCAAGATTATTGCGCTTATATACCGAACAAAAACTGACAGCAAATACAAGGTGGATGTATACAGTGTTATTGATGTGCTCTCTAACATATTGGGATTTACGATGATGTAGTGAGGTGAGGTGAGGTGAGGTGAAATGGGGTTTAAACCCCATTTCACCTCACCTCTGATACTCTACATGATACTCTACTTCATAATGTTTAGGGGCGGTCGGGTAGCCTATTGGTTAAAGCATTCGCTCATCACGCCGAAGACCAGGGTTTGATTCCTGACATGGGTGCAATGTGTAAAGCCCATTTCTGGTTTCCCCCGCCGTGATATTGCTGGAATATTGCTACAAGTGGCGTAAAAACATTCTCACTCATACTGTTTATACATGGTATTCACTTACAGTGTCACCTGCAGATTAACATCAGGAACACAATCCTTAAATTAACTTGAAGTCACCTAGAGGCAGACAACAGAGTCTGACATTGTAGCAAACTAAATGCTTTGCTTTAAACCTGATACAAACTAATCCCTTCATGTTTCCAGACCTCATCATGATCTTAAGTCTCATAGATGAGACTTTGTTTGATCTAGACCAGAAGTTGAAGTGTGTACTGTTTCTCAAACCCAACAAGGTGCCTCAAGTGGAGGTCGGCAGTGTTGTTCGCCTTCATCGCCTCAAGGTAGGTGCCCACGTCGAGGTCGGCAGTGTTGTATGCCTTCATCGCCTCAAGGTAGGTGTCCATGTTGAGGTCGGCAGTGTCGTATACCTTCATGGCCTCAAGGTAGGTCTCTATGTGGAGGTCGGCAGTGTTGTACGCCTTCATGGCCTCAAGGTAGGTGCCCATGTGGAGGTCGGCAGTGTTGTACGCCTTCATGGCCTCAAGGTAGGTGCCCATGTGGAGGTCGGCAGTGTCGTACACATCATGGCCTCAAGGTAGGTGCCCATGTGGAGGTCGGCAGTGTTGTATGCCTTCATCGCCTCAAGGTAGGTGCCCATGTGGAGGTCGGCAGTGTTGTATGCCTTCATTGCCTCAAGGTAGGTGTCCATGTTGAGGTCGGCAGTGTCGTATACCTTCATGGCCTCAAGGTAGGTCTCCATGTGGAGGTCGGCAGTGTTGTATGCCTTCATGGCCTCAAGGTAGGTGCCCATGTGGAGGTCGGCAGTGTTGTACGCCTTCATGGCCTCAAGGTAGGTGTCCATGTGGAGGTCGGCAGTGTTGTACGCCTTCATGACCTCAAGGTAGGTGCCCATATGGAGGTCGGCATTGTTGTACGCCTTCATGACCTCAAGGTAGGTGCCCATGTGGAGGACGCCAGTGTTGTACACCTTCATGGCCTCAAGGTAGGTGCCCATGTGGAGGACGCCAGTGTTGTACACCTTCATGACCTCAAGGTTTGTGCCCATGTGGAGGTCAGCAGTGTTGTACGCCTTCATGCCTTCAAGGTTGGTGCCCATGTGGAGGACGTCAGTGTTGTACGCCTTCATGACCTCAAGGTTGGTGCCCATTTGGAGGACGGCAGTGTTGTACACCTTGAATATATCTGAGAAATACTTGCTTACAACATATGGAACTACACATCCATCATGTGTTTGTCTTAGATTGTTTGTATGTTTTTGTTCCAGATCGGAACCCACCAGGGGGAGCTGCAAGGTGGAACGTCAGCAGGGTTTTCCTGGCTCGTCTTCAACACACCTGAGTCCAAACCTCAGTCTTCCTCCCCGAACTTTACTTACTCCGAGGAAGATAAAAAAAAGGTAACCGTTAAAGCAGCATGGTGTGGTCTGATGGCGCAGGCAGTGATTGTTGTGCTGCCACTTGGTCTCTTTTAGTCATTACATTTTGATTGCCCAGCTAAAAGAACTGGTTGGCTCTGTTGCCCAGCAAAATCGGAGCTGTTTTGTTCTGTAGGCCAGCTCAAGGGGAGCTGTTTTCTTCTATTGTCCTGCTAAAGGGGAGCTGTTCGTTCTCTCGACCAGCAAAAGGGAAACTGTTTTCTTCTGTTGTCCTGCTAAAGGGGAGCTGTTTTCTTCTGTAGGCCTGCTAAAGGGGAGCTGTTTTCTTCTGTTGTCCTGCTAAAGGGGAGCTGTTTTCTTCTGTAGGCCTGCTAAAGGGGAGCTGTTTTCTTCTGTTGTCCTGCTAAAGGGGAGCTGTTTTCTTCTGTAGGCCTGCTAAAGGGGAGCTGTTTTCTTCTGTAGGCCTGCTAAAGGGGAGCTGTTTTCTTCTGTAGGCCTGCTAAAGGGGAGCTGTTTTCTTCTGTAGGCCTGCTAAAGGGGAGCTGTTTTCTTCTGTTGTCCTGCTAAAGGGGAGCTGTTTTCTTCTGTAGGCCTGCCAAAGGGGAGCTGTTTTCTTCTGTTGTCCTGCTAAAGGGGAGCTGGTCGTTCTCTCAATCAGCAAAAGAGAAACTGTTTTGTTCTGTTGCCCAGCTAAAGGGGAGCTGTTTGTTCTCTCGACCAGCAAAAGGGCAACTGTTTTGTTCTGTTGTCCTCCTAAAGGGGAGATGTTTTATTCTGTTGCCCAGTTAAAGGGGAGATGTTTTCTTCTGTTGCCCAGTTAAAGGGGAGCTGTTTTATTCTGTTGGCCAGCTAAAGGGGAAGTGTTTTGTTCTGTTGCCCAGGTAAAGGAACTGTTTGACTGGTCCAGCACTAGTGACACACCTGTGGTTGATGCAGCAGCTACACTTTCCGACATTGCCGTCAATGCCTACTTCAACCTCACCTGCCAGGTATGTGCAGTCCAAGGCGTGTTTTCAAAGACCTTAACTGCTGTTTGAATTAACCTTATTATTTATAGAAAAAAAAACCTGCTTCAGCTTAATGTCCTTGTCAGTACTTACATCAGTAAAACCTCCTGAGCTGACATTGATTTGCTTCTGCTTCCTGTGGGCCAATGGGCTGGCCGAATGATGCAGATGTTAATTGATCAAGTAGAAGACAGGGTTTGATTCCCTGCAAGAGGACAATGTGTACATTTTTTAATACTATCTCACACTATGTATTTCTTCTCTCTTCTTCGACCCTATGTTGAAACATGCTTGAACCATGTTTCCAGCTTCTAAAACAAAACACTTCACTCAAACACATCCCAGGATCCCTATGATTGCTGACCAACAACTGGATCAATTGTGAGTGAGTGAGTTGGGTTTTACACCGCTTTTAACAGTATTCCAGTTATATCACGGCGTGTCAGCTTAATGTGGGAGGAAAGCCCGAAGTGATGCAGGTCTCAGACTTTTACCACTTGGTGAAACCCACAAGCACGGGTATGGTGCTGACAAACCTAGAAACATAATCAGGGAAAACTGGGATTCAAAACCACAATCATAAGTTTCTTCTGGCGTGCCCAAGGGACGCAACTATGGGATCAATTATGTGCTCCTGTGCACAGTAACTTTATACGACTTTGATCATGTTTGTATCTCTGCCAACTCATTCTCTTTCTAATCGCCACCTTGTGTGGATGTGTTCTAACACCTAGAGAATATATTTGGTGGTTTTTTTTAGGGTGTTGTTTCTTGGTTGATGGAGTGTCATGACACTCCGATGCCGTGGATTGCTGCTCATAATATCAATCACTGGATTGTTTTATCCAGACTAGATTAATTACAGGCCGCGACATATAACGCCCTAGCTGTATCTTGCTGAGTGCAGACAACAAACGAACATCCAAGGTTGAGTTTATTCTGGCAGTTGCTTTTGTTTCAGGTGGTCTCCACTTGCGTCATTGAGGATGGCGTCTGCTTCTTGTTGAGGGTGTGGGATGGAACTAAACCTATCTAGTAGGTGTTTACATGACTGACATCTTTAGAACTTATTGCGTCAATTCCTTGGTGATTCCATAGGAGAGGTTTAGAAGGGACATAACTGGTAATAGCCACTGTTGGCACTACGATCGAGCCCAGTAATTCCAGCCTAGTTCGGCAAGGATGAAACTGGACTTTTAAAGTCAGTTAACTCTCTTTACCTTTGCAGAATCAAGTTTCCGGAAAAATAAACGCATATTTAAGCTAGCAAAAATTTAAACAAGGTTATTAACAGCAACCACGGTCAGATTACCGCTATTGACGCCTTGAAATGAACTTCATTTGACAGAGAATGGATACATATATCATAAATGCCATGCTTTGACTCGTTAAAAGTCATATTTGTTATAGTTTGACGATTCTATGTCAACACGAAGTTCTCGCGATCACGTGCGCGGGCGCCTCGATGGTGACTGGTCAAACTGGTTCCATATGAAAAATAATAACCGGTAATAGTGATCAGCTGCTCTATAATTATTTGAAATATATTAAGTAAAAGCTGCAACTAAAATAACAAGATATTGGAATATATTATTCCGGATAAAAAAAATAGTTTCAGATACAATTTTTGCCGATCCTTGCATTCAAATCCTGTAAAGTTATATCATTGGGTGTGTCTTGACCGAATCACCGGTAGATTCCAAGAAAACGTGTGTACAGCTGATTGCTGTTTCCGGCTTAGTTTACGTGAAAATACACAAGGTAATCTTAATCCCTGGATATAAAACAATGCCTAGCAGAACAAAAAATACAATTTAAACGGTAAATCAACATGTCTGGGGATTTTTTATCTCTAATTTCAAATTTGTACTGACCAAGTTTCTCATCACCCGTTGGTTTACCGGAATTCGCTAAAGGGGTACGGTGTAATTTTTTCTGCGCATAATATTCAAATTATTTTTTTTCTCCAAAATACTGAATCCACTAGAGGGGGGTGCGCACTATACTCAAGAAAATATGGTATGTTTATTCTGTTGACTGGCATTAAGGAAGTTCAAAGGCAATAAAATATTGAACCAATAACAGTTCACTGATTGGAATGGTCAGTGATGCCTAGTTTGACACAAGTGGGTAGAACTCTTGACCCCAGCAAAGATAACTCACCGGATGCCTATTGTGTTATTTCTATTCTTTAAATGACATTGTTATGTACTTGTTACAACTGCTGCTCACTTTGTGTATTTATTCAAGTTGGTATTTTCGCCATCCAAAGTGTGCAGTGAGGCCGTCTTATTGTTGATAGTCATTTTGGAGACATAAATGCGAAGTTTCATTAATGCGAACAAAGGCCACTCGCATTTTTCGCATTTAATTTACACTCGCGTTAATTTCAAGATTTCCAGTATACCTCAACAGAAGCTTAATGATCACTGCCATGGTATTGAGTGTAATTCATACATTGGGACGCCCTGCTGCTTGCACTTCGGGCATGGGTCATGATGCACGACATATGCACTCATGCTCTTACCAAAATACTTCCGTAGTCAAGTAAACAATATTATGCAATGCTTGAATGTCGAGAGTTTGTTCCTTTCACTCCTATGCAAGTGCACTTGCCGGATATTACACTCCTGCCATTAAGTTTCCGTTAACTGTAAACTTGTTTGATGGTATCAGATAGACAAATATTCGTGAGGTCAGCTGTCAAGTTTTGTGGCATTCAGTAAAGATTGGGATGGAGCTGCCCTTGTTATTCCAGCGGGGGGAGGTCGGGTAGCCAAGTGGTTAAAGCGTTCGCTCGTCACGCCGAAGACCCAGGTTGGATTTCACGACATAGGTACAATGTGTGAAGCCCATTTCTGGTGTCCCCCGCCATGATATTGCTGGAATATTGCTAAAAGTGGCGTAAAACCATACTCACTCACTCACTGTTATTCCAAGGACGCAATTACTTTTCTTGTTGTTAGACTTGCTTATTGCAACACTTTTTAGAAGTTACCTTTTGAAAATCGATACAGTAGATACAATTGAAGAGTCGTCAAATTGAGTATTATATGTCTGTCTTTCCGCTAGGCATCAATTCCTTCTTGATTCTTGACTCCCCCACTCTGTATGGCGTTCTTCACTGACTTACATTCCAGCCCAGTCCGAGAGCTGGACACTGATGGAAGTGAGTGTGATGTGGCCTCAGATCCGCGTCTGCTGCAGAGAGCAGACGGATATCTGTACGATGTCTCAGTGTTTGACGACCACTTCTGTACTGCCAGCAGAGCACAGGTAAGATTTGGACGAGTTTGTAAATGTCGCACAGAAATAAGCATGAGAACTGGCATGGGGTGTGTTAGTGATTGTGTAATGATATCTTCTAGCTTGTGATATCATTTGAAATGGCGTCTATTGGATCATGTCATGATACTATGAAGTATATATATCTTCTGTACAGCGTGAAGGTCCTAACATTTAGCATGCAGTGTTTCTGCGACTGATGATATCTTGCAAAAAGTGTATCGGAACGAGTGGAGTGATATCTTATATGGAGTGTTATTGTCTATCATGGAGTTTCCGTGATCCTCTGTTGATGATTTCTAGCAATGATTTCTGCCAAAGAATGTATTGGAGCTTGTGAATGTGATATCTAGCATGGACTGTAACGGATCATGTGATATCATCTGGCAAGGACTGTAACGGATCATGTGATATTTAATTATCTAGCATGGACTTAAACGGATCATGTGATATCATCTGGCATAAACAAATGGATTATGTGATATCATCTAGCATGGACTGTAATGGATCATGTGATATCATCTAGCATGAACAAATGGATTATGTGATATCATCTAGCATGGACTGAAACGGATCATGTGATATCATCCAGCATGAACAAATAGATTATGTGATGTCATCTAGCATGAACTGTAAAGGATCATGTGATATCATCTAGCATGAACTTAATGGATCATGTGATATCATCTAGCATGGACTGTAACGAATCATGTGATATCATCTAGCATGGACTGTAACGGATCATGTGATATCATCTAGCAAGGACTGTAATGGATCATATATCATCTAGCAAGGACTGTAATGGATCATGTGATATCATCTAGCATGGACTGTAATGGATCATGTGATATCATCTAGCAAGGACTGTAATGGATCATGTGATATCATTTAGCATACAGTGTTTTTGTGGCTGTCTGATGATGATATCTTGAGTGTATCGGAGCATGTGAAGGGGATATCTTCTAGCATGGAGTGTTTCTGATTAAGTTACTATGAAATCATCTGTGTACTGGTAAAGCTCCAAATTCTCCATGTAATGTTTTTATGTTTCCAGCCAGGCATGTTTATGAAGTTCTACAACCTGCATGCCATGGAGTATAAGAGTGGCGACAAGGGGGACAGCCTGTCTGCCCTCCCAACAGTTGAGCTTGTGTTACACCGCGGGACAATGTACGGCAGAGGTGTGTTATTTCTGGATGAACAGTCACGGGATGTGAAAACACTGCTAGATAAACTTGATAACATTGCTGGTACTAATCTGCCCTCGGCGAGTGGACTGGAGAAAGGGAGACAACTGGACTCCACATCCACACAAAAGGAAGTGGGGACAAATTCTGGCGATGGAGTCTCGCGGGGCCATGCGTCCTGGGTGGAAGTTGATGAGGGGATTGATGTGGAGCTGACGCAGAAAAGAACCAATACTGCTTGTTATTCCAGGGAACGTGGTGGAGCAAAGAGAACAAGAAATAGCATCAGATCAGATGACGGTGGAGAAGGTGAAAGTTACATGTCTGCCCTTCAACTGTCGTGTGATGTCTTGTCGGCTCAAGTGTGTGACGAGTCACGATGTATGCAGGAGACAGCAACCGGTAAGGGAGGGAACTTGTGCACACAAACTGAATCCTAAGAAAGTCCACAAGTTACGGATTGTCGTTCTAAGGGACTGGTCATTCATTAAAGGGGAGGCGGGGCAAGTGAGGTTGGCCTTAGGGTGGTATCATATATCCCCGACACCTGCTCTTCCTTCCTCCCTTCCTCCCCAGGGGGCACGGATGGGCCAGTTGTCTAAGGCTCCGCAATTCGCTGTGCAGAGTTGCGTGCCCTGGGCACGCCAGAAACCTATGATTGTTGGTTCGAATCCCGGTTCGCCCCGATTATGTTTCTAGGTTTGTCAGCACCATACCCGTGCTCGTGGGTTTCACCAAAGTGGTGAACGTCTGAGACCTGCATCTCTTCGGGCTTTCCTCCCACATTAAGCTGACACGCCGTGATATAACTGGAATACTGTTAAAAGCAGCGTTAAACACAACTCACTCACTCCTTCCTCCCCTCTATGATAAATGAGCTTTCCCTTCCCTTCCCTTCCCTTCCCTTCCCTTCCCTTCGGCCACCTCCCCTATAATAAATGTACATTCCCTAAGAAACAAATCGTATATGAACAGCACCATTTGAACAATTAAATGTTTTACATAAAGGATAAAGGCCCCTGATATATAATATTAGTTTTATCACTTTTTTCAAGTATTACTTAACCACGCTTCTCAACAGCTTCATCGTAACACTTAACAACTGCTGCTATGGGGGGATCACAGTGATTGTTTATCCATTTTGCCAGTGATACTAAACCACCCCCACGTGAAGCAGACCCGCATACAAGATGTGCTCGCCCACACAGTCCCTTTCAAGTTCCGCGTGAAGGCTCGGGTCGTGGACTGCCAGCCCACACCAACGGCAGCCACAGACCTGGTCAGCGCTTACTGCAACACTTGCCACTTCATGTGAGTTTTAGACCGACCATGTGAGTTTTAGACCGACCATGTGAGTTGCCAGTAGCACTGCATTCACTTCTGTTGACTGGTGAATCTCCAGAATGATGCTTAAAGGAGGATGTAATAGATATATCTGATGTCAAAGGTTTATTACAAACCACCCTCAATCTAAACAAGGCGCTCACTCTAGAAGCAATACTAAACGCACAAAATAAACTAGAAAACTTCAAGGCCTTAGGCGTATTCTTAATCAAAACGGAACTAATAAAACGCATCTAAAAACAAAATAATCTACCAAATCAAAATCACATAAACAAACAAACATCCACCATACCCAGCTCCCTTAGTTCTCCTCCCCAACCCCATCGGCATCTATTCCAAATCTCAAAATTCCCAAATTCTATATAAGCAACCCCTAAACCCCCTTCTTGGGTTGCACTCACCACTTTCGCGCCTTTCGGAAACACATTAAATGGCCTGGCCGGGCCCGTGTGCGAAATACGCATCAGTCGGAAAGTGCACGTTAAATTTCCAAAGTTAGTAAGTAAGGTTCAGACTGCTCCAGATAATTTTAGGCCCATTGTGCATTTACTCGTGTTTTTAAATGTTTCTTGCAGAATGGGTATAATTATCTGCCGACATACTGGTACTTGAAATTTTATAACCTTGGTTTCTACAGATTACAGCGTAACATTTGCTCTTTAAAGATATTCCATCACAGCAGGTGGGGAGACAAAACATATAACTGAAATGATGAAATATACACTGGACACTAAAGCTAAGATTACTTTAAATAGTTAAAACGAAATCACAGGGGAGAATAATTTATGTTATGTACATATAGAGCATTTGCACATGGGTCCTGAAATCAGTTTGTTATATACTGTAAGTCTTGAAATTAAAGCGAATATGAATTAAATGGTCTTTGCTCGCATTCGTGAAACTTAGCATTTTTGTCTCCAAAATGATTATCAACAATAAGACAGCCTCACTGCACACTTTGGATAGCGGAAGTACCAACTGAATATAAACAGAAACACGGTTTATTGATCAGCAGATGTAACAAGTATATAACCATGTTGTTCAAAGAATAGGAATTACACAATGGGTATCCAATAAGTTATCACTGCTGGGGTCGGGGGCACGGGTGGCCCAGTCATCTGAGGGGCCGCGACTCGCTGTGCAGAGTTGCGTCCCTTGGGCACACCAGAAACCTATGATTGTGGGTTCGAATCCCTCCCCGATTATGTTTCTAGGTTTGTCAGCACCATACCCATGCTCGTGGGTTTCACGGAAGTGGTAAATGTCTGAGACCTGCATCACTTCGGGCTTTCCTCCCACATTAAGCTGACACGCCACGATATAACTGGAATACTGTTAAAAGCGGCGTTAAACCCAATTCACTCACTCACTCACTCACTGCTGGGGTCAAGAATTCTGCCCACTTGTGTCAAACTAGGCATCATTGACAACTCCAGCGGTCCTGACAGATGCCACCCACGCAACACTTCGTCAAAGGCCGACTTGACGCAATGCGCACCAATAGGCTTCATCACACTCCCCAGATCTACAGCCTTTCTCTTGTCATCTACCTTCAAGTTCGTTGACACCTTCTCCGCATACCAATCCGTGAACTGTTGTTGGTTCAATTATCTTATTGCCTTTGAACTTCCTTGATGACAGTCAACAGAATAAACAGACAATATATATCCCATTACAGATAAGATTCACATAGAGCAAGTTTCACAGGGTTAAATTGTCACTGCTAATTGTGTTGACACACCGCTGATAGAGCATAACCAATTGTCAGTGCCTCTCACTGAGTGAGATGTTCAATTCGCTCTACACATCTTTATTAGTGGTAATTGGGGCACGGGTGGCCCAGTCGTCTAAGGCGCCGCGATTCACAGGAACTCGATGATAGCGTGTATAGCAATATATATTCATATAGAAAAAAAATCACAACCCTCTATATACATATTGAGGGGTGTGATTGTTTTCTCTATACAAATATATCATGTTACACACACTATCATCGAGTTCCTGTGCCGCGATTCTCTGTGCAAATTTGTGTCCCTTGGGCACGCCAGAAACATATGATTGTGGGTTCAAATCCCTGTTTGCCCCGATTATGTTTCTAGGTTTGTCAGCACTATACCTGGGTTTCACTGAAGTGGTAAACGTCTGAGACCTGCATCACTTCGGGCTTTCCTCACACATTAAGCTGACACGCCGATGTAACTGGAATACTGTTAAAAGCGGCGTTAAACACAACTCACGCACTCACTGTTAGTGGTAATTAGCTTATCAGGGCTCAAATATCAGTTAGCTGTAAACGTTTATTCGCTGTAGAGAGTTTGTCATGTACATATATTCTGTATAAGATATGTGAGATGAATCAAGATTTTGTAACAGTTCATTGTACTGTTTGTTCGCTCTATCCATGGTCGTTCTATCTGTGTGGTACTGTTTTGGGTTCTTGACATTATTCATACAAAAATGATGTGAGCAGCTCAGAGTTAATTGGATAATGATGATTTGTTGTTTATATTTTACGACAACACACGTCTTATCTGGAGCTCTGTTCAGAAACACAATGATTCTGATTTCTTCCATCTTCCCGAGGCAAGAGGGTTAACTGACTATTAAAGTCCAGTTTCCACCCTTGCCAAAATAGGCTGGTATTATGAAGTTACATTTTGGCTGGACTAATGAGTCTATGCATCGTCCAATCAAAACCACGCAACGAAATCGAAATCCAGTTCGTAAACTGTTGTGCAGATTTCGGTCGATTGCAGGATTTGCAAAGCATGTGCAGCGCCAACTCGTTGTCAACAAACATTTTCAAAACCTTTTCATGTTTTTAATCAAGGTGCTCGCGTGATTTGATGCACTTCGCGATGTAAGACCCATTTTATCACAATTTAGATCTTGATTATCGATCAGATCGTATTGACTGGGTGCCGCCATGTTGTTTGAAACAAATGCAAGTGATGGAATCTGATTGGTCCATAGGAGGGGCTAAGAAGGGACATAACTCGTAATAACCAGTGGTGGCGCTACGATCGAGCCCAGGGATTCCAACCTAGTTCGGCAAGGGTGGAAACTGGACTTTTAAAGTCAGTTAACTCTCTTCCCTAGGAAGATGGATTTCTCATTGTTTGATGGTATGTTCTCTATCTATGATAGCTGTCAGTGAAAAGTCAGACTGGTGGTTTCTGTCAACACAGGTGCAGCGTGACCGAGTATGAGGCGGAACTGAGGGACAGGATAGGTATTGGAGACAACGGCTGCAGTGATGGCGGCCAGGACAGGTCAGTGGGTCACACAGCGTGTCTTGACATGGCTGCTCAGACAGTGTTCCCGGTGGCTTTTGAAACTCCCAGTCCTAATGGACTGGCAACTCTAAAAATTACCGATTTCCCCCCTATTTTTGTCACTCAACTTTCAACAAATACAAAAATATATGAAAAATATCCAGTATTAACTATTTAGCATCGTGTTCAATGCAATGACTTCATCTCTAAAGTAACTTAGTTAGATCTACTTGTTATTCACACAAAGTTCAGTCACAATTTTCTCTTTGTTTTTAAATATTTCAAGACTAAGTCTCTACAAATATATATTTAACCTCGAAGCACAGCCAAATGTTTTTTCCTTGCACTGAAAATAGATAATGGGAAACCCTGATGGTAACAGGCAAGCTGACTTCATTCTAAAAATATACTTATATGAATATTGCCTGTGTTTTGTCCATCAACAAAGGTACTTTATTTGCTGGTCCACGGGGACTGGCAGTCACATGATTTACCGGTCCAAAGCTTGCTTCACTGGTTAAAAACTGGTAATTACCGGTAAACGGAAACACAGGTCAGACAAGAAGTAGCTCTGCTATGACTCCTTGTATTTGGGGGCCATTGATAATTCCGCTGCCTGTATGATATCCACACTTTGTGCTGGTACTCGTATCCTGATGTCATGTGCCAATACAAGTATCTATAGGCATGATGGGGGATGTGTACAATCATGAATTTATGAATACTTTGGTGTCATGTACCAGGTACTGTCCTGATAACATCCCTTATCTTAACCCTGAGAGCGGAAGGTCCGAGGTTCGATCCCCAGCCGCCTCATACCAAAAGACGTTAAAAGATGGTACTGGTTGTTACCTTGCGCTCGGCATAAAGGGGCTAAAACAAGGATTGGTTGACTCGGAGTCAGTATACTGTGTCTGAGTGGGGTAATCATGTTAAACTACAGCATGGTATCTCAGTGAGCTAGCACTATAAATCGGCATCAGTCCGGACTAGTTCAAGCAGAGAGAGGCACACGCACACGCACACCACACCACAAGTGCATGCACGTCACTATGTAAGTGCAATAATCTTGGACATGACGTTAAACCCAATTTCACCTCACCTCACCTTATCTTAACATTCCTTTGATGATGGAGCGCGGCTCTTTAGCAGGACAAGTGTTGATCTTTCATTCTTTGCATACTGTCCCTAAGAGGCAGAATGGAGATTCTGGGTTAAAACTGATCCCCACCATCCAAGATCGGCACAAGAGGTGACCAAATGGATCAGGTGGTCAGGCTTGGTGACTTGGCTGATAAAGTGTCATTGTCCCCCGACGGCATGGATCATTGCTCACAATATTAATCAGTTGATTGTCATATAGCTGGAATGGCGGATATACTATAATTATGAAAAGATACAAACAAATATAGATAGGAAACTATAATAGGTATCATTAGAGCCCTCTCCAATATTTGGGATGTAAAGGTGGGATTCATTTTCGGTACCTCATGGTTACCGTTATGCGTCAGCGAGTGAGTTGTGTGTTACGCACCTTTGGACAGTTTTTGGTGTGGGAGGAAAGTCCAATATAGCGCAAGTCTGAGATGTTTACCACTTTGCTGAAACCAACAAGCCTGAGTATGATGTTGACAACTCAAGAAACATAATCAGGGTGAAGCTTTTTGTAGAGGGGGCGGTCGGGTAGCCTAGTGGTTAAAGCGTTCGCTCGTCACGCCGAAGACCCGAGTTCGATTCCCGACATGGGTACAATGTGTGAAGCCCATTTCTGGTGTCCCCCGCCGTGATATTGCTGGAATATTGCTAAAAGTGGGGTAAAACCATACTCACTCACTCACTTGTTGTAGAGCAGTCTAAGAAGGGTACTTGGTGGTCTGTCTCCGTGTCTTAGCTGATTGTATGTCACTGTATCCATATGGCAATGATTTGCGTAGCTCTGTATATTTACAGGCTGCTGTGAAGAAGCTGGAATATTGCTGACGACAGTAAAACAACACACATTTTGTAGCTCCTCACTAGTTTAGCAGATGCTCTTTGAGGTCATTGAGCGTAATTTAGCAGAGGCTCTCTGAGGTCGTTGGGCGTAGTTAAGCAGATGCTCTGAGGTCGCTGAGCGTAGTTTAGCAGATGTTTCTGAGGTCGTTTAGCAGATGCTCTCTGAGGTCGTTGAGCGTAGTTTGGCAGATGCTCTCTGAGGTCGTTCATCGTAGTTTAGCAGATGCTCTCTGAGGTCGTTGATCGTAGTTTAGCAGATGCTCTCTGAGGTCGTTGATCGTAGTTTAGCAGATGCTCTCTGAGGTCGTTGATCGTAGTTTAGCAGATGCTCTCTGAGGTCGTTGAGCGTAGTTTGGCAGATGCTCTCTGAGGTCGTTCATCGTAGTTTAGCAGATGCTCTCTGAGGTCGTTGATCGTAGTTTAGCAGATGCTCTCTGAGGTCGTTGAGCGTAGTTTAGCAGATGCTCTCTGAGGTCGTTGAGCATAGTTTAGCAGATGATTCATCATTGTTTCTCTTCAGGTCGTTGAGTGATCTGTTGCTGAATTTGGAGACCGATGATGCCAGGATGTGTCCTCGATGTACTGATAAGTCAGGTAACTGTGGCAACACTTCTCTGATAGTAATATCAGAATGATTCTCTGAACCCAGCTAACAATTTCACACTGTTACAACGTTGTGTCACCGTTGTGTTTACTATGTTACAATATCCCAGCAACTTTATTCTGTGGACTCACATTATGTTGTCACAACGATGTAGGCCAACGTTGTGATACGTCATTTTCACGTCGTCACAACATTGTATTTTAAGCTTTGGGAACATTGTAAAATTGTCGGAACGTTGTATTTTACGTTGTGGTAATGTTGTAATGTATATTGCTCATGTTATGATATTACGTCCCTACAAGGTTAATCTGTGGACTACCATGGATGTTGTCACAACATGATAAGGCACTGATATTCTGGGAAGGATCGGGGCCTGTGATTTTATCCAAAAAATATATTGTTGCCGAAAATTCTTGACAAAATTAATTATGCTTCAGACTGGTGGAAAAAAAAGAAATTGCCTGCAACAAAAATAAAAAATATATATCTGGTTTTGTAGTGACCGAAAATATGTCTAATTTCCGTAAAAAATCCTAAGTCCCACCCTCACCCCTTGAATAGTAAAAGGTCGGTCAATCATCAACACTATATAGTATATCTCTAATAAAGAACTTCAAGACACAGTTGTGTTGACATTTTAATATTTTTAGATAATTGATAATTTATACACTTTTCGAAATTATTAATTTCAGAATCTTCTTTCTTTGGTTTTGCCTTTATCCTCTTCCCTGAAATACCAAAAAGTCCCGAGCAGGTATTTGAAATATATATGAAGAGAAAATTCAATAAGAGATAAGTTTTATCAATATTCTAACAATAATGTATAATCAGCAAGTGCTTGATGGAAACATATTTTAACAGTCATTTCGGATTCAGGTAGCTGAATACTTGATGTGGAAACTAAAATTTCAAGATGCATGTTGAATACAAACCCTGGTACAAGATAGAACACAATTTATTTATACCAATACATTCTTAGCTTTCATTTCAAGCCACAAAACCACCAACATGTATATAGACAATGGGTTTACGGTACTTATGTTAACATAATTCACAGCCCTGGGTTTATTTGGTGTTTTTCTCATTGATCGAACATTCCTGTTTTTATCTATTGGAATGTTCGTCTTATTTTCACCCTGTTCCACAATAGAATAAAGTCAAAACTAGAACTTTATTCAATAAGAATATATTTATAGTTTATCCAAAAGGATAGATATACTGTATAATTGCCTAACATTTAGGACAAACTTGTGTAAATTTAATATCCATATCTACAACGTTGGATTGGAAATATCTCGGCCTACAGATTTTAAGTAACAAAATTATTGAGTGAGTACTTTTATAAGAAACACCTGATGTAAGTTAGTTCCAATGTCATACTCCGGTCTGAAAAGAATGGGTTCTTGGCCAGACAAACCAGTGATTGATATTATGAGCCACATCCCACAACCTCGGTCAGAGTACAATGACCCACAACCAACCTTCATTTTGTCTCCCCTTAACTGTTAGTACAAACATGGATTATTGGGGACCTATTCTTAACCGGAACCCAAACGGGAATAGATATATAAAACAGTAACAGGCCTTGTAACTAACTACGATTTACATCTTCATCGCTGCGCTGTTTATAGCTCCAGTACGATTTCGTAGCGAGCATTGTAACCAGACTCGTTTTCAATCACCATTTGTTTTTCACTCATTGTCAAAAGGTTTCATTGAACCAAGTATCATATGACATTTATTCGGTACTACATTTATTGAACATAATATAGTTAAATATTGTTAAATATTATTCTGTATAGTACATGGCAAAATATGGTGATCGAAAACTGAACGAATATGGTTGCGATCAATGTCATTGTATTTTTCATTGGTGCACATTGACTACACCTATCTCACCTTAATAATCAACAAAGGATGACCAATTCACTGACAATATATTGTGAAAATATTTGACTGTCAACTAGCTTATCACCACATCACTGAGGACCCGGTTACAGCGAACGACGAGAGACTCGTTTTACTGTTTCTCGTTTTCATTGGCAGGGAGTCGGACATATATATCCGAAAAAGATGAATTGATTCTTTTTGGGAAATTTCAAAAATACACATTATAAGCTCCTCGCTATAATATGACTTTAGACAACTCCAATAACCAGATGATCCACATTTAGGATATTTCAGACCGAGATAATTATTAGTCTTCAGCAAGCATGTTTCTGTCTCTTCCCCAAAATTAAATTTAATAACATCATTTAGCGCTTTAGACTAGGGCAATAACTAGCAGTCTACAGATAGTCGACCTGAAAAACTTTCATTGTTTTGATTCCCTCTCTTCACTGTACAACAGAAATCTACTCAATTCTTCCCAAGGACTGAAATGAGCAAAATTACTCATAGTTTCACAAAAATCAAAGTCATTAGATTAGTACATGTACAGTAAACTTTAAATAATGAGTGATGTCAGAAATGACACGGAAGAAATTGCGATAACTGTCAGTGGTCAGTAAGCGATGCACACGTTATATATTTGCTGTATGGTACAATCAAAAACCGATAATAATATGACGGCCACAAAACGCCCCCCGACTGAATTCTGGTCAAACAGATACTGTTTGCCCTTGATAATTACCCTTTGTATCCAACATAATAATAATAATATGGGAAAATAAACTAGGCCTCCTTCACCACTAAATACATTATGGTCTGTGTCGTAATATCAATATCAACACTGACACTCGGTGAAAGTTCAAAGTTCATTGAAACACCGCTAGTTCTGAGTAACAGGGGGCGGTCGGGTAGCCTAGTGGTTAAAGCGTTCGCTTGTCACGCCCAAGACCCGGGTTCGATTCCCGGCATTGGTACAATGTGTGAAGCCGATTTCTGGTGTCCCCCGCCGTGAAATTGCTGGAATATTGCTAAAAGCAGCGTAAAATCAAACTCACTCACTCACTTAGTAACAGGATACATTAATCATGTGCCTATCTGCATGTACAGAAACATAACACATAGCGGAGACTGCTTTTGAAAAATTAACTTACCTCATCCGAATTCACAGATCAATTATCCAGTTCCAGCTGGTGCACAATCACTTGGTTGTAATATGTCCAGAGTGAGCTTGAGCTAAGATGGCAGATGAGAACATATCTGCCACGATAATGTGACAAGGCTTTACTTTTCAGCAGTCGCTGTCACACAGGCCTAATTGTTTGACTGTACTATTTCTTGTAACACGATATGAGTAAAACGCTACTAAGAAAACACGGAGCTTTTTCTTACTCATGTAAGCTTTATTTTCATTAGACTTCATAAATAGATGTATATGTTTAAAAAAATAAAAAATTATAAATGGTAGATCTGCATTTATTATTTTAAAAAATGTTTTGTTATGTTCAATGCACAACGTTTTCATAACATATATTTGCAACGTTTTGGAATAACTTTACAATGTAGCGTAATAGTAGTTGTCTTAGAGAGACGCAATTACGTTCTGGAGATTTAAGTATTAAGGGATAAAAATCCAAATGCCGAATATATAGGAAAGTAATGCATTACTGCCTTGGTGTTCTGACGAAATCAAGTTTTGATGAAGCAATTCTATTTCCATATGACTCAAGAAGCAAACTGTATAGCGTTTCACCAATGTTTCCGAAACGTAGTTACAAAACAGTGTGTCATGTCTAATGCACAACGTTTTCACAACGTAAATGTGCCAAGTTTTAACTTTGTGTAAAAACATTACACAGTAATGTAATAACAACGTTGTGAAAACATTATAACAAGATAATACCAATCCACAACATTACCACAACGTTGTGAAAGCATAGTGTGTTAGCTGGGAAGCGCCTGGAAACACTGGCAACAATACTGTTAATATATGAAACTTTCTACCCATGGTTGTCACAGAGCCATCCTGATTCTGTATCGACTGACCTTGATGTTATGGATCGTCGCTCACGTTGCCAGCTACCCATAACGATCCAGCTAGAATAGGTCTTCAGCAACCCATGCTTGTCGTAAAAGGCGACTATGCTTGTCGTAAGAGGCAACTAACAGGATCGGGTGGTCAGGCTTGCTGACTTGGCTGATGCATGTCATCGATCCGATCAATTGGGATCGATGCATGATGTCAATCACTGGATTTTCTAGTCCAGACTCGATTATTTACAGACCACTGTCATATAGCTGGAATATTGCTGAGTGCGGCGTTAAACAACAAACAAACAACCTGAGCAAGATAAATACATTTTGTGCTGTTTGCGATAGATGTTGAATGATTTTGTTGATTTCTCAGATGATATTGTGGGTGACCTTGAACTGACGTATGTGCTGCGCCTACTGTTGCATGATGGAAGTGGATGGCTGGTGGCTAATCTGTGGCGAGGAGAGGCAGTAAGTGAAGAAGAATCTTGTCTTGCAGACAGATCGGAGGGCAATATAACTGTCATTTAAGTCAAATTCTTCTTCCAAAACAAACCATTGCTTCCAATCATTGAGTATTTTGTCTGTTACAAAAGGATTAGTGAAGGTGAGCTTCTGTACCTGAGGTTCTTGTTTCATCTCAGTATTGTTATACAGGTACACTATCATGGAAAGAGGGGCGGTCGGGTAGCCTAGTGGTCAAAGCGTTCGCTCATCACACTGAAGACCCGGGTTTGATTCCCGACATGGGTACAATGTGTGAAGCCCATTCCTGGTGTCCCCCACCATGATATTGCTTGAATATTGCTAAAAGCGGCGTAAAACCATACTCACTCACTCACTATCATGGAAAGGTCAGATATTGACATTTGTTCTATTCCAGACAAAGTTCTTGAAAGACATTCCACCAGAAGAAGCATTGAGCCACCCAGCAATTTTCACGGAGGTCAAGGACGCTTTGAACCAGATTTGTCCAGCAGATGTCAACATTGGTGACAAGCCTTGGGTTGAATGTTGTATTGCTGCCTACACTGGCACCACCAGTGTCAACTACCACATCTTTGACACAGTGGTGGTATAAAAGGACAAGGTCAATTATCTCCAAGAGGTCAAGGTCATGTCAGTTCAATCATGTACATGTGGTTGAAATGGCTGTGGCATGTCACTATGCATTACACAGTGTAACCAAGCTGAAATAGTCCACAAGACGTCAAGGTTATTCTAGTTGAACCCTACACCTGAGTGGTCAGAATTTTGACTCAACACCTTATGGTTTCTTGTACAGCTCTATACAATACACAGTTTCAGCAAGCAGTATCAGACTAGACATCAAGGTCAATGTGTCTGGGCTCAAAAGATGTCCTTGTTTCCAATATGATTTTTTAAGTGTTATTAAAAAATTGTAACACTATTTAAGATTAGTGTTTTCATTGTATTTTGTTTGTTTTCCTCTTGAAGGTGATGCAACTCAATTATTACGTATTATTTTGGTAACAGGAATTTATCTGGAACTAATTTGAGACCAATATTTGGTCTCAAGTCTACAGCAAATGCTGGTAAAATTCCCAAATTGGAATTTAGAAATTTCCCAATTGATGCTGTTATTATTACTAATGGTGTGGCTTTGTAGAGGTGACTTGTTTTTCACTGAAAACACAAATATATTAAGAAAGAGAGAGGTTTTAATGCTTTATTTAACATCATTGCATTGAATGCAGTGTTAAGATTAAAACTTAGAATTTAAGAAAAATCATGATTTTCTTCCCAATTGGATGCCAAGGATCATATTACATCCATACACTTGTACACTTTTGGAAATGTCTATTATGAATTTACAACATCAACAATTACTAAAATATTTCTATATTTGCCTAGAGTGAAATGCTGAGAAGTTGGTGGCTCTTGGGCCAATCTTGTGGAACATTTTCTTGATACTTCTACTTGAGTATACCCTCTTGGTATCTTTGGTGTCATCTGTCGGAGACCCACAGGTATATGACATGGTTCTTGTTGATACTCCATTGTGGGTGGGGAGCCAAGAGGGTGAAACACAATCACTACCACCATAGAACCCCAAATGAAAAAACGATCTCATGAATCACATGATTGCATTGATAATGAGAATGTTACATTTGAAAACTGGCCCAGATTCCTGGTTATCTCTGCTTTGGATGGCACTCCTCTGAAGCTTAATCCGTTTGCCGTTGAAAAGGCTATACAAGGCATAGCAGGAGGTGTTGAAGATGCCAAAAGACTACGCAGTGGATGTCTGTTGATAAAATGGAGGTGACACAAGCAAAATGTTAGTCTTCTTTCAATTAAGACCCTTGCAGATGTTCCTGTTTATGGTTTCCCCGCACAGGTTCCTGAACAACAGCAAGGGTATAGTGAGAGATAGAGGTAGTTTCCTTGCTGATATGAGGATGAAATTTTGGAAGAACCCAAAACCCAAATGTCATATCTGCAAAATGCTTTTCTTCCAAGAGGAATGGTAAGGTCCTTAAGACCAATACATACCTCTTCACTTTCGTCCTTCCAAAAATCCCAAATTCAATCAGAGCAGGATATTGTAACATCACTGTTGATATGTACATCCCTAATCTACTGCGATGCTACAAGTGTCCGCAGTATGGTCATGGCTCAAGCACATGTGACAAACAACCTGTTTGTCATAGATGTGGTGGCAACTGTGTGGATAGTGTTGATTGTGACAAGGATCCTCTGTGTTAACTGTGGCAGTAACCATTTGTCCTCTTCCAATGAATGTCCTACATTCAAGGGGGCACGGGTGGCCAAGTCGTCTGAGGCGCCGCGATTCGCTGTGCAGAGTTGCGTCCCTTGGGCACGCCAGAAACCTATGATTGTGGGTTCGAATCCCGGTTTGCCCTGATTATGTTTCTAGGTTTGTCAGCACCATACCCGTGCGTTTCACCGAAGTGATAAACGCCTGAGACCTGCATCACTTCGGGCTTTCCTCCCACATCAAGCTGACACGCCGCGATATAACTGGAATACTGTTAAAAGCGGCGTTAAACCCAACTCACTCACTCACTCACTCACTCACTCACTCCTACATTCAAACGTGAGTCGAAAATTGTTAAAATGAAACATGAAAGAAACATCTCATTTCAAGATGCGAAGAAGATTGTTTTAGATAAAGAATAGTCTCCTCGCAGTTCTTACTCCGCAGCCGTTTCAAGACCAATTTCAAAACCTGTTCCACAACGTGTTCAACAAGCTGTTTCATGCCAAGCCTTTTGATGTCAGACTGGCGACACCTGGACCAAAACAGAATCTCCTACAGTAATGTCTCTATCTGCGGATTCAACAACCGTTTTAAAAAACCGCCCTTTCACAAACTTCTCTCGACCAATCACAATCTCAGTCGCCTCCAACACTGCAATCTGAAACAAATGTCGTAGATGCCAATCTGTTTAATGAATTCGAATGGTCAGTCAACAATGACTTTGTGGAAGTGACCATTTTCCCACTGAAATTTCAACCGTAAATCCAACTGATGCCCCACCATCATCAAGATGGAATTTTACAAAGGCCAAGGTTTTTATTTCACACATTATGCACAGAAAGATTAAAGCCCGAATTATTTCTAAATGTTAATGATCCTATTCAAGTTTTTTTTTGATGAATTAAATATAGTTGCTGATGAATGTATCCCGAAGTCTTCCACGGTTCCACATATCCGTAAACCATGGTTTAACATGGACTGCAAACAAGCTAGGAAGAAGGCAGAAAAATATTTTCCCGGTCCATAACTTGAATCAATTTAACATTTCAAATGCCAAGGCTCATCGCACGTTTAAAAAATAAAGGAAAAGGGTCCAAATCTTTGATGGGTTCTCCATCTGAAGGAGGGTGACACTCTTCTAACATAAATCTGATATTGCTAATAAATTAGGTGACGCAGTTGCTAGTGCCACCAACATTAGATCAAGGACTAGATCATACAGAATACCAGATAACTGCACAGCCGAATCGAAGGCCATATCAACAGCATTGGAATACATTAGTGAACAATCAAAGCAATTTATTTTATTTTCAGACTCTTTCCTGTCTTCAGGCAATTACAAATCAATCTACCAAACATCCACTTTTGAATTATATAATGGACTTGCAACTGGCCAATACGTCATCGTTTTTTCCTGGTTACCAAGCCATGTTGGCATCATAGGTAACACAATGGCTCATGCTGCAGCTAAAACAGCACTAAACAAATTTGTGACACAATTTCTTATTCCATACACGGATTACAAGCTTGTATATCCGAGATCTGATGCAAAACAAGTGGGACACCCATGTAGGTATGAATAAATAACATGAAATTAAACCAAATATCGGTTATACCTACTTTGGTTGTCAGTCCAGGTTTTACGACGGTGTCGTATGGGCCATTCTCGTTACACCAATGAATATTTGTTGAAAGGTGAGGATCCTCCGTTCTGCATCCCTTATGATGGAAGAATCACGGTCAAGCATGTCCTACTTGACTGTTGATATTTCCATAAATATTTCAACGTTTCATTTGTGAAGGATCCATTTAATACTATTAGTTCTCATTTAAATATTGGCTTTTTAAAAATAGTATTGCATAATGAATTTTGTTAATTTGTTTTGTATAAAATAAATGGCTTTGAACATTGGTAGAATAAATTTATATCTGTGATTGTTCGTGGCTGTAAGGGTTAAAAGTAGTGTAAAATTATTGTCCACCTGAGAGGTATCGCAAGTCAATATCATTCAAGGATGATACCTACTCTAGTTTAAATCGTAGAATATGTGTTTTTTTAATTCGGCTAAATTTGTCAATTGCCAACACCTGAAGGGAGGGTCTAAATCCGGCTGGGGTCCATGCAGGAAGCTGAAGTACTGTAATTCCCCATGGCCCCTAGTATGGTGATCTACCTTCAGTTGCTGGCGATCTATAGCTCGTTTTTTATAAGGTAATGTTTTGTATAGTAATATCCATTTTATGATTCCATTCTAGTATTAAATATGTTTCTGTGATAAGTCTAGTTATTTTACTGTCCTTCGTTGGCAGTCACGATATGGCTGAAATATTGCCGATGTGACTTAAAATGTTCACTCACTCACTCATCATTTGAGCATGGATGAATTGTTGTCACATTGAAGAATGTACCAGTAAATAAAAGCTTGTTTTTTTGTCAGTATTGACAAGTCCTTGCTATTAGCTGTCCAGAGTTACGTCCCTTAGGCGGGCCAGAAACCTGTGATGATAGGTTCAAATCATGGTTTGCCCTGTTTGTTTCTTGGTTTGCCAGCACCGTACCTGTGCTGTCGGATTTATCAAACACGTGAATGTCTGACATGCATTTCTTCAGGCTTCAATGACACTCAAGCCTGTCCACTCGATCCCGTTACTCGCCTCTTGGGTTGCTGAAGACCTATTCTAACACGGATCTTAACGGGTATCACTGGTGTAGTCACTGGTGAAGTCCGTAACACGGTACGTTTCAAACTGAAAATATTTTAGAAACGTCTTAGTAAACACAATGACCGTCTTCTGGAACTTTACTGTGATAAATGAGCGAGCGAGTGAGTGAGTTGTGTGTAACGTCACCTTGAACAATATTCCATTTACAACTGGGTGTGTCAGCTTAATGTGGGAGGAAGGCCTGAAGTGATGCAGGTCTTAGACGTTTGCTACTTTGGTGAAACCCACGAGCAGGTAATCATTGGTTGGTTTGTTGTTTAACGCCGCACTCAGCAATATTCCAGCTATATGACGGCCGTCTGTAAATAATCGAGTCTGGACCAGACAATCCAGTGATTGATATCATGAGCATCGATCCACGCAATTGGGATTGATGACATGCATCAACCAAATCAGCGAGGCTGACCACCCGATCCCGTTAGTCGCCTTTTACGGCAAGCATGGGTTGCTGAAGACCTATTCTACCCCGGATCTTCACGGGCAGAGCAGGTAATCAAGGCGAACTGGGATTCGAACCCACGATCATAGGTTTCTGGCGTGCCTTAGACGACAGTACAGGGTATTTTAACTTAATATCTTTTGTCGATAGACAAGTCATCTGTTCCTAGGCAATTGGATTGTATAACTATTAGCAATTTCTAGAACCATTTTCCCAAAAGACAAATTTAATTTATAGAGATTTGGTTGACTCCCTTCAAAAATTAGTATCTTTGTTTTCGCATTACTTAAGTTAAGTTTACACGTTAATCCTAAAAAGTATCGAGTATTTTGCAGTACATAGGGTGTTTGCTCGAAAAGAACAGCATCGTCGTCAAGAAGAATGATAAACTGTATCCAAAATATAATATTATAGTTACCAGCACAATTAATCTCAATGTTAACCCCTCGGCAGCCTTCAGATATTAGGTAGGGTTCAATGTCATTTAGGAATATTTAAATAACGGAGGCGACAAGTTCTCTCCCTGTCTGACACATGTCTGGCGACATATTGTTTGCTTGTACCAGTGATTATATGTAACCATACATATTTTTCACTAAAGTCAGGAATTTACTTACAATATCACCGAAGTCCCAACCTCCAAATAGTGTCGAAAAGCTTGGTAAAGCCAATAAATGAACCACACAATTTCAGTTTCGACAATTTTAAAATATGCATTAGTGAATTTGGGAGGAAAATGTTATTTACCGCCATAAACCCTTTTTCGAAAACCCGCCTAAGCTGGGAATAAGATACCAATCATAAGATTCAAGAACAACGTGTCACGTGATTGCTCTCGTGCTGACATTCTTAAATTATTTAAGTAACGACAATTGATTTTTATAGTCTGAACCATATAACAATTAACATATATGAATACGTGATCCCAGTGCTGATTACTGGGTTGTATTCCAAAGACAAAGGAACACTTCACGTTCAGGCTCAAACTTACGGGAGACAGGTTGGCTTAGTGGTTAGTGCTATACAGACTATAGTTCTAATCACACATGGGAACGATTTGTGAAGTCAACCGGTTTCTAGAGACCGTGACACTGAAAGCGACGTGCGAGAAATACCCGATCGTGTTTGAGATGTTCCCTGATCACTGAACCGTACTTACTCAACAAGGGAGATCGTCGTTTGAAATGCCATTAGTGTAAATGACGTTCATCGAGGTTCATAGGACATACTACGGCAGATACAGACAGCATGTCTTGGCCAATGTGATGTACTTGCAGGAGACCTTTTAACTCAGGTAGGTAGGTGTTCTTTATAACCCTTACAGACTGATACACATATTTGGGCTCACTCGGTCTGTGTATTTTCCCACGGTGGAGTTCACAGTCACACCTCGTGTGTTGAGATCATACGATGTCGTGTCGGGCGATCGCTTCCTTACATATCAATATCATGTTAATGCTTCGGTCGTTTCAGGAAAGTCTGTCAAGAATAACAGATAGGTTATGTGCTGATAGTCTATAATACATAACGTCACTACACGATGTCACTGATAACGACAATCGTGGTATTTCATATTTACAAGTAAAATTACCCCAGATCAAATTGTTTATTTACCAGAAGTGAATGTATCGTCATCGTGATATCCTGTTACGTGTGAAAAGCGTTCGGAGAAAGAAAAAAAAAACAATTTTTAAAATTTTAGTTAAGGAATGAGCTCGTTTCCTGTCCCGTCTGGTCTCGTGGAAACACGAGAGTAATGAGCTCCCTCACCAACAGGTCCGGTTATTGTGGGTATCTACTCGTCCGTGTCAAAACAGTTGGACCGCTCACAACTTGGAAAAAAACACCTCGAAGCTATGATGTTCGATGTTTCACCTGTGACTAATAACCAGATAATAAACTTATAACCAGAAAGGAGACGGACGTCGCATGGTGACAATATTTGAGGACATATTGTCCTGCAATCGATACGTCTGTTAAGATAAGCAATACCGGGTACGTCTAGTACATCGCGGGGAGGGGGCGGGGGTCGTTTCAAATGTGCTTCATTCTATATGAAGAAAAAAGCCGGACAGGACAGCTTGTATTGAAATATTTCGATGTAGTCCGATTTTAACAACCATCTGCATTTTGTGAAGATGCATTGCTGCTTGGAGATTAAGACGATTAAACTATTCAGGGATTTTCTATAAGGGGACGTATAAGGGTGTAAAATGACTCGTAGTCGGAAGAAACCATTGTCCATAGGGCATTGTGCTGGAACAGAAAGCAACACTCTTATGACGTAAGGTCCGCAGCTCCTTAGGACCAGAGGACAATGGCGCCAAGTTCTGATCGCCCCAGGACATCTCAGCCCCAGTAGTCTAAGGCGCAGCGATTTGCTGTGCAGAAACCTATGCAGAAACCTTATGATTGTGGGTTCGAATTCCGGTTTGCCCCGATTACGTTTGTATATTTGTCAGCACCATACCCGTGCTCGTGGGTTTCACCGAAGTGGTAAACGTCTGAGACCTGCATCACTTCGGGCTTTCCTCCCACGTTAAGCTGACACGCCGTGATATAACTCGAATACTGTTAAAAGCAGCGTTAAACCCAACTCACTCACTCACTCACTCACTCACTCACTCAAGACTAGCATGGGAACCCCAGGAAGAGGGGCTCTCATGACAATATTTGTGTGAGAGTCGGCTGTTAACAATGCCGTCTTTGTATTAATCTATCGTACGGTGGTACTTTATTACACAGTGGTTTTTGTTTGGTAATATGATCTCCGTTGAAAGTCTTCAAGATTAGCCATCCCCAGTCCTCTCTGCATAAAGCGGCATTCATACTTGCGTTAGTAGCTGTGGTTATCCTTAGGGATATTAACGTAGCCAAAATAATACTAACGTGTCGAAATATGTCAAAAAAAAGCTTGACTACGTCGGACAACGTTTCTATATCAAAGTGTTACCAGGAAAATGTCAGTCAAATTACAGACAAGTACGTTGTACTAGAGTGAACAACATTGAAGTACGGAAAGGATGCTACGCATCATCTACGTTTTCCTACGTTAAGCTACGTTAGACTACAGTGGCTAGTACACTCAGGTAAGTTTAACTACATTTAAAAGCGTTACATTACGTTAAACTAGGGTAAACAACGCCCATTAAGCGCAAAAAGTACAGGGTATATAAAGAGTGGCTTTCATCATTCTTTCACTTTTGAATTCCTGACAAAGCACATATATTTCATTCCTTTCGTCATTTTGGTCTTAGTTAGGGTTAGCTTAACTAAAGTCTAGCTATGAGGAAAACAAGAAACAGGAGAGGTCAAACCCCAGCTTCTGACATTGCTGAGGTTACTGAGGTTCATGAGAATCCTGAGGTTCCTGATGTTTCTGGGGTTGCTGATCCGATCCATGAAGACTTGCAGGATATTGATAAAGTTGATGCCACTCCCCCAGATCCAGAAAGCTCTCAGAGTTGCAATGTCCAGGAAGAGGCAGCTGGCGCAAGTACAGGCACAAGCGAGGACTAAAGCAAATGCACATGTACAGCAACAACAGTCCCAACCTCATCCACATCTGCTGTCACAGACACAAACACAGCATCAGCAGCCCAAACCATCCCTCCAGTCACATCATCCACCAGTGGGGACTACCAGATGGCTTCAAATATTGCGGTTTCACAGCAGCAACATTGCCCAACGGGATAGATGCTACCCTGGCAGCATGTTTATCAACCGCAGCAGCCGCAGCAGGGACAGTCAGAGCGGTCTTCAAGTGCACCTTCTTCGCACTCTCTACAGGACTTCCTTTAATTCTAGAGTGGAGGTTTTGAGGAATGGATTGACCTTTGTTCCTGTTTGGCAACCACTGTCACCACTGCCTGGAGGATGAAGACTGTTGATGCTTCCCTGTATTTTTATTTTGTATGTTTGTTTGTATTTTAAACATAAAGTTGAAATAAAAAATACAAATGTGATGTTGTTGATATGATATGATATGAAAACAACCAAATTATTAACTAAGAGAGTTATGCTAACAAACCAAAAAAACCTGCTTGTTCCTATTGAAAGGCCATTTGAAACAAATTCTGTAAATAAGGTCCTATTTTCAAATATAGATAGAATCTAAATTGAAAATAGATGTTGGAAGACCCTCATTTCAATTAAAGGTAAAGCTTATGTATAGTTAAAGCTGCTTTACTGTATTTAATCGGTCAAATCTTAACCTTTAAAGGTTTTCAAATATTTTGATAGAGACATCTTTGCTTAGTATTCACGCAAAATCTGAGATCATTTTGTCGAAATTTAAGGGGTGAAAAGGAGGGTCAGAACTATTGGGTCGTACTCTACATACCTTATAGCACGTGCAAAAAGGGTGTGTGGTCATAATAAAAATGACTATTTGTTTCCATTAAAAACTCGAACATGACAATTTAACTACTAAATGAGGTAAATAGTTTCATTTCATGAAGAAAACGCAGATGATGATTTTAGTCTGAAACCAAACAGTAATGCAGCTTTAACGTGCAATATAGTTAATAAAGTTTTATTTTGACTACATGCAGCTCCCTTGGTTCATGAGTTGGCATAATCAAATGTAACATTCTGATAAAGATATAATTTCAAAGAAATTGTTCTGTCTAAATCACCTTTATCTTGTTAAGTTATAATATGCCTTTATTTAACATGAGAGTTTCTTTCAAAATCATTAATTCCAAGTACCATATTTTGAAAAGAAAGGTGTGAAATTACTTTGTAAATTTTATATTTTTCTAACATCATTATTGTTTGTTCTTGTTTAGGCTTGAATATAACAAAACTACAAGGACACAAACAAATACAAATGCACAGGTCTGATATTTTAATGAAAGCTGGTACAAGGGCATTAACTTAATAGAGTAAAACATGGTTCTTCACATTGCCCTTAAATTGGACGTTCAACAACAATTCAGTATTGGCGAAGATGTTTATCCTGCCATGGAACCGACCCTGCGGGTGAGCAAAGGTAATGTTTCAGGTAAATCCGCTGCTTCTTGGCTGCTACTGTGTCGGGCTTACCCCAATAAGTGTGATTCATGTCCTCCAAGTTGGCTGTGTCCCGCCAGGCACCAGGTACCAAGTTGTGGTTCGCATCTTCCTTGTCCAGGATCATGACATCATTGGAGGGGTTCCTTTCTCTCAGGCAGTTGTGCAGCACCACACACGTTCTCACTATCAAAGATGCAGTATCTACCTGAACCCGGAGAGTGCTAAGCAGACACCTGTATCTGTTTGCGAGTATCCCAAAGGCTTTCTCAACCACACGATGGGCTCTCGAAGAGCGATAATTGAATACTAGCTCATCGTGTGCCAGTCCCCGGCGAGAGAATGGTTTCATTAGCCAACTCTGCATGGCAAAGGCATCATCTGCAATGATGTAATAAGGTATATCAACATCATCAAATGGTAAAGGCTCTGCATCTGCTATACCCAAGATTCCCTGTTGTATTGGTTGGTGGAGGGCACAGTGGTTCCATATTTGGCTATCGAAACTACACCCAACATCACCAACCTGAATCCATCGGAATTTGTCATCTGCATCAACCAGGCCCGGTAATACAATGGAGCAGAACCCCTCGTAGTTATAAAACGTAGAGCCTGAATTGGAGGGCTTTTGTATGGCGATATGCTTGCCACCAAGAGCACCCAAGACATGTGGAAATTGCCATCTTCCTTGAAATCTCTCTGCCACTTGTAACCAATCTTGGGGTTCGATAGGAGTCTTCATAACCTCGGCTTCCATGACATCCAAAATAGCCCTACACACGGAAACAATAATCCCTGAGATGGTGTTGTGGGCAAGTCTGACATTAAACATCAGTGAGTGGTATGAGTCTCCAGTAGCCAAGAACCTTAATGTCACAGCCAGCTGGAGTCCAGGAGACACAGGATCGCGCCATCGGGTCCTATTCTTGGTGAGACGGTCCTCTACCCTTGCTAACAGTTCACTCACTCTGTACTCGTCGACTGCCTCCATGGTCTAGTGGATAGGTCGTCTGTGTAGGGAGCGGGAGGTCGGTGGTTCGATCCCCGGCTGCTTCACATGTAAGAAGTTAACAATTGTACTTGTTGTTACCCTGCCTGGCGTTCGACTTTAAGGTGATAAAACAAGGACTGGTCGGCTGGGAGTCAGCATTCTGTGTCTGAGTATGGTACCCATGTTAAACTGCGGCGTGGTTTCACAGTGGTCTCGCATGATAAAACCGGCATTAGTTCGGGAGTGGAGTAGTACTGGTGTAACAAGCTACACAGTGCATAAAAGTGAAATAATCTTGAACGCGACGTTAAACCGCTTTTCACCTCACCTACCATACTGTTCTATAGCTTAAGAACAACCAATTGATTTTCAGACGTTGGGGACGGGATTTTGGTTGGAGAATTGGGCTTGATTTTCGAAACGATCGTAGCCCGAAAATTAGCCTTCGTCTTTTTGAAGCGTCAATTTGAATCACCCAGTTTAACCAAATGAAATGCAAATGTTTGAACCTAAAGCAGATTATTTGTTTGAATAATATCTATGGCAAAGTATGCCACCATCTTGGATATAGGTAAAATAAACTTACGACAGGTATGGGGCTATCTTAGTTTTACGACAATCTTAGGGCTACGATAGTTTCGCAAATCTAGGCCCTGCGACATATTTAAGATAGTTTCGAAAATCTATCACATCTTAAACTTAAGATATCTTAGAACGTAAGTTCTTAAGATTTATCCAAGCTAAGATCGTTTCGAAAATCTAGACCCAGCATTTTTGTTTTATCTTAAGGAGCTTTATTATGTTTTCCATCATAGAGTTTTTAATAAATTTTAATTGAATACAAATTGTATTTTTTGGAAATCAAATGGTAGCTCCCTTAGGGTCCGTGCTCTGTGTTGTATTTTGTCAATGGCCAGTTTTCCCACAGCTGCCTATCTCTACTTGCAGAAACATCATGGACTGCCTCGTCTGCAGCAATTACATATTTGAGACCGTTGCCGTAGCAACCGTTTGAGCGATCAACACGTGCAGGATGTACACGATAAGTGACCAACCAGCGGTAAGCGCCAAACCACGTGGTCGCAATGCCTACGTCACAGATTCATCATCGATGTCATCCTCAGTGTATGACAAGGTATGGTCATCATATATTGAGGTGTAATTGTCATATTTCAACCCAGAATGATAAATCCACAGTTCGTGACATTTAAGTACAAGGACGAGGATTCGGAACAAAGATACAGTATCTATAATTTACATATATCATATTTCACACCGGGAGATAAAAATGCTTTTGCCGTCTCAAAATGAGAAAGAACATTTATGAGGGGATAAAAACAGAAATTTATTATCCTCCCAAACAATTTTAATTAGAAAACAATAAAACAACTTTTTACAAATTCTTTTTGGCCGACTGTTTTTCAATTAGGTGAAATGAAAAGAGGATTTATCACCGCTGTTCGTAAGAAATGGCGAATGTTACGTAAAAAAATCCAATCCAACAAAAAAACAATAAATTATCTTTTGGTATCTTCGTTGCTAATGTTTGTTTTGGATTCATTTGTACCAGTACTAATCTGGCTGTTGAATTTGTTTGTTTCCGAAAACTTTGACCACCTACATTGAATTTTAGTCCAGGAAATTTGTAAAACAACTACTAAAAAATGAAAGGCCTAATATTTAATAAATAAAGAAGGTTGTGCTGAATTTTGTGAAATGTAAAGAGACATATCACTTTTATAGTGTCAAATAAGTATATTTTGATGAAGTAAACAAACATACATTGTACATCCAAAATAATATTGATGTAGAAATATATAAACCAATAAACCAATAAATATCCAAACGCCCTGAAATGACATTAAAAAAAACCCACCCCCATATCCTTTCAGGAGACCCCAAAGACGAAGTCAGGGGCGTCCTCCGAGACTATGGAGCCTCGGGTCGTGTATGGCGTTGACGAGAACGAGGAGCGGGGCAACTGGAGCGGGCGGATGGACTTCGTGCTGTCCATGCTGGGATACGCCGTGGGGCTGGGGAACATCTGGCGCTTCCCCTACCTGTGTTACAGGAACGGAGGGGGTGCCTTCCTCATCCCCTTCATCCTCATGCTGGCTATAGTCGGCATGCCGTTGTTCTTCATGGAGGTGTGTCTTGGGCAGTTCACCAGCTGCGGGCCCACCACCTGCTGGAACTTCGCGCCTCTGTTTCAAGGTAGGTGGGACGTTGATTAACGCACGTGGCAAGACGTACCGTATTCGACGTAAAATGCGCCCAGGGCCCTCTCAAAATTAGAAATAGGGTGTCTTAATAGAATATAATTTTGGTGAGATTAAAACGAGGTTGAAAGATTGTAAATTTTGTGGTTTATGCCGACAGCCTGAAATGATATAAAAGAAGAATGTGTGTGTATTATACACGATAGATATATTTTCGAGAATTGAATTGTCCATAATTAAGGGTGCATATAACAAACGAGTGCGAATAAATAAGTCTTGTGTACATTGATCAATCGGAAAGGGTGCTAACTGGGATTGTTCACTAGCCAATATATTAGCAAATAACGCCGTGGGCCCTTATTAGAGCGGGGCGCTTATTACGTCGAATACGGTACTTGATGATTGGGGTGGGCATGATAAGTCGGATTTCGAGATTTCCCCTTGTAGTTTTGGGAAAGAAATATAACAGGTTAGACTAGCTTCTAGTCTCTAGAATGAACATGCCTTACAGAAAAAACAGTTGTTGAATTAACTTAATAAAAATATAATAAAAAGGAGCCCAGAGACTCTCTTCGTCCTGATACTGCAGTGATCTAGACTTGCCAAACATTATAGCCTTGCATTGGCTGTAGTGGATATATTTGAATCAGAGTCTGTATGACAGACTTAAAGATGTCGGTGCCCAGAAATACACTCAATACCCTATAGACAGTCACCTTGTTTTCCACACAGACAACAAGCACCCGCTGATGAAAAACCTTCACACCCTCCAAAATGTTGACTGGTGCCAACTGACCAAATTTTTGAGTATTTCCAAAGCAAACTGACCAGAATTCCTATCTCCTCCATTGAAAATTACATTGAATCTTGATTGATTTCAATGGAGACCGGCCCGAATGTCCGGCTGGAGATATTATTTCCAACTGGTTGGGAAGAAAATTTGAATCTTGTCAAGGCAGAAATATGATACCCAGAGATGCTCAGTTGCTACCATCCGTTTAAGATACAGGGAGTCTGTCTGAATGGCATACATTGAGTTTGAAATAATGTGGTAACAGATACATGTACATTTAACAATGGCAAGTACATCCCAGCATAATATACTCAATATTTCCGCGTTTTGGCCAATGTTGGCAGGTGAAAAAAACTAGTGCCATAATCTACAAATATTTTCTTTATGTACAATGTAGGCCGAAGAAAAGCCTAGCGTCATAAAAAAATGCACATATCTTCAGTCGGCTGGGGAAAAGAAAAGCGGTTTATAATCTACCAATATTCCATGCATACAGTGAGTGATTGAGGTTTTACGCCGCTTTTAGCAATATTCCTGCAATATCACGGCGGGGGACTCCAGAAATGGGCTTCACACATTGTACGCATATCGGGAATCGAACCCGGGTCTTCGGCGTGACGAGCGAACGCTTTAACCACAAGACTGCCCGACCGCCACCATGTTTGTTGGTTTGTTGTTTAACGCCGCACTAGGCAATATTCCAGCTATATGACGGCGGTCTGTAAATAATCGAGTCTGGACCAGACAATCCAGTGATTAATATCATGAGCACCGATCCACGCAATTGGGATTGATGACATGATGATGTATCAACTAAGTCAGCGAGCCTGACCAACCGATCCCGTTAGTCGCCTTTTACGACAAGCATAGTCACCCGCCCCCATACATGTACACAGTGAGGGTGAGGTAAGACATATCACACAGAAAGCGTCCATGTAGACAATATGAGTGAAATAATCTTTTTCTTCCTCCCAGGTGTGGGGTTCGGCATGCTGATCTGTTCCGGCCTCGTGTGCATCTACTACAACGTCATACTCACCTACGCCTTCTTCTATCTGTTTGCTTCATTTACGAGTAGTCTCCCTTGGACAACCTGCGCGAACGACTGGAACACTGACGGTAAGGTGTACACATGTTACATTCAATGTGTATATGACTGACATTTTCAAAATGCCAATATATTACAATCATTTTACAGTTATCTTTTCGTCAGATTGACCAAAAGTTTGATATAAGTGCAAAATGGCTTTATAAACATCACAGTAGATTAATTATGCTAGATTTAGATCCCAAATACTTTTAAAAATATACATTGACGATCGGTTTCTTTTAATTCATATCGGTGTGGTCGGGTAGCCTAGTGGTTAAAGCGTTCGCTCGTCACGCCGAAGACACGGGTTCGATTCCCGACATGGGTACAATGTGTGAATGATATTGCTGGAATATTGCTAAAAGCGGCGTAAAACCATACTCAATCACCCCAATTTCAATTCTATCATTTTCAGTCACTGGGTAAAAAAATATATCATAAAATATTTTTCGTGGGCTTCGCCAAAATGGTAACGTCAAAGGCTTTCCTTCCACACGAAGCGAACTGATGTGACTGAAATTAAAGCCAACTCACTCACTCACTCACTCACTCAGCAATATTCTAGCTATATCTTGACGACCTGTATATAACTGAGGCCAGACAAACCAGTCGCTGATATCATGAGCAACGTCCCACGCCGTCGGGGTACGATGACACGCAATCAACCTAGACAACCCGATCCAATCCGGCCCGTGGCGCGTCATGCGCAGTTGGGGCCTATATTTACCCGGCTTCCAATCAGATGGCTATAGATGTAATAAGGATGATATAAATATTACAGACTGCAGCCTGAACCATCCCCTGACGACCTGCGCGGAAGGGGGGACCCGATACAGCAACGGCACTTGCTACACCGACGGCGAATACAGCGGCGTGTGGAACAACTCCTTGTTCAGCGAGGCCGGCCTCAAGAGGACCTCGCCGTCCGAACAGTACTGGAAGTAAGGCTACAGGGAGATGTTTTACTCACATCATAAGCAACTTCTTGCACGAAACCTTAGAATTTCCAGTACTATTTTTGTCAATGATTTGTTTGTTTGTTTGTTTGTTATTTAACGCTGCACTCGGCAATATTCCAGTTATACGACAGCGGTCTGTAAATAATCGAGTCTGGACCAGACAATCCAGTCATTGACGATGGCATGCATCAACCAAGTCAGCGAGCCTGACCACCCGATCCCGTTAGTCGCCCCTTACCACAAGCAAAGTCGCCCTTTACGGCAAGCATGGGTTGCGGAAGACCTATTCTACCTTTTATCGTTTGTCAATGAATGAATGAATGAATGAATGAATGAATGAATGAATGAATGTAATACATATCTTTTAAAGTTCTTTAATTTTGTAAATGAATAAATAAATTTCTTTTGCTTTTCTTTAAATTTATAAATATTTAAATAAATAACAAGAAGAAATTTTCATCTGTGCTATTGTTTTTCATATCCTCATGAGGGGCGGTTGGGTAGTCTAGTGGTTAAAGCGTTTGCTCGTAAGGCCGAAGACCCGGGTTCGATACATGGCTACACTGTGTGAAGCCCATTTTCCGGTGTCCCCCGCCATGACATCGCTGTACTGTTGCTAAAGGCGGCGTAAAACCATACTCACTAATTCTTATCCTAATGAACTTCAATAATGCCTGTCAGTCATTTAATCGCATATACCCTTGAATACCGTGCAATAGTTTGACTACAGTCCTTCATGCATTTCCTGATTAAGCAATTTCTGATTTGTCAAATCAATTAATAATAAAGTTCCTGAGGTCCAATGTGTTGAGCTTTTTGCTGAAAACAGACCATGTACCTTGAGGCTCTTGGTCAAATACAACCACGATATATGAACTGTGTTTATGTGACGCCATTGTTTGCAGCAACTACGTGTTGGGTTTAAGCAGCGGTGTTGATGAGCTGGGCAGTCCCCGCTGGGCGTTGACCTTGACCTTGCTACTTGCTTGGATCGTTGTCTTTCTCTGTCTCAACAAGGGTATCAAGACCACAGGCAAGGTAGGTAACTCTTTATACGATAGTGACCATACGTGATCGTACTGTCACAGGAGATACTTATTTGAAAATGTATATTGCAATATTCTATATGATCAGTGTCGTCCTGTATGTATTTGGTGGTAAAGCCGATGTGTTGTGGCCAGGTGGTGTACTTCACGGCGCTCTTCCCCTATGTCGTCCTCGTTATCCTGTTCTTCCGCGGGGTGACGCTGGACAACGCGTGGGAGGGTATCTACTTCTACATCGTGCCCCGCTGGGAGAGGCTGGCAGACGGCAAGGTGAGTCGGGGAAACGGGTGTTCAGGGGAGAGGGTGTTCAGGGGAGAGGTTGTTCAGGGGAGGGGGCGTTCAGGGGAGAGGGTGTTCAGGGGAGAGGGTGTTCAGGGGAGAGGGCGTTCAGGGGAGGGGGCGTTCAGGGGAGGGGGCGTTCAGGAGAGAGGGTGTTCAGGGGAGGGGGTGTTCAGGGGAGGGGACGTTCAGGGGAGGGGACGTTCAGGGGAGGGGGTGTTCAGGGGAGGGGGTGTTCAGGGGAGAAGATGTTCAGGGGAGGGGGTGTTCAGGGGAGGGGACGTTCAGGGGAAGGGTGTTGAGGGGAGGGGGTGTTGAGGGGAGGGGGTGTTCAGGGGAGAGGGTGTTCAGGGGAGGGGGCGTTCAGGAGAGAAGGGGGAGGGGGTGTTTAGGGGAGGGGGTGTTCAGGGGAGAGGGTGTTCAGGGGAGGGGGTGTTCAGGGGAGGGGTGTTCAGGGGAGAGGGGGTTCAGGGGAGAAGGGGGCGGGGTTGTTCTGGGGAGGGGATGTTCAGGGGAGGGGGCGTTCAGGAGAGAGGGGGTTCAGGGGAGGGGGTGTTCAGGGGAGGGGGTGTTCAGGGGAGGAGGCGTTCAGGGGAGGGGGTGTTCAGGAGAGAAGGGGGAGGGGGTGTTTAGGGGAGGGGGTGTTCAGGGGAGAGGGTGTTCAGGGGAGGGGGTGTTCAGGGGAGGGGTGTTCAGGGGAGAGGGGGTTCAGGGGAGAAGGGGGCGGGGTTGTTCTGGGGAGGGGATGTTCAGGGGAGGGGGCGTTCAGGAGAGAGGGGGTTCAGGGGAGGGGGTGTTCAGGGGAGGGGGTGTTCAGGGGAGGAGGCGTTCAGGGGAGGGGGTGTTCAGGGGAGAGGGTGTTCAGGGGAGGGGGCGTTCAGGGTATGGGGCGTTCAGGGGAGGAGGCGTTCAGGGGAGAGGATGTTCAGGGGAAGGGGTGTTCAGGGGAGAAGGGGAGGGGGTGTTCAGGGGAGAGGGTGTTCAGGGGAGGGGGCGTTCAGGGTAGGGGGCGTTCAGGGGAGGGGGTGTTCAGGGGAGAGGATGTTCAGGGGAAGGGGTGTTCAGGGGAGAAGGGGAGGGGGTGTTCAGGGGAGAAGGGGGAGGGGCTGTTCGGGGGAGGGGTGTTCAGGGGAGAAGGGGGAGGGGCTGTTCGGGGGAGGGGTGTTCAGGGGAGAAGGGGGAAGGGGTGTTCAGGGGAGAGGGTGTTCAGGGGAGAAGGGGGAGGGGGAGAAGGTGTTCAGGTTAAAAGGTGTTCAGGGAAGAAGCTGTTCAGGGGAGAGGGTGTTTGGGAGAGGGGGGGAGAAGGTGTTCAGGTTAGAAGGTGTTCAGGGAAGAAGCTGTTCAGGGGAGAGGGGGGAGAGGGTGTTTGGGAGAGGGGGGAGAAGGTGTTCAGGTTAGAAGGTGTTCAGGGGAGAGGGTGTTCAGGGTGTTATGAAAAAATGGCTCACATATTCCTTACTCCACACACAGCCAATCTACGACAGTACAGAAGTTCTATATTGAATGTCTGCATCTGATGCATTTTTCTATGATTATACCTGCAGGTATGGCGAGATGCGGCCGTGCAGATTTTCTACTCCATGGGCCCCGGCTGGGGAGGTCTCATTGCACTGTCCAGCTACAACAGGTTCCATAACAATGCTCTCACGTGGGTGGACTTCGCTACATCGATCTATTTTCTAATCGCTGAATCTAAAAATATAAAATTCACAAGTACTTGCATATCCTTCTTTACTGTTTATTTTAAGTACAAAGATCAGTAAAACTGATATGACCATGCATAATTAACAACTGCTGCATTAATTGCAATGAGTCGTAATGTCAGTCGTATCATGTTGCTGACCTGTGTGTATTTTCAGCGACTCTCTGATTGTGTCGCTGGGGGACAGTCTCACAAGTATATTCGGAGGTTTTGTGATATTTTCGTATCTCGGATACATGGCCGGGAAACTAAACGTCGACATAGAAAATGTCGTGAAAAGCGGTAAGTTTATGACCAACTGTTGAAAATAAGACATCTATCAATATATAATAGATATTTGAATTAGTATTGTTATCATCATGAATGCATATTACAGTGGGAGTGAGGTGGTTGCCACAGTATTTCAGTGATGTCAGCTTGATGTGGGAGGTAGGCCAAAGGTGTTGGAGATCTTAGACGTTTAGCACTCTGGTAAAGCCACGAGCACCGGTATGGTGCCTGCAAATCAACGATCATAATCGGGGCGTATCTGTATTCGAACCCACTGATCAGCTGATCCTGGCACAACTAAGTGGCGCAATCCCGAACACCGAATTTGCTTCACCATTAACCACTGAACTAGCCAAGGACGAACATAAACTGGTGTATCCGTGTTTGAGTGGGTTAAGACGATTTTTCCTATTTATTATCCTGCAATCTCGACCAAATGTCCAGTTTAAAGTTTATCCAGCCTTTTAATTGTAGTTTCACGTGAAAGTTATCACTTTTTATCCCCCCAGCATATAATGCTGTGGATGTAGTCATCATCTGGTCCGTCTGTCCGTTTGTCCGTCTCTATTTCGTTTCCGGAGCATAACTTGAAAACCGTGAAAGATATTACATCCAAATTCGTTATGTGTTAAACAGGGGGTGAAGTGGTGCTTTTTGCTATTTAGGATTTAAAAAAAAAAAAAAAATTGTATACAAGAAAAATGTAGCTGAAACGAAGGTTCGTGTCCTTTCCTGAGCAGAACTAAAAGAACTATTCACATTTTTCATCCAAACTTTGTACGTGTACTTTCAGATTTAAAAAAAATAAAATCCATAGCAACAAGGTTTACTTAAATCTCTAAAACTAATAGTTACTCTTGTTTTGAAACTGTACACACACAAAGAACAGGTAGTCAACTGATGCTTTTTGCTATTTAGGGATTTAAAAAAAATTATATTTTTCCGTTTCCATGGAAACCATTTTGGCTTTGATCATATTGGTGTGTATTTGACTTTGAAATGCAAAGTTTCAAATCCCAATTCAATGATATTCTTTTGATAGCTCAATAACTACCCTTGTATACGGACAGACAGACTAGATAGACTCATCAAGTTGGACTTACAGTAACAGTCAGATGATTTGTTGTTTCAAATGTGTAGGGGCCGGGGGATTTGTCACCTGATGACTCTTGTTATTAAAGGAAAACGTCTTGTGTAATATTTACGTTATATTCGGCACCATGGGGGCCTCTAAACCTGTCTGTTAAATACCATCAAGAGGTATAGTCACTCTGTCCTATACTATTAGTTTCCATGGGACCGCCTCCGTGGTCTAGTGGGAGAGCGTCCGCCCGACCGCGTCATACCAAAAGACGTTAAAAGATGGTACTTGTTGTTACCCTGTCTGGCGCTCGGCATTAAGGGGATAAAACAAGGACTGGTCGGCTCGGAGTCAGTGGGGTATTCATGTTAAACTGCGGCATGGTATCTCAGTGAGCTAGCACAAAAAATCGGCATCAGTCCGGACTAGTACAAGCAGCCACACAAACACACACGCGTACATGTGTACACGTCGCTATATAAGTGCAATAATCTTGGACGCGACGTTAAACCCCATTTCACCTCACCTCACCTAGTTTACATGGCATGACATGTTCAGCTGGGCAGCTACAAGTATTATCTTTGTTCTCCAGGGGCTGGCCTTGCATTCATAGTGTACCCGGAAGCGGTTGCGTCACTTCCGGCTCCACCTGCGTGGGCCATCTTGTTCTTCTGCATGCTTATTACCCTGGGACTAGACAGTCAGGCGAGTTGTGTCCTTCTATTAATTCTCTGCATGTTTACAACTATCATCTAGTCTTTGAAAGGCATTTAGAAGTGAAACACATAAGGAAGAGAATTTATGGAAAGCAAGTTCCAACCTAATTAATGTAAAGTGTTGACTTCCATTGTCTATTGCTAACCACCTTTCAGCGGCAATTATATGGTGGCTTCCCTTGTAAAGTTTCCACCTTTGTTATCTGATTACTTTGTTGTTCTTACATGTACATAAAGGCCGCCTCCGTGGTCTAGTGGTAGAGCGTCCGCCCGGAGAGCGGATGGTCCGGGGTTCGATCCCCGGTCGCGTCATACCAAAAGCCGTTAAAAGATGGTACCTGTTGTTACCCTGTCTGGCGCTCGGCATTAAGGGGCTAAAACAAGGACTGTTCGGCTCGGAGCTAGTATACTGTGTCTGAGTGGGGTATTCATGTTAAACTGCGGCATGGTATCTCAGTGAGCTAGGACTATAAATCGGCATCAGTCAAGACTAGTTCAAGCAGCCACACACACGCGCACACACGTGCATGCACGTCGCTATATAAGTGCAATAATCTTGGACGCGACGTTAAACCCAATTTCACCCCACCTTACATATATATGCTCTCTGCCTCATGGCATTCATTCACCTGATGGAGTAAACATATACTCCGAAACGTTGTGTTCCTCATAATAAAGAAGTTGACATACATAAGTTCTCTTCCTTAACCATTAACTACATATGACAAACCTCAAACCGAAGTCGTTTACGGCTTTGGACGAAAATGTAGCGTTCATAAACAAGTATTAAATGAATGTTTGGCTGGACTGACAATAGTACTGCCTTCAGCGTCAGTGACTAAACTAACGTTAAATGTTTTTAACACTTGGTTAACCGCCTCGCATAATGTTGTCTGTTTAGCCGATTGTGTAAAATGTCTTCCGCTTCAGACGCTCCACATGTAGTTCAACTCCGTGTCTGTGTTCTTCAGTTTGCTCAGGTGGAGACGGTTCTGACTGGGACACTGGATCTGTTCCCTCATCTGAGAGCCCGCAAGACGCTCGTCATCCTCTTCATCTGTATCTGTATGTTCCTCCTGGGACTTCCGCTTGTCGCGCCAGTAAGTGTTGTGTGACTTCCGATTGTGACGCCAGTAAGTGTTGTGTGACTTCCGCTTGTGACGCCAGTAAGTGTTGTATGACTTCCGCTTGTGACGCCAGTAAGTGTTGTGTGACTTCCGCTTGTGACTCATGTAAGTGTTGTGTGACTTCCGCTTGTGACTCCTGTAAGTGTTGTGTGACTTCCTCTAGTGACGCCAGTAAGTGTTGTGGGACTTCCGCTTGTTGCGCCAGTAAGTGTTGTATGACTTCCGCTTGTAACGCCAGTAAGTGTTGTGTGACTTCCGATGGTGACGCCAGTAAGTGTTGTGTGACTTCCGATTGTGACGCCAGTAAGTGTTGTGTGACTTCCGCTTGTCGCGCCAGTAAGTGTTGTGTGACTTCCGCTTGTAACGCCAGTAGGTGTTGTGTGACTTCCGATTGTCGCGCCAGTAAGTGTTGTGTGACTTCCGCTTGTGACGCCAGTAAGTGTTGTGTGACTTCCGCTTGTGACGCCAGTAAGTGTTGTATGACTTCCGCTTGTGACTCATGTAAGTGTTGTGTGTCTTCCGCTTGCGACTCATGTAAGTGTTGTGTGACTTCCTCTAGTGACGCCAGTAAGTGTTGTGGGACTTCCGCTTGTCGCGCCAGTAAGTGTTGTGTGACTTCCGCTTGTGACGCCAGTAAGTGTTGTATGACTTCCGCTTGTGACGCCAGTAAGTGTTGTATGACTTCCGCTTGCGACTCATGTAAGTGTTGTGTGACTTCCGCTTGTGACTCCTGTAAGTGTTGTGTGACTTCCTCTAGTGACGCCAGTAAGTGTTGTGGGACTTCCGCTTGTCGCGCCAGTAAGTGTTGTGTGACTTCCGCTTGTGACTCCTGTAAGTGTTGTGTGACTTCCTCTAGTGACGCCAGTAAGTGTTGTGGGACTTCCGTTTGTTGCGCCAGTAAGTGTTGTGTGACTTCCGCTTGTGACTCCTGTAAGTGTTGTGTGACTTCCGCTTGTGACGCCAATAAGTGTTGTGTGACTTCCGCTTGTGACTCCTGTAAGTGTTGTGTGACTTCCGCTTGTGACTCCTGTAAGTGTTGTGTGACTTCCGCTTGTGACTCCTGTAAGTGTTGTGTGACTTCCTCTAGTGACTCCTGTAAGTGTTGTGTGACTTCCGCTTGTGACGCAAGTAAGTGTTGTGTGACTTCCTCTAGTGACGCCAGTAAGTGTTGTGTGACTTCCGCTTGTTGCGCCAGTAAGTGTTGTGTGAATTCCACTTGCAACGACAATAAGTCTTTTGTAAGTTTCCCTTGTCACGCCAGTAAGTGTTTTTGGGGAGTGGTTTCATTGGTTAAGAGTTAGTTAAACACTTGTCGGCGTTATGTCAACTTTATTAAAACAGATCTTAGTTCTCGGGGCCGCCAAACACGGATCTGAGGACATGCCCTTACGGGTCACGTCAGACGACCTTCCATCTGACCAATCAGAGCGTCGCTTACCAGATCGGGAAACATTCGTGACCAACTCGTGTTATTCCGGGACAAGCCGAATTCCGAAAGGGGCGAGTGGTGACGAATGATCGGGAAAGTAACAGTCGGAATGTGTTTTCTAATCATGCAACCTCGAAAAGGTTATCACGGTTCCGTCAAAATCATAGTCTGTGTCGTTTCAATGGAGTAAACAATTGAAACGGAAGGGACTTTCCATAGCCCGTGGGAGGTCCTGCCATACAATCCCGGCCATCGATAAGACATTTTATTATGTACAATTTTCAAATTTTGAATCAGTATTTTTCAAAGCGTAGTCTGGAATGGTAGTCGTCAGTTTGAAACGCGTGCCGTAAAGCTAAAAAAACTACTTCCATAATGTCTAATGTCGACTTCTTGTTAGTCATTTCATTGGTAGGTCAAAGTTCGCGAAAGGTCGTTCTCCCTTGACCTATAGTGGTGTGTCGTCAGATCTTTGTGTTCATACATGACCTTCACCATCATGTCAGTTTGTGACCTTGACCTTTTTGTCTCCCAAGGGCGGGATGTACTGGCTGCAGCTGATGGATCACTACGCCGCATCCTGGTCACTGCTGGTGATATGCCTTACCGAGAACATCGCCGTCGTCTTCATCTACGGTTGGTTGAAGCATGTGTTCTTACCACGTTTGAAAACTTAATACACTTTCTCATAAAAGTAGGGGACACGGGTGGCCCAGTCGTTTAAGGCGCCGCGATTCGCTGTGCAGTGTTGTGTCCCTTGGGCACGCTAGAAGTCTATGATTGTGGATGGGAATCCCGGTTCGCCCTGATTATGTTTCTAGGTTTGTCAGCACCATACCCCTGCTCGTGGGTTTCACCGAAGTGGTAAACGTCTGAGACCTGCATCACTTCGGGCTTTCCTCCCACATTAAGCTGACACGCCGTGATATAACTGGAATACTGTTAAAAGCGGTGTTAAACCCAACTCACTCACTCATAATAGTACTGACGGTTATAGTTCAATGACAAATGGGTGCGATGGGGTTACCAGATGGTTAAAGCGCTTTCGTCACGTTGAGGGCCCAGGTTCGAATCCCATTTGTTGTGCCCACGTCCTTGATATTGCTGAATAATTCAGAAAGCATTTTTCTCACGCTATTCCAAAATAATGACGAAATGTTATATCTAGGATAGGATGCACATGTTACAAGTCACGACTTGCGCCAGTATTTTACAGGGGCACGCCATAGATCAGTCATGATGTTGTTTGCTTGTTTGTTGTTTAACGCCGCACTCAGCAATATTTCAGCTAAATGACGGCGGACTGTAAATAATCGAGTCTGGACCAGACAATCCAGTGATTAATATCACGAGCATCGATCCACACAATTAGGATCGATGACTCGCATCAACCAAGTCAGCGAGCCTGACCACCCGATCCCGTTAGTCGCCTCTTACGACAAGCATAGTCACCTTTTACGGCAAGCATGGGCTGCTGAAGACCTATTTTACCCCGGATCTTCACGGATCTAGTCATGATGTAAACAAACGAAAACACATGATAGGTTGATTGTAACGTAAGGTGTCCGAACAAATAGGATGGAGTGCGATGTTTCATCCGCCAAGTGATTCAGCTGTAATTATACTCTCTCAGGTATCAACCGGTTTTTCAAGGACCTGGAGGTCATGATGGGAAAGCCGCCCTCCATTTGGTGGAAGATCTGCTGGGTCGGTCTGAGCCCAGGCGCCATTGTGGTAAGCAGACGACATTTGTATCCTTATACAGTGTGTGGATTGTTCAGATAGTTTCTTACAATATTTGTTTGTTTCTTTGTTGTTTAACGCCGCACTCAACAAAATTCCAGCTATATGACGGCGGTCTGTAAATAATCCGAGTCTGGACCAGACAATCCAGTGATTGACATCTTGAGCATCGATCCACTCAATTAGGATACGATGACATGCATCAACCAAGTCAGCGATCCTGGCCACCCGATATTTAACCACAAGCACACTTGATGATTTAAGTGTGGATTTTGTTGTTGAATAGCATCATAGTGGGTGAAATATCCTTTTAATCTGAGACCGGCCTCCGTGGTCTAGTGGTAGAGCGTCCGCCCGGAGAGCGGAAGGTCCGAGGTTCGATCCCCGGCCGCGTCATACCAAAAGACGTTAAAAGATGGTACTTGTTGTTACCTGTCTTGCGCTCGGCATCAAGGGGCTAAAACAAGGACTGGTCTGGCTTGGAGTCAGTATACTGTGTCTGAGTGGGGTATTCATGTTAAACTGCGGCATGGTATCTCAGTGGGCTAGCACTATAAATCGGCATCACTCCGGACCAGTACAAGCAGCCACACATATATGTGCATGCACGTCGCTATGTAAGTGCAATAATCTTGGACGCGACGTTAAACCCAATTTCACCTCACCTTCACCTCACCTTTTAATCTGAATGTTCTCGACATCCCACGTATTAGTTAGCTCGGTCTTAAAAAACACTGGTATTTTAACCATAGGACCTATTGCGATACATAAACAGTAAAATAACTAGACCATCTGTGAATAATAACGCTTCACGGATTCTGTTTCAGTTCATTTTCCTGTTTTCCCTGATCGAGTACAGCCCGGCGAAGTACGACGCCTACACCTACCCGGCGTGGGCTGAGGCGCTGGGGTGGATGATGGCCCTGCTGTCCATCCTTATCATCCCGGTCGTGATGATCTACAAGATCAACAAGGAGGACGAGGCAGACTCCCTGCTAGAGGTACATGCACTGTCTACACTGCAACCTCGGGTATCCGGACGATGCAATATTCATCAATTATTAATATTAACGGGCCTTGATATTTCACATTACTGGAACATGTAAAACAATACCCACTCACTCACTAATTTCAGAAGCTGAAGTTGTTGGTCACACCGACACGTTCATGGGGTCCAGCTCTGGTCAAACATCGGCGACTGGTCAAATATGTTGAGGGTTTCGTCATCGATCCGATGGCGGAGAAGGCGGTGATTGGCTACGTGAATCCGGGCTTTGGGTCCAGCTCTCGGACCAACAGCATGTCAAGGGTAGGTGCCCCCACTTCTATTAGCACGTGTGTTGGATATCTGGAATCTGTCGACTTAGGGAACCTCTGCATAACATGCCAATTGTCCATCAAGGCTCACATAGAGGTCTTGAACCCATATGTTGTGCTAGTGTCAATGTCACAAATTATAAAAACAACAACTTTGATCCTGATAATCAACACGGCATGACATCATAGTTTACATGTGACGTCACTTGCTTGTCACGTCACAATTGACCTTGTTCGTACTTCGTGTAAATTACTAGACCAGACTTTTATTCTTTCTTTTTTTTGTGTGTTTACGGATTTCTAGTCCCAAAATGCGCGTCGCTGTGTCAAAAAAAAGTTAAACATAAAAAAGTCCCAATTCAAATCTATTTTTGGATTGCCCCCAAAAGCTGTAGTTTTTAAGATAAATTTTAGAGTTTTGATAATGGTATTTTTGATAAATTATTTATATTGTTAGCGACAGTAAATGAGGTATTTTTCACATTTTACTGTAGGTGGAATGGAGAAAACATACGGCACCGGGTCAATCTATCCAGCTTAGTGTCTACAAGTGTTTTCATATTTTAACTACTTTGTTATTTCAGATGAGCGCTGGAGCTTCTCTGGGAAACCTGTCGCGCAGCACAGCTCACTCCAATGTGTCACACGTATCACAAGTGTCATTCGAGTCTACCGTTTAACCTCACTTTACTACCTTAGGACACATATTAAACACTGGATGGGTAGGACGATGTCTTGGTATATCATCTGCACTAACGATTTGGTTACGCAAATACCATTGTTGATTACTAACATTCGGTTTCGTACAAAACGCAACTAAAAATTGATTCATCGAAAAGTGGTAAATTAGAATTAAATTATAACATAACCATCACAACGCTACGTTTTTTAAACATGATATTCGAGTTACCATGGCAACAGCACAAAGGATGTACGTGTTTTCGTGGGTATTGATGTGTGTCTATAGGTATCCATTTTAATCTTGTGCTGGTGTCAATGGTTTATGTGTTCAACATTCATATCGCTACATCCAGTTCAAAATGAACCAAAGTCTAACTACATGTTGTTTCGTATGTATGTAGTTTTTGTGTTTACAAACAACATAAATATTCAAGGTATCAAACGTGTTTCTAAACTTTGAGCTGCATACATGTCTTACGTTTTGTTTGGGGGCACGGGTGGTCTAGTCGTCTAAGGCGCCGCGATTCGCTGTGCAGAGTTGCGTCCCATGGGCACGCCAGAAACCTATGATTGTGGGTTCGAATATCGGTTCACCCCGATTATGTTTCTAGGTTTGTCAGCACCATAGCCGTGCTCGTGGGTTTCACCGAAGTGGTGAACGTCTGAGACCTGCCTCGGGTAGGTGAGGGTAGCCTAGTGGTTAAAGCGTTGGCTCGTCGAAGACCCGGGTTCGATTCCCGACATGGGTACAATGTGTTAAGCCCATTCATTAAGCCCAACTCCGGACAAGTGCATTGAACAGTTAATTTCACCATGGATAAACAATATTTTCTAAAATCCCACACCACTGCCTAAATGACTAAGGTCATTTACATTTTTCCCCGTTGTATATTTTGTTCTGCCATTAACCTATGTCGATTTTCATCAAAGAATAAACTCCATATTTTGGCTACCCGACCGTGTTTGTCTCTTCATTGTTCTGTATTGGTCGTCCTGCACGGTTACAAAGAAACCAGTACCCGCGCATACCCTGCCACTTAAACCTTACACTCTGGATTTAAGATTCACAGACCACGTAGCGCGATACCTAATGTGTACTTCATAAATTAACTGCTTGCAGTGGCGATTACATGTCATTGCTCCAGAGCACACCGAAACACGATGTTTCTGAAAGGAATAAATATTTAGTAATCAAACAATTAGTCAACCCCTGTGATTGAGGCCTTCAAAGGGTGTTTGCGTAGGTTCCAGCCTGGCCTGGAGTTGTGTGTTAGCTGTGCACTGTACGCGTGAGGCCACAAGGCAGATCAGTGTATGTTACAGGGGTAGGGCAAGTCACGGGTGCTCGTTAACTGTCTGAACAGTCACCGTATACGATGACGCTGATCGGGGGCTGTGTAGTCGGGGCGGTATATATGAGAATATCTGCGGGGCAACCAGAAGGTAAGTTGCAATAGTCGTTTAACTGAAGGTTTTGGTTGATTTAGCCTGTGTATATTCCATAAACGTATTAAAATGAAACAATGATTGTGATTTATATTTTCCAAATGAAAATTTCTCGTATCTCCGAATGTCATACTTAGAATGCCATCCTAGATAGCCTAGGATCCCGTGGCCAGTGTTTAAACAACTGAAAAGAACCTGTGGTGGCCGCGGTGGTTGTGTGGGGCGGGCACGTGACCATCTGTCAGGTATAACCTCGCGAATCAAACCTCTTTGCCATAGTTGATGACCAATACATTGGACCATCTCTGTGGTCTAGTGACTAGAGCGCCCACCCGGAGAGCGGAAGGTCGTTGTTTCGATCTGCGGCCGCGTCATACCAAAAGAGGTTTAAAGATGGCATTTGTTGTTACCCTGGCTGGCGCAAGGACTGGTCGACCCGGAGTCAGTCTACTGTGTCTGTGAGGGGTATCGATGTTAAACTTTGGCGTGGTATCTCAGTGGGCTTTTAATTCAAAACCGGAATTAGTCCTCACTAGTACAAGCAGCCACACATCGTGCATGCACGTCGCCATATAAGTGCAATAATCTTGAACGCGACGTTGAATCCCATTTCACATAAGCTCTCCAATACATTGTGTCTGGGTATTAGACAAGGGTAAATACCCTTCCCCTTATTATTATAAATGCCACCATGATTACATATAATTGACACCTATACAAGTACCAGTAATCAATGTATCCACATTTACCAGGAAAGGTGCCTCCAAGAGCAAATACCCCAATTTTGTAGAGCAATTCGCTATGCAGGCTTGCGCCCCTTGGTCTGCCAGCACAATACCCGTCCTCATGGGATAAGCATACGCTAATGTTCTCGAACGTCAAGCTGAAACGCCTTCCTGTAACTGAAATACTGTTCTTATTAGAGCGACTCACCCACACTTCTGTTTTGAACGATGTACGTATTGCTATGGGAGCTTTCGAATCTCTTCCTTTATGCAAGTCAAAAGTCAAAAGAACAATGACTTAAACATTTTTTGTAGTATCTGAATGACTTGGAAAATAGTCATGCAATATGACCCTGATAGAGGTCAAATCAGCTGTAGCCTATTCGTCTTTGCTTTTCCAGCTAGTGTACCCCAATGTTGTCGATTAAATATGTTGAAGTAGTCCCCATAATTAATTCAAATAACATGGACTACATCAATTTAATGCGTGCTAGATTATTTACAGACCGCCGTCATATAGCTGGAATATTGCTGAGTGCGGCATTAAACAACAAATAAACAAACAAACAAACAATAATGCGTGCTACATATAATAGTTTTTTATCACATCATTCTTCACAAGTTCAACTTTGAGATATCCTCTTAGCGTTCAGTACGTCATAGACACAGCCTGAGACTCATAGATTAAATTCTATGTGGTATCTACTACCTGTGTCTCTGCTGTCTGTGTGAGAGTTCCCGTGTCCGCGTCTATCAACCAGGGAAGTGTTCCCGCAGCACAGCGAGTACGTCTAACAAATCCCATCATTCCATGAAATATGTCACAAATGAAAGGGGAGAGGCACGGGTGACCAAGTCGTCTAAGGCGCCGTAATTCGCTGTACAAAGTTGCGTCCCTTGGGCACCACAGAAACCTATGATTGTGGTTTCGTTTCAGAAATTAAATGACAACACAAGATCAATTAGACTAACATCTAGTCTCTGAATTTTTACAGAATAAAAACAGTTGTTAAATTATATTTATAAAATATAATAAAAGGAAGCCCATGGACTTTCTTCATTTTCATATACTGCAGTAATCTTGACTTGCCAAACAAAATAGGTGAGGTGAGGTGAAATGGGGTTTAACGTCGCGTCCAAGATTATTGCACTTATATAGCGAAGTGCATGCACTTGTGTGTGTTTGTGTGGCTGCTTGTACTAGTCCGGACTGATGCCGATTTATAGTGCTAGCCCACCGAGATACCATGCCGCAGTTTAACATGAATACCCAACTCAGACACAGTATACTGACTCCAAGCCAGACCAGTCCTTGTTTTAGCCCCTTGATGCCGAGCGCAAGACAGGGTAACAAGTACCATCTTTTAACGTCTTATGGTATGACGCGGCTGGGGATCGAACCCCGGACCTTCCGCTCTCCGGGCGGAGCCAAACATAATAGACTTGCATGGGCTGTATTGGATATATTTGTTTCAGGGTCTGTGTGACGGACTTATGATCAATCAGTAATCACTGCACTATTTCGAAACACACAGTTTCAGATTTACACATCAAAACTGGCGCTACACTGAATGAAATAATTGACAGCATTAAGTAACAGGTCCTACAATTAATGACAGTACACTCACGAAGGTCCAAAGTTAAGTCACTGCCGAATGTCTTGAAACAGGCCTGTCTCGGTTCTTGAATCCGGAATAGTGTCGGAGTGAGTGAGTATGGTTTTACGCCGCGTTTAGCAATATTACGGCGGGGTACACCAGGAATGGGCTTCACACATTGTACCCATGTCGGGAATCGAACCCGTATCTTCGGCGTGACGAGCGAACGCTTTAACCACTAGGCTACCCGACAGCCCCGAATAGTGTTGGAAGCTGGTGGGAATCCGGTATGCTGTCCGCACTTGTCAAGAAGATGAGACGCACGTCAAGTGGTAAAGTGTCGCATGTTGCTCTTATATGGGTACAGTCGGCCTCCTAGAAACTGTCCCATCGCGAAACTTCTCGAACGGTCAAGCCTTTTATGTTCAAGGTGACACAAAGGTGGATAACTCTAAATTATTTGCTGCCGAGGTCTGCCGCTAAAATCTGGCCACAATAGCTGACGATATTTTACCAGTGCTTCCATTTTTTGCTGCCACTGACAATCACTACAAATAAACCAACACCAACCTCGACTGACACACAACAGTCTTGTATCTATATTTCGTGTTATTCTCTACAGCAACTTTAGCTAGTTAGTTCAGAGAAGAACAAGTGATCACTGAATGAAGAAAAATGCGTAGACATTGAAAACGAATGCGCAATATTGAAAATATGAAGAAAATGAAAACAACTGCCATTTAACAAGTGGTCAAATGTAACAAATGTTGTATTTGGGATAACACTTTCTGAATAAGTACATATTTTCGTACGTTTTGGGTTTGAGTCCTATCCTGGATTGGAAACCACACTGCCCGAGTGAGGCGCCTAATCGCCAGAATCAAAGTCAGCGATCAAACCAACTCAGCCACCGAGGCTTCCACAAAAATGAAAATCTGACAACAACCAGACTATTATTAGTATTGTATATATATATTATATGTATATTATATTGAATTTATTAATTTATTTATTATTAATTTTATTTATTTATTTCTCCTTATTTTTTAATTTATACTTTTATTTATTTATTATCTATTTACTTCTTTTTTTTGTATAGTATTATTATTATTTTTTTATAAATTATTATTTCACAATGGATACACTTTTATTTTAATGTGTCTCAAAAGCCTAATAAGGCTGGATGTACAAGCTTTTGTTTTGAACACTTATTATGAATATATCCTCCTCCCAGCATCATATGAGCGCGGGGTGAAATGGGGTTTAACGTTGCGTTCAAGATTATTGCACTTATATACAGACGTTCATGCGCGCGTGTGTACCTTGTACTAATCCGGAGCAATGCCGGGTTTAAAGTGCCGGTCTTATACTCCAAGCCGACCAGTCCTTGTTTTATTTCCCCCCTAGGTAACAAAAGTACAATCTTTCGGTATGACGCAACCAGAGGTTCGAACCACCGACATTCGGCACTCCGGGCAGCCGCTCTATCACTGTACCACGGAGGCGGTCTCAGCATCCTCAGGATTGTAAGAGGAGATCGAGTGAATCGAATGGTGATTTGATTGTCATTGTTTCCATTACGGTGGATCGATGCTCATGATTTCATTGCCTGGATTGTCTGGTCCAGACAAGATTATTAAAGTTTTACAGATCGCGGTCCTATAGTTGGAATATTGCTGAATGCGACGGTAAACAACAAACATAAACTTGCATTTATCTTTCACTTGTATGTGGTCACAAAATGCATTATTTGGAACAAAGTTGTCCCGACTATTTATGACTTGCACGGGATTTGCTTATCTGACTAGGATTACGTCTGTGCGTCTCCCTGAGTTGCGATTCCCTGTCCTGTTGTTTTAGTCTTGAGATTTCTTGTGTATATGAGCTCAGATGAGTGTATTTGCACGCCTAGTTTTATCAGCGACCACAAAAGCCGTAAATCCCCAAGCACTTTATAAGCTCCATCGTTATTACACTCAATTGAAACGATGATATACGAGTGCGAGGTTTGAAATTCTCATCGAACACAGGGGGCATTTCACCCTTCTCCACTCGGCCGCAACCTAGCTACCAACGGATTGCGCATGACAAAATGGCTGACATGCAGCACGTGCACTCAACAGTGGGCGTGCAACTTGGCTCCGTCTACTGATCTCAATATCATGCTTTTGTCAACTGTAGGATTTAAGAGATATGAACACGGTGGCACTTACATACCTTAGATTTGTCGAGCGCTGGAACAAAGAGTCCGATGTCTTAGTACAAATAAGTGATTTCATACCAGACTACGAAGGTCCTGTCAGAAAGCTGGAATTGGAGGTACTGTGTAGTGTTTCGTGGCGGAAAGGTAGCATGGATATCTGCTGTGAATGGTCGGGTAAGTTTGAATACTTTTTGTGGTTTTCTTCTGATACTTGTAACAGTAAATTATACCGGAACTATACACGACCTTATCTTGGATCTAGCGTGCCTCATACGTTATCAACATCCACACCTGTGGTCGATCTCTCTGTATCAGATATACCTCCTTGTCAGCAGTCTGTGTTAATATTGGCATAAAATGCGAAAGTCTACATGATATTCGTACGGAAGCCTTTTAGGGCCATTTGTTGTTTGTTTTTTTCGATACTATCTTGAAATTTCAACTTAGTATCTTGAAATTTCAACTTAGTATCTTGAAATTTCAACTTAGTATCTTGAAATTACTAAGTTGAAATTTCAAGATACTATCATGAAATTTCAACTTAATATCTTGACATTTCAACTTCTCTATCTTGAAATTTCAACTTTTGTATCTTGAAATTTCAACTTCTGTATCTTGAAATTTCAACTTAGTTTCTTGAAATTTCAACTTAGTATCTTGAAATTACTAAGTTGAAATTTCAAGATACTATCATGAAATTTCAACTTAATATCTTGACATTTCAACTTCTCTATCTTGAAATTTCAACTTTTGTATCTTGAAATTTCAACTTCTGTATCTTGAAATTTCAAGATAGTATCTTGAAATTTCAACTTAGTTTCTTGAAATTTCAACTAAGTATCCTGAAATTACAAGATAGTATCGAACAAATTTTAAAAAAAACAAATGGCCCTAAAAGGCTTCCGTATATTCGCGTATTAATTCACTTACTATTTACATAATCTTGCCACCTATGTATTGTATGTAAATATACCTAGAAGAAGTGGAAAAAGACCCGATACTTTCACATTACTATAGTTAATATGTCATGGCTGTTATAGTAATATGAAAGAATCGGGTCTATTTTAACTTTTTAAAATCTTTTGAATAGTATAAATAACACGTTCTGTTTTTGTCAAGCTTAACTGGCGGTTTTTTTTTTGTTGTTGAAAGGATCTAATGTCGTTAAAGAAGTATCAGGACATTAAGCTTGTTGATCAGGCATGTGATAATTGAATCTTCAGTCGCTGGCGTTGCTTAACTGAAAATTTTAAAAAATGTGTGGAAAGAACGAAAAGATGTCATTCGTAAGTCCAATTCTATCGATATTTTGGTCACACTGATAATATTATCACTGGTATATAATAGTGTGCATAATAACAGGAGCATTGTTGAATGTGGCTAGTGCGTGGTATATGGTTATATTTTCCCTAGTTCTTGGTATGTTGTATGATTAGTGTGTATATTGCTTTTCTCTAGTTCGCGATATATAGTTATTTTTGAACAATAGTGAGCGTATGATGCCATTGTTATTACATTGTATATAATCATTTGATATTTTGCCGGATTACTACTTATTACTACTTAAATAACCTCTGGCAGATCCCACGAGTCTTACTATACATGCATGCATAAGTGACTGTGGTTCGGTTGATAATTGTCTATCCACAAACATTCTGGTTATCATGACGAAAATTTAATTCATAACAAAACACTTCCTAGCCTGCTTGTGACGATTTAAGAAGTTCGGGGACATACAAAGAAAATAAGTTCTCTAAGTGAGTACCCACGCTGTTATGAATGCTGACAAGTCCTCTAAGCGCTTAATTAAAGAGAGGCTTTACCTGGGTGGGAGCACAAGACGCGTGTAAGCTGCGGGGTAAACATGTCTTCACAGCTGCGAGACGGAGTTATGTCAATGACAACATTTACCCTGCGGATCCAGGGGGATTTCCCCGTCCAGCCTTCCATCTACTCAGCATGGACAGAAATACATATGCGTTGTTACCTGCCCCGTTAAGCGGAGGACCAACCCCATGCCCCCTGCCGACTAAAGACTACGCGCCTTGCTGGAAAACATAAACACTACACGCCTTGCTGGTAGCGTAAACACTACACGCCTTGCTGGTAACTTAAACACTACACGCCTTGCTGGAAATATAAACACTACACGCCTTGCTGGTAACGTAAACACTACACGCCTTGCTGGTAACTTAAACACTACACGCCTTGCTGGTAACTTAAACACTACACGCCTTGCAGGAAAACATAAACACTACACGCCTTGCTGGTAATTTAAACACTACACGCCTTGCTAGTAACTTAAACGCTACACGCCTTGCTGGTAACTTAAACACTACACGCCTTGCTGGTAACTTAAACACTACACGCCTTGCTGGAAAACATAAACACTACACGCCTTGCTGGTAACTTAAACACTACACGCCTTGCTGGTAACTTAAACTCTACACGCCTTGCTGGTAACTTAAACACTACACGCCTTGCTGGTAACTTAAACACTACACGCCTTGCAGGAAAACATAAACACTACACGCCTTGCTGGAAAACATAAACACTACACGCCTTGCTGGAAAACATAAACACTACACGCCTTGCTGGAAAACATAAACACTACACGCCTTGCTGGTAACTTAAACTCTACACGCCTTGCTGGTAACTTAAACACTACACGCCTTGCTGGTAACTTAAACACTACACGCCTTGCTGGTAACTTAAACACTACACGCCTTGCTGGTAACTTAAACTCTACACGCCTTGCTGGTAACTTAAACACTACACGCCTTGCTGGAAAACATAAACACTACACGCCTTGCTGGAAAACATAAACACTACACGCCTTGCTGGAAAACATAAACACTACACGCCTTGCTGGTAACTTAAACTCTACACGCCTTGCTGGAAAACATAAACACTACACGCCTTGCTGGAAAACATAAACTCTACACGCCTTGCTGGTAACTTAAACACTACATGTCTTGCTGGTAACTTAAACACTACACGCCTTGCTGGAAAACATAAACACTACACGCCTTGCTGGAAAACATGAACACTACACGCCTTGCTGGTAACTTAAACACTACACGCCTTGCTGGTAACTTAAACACTACACGCCTTGCTGGTAATTTAAACACTACACGCCTTGCTGTGCACACGTGCATGTTATCTGGTAACTTAAGCCGTGATATTGCTGGAATATTGCTAAAGTATTGCTAGAATATTGGCGCAAAACCATACTCACTCACTCACTTACACGCCTTTAAAGAAAACTTAAACACTAGACACCTTGCTGTGCACACGTGCATGTTATCTGGTAACTTAAACGCTACACGCCTTGAAAGAAAACTCAAACACTACAAGTCTTGTTGTGCACACGTGCATGTTTTCTGGTAACTTAAGCCGTGATATTGCTGGAATATTGCTAAAAGCGGCGCAAAACCATACTCAATCACTCTCTCACTCACTCACTCACTCACTCACTCACTTAAACACTACACGCCTTGAAAGAAAACGTAAACACTAGACACCTTGCTGTGCACACGTGCATGTTACCTGGTAACTTAAACGCTACACGCCTTGAAAGAAAACTCAAACACTACAAGTCTTGTTGTGCACACGTGCATGTTATCTGGTAACTTAAGCCGTGATATTGCTGGAATATTGCTAAAAGTGGCGTCAAACCATACTCACTCACTCACTTACACGCCTTGAAAGAAAACTCAAACACCACAAGCCTTGCTGTGCACACGTGCATGTTATCTGGTAACTTAAACGCTACACGACTTGAAAGAAAACTTAAACACTACACATCTTGCTGTGCACACGTGCATGCTCTCTGGTAACTTAAACGCTACAGGACTTGTTGGGGAGGCGTGGACATCCTCTTGCAGTATCCATCTTCCCGAGGCAAGGGAGTTAACTGACTAAAAGTCCAGTTTCCAACCTTGCCGATATAGGCTGGAATTTCTAGATTCGATCGTGGCCAGTGGCTATTATAAGTTCTGTCCCTTCTATGTCCCTCCTACTGTCCAATCGGATTCAACATCCTATATATCACTTGCATTTGCTTCAAACAAAATGGCGGCGCCCAGTCAAGACGATCTGATCGATAATCAAGATCTATATTATAATTAAACCAAGCTAACTTCGTGAAGTGCTTTAAATCACGTGATCATCTTGATTAAAAACATAAAGAGATTCGGAAAATATCTTTTTCCGCCAGTTGGCGGCACCCATGCTTTGCACATCCTGCAATCGGCCGGACTCTGCACAGCAGATTTCGAATTGGATGTTAATTTCGTTGCGCGATTTTGATTGGACTATGCATAGACTCGTTAGTCCAGACAAAATATAACTCCATAATTTCAGCCTGGCAATTGTGGAAACTGGACTTTTATAGTCAGTTAACTCCCTAGCCTCGGGAAGATGGCAGTATCCGCCATGAAACTAGACCATGCCAGCTATTTGTTAAGGGCACACACCTTTCTTCTGTTAACAATATTTACTCGTCGTGAAATCATACATCCACAAACTAATGATAGTTCACTCTATCTAAGGACCATTGTAACTAATCTTTGGGAAATGTATGTGAATTATTTTGGTGTTTTCAAAATAGTCATCGAGGCACCCTAGAAGGCTGGAAGATCTAATGTATCACGTGACCCATGTACGTCACAATGGAAACACTTTACTGCATACACATCTTAACTGAAAGTATCTCGCAAAAATGTATAACGGCAACGCAAGGGAACAACCTGTTTCTATTATCCAACGAAACAGATCCCATGTCTGTTACGGGCAAATTAGCGTTGAAAAGCTATTTGAATGGATCACTAAAAATCTGTGCTTTTGTTATCTGCATGTATTTATATTGTATATCCATAGCTACATTTAATGTCAACTTAAAGGGCGGCTAGGCTCAGGCCAGTAGGCAGTCCCCGGATATTTGATTTAAGTCATAAATGATCTCAAGTTGTGTACACCAGTGTGGCAGTTTATATGTGAGTGAGTGAGTGAGTTGGGTTTAACGCCGCTTTTAACAGTATTCCAGTTATATCGCGGCGTGTCAGCTTCATGTGGGAGGAAAGCCCGAAGTGATGCAGGTCTCAGACGTGTACCACTTCGGTGAAACCCACGAGCACGGGTATGGTGCTGACAAACCTAGAAACATAATTGGGGCGAACCGGGATTCGAACCCACAATCAAGTTTATATGTACAATGGTACCCTTATTTCACACTTACCATACCGTGGTTTGACACAGGTCACTCAGAGCAACGGGGCGGTCGGGTAGCCTAGGGGTTAAAGCGTTCGCTCGTCAGGCCGAAGACCAGGGTTCGAATCCCGACATGGGTACAATGCGTGAAGCCCATTTCTGGTGTCCCCCGCCGTGATATTGCTGGAATATTGCTAAAAGCGGCGTAAAACCTCACTCACTCACTCACTCACTCAGAGCAACGTCTTGATCAAGACTTGAGTGAGTGAGTTAGTGAGTGGGGTGAGTGAGTGATTGAATGAGTGAGTGCGGTTTATCGCCGCTTTGAACAGTATTCCAGTTATATCACGTCGTGTCAGTTTCATGTTGGAAGAAAGCACGTGCAGATCTCAGACGTTTTCCAATTTGGTGAAACCCACGAGCACGGGTATGGTGCTGTCAAATCTAGAAACATAATCGGGTCGAACCGGGATTCGAACCCACAATCATAGGTTTCGGTCATGTCCAAGGGACGCAACTCTGCACAGCGAATCGCGGCGCCTGAGGCGACCGGGCGACTCCTGCCCCTAAAAAGCTGGAAATCGTCACTGGACTGTTGAATGTAATCCCCCTTTAATGTTGAATAACTAATGCACATGTGAGAGTCTTCAGGAGCATTTAGAAGTTGGATATAGTTGTGACAAGGAACCTTATGGATAACAACTTCTTTATGACATATATTCAGTGTTTAAGGGCTACTTGTCCTGTCATCTGTTGAAATGTAAGTGTAACATGTAAGTGTAACATGTAAGTGTAGCATGTAAGTGCAAAATGTAAGTGTAGCATGTAAGTGTAGCATGTAAGTGTAACATGTAAGTGTAACATGTAAGTATAGCATGTAAGTGTAGCATGTAAGTGTAACATGTAAGTGTAACATGTAAGTGTAGCATGTAAGTGTAGCATGTAAGTGTAACATGTAAGTGTAACATGTAAGTGTAACATGTAAGTGTAGCATGTAAGTATAGCATGTAAGTGTAGCATGTAAGTGTAACATGTAAGTGTAGCATGTAAGTGTAGCATGTAAGTGTAACATGTAAGTGTAGCATGTAAGTGTAGCATGTAAGTGTAACATGTAAGTGTAGCATGTAAGTGTAGCATGTAAGTGTAGCATGTAAGTGTAACATGTAAGTGTAGCATGTAAGTGTAGCATGTAAGTGTAGCATGTAAGTGTAACATGTAAGTGTAGCATGTAAGTGTAGCATGTAAGTGTAGCATGTAAGTGTAGCATGTAAGTGTAGCATGTAAGTGTAGCATGTATGTGTAGCATGTATGTGTAGCATGTATGTGTAGCATGTAAGTGTAGCATGTAAGTGTAACATGTAAGTGTAGCATGTAAGTGTAGCATGTAAGTGTAAGCACATGTCCAAAGGCACAATTACCGACACAAATCTTCTTCAGTTCATAAAACTTGACATAGGGTTGTGTAAATTACAAATATCTTTTAATTATTTATATCTTTAAATCATATTATGATATCATTAATTTAAGAGGTAAGTAATTCTTTTCAAGATATCATGAATATGCTTCATCATATTTTTAATTATTTCGTGATATCCTAAATTGTATTGCTGATCATATTGTGTGTTTGTTTGTTGTTTAACGCCGCTCTCAGCAATATTCCAGCTATATGACGGGGGTCTGTAAATAATCGAGTCTGGACCAGACAATACAGTAATTGACATCATGAGCATCGATCCTCGCAATTGGGATACGATGGCATGCATCAACCAAGTCAGCGAGCCTGACCACCCGATTCCGTTAGTCTCGTACGACAAGCATAGTCGCCTTTTACGACAAGCATGGGTTACTGAAGACCAATTCTACCCCGGATCTTCACCGGTCAGATATCTTTGTGAGCAGGCTCGGACTTTATATACTTATACTATCTGGCAATATTTAACCCACGACTGGCTGAGAGAAACAAATTTACTTAAGCCATTTAACGTTAACCATGAATACCGTCCTCTTTATTCTTAGTCTGTATTTACTTATAGAATTAGGAAGATTACCCGGGAGATCAAAGAATATTGAACGTTCAGTCGACGCACAGTCTAAGCAGAAACATAAATTGCTAAAATGTTAACACTGAGGGAACATGGACTGTCACAAGCAGAGGAGAACCTAGATTATAGGTGTTTTGTTCATAGAACGGGATTTCATTGTGAGATTAACTTTAACATTTATCCTACACATTAACTCAGTGTGGACGCGATCAAGGGTATATGCCGTGTTGTTATTTTGAGTTGTGTTTATTGTGATATTATTAAAAACGAGAGCTGAGATTTATACATAGTTATACACTCCCAGGAGACGTTTCACTGATAGAACGATTCGACACTGCCTAACTGGATGAACAATTCAGCCTACCAACATGCAAGGTAATCGACTAAATGCGTCAAAATTGTCGATAAACTATGTTTTTTAGGACGAGAATTTTTTATCCGATTTTCGTTGGTTTTTCAAGTGTGTTCGTTATATATAAGCAAAAAAATAGTTAAGTCTTTGAAAGGCATTTAGAGTGTGATACACATAAGGAAGATAATTTATGGATGTCAACTTCTTTATTACGAGGTGAGGTTTAACGTCGCGTCCAAGATTATTGCACTTAAATGCATGCACGTGTATGTGTGTGCTAGTCCGGACTAATGCCGATTTATAGTGCTAGCACACTGAGATTCCATGTCGCAGTTTAACATGAAAACCCCACTCAGACACAGTATACTGACTCCGAGCCGACCAGTCCTTGTTTTAGCCCCTTAATGCCGAGGGCCAGACAGGGTAACAACAAGTACCATCGATCGTTTAACGTCTTTTGGTATGACGCGGTCGGGGATCGAACCCCGGAGCTTCCGCTCTCCGGGTGGACGTTCTACCACTAGACCACGGAGGCGGTCTTCTTTATTATGAGGACCCCAACAATACTTCTTCCTCAGGCGAGTCATCTTTATGTGTATCACTTCTAAATGTCTTCACTTCTACTTAACTATATTTTGTTTTATATATAACGAACACACTAGAAAAACTTATTGAAATCGGAATGTACTTTTTGTGTAGTGACTTTACATAGATTCGACATTCAATTGACGTGGTTGTTAAACAATAAGGTAATACAAGAGAATCCGTGCACTGACTGCTCGCTCACGCTCAGGACAATACAAGAGTAAGTGTATGTATATTACTTACCTTAACCAGGTCACGGCATCAATAAAATAATTAAGCAGGGCTACCAATAGACGTGGTATTTATGGGCGACTGTGAAGGGGCTACTGTGAGTTGGGTCGGGCGGCCACAACGGGTATTGTCAGCTGAGGTCACAGTAGTATGATGGATTTATGCATATACAAGCGTTAAATATCTTAACAGGTAGGTTAGTAGAATATGTAACAGTATGTTCCTAATATACAGACATGTTTGACTAAACCCCTTGAACTTAGGTTTGTTGGTTTATTTTTAACTGGTGAATATGAGCATATTGTATACTGCCCAGGGAGCTGAGAAATCAGTATGCATGCAGACTGACCTGTTGACAGGGGTATAAATATGGTAGATGCTTTGTGATCATGCGTCTGTGTGGCGAATATATTTGGACAATCAATTTCTTACTGTGTTATTTTTATTTCTATGATTATCATGATTATTGATATTGTTTAAAGTTGGTTTTTTTTATAGCGAATTGCAAAACATGTTTTTAGTGGGACCCCGCTTCACGAACGGTACCTGTTAGAAATGTCTAATATGCACAAGAAATGAATTCTATGACAATGGCCCTGCAATCAGGACATGTGTTAATCCGGAAGGTTTTACTGAGAATTTTACCCCCAGGATTAACGGGATATCCCTGTAGTAACATTATGAGTGACTCGCTATATAACCGACCTACCGGTCCATGTTCCAAGGACTTCTCGTTCTATTAACATGAGCGGTTATTGTATGTCCTGCTCGCGTAGGCTATAATGTTCTTCATTGTACTTTAAAATTAATTCTCAAATATACATCTTAAGGCAAAATGTATTTAGCTTTCTTGGAAAAGAATTAATAAAATTTGTAAAATCAGGTATGATTGAGCATTGATCTATTTCACTGAACTTTATATTTGAAAGTACAAATTAGAATTATAAAGGACACTATGAATTACTTAATATGATTAAATCAGTTTCAATGTATCCTTAGCTTGACGCTAATATCTGGATATATACTACTGAATGCAATAGTAATGACTTTACATCTTGAAAAACTCCCCATGTCCATAAAGCTGCGATTTACATTAGTGTCATATTGATAGGGCAATTTTTGTGTTCAGCTATCCAGCGTTATAACAAGAACATTCGGGAGAGATCTACCCTGCCTAACATATTGCCGTCACATCAACGTCTTCGCCAGGAACTGCGTGCAGGTGCGTGATTTAGTGATGATCATCACCAGACGTTTGTTGCAGGTGCGTGGTTTAGTTGTGATCATAACCAGACGTTAGTTGCAGGTGCGTGGTTTAGTAGTGATCATCATCAGACGTGAGTTACAGGTGAGAGGTTTAATTGTGATCATCATTAGACGTTAGTTACAGGTGAGTGGTTTTGTGGTGATCACCATCAGACGTTAGTTACAGGTGAGAGGTTTAATTGTGATCATCATTAGACGTTAGTTACAGGTGAGTGGTTTTGTGGTGATCACCGTCAGACGTTAGTTGCTGGCGCGTGGTTTAGTTGTGATCATCACCAGACGTTAGTTACAGGTGAGTGGTTTTGTGGTGGTCATCATCAGACGTTAGTTGCAGGTGCGTGATTTCGTGGCGATCATAACCAGACGTTAGTTGCAGGTGCGTGGTTTAGTTGTGATCATAACCAGACGTTAGTTGCAGATGCGTGGTTTAGTTGTGATCATAACCAGACGTTAGTTGCAGGTGCGTGGTTTAGTAGTGATCATCATCAGACGTGAGTTACAGGTGAGAGGTTTAATTGTGATCATCATTAGACGTTAGTTACAGGTGAGTGGTTTTGTGGTGATCACCATCAGACGTTAGTTACAGGTGAGAGGTTTAATTGTGATCATCATTAGACGTTAGTTACAGTGAGTGGTTTTGTGGTGATCACCGTCAGACGTTAGTTGCTGGCGCGTGGTTTAGTTGTGATCATCACCAGACGTTAGTTACAGGTGAGTGGTTTTGTGGTGGTCATCATCAGACGTTAGTTGCAGGTGCGTGATTTCGTGGCGATCATAACCAGACGTTAGTTGCAGGTGCGTGGTTTAGTTGTGATCGTAACCAGACGTTAGTTGCAGGTGCGTGGTTTAGTTGTGATCATAACCAGACGTTAGTTGCAGGTGCGTGTTTTAGTAGTGATCATCACCAGACGTTTGTTGCCCTGGCGTGTTTTAGTAGTGATCCACATCAGACGTTAGTTACAGGTGCGTGGTTTAGTTGTGATCACAACCAGACGTTAGTTGCAGGTGCGTGGTTCAGTTGTGATCATAACCAGACGTTAGTTGCAGGTGCGTGTTTTAGTAGTGATCATCACCAGACGTTTGTTGACCTGGCGTGGTTTAGTAGTGATCCACATCAGACGTTAGTAACAGGTGAGTGGTTAAGTGGTGATCATCATCAGACGTTTGTTACCCTGGCATGTTTTAATGGTGCCCATCACCAGACGTTAGTTACAGGTGCGTGGTTTAGTTGTGATCATCACCAGACGTTAGTAACAGGTGAGTGGTTAAGTGGTGATCACCATCAGACGTTAGTTTCAGGTGAGTGGTTTAGTGGTGATCATCACCAGACGTTTGTTACCCTGACGTGTTTAGCAGTGATCCACATCAGACGTTAGTTACAGGTGAGTGGTTAAGTGGTGATCACCATCAGACGTTAGTTACAGGTGAGTGGTTAAGTGGTGATCACCATCAGACGTTAGTTGCAGGTGAGTGATTAAGTGGTGATCATCACCAGACGTTTGTTACCCTGACGTGTTTAGCAGTGATCCACATCAGACGTTAGTTGCAGGTGAGTGGTTTAGCGGTGATCATCACCAGACGTTTGTTACCCTGGAATGTTTTAATGGTGCCCATCACCAGACGTTAGTTGCAGGTGCGTGTTTGAGTGGTGACCATCACCAGACGTTAGTAACAGGTGAGTGGTTAAGTGGTGATCACCATCAGACGTTAGTTTCAGGTGAGTGGTTTAGTGGTGATCATCACCAGACGTTTGTTACCCTGACGTGTTTAGCAGTGATCCACATCAGACGTTAGTTACAGGTGAGTGGTTAAGTGGTGATCACCGTCAGACGTTAGTTGCTGGCGCGTGGTTTAGTTGTGATCATCACCAGACGTTAGTTACAGGTGAGTGGTTTTGTGGTGGTCATCATCAGACGTTAGTTGCAGGTGCGTGATTTCGTGGCGATCATAACCAGACGTTAGTTGCAGGTGCGTGGTTTAGTTGTGATCATAACCAGACGTTAGTTGCAGGTGCGTGGTTTAGTTGTGATCATAACCAGACGTTAGTTGCAGGTGCTTGTTTTAGTAGTGATCATCACCAGACGTTTGTTGCCCTGGCGTGTTTTAGTAGTGATCCACATCAGACGTTAGTTACAGGTGCGTGGTTTAGTTGTGATCACAACCAGACGTTAGTTACAGGTGCGTGGTTCAGTTGTGATCATAACCAGACGTTAGTTGCAGGTGCGTGTTTTAGTAGTGATCATCACCAGACGTTTGTTGCCCTGGCGTGTTTTAGTAGTGATCCACATCAGACGTAAGTAACAGGTGAGTGGTTAAGTTGTGATCACAACCAGACGTTAGTTACAGGTGAGTGGTTAAGTGGTGATCATCATCAGACGTTTGTTACCCTGGCATGTTTTAATGGTGCCCATCACCAGACGTTAGTTACAGGTGCGTGGTTTAGTTGTGATCATCACCAGACGTTAGTAACAGGTGAGTGGTTAAGTGGTGATCACCATCAGACGTTAGTTTCAGGTGAGTGGTTTAGTGGTGATCATCACCAGACGTTTGTTACCCTGACGTGTTTAGCAGTGATCCACATCAGACGTTAGTTACAGGTGAGTGGTTAAGTGGTGATCACCATCAGACGTTAGTTACAGGTGAGTGGTTAAGTGGTGATCACCATCAGACGTTAGTTGCAGGTGAGTGATTAAGTGGTGATCATCACCAGACGTTTGTTACCCTGACGTGTTTAGCAGTGATCCACATCAGACGTTAGTTGCAGGTGAGTGGTTTAGCGGTGATCATCACCAGACGTTTGTTACCCTGGAATGTTTTAATGGTGCCCATCACCAGACGTTAGTTGCAGGTGCGTGTTTGAGTGGTGACCATCACCAGACGTTAGTTGCAGGTGCGTGTTTTAGTGGTGCCCATCACTAGACGTTAGTTGCAGGTGCGTGTTTTAGTGGTGACCATCACCAGACGTTAGTTGCAGGTGCGTGTTTTAGTGGCGTACACCGTTACATTAATGTATGCATGTATGACATAGCAACATAATAAAATGAACTAAAACGTTTTTCGGTATATAAAGGCAAACCAGGGATCCTCGGTCGCATCTTGTTTTCGTCAGTATGTCATGTTGTTCACATTACGACCCTAAGTCCTGCTCACGTTACACCTGCAGGTAAGGAGGATGAGGGCAGACAGGTGAGCCGACAGCTTCAACACACAGTTGTGGGACTGGCCATGTCCAAGCAGCAGCTGTCTATCCCCCAGGCTCTACCCATGAGGAGGGGGTCATCCAACCAAAGCCTCTCAGGGTCTAGCATACTCAGTGCGTCAGACCGGAGGGGGTCTGGAGCAACGAGGAGGGGTTCCCGCGGGTCACTGAAAAGAAACTCACTGCCCCTTGGGTCGATGGGAGTGAGGCAGTGGATGAGAAGGCCGCATCCCCGGGACAGACTCACTGAGACAGAGGAGGCGGAGAGGGCCAGGGTAGGTGGGCGTGGGCGTGGGCGTGGGCGTGGGCGTGGGCGTGGTTAAATGTAGTGGTGGCATGACAGGAGACGAAGAGTCGGAAAAGACAGCCTTTGGGTTATTTATGAGGAACTGGGAGAATGAAGCGCTGGGTGAGGCACGTGATAAATACAGGGTGAGGCAACAGTAAAGGTGAATCAGGAAGTGAGGCACAGGGCGGTACACGGGGTGAGGCACAAGGTGAGACAGGGTTGGGCACTAGGCGAAGTACAAGGTAGAGACTGGCTGAGGCACTTGTTTATATATATTCAAGTTGCTTAATCAAAGCCAAATGATTCATCAAATCCAGATACATACGGAGAGCAGCAGTTAGAATGATTCTTACAACAGCCTTAAGTGATGGGCTCAATTCTGAAACCTTTTCTCGATTTAAACCTAGTTTAAAAACAGATAAATCTATAGTTGCACCACATTTTCCATAACTTGACATTATACATACAAAATTTAGACATGGGAATAATGAATTAAAAAAATGATTTAAAAGATTAAACGAAGTTCCAAGCTGCAGTACGTTTGAAAACATGACAATATTTTCATTGAAAACCTATTGTTTAAATCAGCTAGGAACGAACTGATACACGCACTATTGATAGTTGCAAAAGATACTTCTGATGTTAATACCGACTAAAAACCAGCTGACAATGCGACTTTATCTTATCACGTCCACGAAAACATTTTAGGAATGTACAGTCAAACATCTATGAAGAAAACGAAAAGGTTTGAGTGAGCAATGGTAAAGGACATACGTTTCTCTATTTCTGTATACAAAATTTATACGAGCATACATGTAATTCTATGGGATAGCCAATCCTTTTCATGGTAATAGAACATGTTTAAACTAAAAAAACTAAACGAAGTGCTGGGCGGTTTTTTTTGGTGAGGTGAGGTGAAATTGGGTTTAACGTCGCGTTCAAGATTATTGCACTTATATAGCGACGTGCATGCAAGTGTGTGTGTGGCTGCTTGTACTAGTCCGGACTGATGCCGATTTATAGTGCTAGTCCACTCAGATACCATGCCGCAGTTTAACATGGATACCCCACTCAGACACAGAATACTGACTCCGAGCCGACCAGTACTTGTTTTAGCCCCTTAATGTCGAGCGCCAGACAGGGTAACAACAAGTACCATCTTTTAACGTCTTTTGGTATGACGCGGCCGGTGATCGAACCCCGGACCTTCCGCTCTACGGGCGGGCGCTCTACCACTAGACCACGGAGTCCGTTTCTTTTGGCGAAGTATAGTTGATGAAAGAATGTTTCAAAACAAATATCTAAAACCTTTATATTAAAATACATTTAAAAATACGTTTCCAAGTCATGTGATCGTGGGTTCGATCCCTGGCCTCGTCATACCAAAATACGTTAAAAGGGTGAAAAGAACATGTTTAAACTAAAACACTAAACGAATTGCTCGACTTTTCTTTCGCCAAAGTATAGTTGATGAAAGAATGTTTCAAAACAAATATCAAAAACCTTTATATAAAAATACGTTCCCAAATAATGTGACGAACGTTCTCGGAGAGCAGAAGGTTATGGTTTCGATCCCTGACCGCTTCATACCGTAGTGGGAGTGGAGATTGCATAGAATTAGATAACTAATGTTCTCCATCTATCACTGCTTCAGAAGCTGCTGGGAAAATTCCGGATGTGGGCTCGCGTGGTTCGAACCTTCTGTCACCTGTTCAGTAGATGTAGTGTCCTTGAGAGGTAGGTACATTGCTATATCATTTCCATACGTATGCCCTTGCGTCGTGAACAATTCTCTTGTTATGAAATTAGGACATCTGACGTATAGGATGGTGACTGTATGCATCCTTCCCCTGCAGCAGCGACTCCAACAGCCCCTACTACGCCCAGCTGGACACCATCGAGAAGACCTCACTCGGCATTGACAAGAATCACTACATTTTCTTTGACCCTGCTGACTATAAGGCCAATACTCAGGTATGTACACATCACCAACACTTCCTTTCTCCCAGTACTCATTAATACACACGACTGTTTTGCGTGTGGTGGCGTGTGTCTATTTCCAGTCATCCTATGAAATGAGACCCTCTATAACTCGCGGAAGTCATATGACACTTACTCCACGCACGGACATGGTGCGAACCCTACCATTGCCTGCCATTGAAGCAATGTGTAGAGCAATATTCACAAGGCTGTTGCATATGTTGCAAACGAAGCGGAAAACATTGCAGATGTGAGCTGATCTCTTAGGTTAACATCTAGTCTCTAAAATATCTTACAAAAAGCAGTTGTTAAATTATCTTAATACAAATATGATAAAAAGAAGCCCAGGGACTCTCTTCATTTTCAGATAATGCTGTAATCTAGACATGCCCAGGACCCGTGAAGATCCGGGTTAGAATAGATCTTCAGCAACCCATGTTTGCCGTAAAAGGCAACCAACTGGATCGGGTGGTCAGGCTCGCTGACTTGGTTGATGCATGTCATCGATCCCAATTGCGTGGATCGATGCTCATAAAGTCAATCACTGGATTTTCTGGTCCAGACTCGATTATTTACAGACCGCCGTCATCTAGCTGGAATATTGCTGAGTGCGGCGTTAAACAACAAACAAACACTAATATAGACTTACATGGGCTTTTTATATATATTTGTTTCCGGGTCTGTATGACAGACTACTGATCTCTTGTTGGTTTGCCTTTCGCTGGAACCAGGCCGTCGTTTAAAGCGACCGTATATATCCACGGGCGTTTAAAGCGACCGTATATATTCACGGGCGTTTAAAGCGACCGTATATATTCACGGGCGTTGGAGAAACATAGTGTATACAATCCGTGAAGTTTTCACGATGATTTGTAGCACTTTGTCCGTGGAATAACAATTTTGCATTCTGGAAGTACCAGTCTAACTTGTCTCGTGTATCCAGTCGGTGGTCCTAAGACCTGAGACTGTCTTGGTGTCACTTCACAATGTGGATCGTGGTGTAGTGGATAGAGCGGATGCCGAACTCTGTCACCCATCCACCTACTCTCCGTGACCAACGCTGCCTATGTTTGCCTGAGTTGTGACCTGTGCGCTGGACACAGGACTACTACCATCACAAGGCCTGAAATACGTTGATTAGACCGTCACTGTAACCTTGCTTTTGTCAGATGCGGATGTCTAGGGATGGCCAGAGAATTCTGTCCAAGCCCCCAGACGACAGGACAGAGGATGAAATACACCATGTAGGTATACTCCAACTAGGATAAAGTTTGAAATTCGGTATCTTGAAAGCAATACTACTCCAGGGCCCACTTGCACAAAGCGATCTTAGCGCTAAGATGATCGTAACTCCCATTCTTTAACATAGGCTTACGATAGTCTTAGCGCTAAGATCACTTTGTGCAAGTGGGCCCAGGAGGCCTTACACGGATGTGTGAGGGCTGTAAAATGTTTACTTGTTACATCGAAGGCTTGGGTTCGTTTCCCCACATGGGTACAGTGAGAGAAGCCCTTTTACGGTGTCCCCCTCCGTGAGGCGGCGTAAAACCACACTCGCTCACTACTACAAGAATATGATGTTTGTTACTTAACGCCGCACTCAATAATATTCTATAATATGCCGGCGGCCTGTAATTAATCGGCCTGAACCGGGCAATCCGGTGATCGAAATTGTGAGACAACATCCACGCCGTCCAGGAAGGAGCAATATTCCAGCTACACGACGGCAGCTTGGAAATAATTGAGTCTAGGCCAGACATCGAGCGATCGATAGCGTAAGTAGACGCTACCAACACATTCGCCTGATGAAGGGGTGAGAAATAGCCCTGGAAGATACTGACAAACATTAAATAATTTGTTATCCATTAAAAAGGAATATCTTCGTGTTCAAATAACGTTCAAAAGTAAATTAATTGTGTTAATTCAGTTCAAATGAACTGAGCTCTTGCACCGCTCTGCGTACCCGTCGTCCAACAGCAGGTGTGGTATACACCCCCGTCTATTATAAAGTTCCTCCCACTGCAAGATGGTTCTTCTTACTCCTCAATACCCTCAGGTGATGATAGCTCTGCGGGGAATCGGTGCCATAGAAGACCTACCAATCAGAATGCAGAAACAGCTTGCAAGATACAGTACTTTCCAAGAGTGAGTTACATAGTCTGGGCATTTTACGTCGTAGAGGTGAGGTGAAATGGGGTTTAACGTCGCGTCCAAGATTATTGCACTTATATAGCGACGTGCATGCACGTGTGTGTGTTTGTGTGGCTGCTTGTACTAGTCCGGACTGATGCCGATTTATAGTGCTAGCTCACTGAGATACCATGCCGCAGTTTAACATGAACACCCCACTCAGACACAGTATACTGACTCCGAGCCGAACAGTCCTTGTTTTAGCCCCTTAATGCCGAGCGCCAGACAGGGTAACACCAAGTACCATCTTTTAACGTCGTTTGGTATGACGCGATCGGGGATCGAACCCCAAACCCTCCGCTCTCTGGGCGGAAGCTCTACCACAAGACCACGGAGGCGGTCTTTACCTCGTAGAGTTATAAACAGGTGGTTATCATACACGGTTCACTTTTGCAGCATAGTACACATTTACACAGTCGGGAATTGTTTTGTTTGATGGTTGTTTAACGCCGCGCTCAGCAATATTCCAGCTATATGACGGAGGCCTGTAAATAATCGAGTCTGGACCTGACATTCCAGTGATTGACACCATGAGCATCGACCTCGCAATTGGGATACGATGACATGCATCAACCAAGTCAGCGAGCCTGACCACCCGATCCCGTTAGTCGCCTCTTACGACAAGCATTGGTTGCTGAAAACCTGGGGCGCGTTGCAAGCCACGAATCGCTTAGAGAAAGCAACTTACTCGCTCACCCCGGGGTCTGCAACAGTTCGAAGAGCTTGCGCACTCTTCCAAAATGGCGGCGCAACTACCGCTTGGTTGCCTTGACGTAATGAAGAACGTAATAGAAGAGGCTCGATGACGAACTGATGAAATTTTTGACTACTTTGAAGATGTAGGGCAGACTGAGGATGATGGGGTGTCAGCTGCCTTTGCTCATTTCCTCGTTGATCCAGTCAAGAATTTCTTCTTTCGCTGTCAAAGTCAGCCGACATTTTGGTTTGACAACGAAGCGACCTCAGCCAGCGATTGTTTCGCTTGCAAGCGGCGTAAAGTTAGCGCACTGTTGTAAGGCGAATCGCTGTACATCGCTTGCAAGCGATTGGCGCTTTGCAACGCACCCCAGTCGGGAATGGTGGAGGTGCCTGGGGATACTACGTGTAAGCGTGTAACAACACCGAGACTATACTCGTTTGGTGACAAATTTCAACAAAATGACCGGGATAGTGAACGCGAACTGCCAGATCACGAAATGCAGCCTCGTTTTCACTGTATACGTTGTAGAACCATTGCATGTGGACCTAAGTATGCAATAACATATGGCATAAGTTGATAGTAATTTCAAATTACACAATTACATTCCATGAATGACACTGATGTTTAATGATGTATATCCCCTGCAGATTTGGAGCGAAACGGATGATTGTTAAGCAGCGTCATCGACCCGAATCCTTCTACTTCCTGCTCTTCGGCACAGGTATACCGCGTGCATTCGCCCACACACACACGCACATGCGCAGCTGCGCTCACACACACGTGCAAACATGTTCATGCGCAGACGTACGATTGAACACTTGGTGTCATCACTTTACAGTAATTCGTTTATGTAGGTTCTTGAGTTTTTGTCTCGCTAACTACCTTGGACTTCTTTTTTATGTGGCAGAGATTCGTACGGAAGCCTTTTAGGACCATTTGGTTTGTTTTTTTGTTTTGAAATTTCAAGATACTAACTTGAAATTTCAAGATTCTGTGTTGAAATTTCAAGATTCTGTGTTGAAATTTCAAGATACTAACTTGAAATTTATAGATACATACTAAGTTAAAATTTCAAGATAATGATCTTGAAATTTCAAGATAATAAGTTGAATTTTAAGATTTTAACTTGAAATTTCAACTTAAAATCTTGAAATTTCAACAAAATAAAAAACAAATGGCACTAAAAGGCTTCCGTAGATTCAAACATGCTCACATCGGAAACCTTAACGATTTTGATAATATGTTTGCCCTCCTCAGTGATGGTGGCCGTGCTGCAGGAGAGTGGATACGCCAAGACAGCGGTGGAGCTCACAAGAGGGCACAGCTTCGGGGTAGGAAAATCAGACAGGCTAAACATGGCATGCTTTATTCGCGTTAACAAATTACCCGCAAATGCACTTTATTCAATGTTGTCATTCGACATTTAACATTTGGGAACCCACATATATGTACAATAGTCTTAAATTAATAAGGGTTTCAATTTCTGCGAGTTTAGCTATACGATTTAATTATCGTAAGGGTTACAATCGCTTATCGCTTCGTGGAACGGTGTCTTCAGTAGCCAAGCTATTAAAAATAAATTAGCGATAAATATATTTTATAATTGGTGTTTGTATTCCTTTTTAACTAACAAATTCCCCTTATTTGTCATGTTTTACGTATGCTTGTGTATCAGGAATTGGCTATCATGAGTGGCACCACCAGACAATCCTCCGTCATCACCAAGACCCACGTGGAGCTCCTCGCGGTCACGGAGGAGGTACGTAAGGATCGCCGTCAGCGTTAAACAATATGGGCACCTCCTGGTATTAAAGAAAGACGTAGCTCGGGACGTTATTCGATATTCAATTTTCACTTTATTTGTCTGCCGACTCAGTTTTACATAGATCGGTCCACCAAATAATTACCTTCCTAATTACATGGAAAGACCGTCTCCATTATACACAAGCCACACACGTTTTGATCTGCAGTGAACGCCATGCCGACCGTAGAACACAGTCCCCTTTTAATGAACAGTGTACTGTTGAGTGTTTGTCTAAGTCTACTCCTGAACGTTTGTCTGAATGTACTCTTGAGTGAGTGTTTGTCTGAGTGCACTCTTGAGAGTGTTTATTTGAATGTTTCTTTGAGTACTCTTGAGAGCGTTTTTTTCAATGTACCCTTCCATGCGTTTATTAAGGTGTACTCTTGACTGCGTTTATTAAGTGTACCTTTGAGTGCGTTTATTCAAGTGTACCCTTGAGTGCGTTTATTCAAGTGTACCATTGAGTGCGTTTATTCAAGTGTACACTTGAGTGCGTTTATTCAAGTGTACACTTGAGTGCGTTTATTCAAGTGTACCCTTGAGTGTGTTTATTTAAGTGTACTCTTGAGAGCGTTTATTCAAGTGTACCATTGAGCGCGTTTATTCGAGTGTACCCTTGACTGCGTTTATTCACGTGTACCCTTGACTGCGTTTAATCAAGTGGCTGAGTGCGTGTTTTGCTAATTGTGTCTTTAGCGTGTGTATCTAAGTGCACTGCTATATTCTGATGACAGAACTACAGACGGATCTTCATGGTGGGTGGGATACGGAACCTTCACGACCCCGACCAGCTGCAGTTCCTGGGGTAAGCGGGATCCCATGTACCTTCAAACTAGGCGATATTTTTAAAGGGCAATAACACTCATTTTGACTTTATATTATTCCGTATTTGGAATCACTCCTGAATGTGTCATGCTGTATCAACTTCACCAAACCACATATCTCTGTTGATGAACCAGGACCACTAGATGTTTCAACACAAATGAGTGAGTAAATAAGGTTTTACACAGCTTTTAGCAATATTTCAGCAATATCACGGCGGGGGACGCCAGAAATGGGCTCCCATGTGGGGAATCGAACACGGGTCTTCGGAGTAACGAGCAAGCGCTTTAACCACGAGGCTACCCTACCGCAGATGTTGCAACAGAAACCGTTAGTCGTGACGTGAATGTGTCGTGTTGATAAAACATCCATTGGTTTGAAATTTACTTTATTTCAGGAATCTGGCGTTCCTCCAGGACTGGCCATTGGAGCTGCTGACACAGGCTGATGCTAAGCTCGTCACCTTCTGCTACTTCCGGTAACCACCACGAGTCACGTGTTGTCTCTTCAATTTCTTCCGTGCAGTATACATCGTGGTATAAAAATGTATAAGAAGATTTATTGCTGGCATTTTTATAGGCTTATGCTCTATATTTGGAAGCAACAGTTGACATGCACGAAATCTCCATAGTATTACTGAAATAAACGTTCTCATCAAATTCATTATCACCAGCATCGAGATCACCTGACAAGACCATTACACGCACAGTGTCAAGTTTAGCTCACCCTGGTGTATACCCGTAGGCGAAAAGCAATATTCACTTCTTCAGACTCCATTTATCTGAAATCTCGTACAGTGCCGCAGTTTCTCGCTCCCTCCGAGATCAGGTACGTGAATGTTGTTTTCGTGCTGCAGGTGCAAGACTGTCATGGTCAAGGACAGCAACTTCTCAGACTGGATTTTTATTGTCAAGTCGGTGAGTAAACATTCATGTATATCTAATATTGCTGGCCTATTCAGTATGGTTATTTCCACTCTCCTACCCAGAGTTCCATGCGACCAGCTTAGTACCTCTGCCACAGGCAAGCGCCATGTGACGATTCGTCACACCTTACACAGTCCATTCAAGATATTGCATATGTTTTTCATCTGTTTCATTTTTGACAAGTCTACATATCTAGACAAACACATGTCATAGAATGGTTAATTTTCATTGAGAAAATACCCTAAATCGTGAAAAACTATTTCCATTTGCGTTGTTATCCTATGTTTACATTGGTTGTATGGCTCCACGTGCTGTCATCGAAGCCCAACGGAGAGATAGCGATACTTTGATGTGTAAAATTGTAGTGCCATGCAACTCACTGTCGCAGTTGTAGAAGCATATTTATATGATTATGGAAAACAATATGTAATGCAACCATAAATACTTGCGTTAGTCCGTTCTATTCTGATTTCTGAAAAGGCCCGTTAGTTTACAAACAAGAGAAAAGTCCGGTCACGTGATATGCAAATTAGCCTGTGGCAGTGGTGTGATGCAAAGTCACCACTGCGTCGGAGTGTGGGTAATTCCCTGAAAACTCCAGAACGGCTTATTTCAAGCTGTAAAAGTATGTGTTCGATGACGTAAATGCCGCTTGCGGTCGTAGTTTAGGCACGCCATTTTTCACATGGGACGCAAAACAAACGTAACACCAATTGATCAAGTTCTAGATCCTTGGAGACACCGCTGCAATGAAATTGCATTACAATGCTTTGCAGACCATTGTGATGCCATCGGTTACCAAGACGTCACAATCAAATAAATTTACTAATCTCTCGACCCGTGAAGATCCGGGTCAGAATGGGCCTTCAGCAACCCATGCTTGCCGAAAAAGTCGACTATGCGTGTCGTAAGAGGCGACTAACGGGATCGGGTGGCTCGCGGTTGAGCAATATTCCAGCAAAATGACGGTCTGTAAATAATCGAGTCTGGACCACACAATCCAGTGATTGACATCATGAGCATCGATCCACGCAATTGGGATCGATGACATGCATCAACCAAGTCAGCGAGCCTGACCACCCGATCCCGTTAGTCGCCTCTTACGACAAGCATAGTCGCTTATTACAGCAAGCATGGGTTGCTGAACACCTACTCTATCCCGGATCGTCACGGGTCCCCAGTTTTTGTAATCTATGAATCAAGTGCCTTATAGTATAGTGTATGCTATTGATGCAGGGTTCAGTAACTGTGTTGAAGAAACTCGCCAAGGCTCAAACAACGCTGAACAAGAAAACAGGACGGTATCACCAAGTTGCCAACACTGATGGCTACGTGGCCTTCCAGAGCAACGCCCTCGCATACGCCCGTTACCTTGCTTACAACAACAAGACATTGCCATCCCCGCTTACTTTGTCACTCAACTCAAGTTTCAACGCGGACAGTGACGTCACACAATCGAATGACGTCACTGATGAGGTTGACCGATTTCTGCGACGGGTGACACGAGTCAATCGTCCAATGACGTGTTCCCCTCGTAGGAAGTTGGGAGGTGTTGGCGGGCCCCGGATATCCATGTCGGCTGTCTGTGGCGCACAGAAGAGAAAGGTTTGTTTTTTGGTGTTTTTGTTGTTGTTTTACGGCGGACTCATCAATATTCCAGCTATATGACGGCGGTCTGTAAATAATCGAGTCTGGACCAGACAATCCAGTAATTGTCATCATCAGCATCGATCCACGCAATTGGGATACGATGACATGTATAAACAAAGTCAGCGAGCCTGACCACCCGATGCCGTTAGTCGCCTCTTACGACAAGCATAGTCGCCTTTTACGGCAAGCATGGGTTACCGAAGACCTATTCTACCCCGGATCTTCACGGATCCCTTGTCTCTAGGGCTGACACTCCGTGATATAATTGAAAATGACGTAATACCGAATTCACTCATTCACTCCTTCCATTCCCGGGACTAACATCCTGTGTGGGTTTTCTTTTCAGCCTAGAAGTACCGAGATGTCGACCTCCAACCCATCAACGCCGACATCAACCACCACAACAGGTGCGGTGAAGTCATGGATGTTGTCCAACAATACGTTGATGAATACCTTCTGACATTTTAGTCTGCACTCCTTCTCAACATCCATACGCTCTCTGAAATGAATAACGTCATACATATGGACCATTGTCCTTACCGGTGATTCATTCTGCAGTCCAACTGTGAAACGGGGATTCGTGTTACGTCGTGATTTCAAAATTAAAACGCAAAATTTAACCCAGATATCGGTTCGTACAGACTTAAATTGTGAAATCGGTAAATGACCATATACGATAAAAAAAATAATCAATAAATAATATTCAATCACACATTTGCAGGTTTTCAATAAAAAAAAACTACAATGGGTAAAAAACGTGGCTGCAGCAACATGTAACAGGCCCCAGAATTTACATCTTCCCGAAGCAAGGGAGTTAACTGTGTGTAAAAGTCCAGTTTCCAACTGTTAACTCCCTTGCCTGGGGGGGATGCAGAATTTACAGACCGCCGTCATATCGCTGTTATTATTGCTGAGTGTGGCGTTAAACAACAAACAAACAAAACTAATACACTGAAATAACATGGAAAAAAATGTTAACAAAATATTGGCACCGTAGTGCCGTTCCGTATGGTAGCGTTCATGGCATTGGTGCTGGTAAGCCAAGAGGAGGCGAGTTAGGAAGACAGCCGCTGAAGGCTTGTTTTAGGTTTGTTTTTGTTTTTTTTGGTTTTACGCCGCACTCAGCAATACTTAAGGTATATGACGGCGGTCTGTGAATAATCGAGTCTGGACCAGACAATCCTGTGATTGACATCATGAGCATCGATCCACGCAATTGGGATACGATGACATGCATCAACCAAGTCAGCGAGCCTGACCACCCGATCCCGTTAGTCGCCTCTTACTAGTGGACACTTTTGCCTCGGGAAGATGTGTGAACTAGACTATATGTCAAAGCCTAGTTTTACGAAACCAGTGGTCACTTGACAACCCACACCCTGAGTAGCCAACCGATCTAATGTGGTTAGTGAGTGAGTGAGCATGGATTTACACCGCTTTTAGCATTATTCTATGCAGCAATATCACGGCTGGGGACACCAGCGATGGGCTTTACACATTGTACCCAGATGGGGAATCGAACCTGGGTCTTCGGCGTGATGAGCGAACGCATTAACAATTAGACTACCCCACCGCCCCACATGTCATGTGGAGACTGTCGAAGGCCAATCTCATTAAAATCAGATCTTAGTTCTCGCTACCGCTAAACAAAGATCTGAGGACATCCCGTCGGGGTCACGTCAGAACGACCTTTCATCCGACCAATCAGAGCGTAGCTTACCAGATCATGAAAGTGACAGTCGGAATGTGATTTCTAATCATGCAGCCTGGAAAATTTTAAAACGGGGTATTCCGAACGATAGTTACAGGCTTAACGACTGAATCTATACAATCTAGACCATATATTAGCCATTCGAGAATGTTCTTTTGTTCAGGTTTCAAATTTGTAAGCGAAAATTTGTCAAAATATGTTTCAAAGCGTAGTCGCCAATTTGACGTAAAGCACGAGAAAGCTGCCTTCTGATTAGCTCATGTCGACTTCTTGTCAGTAATTCCATTGGTCGGTCAGAGTTTACGAAAGGTCGGTCTGACGTGACCCATAATGGGATCTCCTCAGATCTTTGTTAAGCGGCAGCAAGAACTAAGATCTGATTTTAATGAGATTGGTCGAAAGCGTTTCAAGTTGAACTGCACGGGCGCTGCAGGTTGGCATGACGACATAACTTTGTCGGTCTCGCAGGTGCGCCGACGTCAAACATGTGCAATGATCCACGAGCATACTGGGTGTGTGTTACGTAACATGAGCGAGCAGAGAAGTCTCAGATTCCAGACCGCTGGGTGAGATCGTCCATTAGAGGACAGGTGTTCGGTGTTTGCTAAAGTCGCTCTCTATCCGGATAAGGAGATAGAGTGATAGTGATAGGTGATAGAGTTACATTAATTTAAATGACATTGGTAGACAGATGTAGCAACTTTGAATAGCAATTTGGGAAATATACTTATGGGTAAAAGTAACTGTTCATGTTCTTCTTTGTCATTTTGTGATTTCATATATTTTCTTTGAAGATTTAGGGATTTTAACATGAATTATATAGATTTTCTGAACATTTTGTTATATATGAAACGTCAAATGATTAAATACTCAAACTCAAATTCTGCACAGGAATGTTTGTGTTCTTTAACAGATCACGGCGAAATATGTATATATTTCCTTTCGCTATTGCTTGTCGTAAGAGGCGACTAACGGGATCGGGTGGTCAGGTTCGCTGGCTTGGTTGATGCATGTCAGCGTATCCCAATTGCGTGGATCGATGCTCATGATGTCAGTCACTGAAGTGCCTGGTCCAGACTCGATTATTTACAGAGGTATTAATGTTAGAATATCCAACAGAGAGATGTGTATGTATGATGTCCGTCAATACTAAGTTGTTCCCGTGTTGACCAGATGACAGTGACGTGCTTGACCTACACCCCGACCACAACATACACGTCAACAGTGGCAGGATCCGAACGTTCCTCGACGACCTTGATGCTGGATCATCGTCAAAGGTGGGTTAAGCCATTCGTTGGTTTTGTATTAATTCCAGGGGCAAGAAATACTTTCATCTATCTACGTAGATGTAAGTGTCATCTACGTAGATGGAAGTATTATCTACGTAGATGATAAAAATATAACACTGTGGCACTAATACGCTTCCATACATTTAGCTTCTGTTCTTTACATATTTGATCTTGGCGCCTCTTTACATGATATTGGCCTCAGTTAATTCAAATAAAGCGAAGGTCTAACTATTTCAGCCGTCAGCAGTAACAGAAGCAGATGTGAACCCTGAGTTCGTCCTGGTCCAGACTCTCACCAGGGGGCAGGCGTTTGTGAGTACTTTATTTAACCCCTTGCATTAGGGGTGGCAATTGCGGGTAGTTTAAATACTTAGTATCGCGTTCTGCAGACACTACCCCCTCCCCCCATACGTAACTCAGGTGACTCAAATGAGTGAGTGAGTGTGGTTTTACTCCGCTTTTCGCAATATTCCAGCAATATCAACAACGAGGTGGACACCAGAAATGGGCTTCACGCGTTTACCCGATGTGGTGAATCGAACCCGGGACCTTTGGCGGGAGGAGCGAACGCTTTAACCACTAGACTACCCCATCGCCCACCGTGCGATATTGTTCCCACATGAAATCATATTATCAATATGTTGTTGTTGTTTTTTCTTCCATTACATCATCTAGCGCGTTATTGCTGTCATTTGAACTCGTCATTGATATATCGGCGAACAGTTGCAATGTATCGATTATTTATTCCATCGTCTGTTGTAACACGTCTGTTTCTCTCGATCTGATTAACAAACAGTTTAAAGTTTTAAAGGAAATGTGCCTGCTGTAAGCCTCTCGACTCACGTTGCTATGGTTGCACACAGGGCCTGGCCCAGGTTGTCCTTGGCGACCAGCCGAGTCTCAGCATGGTGAGCAATGGCGTGGAGTGTCTGATGATCAACAAGCGCTTCTATCTTGACCACTGTCCTCCAGCGTTGCTCAGGCGACTCAAGACCCAGGTAGGTCAGCTTTCTGTGAAACACAATCCTGGACCATTCCACAAAGCGATGTTACCTCCAGCATGGACCCTAAGTGTCCATGGCTCCAGGGAGTCGTAACGCTAAGGTCTCTTTGTGAAACGGGTCCCTGATGTAATCATAATTATATGGTGTCTGATGTAATCATATCAAGTAACTTTAAATTGATGAAAAGTTCAATGGCATGAAATTGAATGTGTCCGCCTCTATGTGGCTGGAGAGAGTTGTGTTTATATGGCTCGATTGATTGAGTGAATTATGTTATATGTGGCCGGATTGAGTGATTGAGTTGTGTTTATGTGGCTAGATTGATTTAGTGAGTTGTGTTTATATGGCTCGATTGAGTGAATGAGTGAATCATGTTTTATGGGTGGCCCAGTCGTCTAAGGCGCCGCGATTCGCTGTGCAGTGTCGCGTCACTTTGGGCACGCCAGAAACCTGTGAATGTGGGTTCGAATCCCGGTTCGCCCCGATTGTTTCTAGGTTTGTCAGCACCATACCCGTGCTCGTGGGTTTCACCGAAGTGCTTCGGGCTTCGGGCTTTCCTCCCACATTAAGCTGACACGCCGTGATATAACTGGAATAATATTAAAAGCGGCGTTAAACCCAACTCACTCACACTCGGAATGGTGGAGTGAATCAAGGTGAGCTCCTCTACCCAATATTTGACTGGTGTGTTTCTGTGTGCAGGTTTCTCCTTATCCCAGTGACGAGAGGCTTCAGGGGGACCTGGTGGTGCGCGCGGACTGGGAGGTGTACAAACAACGTGTGACCGCAGAGGTGTTAGTCAACAGACCCCATTCCATTAATCAACCACAAGAATACAATCTAGCTTGATCTGAAGAGTAGCTATCCTGCTCGTGTCTTGGGCATCCTCGTCAACAGATCTCATCCCTTATACGTCACGAGAACAGCTTCGTACAAGTTTAAATCGTACACGCTTATGTCCTTCTGGTTTCTTCTGAAGAATACCGCTGTCCCCCAACAACTCCAGCTAGAGGGATATGACGATGCAGTGCTGCCCAGTTGGTGGAAGTGGTGGACTGTATAATCCACGTTTCTTGTCACATTTGTCAAGTCCTGGTCAGCGAACGCCCATGTTAGATTCGGATCTAGAGGACAGAGGCTTTCAACGGGATGTGCTTCTTTGAAAATCTCAGGTCGTCACGTGACTTGATTCAAAATGACATGTGTAAGGATAGATTAATAAACAGTGAATGGAGGCTGTTTGCGCCGTCAGCAATATTCCATCTATATTAAGGCGGTCTGTAAATAACCCATCCCGGACCAGGCAATCCAAAGCGAAAGCATGAACAAAGGTCCACGTCATCGTGTACGATGACATACAATTTTCAATGTTATAGAGCCTGACCACCCGATCCTGTACACTATTGACACTCTTGCGACACTCGTGGGGTACGGAATCTCCACAGGGGCACACAAATATTCAGAAGCAAAGTTTCATCGGTGGCAAAGAGGTACGCACGTCGCTAGTAACCCAAACTGTATTGGACACGGGGCACCAGAACAGATTATACCCAGGTAGATTAATGAGACCGAGAGTTTGGCGACGATTTGACGTGAACTCACCTTCAAACCGGTGCTATTTATGTACCATTGGTACATTCTTGGTGGAACATTCTCATTACAATAGTGAGCGAATTAATGTGGCTTCATCACTATTGCAGCTACTGATGACGATGAAGCAGTGGTAAATATGCGAGATTCCCTGTGAACCTGGTGGAAGTGTACATGTGTATGAAATGAATATTTGGCACCTGCTGATCCCCACCTTTGTATTTTGTTCACATCTGTATACCTTTAAAAATGTATTTGTTCTACTATTTGAATCGAATTAATAATATATGCAAACAAAACGTTTTTGATGTTCTCTGTATGGGGACCCGTGAAGATCCGGGTTAGAATAGGTCTTCAGCAACCCATGCTTGCCGTAAAAGGCGACTATGCTTGTAAGAGGCGACTAACTGGATGGGGTGGTCAGGCTCGCAGACTATGTATATTCATAGTGTGTCTCATCCAAAATCCACATTAAGCTCTCGTTGAAAGTTATCCCAGTCAGCAGCATATCAGCTTCGATAACTGAGTTGCCTCACTCACAATGGGGCAGCAGTGGGGGTTAAACGTTGTGCTCAAGGTAATTGCACTTATAAGATGAGTGTGCGTGCGTGCGTGCGTGCGTGCGTGCGTGCGTGCGTGCGTGCAAGTTCGGACTAACGCCGATTTTAAAGTGTTAGCCCAATGGGATACCATGTCGAAGTTTAACATTAATACCCCCTCTGACACAGTATACTGGCTCCAAGGCGACCAGTCCTTAATTGTTTATCGCCTAATGCCAAGCGCCAGGCAGGGTAACACGTACCAATTGATACTGTTGGATGTTTAATCATCAGTAGTGGAAGTTCTAGTAGTATTTAAGAACTTCCCTTCAACACGCAACACACAAGCTAAATCTTCGATTTGTAGCAATTGATGGCTTTATTTCTTTTGGTTGCCATACACAATGAATAAAACGAAATTAAAAGAATGAAATACACAAGTGTACATCTGAAACAATTCATCCCATGTTCTGCTAAAAGTTTACAAACAAATGCTAAAAGTTGTGTATATAGGCCTGTGGAGATGACTGGGGAGCTCAGTAGGTGAAGGTCACGCTGGTTTGTTTACAGACTATGGATGTCAAACGTCAAAGACGGAGGATTTGAAAAGACACGGGTTTTGTATGTATATGTATATAAACCGGAAAATGCCCCCATATCTAAAACAGCTGTTTAAATATGTACAATTAAATCCTTCAGGATAAAAAATATTTTACAATTTTACATTCACAGAAGTACAATGAGATCTTGTTTGTAATTTGTGATGAACACCCTACCATGAGAAACATTAAAATAGATCATCCATGAAATATATCAGAACACAAAGACACTTTTGTTATCGATCACCTTCATAAAAAACATTTCAGTCCTACAGTATAAACACCTTTCCAAACAAGTCCCCTCAGCATAAATATTCAATATGAAAAGATATCATTATGCCTTTTTAAAAAAAAAAAAAAAAAAAAAAATCTATCCTCAAAGGAAGTCTGTGGTACATTAAAGAAATAAGTAGCAATAACAAACTATTTTCTCATGAAAATATATATATTTATATGACAAGCAAATAACAACAAAAATGGAATTTAATTGTTCCAAATTTTCGCCCATTTGAAAATCATGATTTGCTCTATACATTCACATTCATATAATACAAGAAGCATTTAGGAAGTGATTTCATCACATCACATCACTCTACCACACAACACAACACAAGGATCCAGGAAGTCATCCAACTCCTATTTGGGCCAAACCAAAACTGTATATCTATTTCAACCCATTCCAAAATATGATAGCTAGGTCAGAATATTATTGTTTTTGTTATACTTTTTCTTTGAAAATGGTAAGATTCAGTAGGTCAGTAACACTGTTATCAAATGTAGATTTTGAGTCTTATCAGTAATGTAGGGCAACAATTGAACGTGGGTGGAATAAAATATGGACAGTACAGGAGTGGCCATGAAAGCTATGGTGGAACTTCAAGGGTGGCAGCGGTGGGGAGACCAGAAACACATATTTTCTATACCTGTACAGCAGTACTGGCTGTTGTTGGTCAACATGACCTGCATCAATGGGAAATTCACACTGTTACCAAAAAATAAATATTTGTCTGAGTTTATCGGACTATTAATAAAGTGAAAATGCGTTTCACCGTATCAGCATTTATTCATAACATAACGCACAAAAATAATTTTTATATCAAATTACTTAAAGAGCATATTACCATCCCATAATTTGAATAATGATCCTCTTGGAACATGCACAAACCAAACATGGCGCATGACAAATCTTCCAGAATAAACAAAAATCAAACTGGTTCAATATAACTAATTATATCCTGATCCTAAAGCAGAGGAGGTAAATCAACTAGAAATTCCATTATTAAACCAAGATCTTTTTTTAATGATCGAATCATACGAGTAATATCAACCATCCCTTAACTCTGGAGTAGGAACCATTTAACTATTTACACAACCTCCTGAATTCCTTATTCCTAAGTCAAGGGGGAGAATAGGTTCGTTCAAGAACCTAAAGCAGACATGATATTCCTTTGGATATCAAAACTCTCATCATATGTTTAGGAGACAAACCTACTGTGTTTTGAAATATAATGTTGTCCCACTGTAGAGTGGATCCCTCTTATTTTAATTTGGAACAAGCACTTTTACCTGCCTGATCCAGGTACTAGAGGTAACCATGGTGACAGTTAAAGGATAACTGGCGAGGGTCATAACAGGATTCGACCAATCACAACGGCTGGTTTAAAGTGGCCAAGGCCAGTAGATATTGAGATACTACCTGCTATTGCCCTCCCTGCATAACAAGCCTACTAATAACGGGAACCCATGATACCAAACATCACAGACGTAGCGACTATATGTCCAGGTGAGCTTCACAGCTGCAGACAACAACACAAGGCAGGTAAAAACAATCAGCGCAATCATCAAGCCATAGGAGGGACGCCAATAGGTGACACGCGACATGAGGCAGTGGAACAATACAGACACTGTTGAATGACTTGGATACATGCATTTGGTTTTGACGACCTTATTATTTTCTTGTAACAAAACAGAATCAGGAAATATAGACTTGAACATTTTGCAGTTATTTAGGGCAAAATAAAACAGAATTTGAACGTGTTCACAAATCCTGTGACATTATAACAGTCCCCAAATACTGATGTAAATCAGTGGATCTGGCTGACAGAGACACCAACTAAAGTTGAGGGCATTGGAAATACATGTATATGTGATAATTGGCATCTAAAATAATTACTTTCAAAATAAATCAGTAATTGTAACTGGCATGTATGACTGCATGATTCTGCTGAAAATAAGTAATCTTTCGCTTTAGATTTCATCTCCCAAATTCCTGAAAATTTGTAAACCTTGTCCCCACAAACTAACACAAATGATTATTAATCAAGAGTCATCTGTTTGTATACCTATGTGTCAATGACATAGGATGGTCAAGAGCTAGATTAAACTACATGTGATGATTTTGGACAAAATTTGTAACACATTTCACTTCATTGTATTGACATACTGCTCAAAATAGTGTGATGTTTCCCCCACAATCTAACAGTTGGCATCTCTGGATTTCAAAACTGGTTGTAAAAGACTGAGTATCAATGCATATGAATACAATTCTTGTACAGCATACACACACTATCACAGTCAATAGTCTGTTTCGTCACACTCATGACATACCAGTGAGCAGAGGTAACGTACAAATGCACAATATATTGACTACTGTTGGTGTTTCCTCTTTCTTTGCAGCTCAATAAATAACACATAACCATTAGATGAGCATGAGAGATTATGTGGTCCTTCTAACAATATTGCAGCAACACCTTGGCAAGGGTTTCACAACAGTACACGTATGCAATTTAACCTGGTTCTATGACATGAAGAGAAAACCCTTCAGCCACTGGGAAAACAAACGAAGTTAGTAAATAAAGTCTTCATACCACAAGACAAACAACACGTTAACAAACGTATGCCAATAGATAGTCTAGCAAACTTGTACATGTAATACATCATGTTTATATTGGCTGGCTAAATTTGCTGTGGGATTCTGGTTTTAATGAGTCAGCTTTTCTCAACCATTTTGTGTTGCAAATACTGTTGGCACTTTATCCAAGATCATAATGACATGAAAATAACCTACTTTCTCCAAAGGTAATAAAAGCGTTAACATTAAATATCCTAAAACACACAGAAAAACATCATTGACCACTTGTTGTAATGCCCGTTCGTAAAGCATTGTTATGCATGATGTTAGAGCACTCGTGCAGCATCTGTGCTCACATGCATCCATAATTGCAATTAGCCAAATAATATCCCTGACAAAAAATAATAAATAGAGGTGCCATGTTACATACTGAGAACATTCACTAACAACTACCCTGTATATATACTCACTGCAGTGCTTGTAACCGTCCTTAAGGCATAAAATAAAACTGGTGGTGACCTTGACCTTCACAAGACAACAACCAGGTTGTTAAGGATGCAATGAACTTTAAGGCACCACCTGGTGAGGAAAAACTCACTAAAAGCTTGACATCGCTCAGCATTACAGTGAAGCCATCTAGGCTACATGCTACAAGTATACATCATCTGCAGAGTATTAGTCTTCCAATGGGAGTCACTCCTACGGCCATGACGACGCTACAATCACAATGCACCACGTGTGATTGACAAAGTCCAAAACCTAGAAAACAGTGTCATCAAACACCGTTGACACTGACAGACCGCTTGTCCCGATGCTTCTGACGAAGTTTGGTCCTAGCCTTGAATGCAGCTGCATTGTACATATTCTGCAAAAAGAAATTACAAGGTCAACAACATTCAAACTACTTTCCCTCTCTCAACAATGGTATGCTTTCATCTTAGATTGAAATTGCTATGACAAAAGTAAGCAAGACACTCATAGGAAACATTCACATCAGAGATAATGTCACATCCAAAAGTGTTAGTGAGCATAAATCACACATGATAGTTAGCTGTTTCTTTGTTGTTTAATGCCACACTCAGCAATATTCCAGCTACATGATGACGGTCTGTAAATAATCGTGTCTCGACCAGACATTCCAGTGATTGACATCATGAGCATTGATCCACACAATTAGGATATGATGACATGCATCAACCAAGTCAGCCTGACCACCTGATCCTCACTAATCATTGGGTAAAACTGCTTACATGAGTACACTTACCCTTTCAAACTTGGTCAGTTTTTGGGGTGGTTTTGCTCCAATGGGCCTCGGTGCTCCCAGGCCAAAGATCTCTCTGATTAATGTATTCTCCTGCAATAAATAATACACCTTCAGAATACACAATGGGATCGATAATACACCTTCAGGATACACAATGCCCAATTTGCTTAAACTGAGACCCCTGACAACAAGACGTGTGTGTTACCTGGAGGTGTTGGTAGATCCCTGACCCCAGGAGGTCACAGAAGGTGTCGTACTGCTTCTTCCTGACCCACGTGTCCAGATGTAGTCCTTCAACTCCAAACTTGATGGACATGTCGGGGGCATCCCACTCCTGCAACAGGCCAACACCATCTCTTTACTTCCATGTTTCAAATTAAGAATTATCTTAGTGAAGTTTTCATGTTGGAGAGCAGCATCACTCATTGCCTGGTCTTTTCCCATTATATTTGTTTGTTTGTTTGATGTTTAACGCCGCACTCAGCAATATTCCAGCCATATGACAGCGGTCTGTAAATAATCGAGTCTTGACCAGACAATCCAGTGATTGATATCATGATCATCAATCCACCCAATTGGGATCGATGACATGCTTCAACCAGAGTAAACATGTATTGAATACCCAATGTGAATGATAACATGTCAATAAATACCCAAACTCAAAAACTTATGCAGAGCCCTGTAAATTATTCCCTTCATTAGATTAATAAAACCAGACAATCCAGTGATAGACACTGATCCACGCAATTGGGATACTATGTCAACCAAGTCAGCGAGCCTGACCACCCGATCCCGTCAGTCGCCTCTTACGACAAGCATGGGTTGCTGAAGACCTATTCTAACCTGGATCTTCATATGCTTTCCCATTATGACACAAGAATCATCAACTGATGGTGGCAATTGGGTTCATGGTGATATATCTCCAAGCCCAATATTTTCCTTAACTAGACTGAGCACTGTTCATACTACTGGTAATACATCCTCTACCGTCTGTACCAAAACACATATATACAGTGCTCCAAAGAGTTTGACATATTATCCATTCGTTTCCACACAAATATTAACATATTATGTTTAAAAGGAATACTTTCATAATCTCTTTCAGTACTCAAGTACTTTGTGATGGGCAATGATGCAAGAAAGTAAAGTTTACCTCAATTGTACGCAGGATATCACGGAAACTAGATCGTTGTTGACGGCGATCCTTCTTGGCACGGAATTTATTTGAATCTGTTGCCAGCTGTTTCAATAACTCGCATAATTCCAGCATTTTGGGTCCTTCAAAGTCCTGTCAAAACAGATTAAAACATGGCATGTTTAAGACCAGGTTCTACCAATGCTTCATGAAAGCAATATGATAAACTTGAATATACTTGAATAATTACCACTCAGAACTACTGCTAAAATGTATGGGAACTTATCATTTTTATCAATCACCGTAATAATCATAATGCTTGAGTTGAGTTAACATTGAGTGGACAGTTTCTCATTGAAGTCATTCTACACAGAGTAAATGACTATGCCCAGTCAGCAATAATTAAGCGAGTGAGTTAGGCTTAACACTGCTTTTAGCAGTATTTCAGTAACATCAGTGTTGTCAGCTTAATGTAGGAAGAAAGCCTGAAGTGATGTATGACTCAGACGTTTACCACTTTGGTGAAACCATGAGCACAGGTATGGTGCTGACAAACCTAGAAACATAATTGGGAATTGAACCCACAATCAGGTTTCTGGCCTGCACAAGGAAAACAACTCTGTACAGTGAATTGCGGTGCCTTAGACGGCTGGGCCACCTGTGCCACCTGTGCCACCTGTGCCCCCTGTGTCCGGATAATAAAGCTCTATAAATAATAAATAATTGAACCCGGGCAATTCATTGACAACATAAATAAGTCCTTGCCCCTGGGATAATAAGTGAGTGAGAGTGAGTTGGGTTTAACGCCGCTTTTAACAGTATTCCAGTTATATCACGGCGTGTCAGCTTAATGTGGGAGGAAAGCCCGAAGTGATGCAGGTCTCAGACGTTTACCACTTCGGTGAAACCGACGAGCATGGGTATGGTGCTGACAAACCTTGAAACATAATCGGAGCAAACTGGGATTCAAACCCACAATCATAGGTTTCTGGCGTGCCCAAGGGACGCTATTCTGCACAGCGAATCGCAGCGCCTTAGACTACTGGGCCACATGTGCCCCCCCCTGGGATAATTAACATCATTAGCCAAGTCACAAACTGTGAACACAGAATCCTTATGTTACGACAAGTATGGATTACTGGGGACCTATTCCTATTCCTGAATCTCCATTGGGCTTAGTCTACAGATGGTCTAGAGTGTCCCTGCAGCATACCTCATCCCCCTCTCGACTCAGTTCATACATGAGCGCTATGGCCTCCCCAGCTGTGATTCGCAGGTCCACGTCAGAGCTCCGCAAGAGTCCTGTCATGCGGTCAAGGTGACTGAAAAAAAGACAATGATCAATTTAACAATGATATACCAGACTGTCACAAGCCAGCAGTGGATGAAAATGGCAGTGTTGAGACTACTGTGAATGGGTTCGTGTCTTAGCCAGCAATAGTACATCTTTATCATCACAGCGTCAGGGATGGAAACTTGCACATGTCAGCTAGTCAACTGTTAACTGTACTTGAAGGGCCAGCACAATTTCAGACTTTGAGGTGGCGTCATATTTGTGATCACTATTCAGGCTGGTATTGGTATTGGTCATGTTTCAGGTTAAGTTGTTAAGTTGAATCCCAGTGGTGCTTGCTTTGTTGTTCGACATCTCACTCAGTATATTCCAGTTATACGTCGTTGACTTCTGTAACACCACACTCAGCAATGTTTCAGCTATAGTAAGTGATTGAGTGAGTATGGTTTTACGCCGCTTTTAGCAGTATCATGGCAGGGGACACCAGAAGTGGGCTCCACACACTGTACCCATGTCGTGAATCGAATCCGGAACTTTGGCGTGACAAGCGGACGCTTTAACCACTAGGCTACCCGACCACCACTGTTCCAGCTATATGACGATGGTCTGTAAAGATTTTGCATCAAGCAAGTCAGAGAGCTTGACCACCTGATCTTGTTAGTAGCCTCTTATGACAAGTATGGGTTGCTGAAGACCATTTCTGACCCCGATCTTCACAGATGCATGACATAGGTGTTCCAAAACCAACACATGTTACAGTCAAACTAGGCATGGTAGTCACTCATTCTCCCCCGCCCCCAACCCCCAGTACAGTCAAACTAGGCCTAGTAGTCACTCAATCTCCCCCGCCCCCACCCCCCAGTAACCAAAGTGATGATCTGATGACTCCGATTCATACTAAGGCAGCTTTTACACTAAGAATGTGGGGTTTCCTTCCAGTGGCCAAAGGCACAGAGTGTTCATTAGTAATGGCTACAGTTGATCCCAGGGGGTGATCACTGAAAACGAAATCTACTTTCCAAGAATATACAACATTGAGTGATTTACAATTCAGTACCTGGAAACCATCTCTTCTACAAGGAAGGATGGTGCAATGGACAGGAGAAGACACCACCCTGAGAGTGCCTTGGAATGCATCGCGCACACCTCAGGCGAGTGAGAAGGGGAGGAGTTGTCTCCCTTCACATAAGAGGCTCTAAAGACGTCCTCTAGGGCTGTCATCACAGTTCGAACATGCTGCAAACACATGAGCAAGAGGTGTAGTGATAGCATAATGCAGGAATATTGTATAAATCATTTGGTCAGTTTGATAATAGTAGTAACAATGGTTTCTCGGAGTAATAATACCACTATATGTTAATGGAACACTTCTTATACTGTACAGCAAAAGTGATACTTGTATTACTATTCTATATCAAAAGGATGACTTTTGGAAGTGTAAGATCACATGACTGAGACACTCACCTCAAGGTCTTCCCCTGCCAGGAAGTTGCATATAGCCAAGGCATTGGCACACTACAACAGACAGACATGCAGACATTTACACAGGCCAATACTGACAATACTCAGTTATAGAACCAACCTACATTGCTAAGGACCAACAGGTTACAGTGTAAATTCTGGGCCAAGTGCAATGCTCCTGTTTTCAACAAAATTGCTTAACTTGAAAACTCTCAACATTGGTATTAAAGTAAATATTTAATGCTAAAAGATTTCTAAAAAATACAAACAACATTTTAACACGCCTAATACACTAGACAATATATTTTAAGCTTACGGTAGTTCCTTTTTTCCTTCCCCCTCAAAAACCATACCCTATTATTTTGGACTGCCCCTTCAAAAAAACCCTCTTTTAGACAGTTTTATTATATCGATTGTAAAATTCCCACCATGGAGGAACAAACACACCAACAGGGGAACAAATGTTTTGATTGATGCAACTCAGTAAAAGAAGTAACACTGCACGTAAAAGTTCCAAAGAAACTTTCACACAGAACCTAGAACCTGGAACCAAATCTTGCTTAGAGGTAAGTACTCATGTGGAAACAAGTACACAGTTAAAACAATATCTTATGAATTATGAGTTCCAGGGATTAGCTGGTATCAATATAGCTAAAAGAATAAATGAAACTGTAGAGTAACTGAAGCTTGAATTGTATTGGTCACTGTCAACATTCAGAACATATAACAGAAAACAGCATAAAAATATGTAAAATGGAACATATCACTGATCATATTGAAGTAATACGTGTGGCAGATAGATTCTTTGGATTCTTTCACCCACCTTTCCCCTTGCTTTCACAGACGCTGACTTGTCAGCCATGACGGTGAGCATGAAGGGACGTAACTCTACAAACAACGCCTCTGCCTCTTCCCCAAGTTGTGTGATGAGGAGTGCTATACATGAGGCAGCCAGGGCCTGCTCGTCTCCCTTTCCCTTACGTAGACACTTAGTCAGACAATCAGCAACAGTCACCTTCCTGTGGAACAAGCTCAATATCAAGAGGTGGACAGAGGGTCCTGGTAGATCAGGAAAAATGACAAGAATAACATTTGGAGTCTTAATTGGGAAATTAATTCAATTTTTTGAATTTTTACTAACATTCCAAAGGTAGAAATCTTCCTCTTACCAGACCCAGAGAAATCCTGATCTGTGTAATTATCATCTTTGTTGTTACATTTTAGGTAAAATTTGTCTGTGTGTTATTTAATGCTGCTGCTATATGATGGTGGTCTTAACAGAATCAAATCTGGACCAGACCATCCAGATATTGAAATTGTGGGCAAAAATCCACCTTCAAGGTATGATGAGGGGGCACGGGTGGCCTAGTCGTCTAAGGCGCCATGATATGCTGTGCAGAGTTGCGTTCCTTGGGCACGCAAGGGTTCGAATCCCGGTTCGCCCAGATTATGTTTCTAGGTTTGCCAGCACCATACCCGTGCTCGTGGGTTTCACCGAAGTGAAATGTCTGAGACCTGCATCACTTCGGGCTTTCCTCCCACATTAAGCTGACACGCCTTGTTATAACTGGAATACTGTTAAAAGCGACGTTAGACCCAACTCACTCTCTCAAGGTATGATGACACGCAATCAAACAAACCACTGAGCCTGACCACCAATCCATTTAGCTGCCTCTTACAATCAGCATAGGTGGCAGGGGACCACGGGGTTCTAACCCGGAATCCCCATGGGTCAATTAGGCAAAAACAAATGATGTAACTTGTCTTGAGAATAATGTCATACAGACCAAAGTCTCCACCAAAATATACTGTGACGATATCACTGGTGATACAGCCCATGTGGTAGTGAGTGAGTGAGTGAGTATGGTTTAACGCCGCTTTTAGCAATATTCCGGCAATATCACGGCGGGGGACACCAGAAATGGGCTTCACACATTGTACCCATGTCGGGAATCAAACCCGGGTCTTCGGCGTGACGAGCGAACGCTTTAACCACTAGGCTACCCGACCGCCCCCCCCATGTGGTAGAGACTAGTCCAATATATCACTTGTATCAACCCTTTCTACAGAGCTATGATCTGTTATTCCCTGTTTGTATACAACAGCAACACACACCTGTCTGCGAGGAACTCCAGGATGTACTTCTTGCTGAAGGATTTCTGAATTCCCTCCAAACAATTCTTTCTAGTCACAGCACTAAAAGGGAATGACAAAAAAGCATCATCAAATTTAAGTGTAGACTATTTATGAATGATGTTATGATAATCATTTATCGGTTACCCTACATAGATGATCAATTTAAATTGTCCAAAAGTATTTGTTGAAAAAGGGTAATTTCATATTAAATTCATACAATATTTATCTTGCAATTCACTAAATCCAAACATCATTTATATGTACCTGATAGGATCAATTTGCAAAGACAGGAGTTTACAAATTGTCAATGACAAGTTTCAGTTAACAAACATGCTAGCAGATGGCAACAGCCTTTTGACAAATCTACATGAATTTGGATATTCATACCTATCTTGACACAACACATTACAATTTCCTTCTGGACTTCGAGGTACTGCTCCAGACAGGGTTGAGAGTGTATATTTTCCTTTTCAGCTGAAACTTCTTTGCAATGGAGCATAGTCCATAATTTGGGTTTTTTTTAGGGGGGGGGGGGGGGGGGTATCAGATTTTAACAAATTTGTGGTCACTAAAATTCGCAAATCTGCAGAAGATTCTCATCCCTGTCCAGAGGAGGAAGAGGGACATTTTGGGTTCTGTGTTACAGGATCGAAGTCCACAAGGAAATTGGAATGTGTTGTGTCAGGATAAGAAATAATCTGACTTTCTATCATGTCCACATTTCCACTACAATTCAGTAAGCAGTTAATGGTTAGACCTCAACTGTTATCTATTAACTCATCATTACATTTTTAACCTGAAATCGTATCATAACTTGTGCACATTATGGACTGTTGGACACTTACTTAAAATATAAAAGTGTTTCAGACCAACCATCTTAACCATGGGAATGTGTATAGGAACCTACCTCTTAGACAGGGTGCCTTCTATACACTCTTTGAGTTTGTCCTCAAAGTCTTCCTGGGTATTGGAGTCCTCTGTCTCGACATCTCCACCTGGTGGCACAAGTACCAGCTCATAATAAGATTACATTATTTCTACCCCCTACATCAGTCTGTATGTTCTTGGATATCAATGTGAGTCAAGAATGAATGATTTTGTAGTGTGAAGTTTACACTTTGAATGTTTTTTTCCGTTGGAAGAGAGGTCGGTCATATTACTGCGAAATTGACTTTGATAAGTGAATGAACGACACATTTTGGCATTCATATCTTTGCCCTCACTCAATGAAGGTTCATACTCCAATGAGTTCACATAAAGTGAAAGTCAATTTTTACTGAACTATTAAAGCATTTCAAGAGCATGGCTACTCCTACTCTCTGCATGAAGCTGATGAAATTCAACTGAAAACATGTACCAAGGTTTTGGTTTGATGTTTAACACGGCACTCAGCAATATATTCCAGCTATATGATGGAGGTCTGTAAATAATCGAGTCTGAACCAGACAATCCACTGAGTGACATCGTGAGCATCGATCCATGCAATTGGGATATGATGACATGCATCAACCAAGTCAGCGAGCCTGACCACCCAGTCCCATTAGTAGTCTCCTACGACAAGCATAGTCGCCATTTACAGCAAGCATGGATTCCTGAAGACCTATTCTACCCTGGATCTTCACCAAGAGAAATGTGGGAAGCCTTACTGATAACGTTGTCCACAACCGTGATTGTTGTAATATATGTATATGTTGTATTTAATATCAGTCATTATCACTGGTCATGATAATGACAAATAAACATTAGGTGAAACTTTACCCTGTGTATATACACATTAAATGTAAACTCATGTTACAATCACTTGTCAACTAGGAAGGAAACAAAGCAGATAAATAAATCGCTGACAAACATTCCCACAACACACTGCACAAGTCTTGTCAGATTCCTGCAATCAATGCTAAACATGCTACATTTAAGTGGCTCTTGACTTTTTTCAAGGGCGAAAACTACTTATAAATTCACCCTGAATAATTATTGCCTTTAGGGTCTGTAGCCCCTTCTAAGCGAGATCACCCCTTTATAGCAATAGTGAGTGAGTGAGTATGGTTTTACGCCGCTTTTAGCAATATTCCAGCAATATCACGGCGGGGGACACCAGAAATGGGCTTCACACATTGTACCCATGTCGGTAATCGAACCCGGGTCTTCGACGTGACGAGCGAACGCTTTAACCACTAGGCTACCCGACCGCCCCCTTTATAGCAATACAAAACTGTTACCTGAATCAGGTAGGCTGTTGGCATCCTCGGACAGCACACTGGCTGTGCTCCAGTTGTCGCCAGTATCACACTCATCATCAGTTGGAGGTCGTGAACCTTGCCGACTCTTATCGGCAACTTTCAACCCACCTGCCAAACAAGACATCATTTCAATGCAGAATCAACCTTCAATAAGGTTTCTTGGGGTAGCATGTCATAAAACAAAAAAAATTGACTCCATGTCGTTAACAAGAGTCATCAGAAGATGATAATTCCCCTAGCTGACAAAACAGAAGGCACAACTTCAGTCCCATGTTTGAATGAAAGATCTTTCACGGTTTTCACGTAATGCCCCGGCAACGAAGTACAGACAGGCAGACCAGATGATGACTATCACCCCCCCATTATACGCCAGGGGGATAAAAAGACATCAGATAGCTATTGGTAGATGGTAGTAGAGTTACGATTAATTGAAACAAGAAAACAGCGTTATCACTGTCCCCCGTCATGGTGCACATTAGAATTTTGTGTTCATACAGTAGTGAATATAACTATAAAAAAAGAATCCTATAAAGCCTTGAATAGAGATACGCACTTCATGTCATCAGAAAAAATTAGTAAATGTGAAAGTAATATGTACACAAGAGGCTGAAGTCTTTCCCTAAGTAAAATAACATGGACCAAGGGCCGTGTAACACTGTAAAACACCAATTGAAGGGACCAATTTTCTAATTGAGTCTTGACAAGTATACCTTAGATAAGCATGCAAACTTTCATTCATGCAACTTTCTACCGTGGTTTCTGAGAAACTTGTTCCCATTTAACGTATATATATATATAGTATGCACTAAGTTGAAAAGCAGGGGGCAAAGGCCATAACTCTGTAAAAGAGTGAAATTACAACACCAATTTTCGACTCATTTAAAATTATGACCAGTAACACCAGTGCGTAAAATTTCTTCTCTCTGACTTAAAATAGTTTTTGAGAAAATTTGTCCTGTTTGAGAATTGGACGGACGAACTCCGTTCCTATATCCCTGCCCCAACTTGTGACTGGTGTTAATAATCATTGACTGATTGAAATGGTCCGGAGGTCCAAACTTCCAAACCATTGAACAACATTTTCCATAACGGTGAAAACACACAGATTCTAATCTTTAACAAAAAGTTGAAATTGACAGGATGTATATTTAGAAATACTGTGAATTGCAGTTTATCAATGCTTTAGTAATAAAACCAACTCAGCAAAAATATAAGCCAACAGCTGAGATCAATATCATAACATATGGGATACACAGAATAGAAGTTAAATCAAAATCTAAGGCATATTGTGTTTAATATTGTTTGTTAAGTGTACATATTATTGACATCATCATTCCCCTACACTCATGAACTATGACCTATGGGGTATGGCTATCACTTTCAGAGTATCACATATACCACATGCATTTTTCGTTTTTCGCTGTGTCATATGTTTACAAACAGATAGGTCATATGACAACAGCTGTCTGACCATGTATGGGTATACAGTGGTATATCTTGATGAATATACTTATACAATCCATTACACCAATACGTAAAACAGCGTTGACAATGTCAAATAAGAAAACATAACAGATCACGGGAACATTTTCCTTCGTGAATCACTCGGGCTTCACACGTGCCAATTCAACAGGTCTTTGATTCACCATTACCGAGGTCGATCGTTTCCTTCTTGCTTGAACATGATTAACTTAGTTAAAATGGAGAGATCACAAACATTACATAATTATACTATGTTTCTAGTTCATAACACTGATACAGCCAATTTTCAGAAGACAATTTGACATCCGTATGTTACTGATCGCCTCAACAGGGCAACCCATGTTTGGATGAATCACATGTGCCTTCCCGCGTACATACATAAGAAGGGCGTTTCGACATCACATACTTACGCTTTTTCTTGTTCTTCGGCATTATTTTCCTATTTTTCTAAACCGCCAATTAGTTCTACGATTACCTAGGCCCATAAAACGACATATATGAAAATCCAAATGGTAACAGATTGTTGTATCTAGAGAATTTTGACGTGACCACATGGACATTGTCAGATAGCAGTGCAATGCGATTGCACTAATAATCTATATATAGGTTTACCTTGTTCCATACCGTCCGGCACACCACTTGCGCCTCTTTATAGGATTGGACTATGGGATAGATTTTCCAACTTTAGAACCGTGGTAATGTTTGTGACGTCATAGTGTTTGTCAAGTAAACACGTGTTAAATTTACAATTGTGAAATACTAGTTATACACTTTTTGATAACTGTAAAATGCTCATTAAATACTGATTAATATTATATTTTAATTAATTTTCTTGAATTTCATTTGACGTCACAAGCCACATATGTAACGTGGGGAAACTATTACATACCATATGGGTAACAACTATTTGTAGTTTATTTCCACACGGAAGTTTTAATCGCGACTGTTTCCTCTATAGCTATAGAAAATAAACAAAGTAAACATCATTTGAAAAAAATGATAAATAATTTTTTATTTGAACCTCTAACTTTATTCAAACTCGAATTTTAAAGCAGAAACTATGTAGAGCCTCTTTGAGTGGCATTTAGAAGTTGGAATGGTAACTAAGACAAAATTGTTATGGATAACTAACTATCAATCAGTGTACATCAACCTTATCTGTTATATAAACATCTATCTATTGTTATGTATATATATCATCCTCATACCTAGTTTGTACATCATTTGCTTGATAACGGTGTTAGAATCTACATCGAAACGTCGCCCAATTGCAATAAAGAAGTTGCTCATCCATAACAATTTTGTCTTAGTTATGTAGAGCCATTGTATAATTATTTCCGTGGCAGGACAAACTGAATATGTTTTCTACACAAATATTTATTAAGTCATCGACATTCTTTCCGGGTGTAATAGTCGGAACAATTTTTTTCTCCAGAATATGATAATATTTACTACCCTTGCTGATAAACATGAATGATAGCCCATTCTTTATTGCTGTTATGCCGAAACGGATATATAGTGGAAACTGTTGACGAGCACGGAATTGGTGCTGACAAACGTGGAACCTTTTGACTTCTTAGTGTGGCCGTTTTACAAAATAACCGACTAATTTGTGTGGCCCTTTTGACTTTTTGTTGTGGGCCTGTTCACTAGGGCGAATCTTGGGTGTCTGAGAACTGGCCAAGAGTTTAAGGGCCACTAAAATAAACCCAAAACAATTATCGAACTTAAGATCATTAAGCATGCTTTGTAAAAGAAAACAACAAAGTGTTATGTTTGAAAAATTGTAAAACAATCGAATCTAGATTTAAAGACAAATGTCATTATAAATAATACCAACACATGGAATGTAAATCAAAATAAAGTTAGAACCATAAAAGCTTTTGTAACAACGAGTAACATAGTCAATAGTCAATAAAATAGTCAAAACGGCCACAACAAAAAATAATAATAATGTGAGCAGGATGTGTACAGAGCTAGTATACATCTTAGATGTTGTTATTAATAAACAATAAATATCCACTGTGAGCAGGATGTGTGTTATTACAATGTATATCAGGGTAGTGGACAACGTTATCAATAATAAACAAACAAACAAACAAACAAACAAACAATGTATATCATGGTAGTGGACAACGTTATCAATAATGCTTCCCACATTTCTCTTGGTGAAGATCCAGGGTAGAATAGGCCTTCAGCAACCCATGCTTGCCGTAAAAGGCGACTATGCTTGTCGTAAAAGGCGACTAACGGGATCGGGTGGTCAGGCTCGCTGACTTGGTTGATGCATGTCATCGATCCCAATTGCGTGGATCGATGGTCATGATGTCAATCACTGGATTGTCTGGTCCAGACTCGATTATTTACAGTCCGCCGTCGGCGTTAAACAAACAAACAAACAAACAAACAAACAAACAAACAAACAAACAAACAATGTATTATCTTCCAGTAGAGTTCACGTGTTGTTGATTTAACCAATCTCATCGATATACTTTGATCTCTGTACTGACCAGTGTACCAATCTGTTGTGAAAACGTGGATAAACTTTAATCCGAATGATGACACCTTTCGCGGCCTGGAGATATAACACCATCGGAGCTCCTTGATATATGCGCTTCAAACCATGGACCAAGGGTTTAAATGTGTGATTTGTGATGTGCAGTTAGTGCTGAAGATCTGAGTGTTTACAATAAATCTGATATGATCTATGAACTTATATATACAATGTATATAATACAATTAATGCATAATACAATTAATGTGACACAATACTTGAGCTTGTCTTCTATATTTTCTGTGTGGCCGTTCTGACATGGGGCCGTTTTGACCCGGTCCCCAACTACGGACATACATGCCTTTAACAATACGTTTAATTCTCAATGTTTCTATACGCGCGTACCGAGTAAAGAAAATCCGTAAAGTATGATTTCATCATTCAAAACTCTTCCGGGTTGTATAGCTGGAATATTGCTGAGTGCGGCGTTAAACAACAAACCAACCAACCAATCTTCCGGGGTGTCTGCTTACCCTTTCATTAGGTATAAAACTCGACGGTTATAATAACAATCTTATTAAATCAGATCTTAGTTCTCGCTACAGCTAAACAAGATCTGATTTGTATTAGGGCTGGGACGAGTAACTCGGGTACCCGGCTCGGGTGGGTACTGAGTAGGACCCGGGTACCCACAGGACTACCGGCCCGGACCCGTGGTTAGTCACGTGATATATTGTTCAATGACAAAACGTATCTAGAACTCTATGGTTACACTACAAGTAACTAATGTTCGCACTAATGTTTCCGACTATGCACCCTTTCCTTCTGATTTTTCATATGGTTGAATAAAGATATAACTTAATTCAACTTCAGTGTATGAATGACCAGATTGTTTAATACATGTATCTAAATACGTTTTGCCAGGGCTATTCTAAAAATGTTCCCAATCGGACATTTTGAGACATCTCCTGAGGCCTACAGTGGGTACCCGGGTATGGTCGGGTAATAGGGGGTTGGGTATACCCGGGTAGTAAATTTAGCCCTAATTTGTATGAGGGGAGATTGTTAAAAAAAACTACCATAATTACACAGTGTTTCGGGTGCTCCAATTAAGTAGAAATAAGAAGTAATTGAAGATGTCTACAAGAAGACCCGAACGTGGGACCAGACCGTGAAACATTGTCGATTTCTGGACATCCGACACCTAATTAAAACACTGCCACGACTGCGGCCTCACAAACGTTTAATCGTGTGTACCATTATGAACATGACAGAGTAAGTGGAACAGCTTCCTAAAATACATGTTCTGCTTGAACGATTACCTTGGAACACAAGGAGTTGAAACGTGTTTGAATGTGTTCACGGGCCTTGGGGCTATTTCGATTAATTACGCAATTTAATCTTCCCTCCATTTCCCGACGTTATGTTTACGTTTGGGTCTTTATCGGTAATCTTCAAGAATATAAGTCTTTGGGGAAGTACTGTATTGCATCAAACGTTGAAACGACGACAGGCCACGTGACATTGAACCGGCGTTTGATTGGTTCTATATATGGAAACAATCAGCTGACGTAGTAACGACCACGTGCCTATATATACTGCGTGGCAACAACGCATCAGTCGGAAAGCGCACGTTAAATCTCCAAAGTAAGTAAGTAAGTAAGTACGTTTGCATTCATTCGAGAAAATTCACAGAACGGGAAGGAAGGGCGTGTTTGGTCCTAAAATTAATTCTTAATTCAGTCAACACTATGCAGATAATACAAGAAATGGCTGAAACCGAAGAAGTGAAAATGAAGAAAACCCGTAGAGGAAAGCGATGTGGTCGCCGAACGAGGCGATGTGAGGAGAATAGTTTTGATGAAATGGCTGACCCTTCCTGCAGTTCAAGCATGGACACGAAAAGTGTGAAAGGGAGAAAATTTTATGTGAGACCAAGGTATAGTCCCAAAGCTCCTCATAATTCCACACAGTTTATAATGGACGATCAGCACCATTGTTTGGTTAACAATGAACACATATTTGATTTCTCAAGGTGTGATGAAATGTCTATGTATTTCAACAATGAAGACGCATCACAAGGAAGTGCCCAGGGATCTCCTCATTCAGACTGCGATTGCGCAAACTCCCATTCAAGTGCCTTGGAGAACGAACTGAATAATTTGCAATTAAATGCATCGCAATATATGGCAAATGACTTTGAGTCGTTTTACAATCAGTTGAGAGCAGAAGAATTGTCGAAGTTGTCCAAAGATGAACTCGTAGACGAATTATTGTCTATTGAAGAGAAAGTTTCTGATTTCGAGGAGAAGATGCAGAAAATGCAAAGAAACACCGATACATTGTCCCCGCCAAAACATGGACTTAAAACACCAGGATTGGGGAACACAAAATTACCACAGGATGTGAATGGGAAAGCACAGTCTATAAACCATATGTCAAGTTTACTAAAAGAACTAGAATTGCTAAAGCAGGAAAATAGCAAACTAAAGCAGAAACAAGATTCATTATTATCTTCATAATTAACTCATTTCAATGTGTAATCAATCATGTAATTTAAGATTTTGTTCTGCATTTTCCCTGTTTTGTGATATGATCATGGAAGTATCTCCACAACTTGATATGATTGAGTCCACTTTCATAAAATACTTGATGTATTTTGTTTTGAGAACTCGGAAGTTTTCATTTAGCCAAAATGTTTTAAAGGAGTATGAAGAAAGAAGAACTATTGAGGAACTTTTCTTAATTTTAGAGATAAGCTACAACTGTAGATATTTTGAATGTCAGTCAAGCTACAAGGTGTTGCTTGATATGTGAATGAATGTGAATGCTTGTCTTTGAGTCAAGCCTTTGTTTTAAGCATATAAAATGTTGGAATGAAATCATTATCTTTGTCGTCGTGTGTTGAACTACTTATTACTGTTGAGTTTTTCCTTTTCAGCACTTGAGACACCTGGTGACCCAGCAGCTGTTCACTGTCCAGCTACGGACAAGGGTTCGAGTGACCAGCTTGGTCATTCACTCCGTGGACAGGAGGTAACACTGGTCTTGAGTGTCATTTTAGCAGCTGTAACTTAAGTTGAAACAGTAACTGGGACTGAAATGAAAAGTTTTTTCTTATAGCCTTAGCAGTGATTTCTCAAGAAAAATGACCATGTCATTGGGTGTTTTATCAGTTTTTGACAAGATTTTCTGAATTGTGTATATCACTTACAAATTTAGAAGGAATCTTCAGGACGTTTGTGGCAACGTTCTTGAATCTAAACATATCTGAAACCTTCGCCAAATAGAACATCGGTCATGAAATTTTGATGCTGGTATGGATTTGTGGTATCTCAAGCCATTGTAATTTATAACCATCAAAAGTATCTTAGGAACTGAATATTATTAATTTTGATATGAACCATATTCCACGATTGTTCAGCACCATGTTGTAGACAATCCCGAAGCCGTCATTGATTGTTGAAGCAATGGCTATTCAAATAGCTCCATCGTTTCTTGCCCTTTGATACACATGTATGTTAATACACTGTTACTATTACCTAGTATGTATGGTTCTCATAGGTGGTCATCAAATTTGTTATTTGAAAAATAACTTTTCATTTCAATCCTTTCAAAATGCAGGCATTGACTTCAAGTATCAGAGGTTTTGACTTACCAATGATATAAGTTGTGTTTTTGCATATATCCCTGGTACTGGGTTTAATCTATCAATATTTGTTGCAGCGGTTTCCAACTACAGTGAACTGAACTGTGCTGGCTGACGGTGCCAAGAAATGAGTATTATGGTATTATCAGTTGCCTAGCAACTTACCTTTTGTGTTGAAGAAAAGTTTTGAAGGATTATGTATGACAAGAATAATCTTTATTTCTCCGATACATGAGCATGATGAGCAAATTTGATTAAATATATATTTCATTTTGCCATTATGTTAGGAATGTACAATAATGTGTTGATGGCTGATATTTACATCTTGCAAGGTAAGATAGAGGAATGAAGACAAGACTCCTGGCGTTTGAGGGACTCCTCCAGGATGCTGATGTACTCCTGGAACTTGTCTCTAGCAGACTGGCCAGCGCTCACTGAAAAATGGTATAAACTGAGTTAATACATGCTACTTCTGCAGTCTCTATTGTTTTCTCCGAGCTACAGATACTCAAAACCCAATTACTTTCAATTACCTTGTGGACAGAAACTCATGCATTAAATGAAAAACAGCACACATAAATACCCAAATGAAGTTTTTTCAGCATGCATATAACGAACACAATTACGAGCTAACTTGCTTTCTGAGTGAAGCCTATATTGAGCACCATAATATTCATCTAAATCATTTTTATATATATTTTTTTAAATCTCAAAATACTTATTCATTTTGGAAAAAAAACTAGTGATGAATAGATGAGTGAAAAAATATTGATTACACAATGAAAAATGTAATAATCCAATTATAATAGAAACCTTCCAGTAAAAAATCAATTGCTCAAAATGTTATCTGGGGTTATCCATGTTAATGCTCTTTATTAGCAGCTGGGGCCTGTTCCACAATAGAAATTTACTGCCAAGACAACAAGACGGATACATTATGCCCTAGTAGTTGTGGCGTACAGTTCAACCACATATTGGCTAATTCTCCCAACCCCCACCAAACAAAAGTAACAAAAATTATTAAGGGTCATATATTTATATATAATCATATCCAAATGACCCTGAATCAAAATCAAAATATATTTTTGAAATCGATGAGAGAATTCAAGCTGATCCAGTGACACAAAATGGAGCTTTGCGAAGTCCATATTGTCGAAATAAAAGAAATTTACATTTTGAAGAGAATAACAAAACATAAGAAGTGATATTAACTCCATAAATGACAACCTGTCACCATTTTGCCTTGTCAATATGGAACTAACAAAGAAAAGGGAAGTGAACAGTTTGTGCAAGGGCTAGACAATTACGATAAAGGGAGACAATTTGCGTGGAGGTAACTCTTGTATGACAATAGTTCCATCCACTGCACTGCATTGAAATATGTTAACTGCAATGAAAAATATCGCTTCAGGAAAACTCAGTCTTTCACAATGAAGTATATAATACATTGGAAAACAAGTATGGCCACAAGAGGCCAATGGAAGATCGACTGGTCACTCATGCACATTCCCTTAATCAGATTTGGTGTGTTGTCAAGTGTTTCTGAATGCACAAGACAAAACTTTCTTTTTTTCTTTTTTCTTTTAGTTGATTTGAAGGCTATATTTTAGGTGTGCTTACTTAGACTCTTGGTTTCAGTGACCAATCAAAAGTAGTCCCCCACCCCTGGGTTAGAAAGTCTAACACTCATATTTATAATAAAGGTAGATTTCCAACAAGGTAAGTATGTTTTCTAGAAGTCAAAGAGACCCATTTCTGCCCTGAACATAGCTTGGAATAAACAGTAATGGTACCTAAGTTGTCGACTTTGTTGTCTGTGTCTGCATCAGTGGACTCCTGTCCAAGTTGTGTGTATGTGATGCGGATTTGGCTGATGCTGCTGAGCAACTGAAACAAAGATTGGGTGCCGCTTCAAATGTCACACTCGACAATATTCCAGTTAAATGAATCTAGTCTGGACCAGACAAACCAGTGATTGGTGAAAAAAATTCAATCTAGACATGGTAGAACCCCTATTAAGTCGCTACATGTGACATGCCAAGGTTGGCGTGGGTCCAAAGTGATGGCATCGTTTATGCTGATATTTTGTAGGCAGATACTAAACATCTTGACAATCTGAACAAGCCTCCACAGCATGATTACAATGACTGATTTGCCTTTAAAGGTCATAGTATATTGTGCCATCTTCCCAAGGCAGAAGAGTTAACTGACTATAAAAGTCCAGTTTCCACCCTTGCCGAACTAGGCTGGAATTACTGGGCTCGATCGTAGCGCCACTAGTGTCTATTACCAGTTATGTTCCTTCTAAGCTTCTATGGACGAATCAGATTCCACCTCTCATATCACTTGCATTTGCTTCACACAAAATGGTGGCGCCCAGTCAAAACTATCTGATCGATAATCAAGATCTATATTGTGATAAAACGGGTTTTACATCACGAAATGCACCAAATCACGAGAGCACCTTGATTAAAAACATGAAAAAGATTTGGAAAATATCTGTTGACAACGAGTTGGTGGTGCAGATGCTTTGCAAATCCTGCAATCGACCAAAATCTGCACGACAGTTTCCGAACCGGACTCGTTTGTCCAGCCAAAATGTAACTCCATAATACCAGCCTAGTTCGGCAAGGGTGGAAACTGGACTTTTATAGTCAGTTAACCCACTTGCCTCGGGAAGATGATATTGTGCTTGTTTAAAAGCATTCTCGATATCAGAACATTACATATCTTTGTGGCTCAAGCACTGGTTGCTTCTGCCTAATTTATACATGCTTAAAGGGCAAGTTCACACGGAAATGAACCTATTTTTCTTGTACTTTTTCCACATTAAAAGTGTTAACCTAGAAGTGTCATAGACAAAAATATTAAAATATCACAATTAATTAACATATTTTTCGCATTAAAACGATTTATATTTTTCACATTTACCAAGTGTTCTATTTCCACAACAAAAACACTATGGCTTATGCCCCTTGCAATATGACGTCATTGGTGCCAATTGATAAACATTATGACGTCATCATGCTTTGTTAGAGCCGCTTCACGTGGTGTAGGTCCAGGTGTGTGATTCTAGCGTCTCAGATGCCAGCCAGCATAGTGTTATGCTGAGTCACCACTGCGCCGGAGTGTGTCGTAGGCCATGTTGTTTTACCGCAAACTGGTACTTGATATCTTTTGCGTTGAGAATAGACAGGGACCCAGTTGAATTGGCACCAATTACGTCATAATCTAAGGGGGATAACTCAGGCCTGTTTAGCTCGAAAAACGAAGGCCTCATAACGGCATATCATTTTCACACTATTGTGAGCTTCCTACTTTCACTGTGAAAAAAATGAGTGTATATTTTCAAACACAGATACTAATTAATTCTAAAATTGCGTTTTGTTTAGAAAAAGAAAGAAAGTGATTTTTGCGTGTACACTTCCCCTTTAAGGTATTTTACTTGGTTTACACAATTTCATATTAAGTCACACAAAGCTCTAGCTCACCTCAAGTTTTATGGAAAAATATTTACATTAAGGTAAAGGAGAGAATGACAATCATGGAAGCCATGTTCTAATAAGAAAGTTGACCACAGACTGGCAATAAGCCATGACCTAAGCTGACTTTACTTCCAGTCTGTATAAACCTGCCTAACCTACCTGGTGAAACTGGTGCAGGATAGTGTGTACTCTCTTGAAGGCCTTGCCGAGACCAGTGAGGGATGGGGGACTCTTGTTGCACCAGTGCCGCATCTCATTCTCATAGCAGTAGGTGAAACTGACGGTCAGCTGTGACAGCTCAGACAGGACAACGGTCAGTGTCCGACTCATAGTGTCCAGTTGCTCATTCTCTGCACTGGTCTGGTACCTGTGCTGCACACAGGAGAACAGTTGTCAGTTGTAGGTAAACAATGGAGGGAACAGTAGGCCCGGAGATTCAGGAAGGGTGGTCTTTAAAATGCATGCACCAAGACGATACGACTAGGCATATAGCTGACACTGTAGTAGACAGTACATGGACACATGACATTTTGGAAGGTTTCAAGGTGATTTCTATGTATTTATTTTTAACCGACAGAAATTTAATGTGATAAAATGACCATCATAAAATACTACGATATTGGACCACTTAAAGCCGCACATTTTTCATTTTTCATTCCATGGGCTTGTCGCCCCAACTGAAAAGCAGCTGTAAAAAATAATGAAACATAAACAGATTTATTTTTATTATGTCTCCTACTAGTAATACAGACCATTTTATACATAAATTCCACGTCTACATCACTATCAGAGATTCCATGGCAGTAGGATTTTCATATAAATCAATAAATGATTGACATTTTAAACATATATTAATTTGTTCTGTTGAACCCCCTCATGTCATAATATTTCAGTTATGTGACGGACGGCTGTAAATAATCAAGTCTCAGCCAGACAATCCAGTGATTGACATCATGCTCATGGATCCATGCAAGTTGGATACTACGACATGCAGTCAACTAAGTCACCAACCCTCACCATTTGATCATTTAGTTGTCACCTACAACAAACACAGGTTGCTGGGGACCTATATTCTTAGTATCTTACCCAGAATCCCCAAAAGATGATCTCCCCCTTAAGGGTCTCTCACACCCTAATCTATTTTGCTCTGCAACAGAGGCTGGTACAAAAGAAGATGTGTGTTGGAGAAGGAAATCCTTACTTGTTGCTTGAAGTCTATAAGTATTTCAATCTGGCGGTTGAGATTCTTTGTGACCTGTGTGGTGATGTTGACAAGAGCAGGCAGGTCGGGAACTGGAGGGCTGCAAGCACACAGTGCAAATGTCATGCATCGTCAATACTGTGGCATGAGCTTAGAATCTCTGGGACGATAAACACTATAGTAACATGACAGTCAGAAAGTCTGGTCTGTGAAATGACAGGTGATACAGCTATTGGTTGGTTGGTTTCTTGTTTAATGCCGCACTCAGCAATATTCCAGCTAAATGACAGCGGTCTGTAAACAATCGAGTCTGGACCAGACAATCCAGTGATTGATATCGTGAGCATCGATCCACGCAATTGGGATCGATGACATGTATCAACAAAGTCAGCAAGCCTGACCACCCGATCCCGTTAGTCACCTGATACGGCAAGCATACAGTGATGATTATGAATACTTTCCCTTTCAGATGAAACTTCTTTGCAATGGAGCGTGGTCCATAATTTGGGGGTGTTTGTGGGGGAAGCCATCAGATTTTAACAAATTTGTGGGCACTAAAATTTGCAGATCCGTTGAAGATTCTCATCCCTGTACAACATATTTGTAAAGTGACTCAGGTACTGGCACTGTTTACATACCTGTCCTTGGAGAATCCCTTCTCCACCCACTGTATGTCCAGTTTTCGCTGAAGGTCTAGTGGCAGCAGACTCACATGGCAGTTGAACAGGACGTCCGTCTTCTCCTGATTTGCCAGATGATCCATCAGGAGGCAATCAGCCCCGAACTGCTCTGTCAAACCTGTGCTTGGGCTGGTGAAATAAATGTTGTGAATTCTGCTATATACAATAAACAACCCCAATAATATTTTAATTTGGCAGTGAAATACGAATAATTTCAAGTGAAATAACATGATATTATTACTTGTGCCCTTGGTATGATTCTACAAACCTTTATTGCCGCCAAGGTGTGCAATACAAGGAAACTTAATAATTGAGTGTGTGGAATTTAAAATACATAAAATAATGGATATGGTGATTAAGCAAAAATGATTTTAATCTTATTGAGTAATTTGACACAGACACTTTCACTTGTGGCAAAACATAATTCTAATAATCATTACCAGTGTATTAAATTCTCCAAAATTTCAGCCAGACAACAAAAGGGTAAACATAACAATAGTACTGTTTAATGTTAGTTCTCAGAAAATAACAATAAACTGGTGGATTGTCATTAGTAACTTTAACTCCCGACCACCTGACGTGCAACCTTTCAAAACTGACCGTCCACAGCAACATTGACCATCTCGGACTGTCAGGCAGGTGGGTTTAAAACCATATCTATGCATTCTCTTTCGTGATAAAGTTCATTATACAAGTCTCTGTACCTGACCACCCCTGGACTCCGGAGTGCAGCCATAGTGGTCTCCTCCGAGGCATCAATGATGCTCACCATGTCTATGAGTTGGGTCATGAAGGATGCCTGCTTGGACACGGACGTCACACCCTGGATGGACAGAATCATTGTCATTCTCTGGCACTGTCATATTCAAATTTAGTAAAATCTAAAAATAATTTTACATTTGTATACTTATCTTGCATTACTCCTTTATGGATTTAGTGCTGTTTTTTGACATAAAGATGAAGCTGTGTGAGGTCCAGCTGAAAAAGAAGTTGTTCTAACTGGTTGTGTGGCACTTACCATCACAAGGTGCCCACAGAAGTGGGGAGGGAGCTTTGCGACGGTTGGGCCACTTTAGACGTAATAGTGCAGGATAAGTATACCAATGTAAAAATATTTATATTTTAATAATTTCCTTCACTTATCCTGCATTACTCCTTAATGCATCTGAATAGGACGGTGTGGATGTGGGCATACCCTCAGATGTGATCCTCAAGATATTCTTTTCAAGAAGTCCTGGGAAGAACCCTCAGTGATTAAACATGGCACTAGTGTAATCCCTCCTCATCTTCAGCAACCATCGTGGATCGTTTGTGCCCAGGTCTTTCAGATACATGAACCAGCCCCTCACAGAGTTCCATCAAGGCACGATCAAAATCAGAGCGAGGCTTTGGGTTGCCCTAATCTTTGAAGGACCTTGGGAAGGTGGTGGAAAGTATACATTCTTTGAGCATCCACTAGGATGTTCTGACAACCTGGGATGTGTATTTCACTCGATCTACCAGATGGAAAAAACAGAACGTCTGCTGCAGCAGGGAGTGAGAGTGTGTCATCCCCTGGATGCGCAGACACAGACCACTGTGATGTTTTCTGTTGAGATGGCTACCTTGGCATTCTGGAGTATGTGCGTTGATTGTCAGACGACAGCCCTGAAGCTGTCTGGTCCTCTAGATGTGCGCCCCAACCCTGTAGAGAGGCGTCTACGAACTGACGTGAAGTAGACTTGAGCTCAGTCAAGGAGACTCCTAAGACATTTGACTCCACCGTCCACCACAGGAGATGATATGAGATGTGAAGGTAGGACGATGGAGACCGATGGATCCTGGTCATCATGGGCATCTGCCTAGTCATTGGCATTAGAAGAGGCGTAGGAGAGATAGCGCTCTTAGACCTAGATGAAGACTGTTTCAAACCAGAAGTGGAGGATATGGACACGATGCTAGGTGTGGCAGGGGTCTCGAGTGGGATCTCTTGAGAGTCGGACATCCTAGGGTGTCTGAGGGCCTGCTGAGAAAGGTGCTTCCTAGATACCTGGAGGTACTTGGAAAAGCCTGGAGAGAGTAGTCTGCAGAAGCTGCACTTTGTAGCCACGGAGCAAGGGTTGGCACAGTCCAGACACAAGGGGTGGGGATCCCTGCAAGACTTTTTACCGTGGCAGTGATAACAATGGGGCCTAAATCTGCGATTAAGCAGAGGCCATAATCACAAATAAACAAAGAGAATGCTAAGGCAAATTTAACCCAGAAACATAGCAGTTAAAGGATCAAATTAAGCAGTATAAAAGTGTGAAAACACTTTTATTACCAAATGGAAAGCAATAGGTAAGACACAACAAAAGAATTACCCTGTAAAATAAAGAAGAAATGATGTAAGACACAAGACCGTGACAACATGTGAAAATCAAAATGGCTAATTTGAACAACAAAGCACATGATTTTTACAGTGACTTGTAGCCACTATCATGCGCAATATATTAAGACGACGGTGAAACTATGTGATAACGTGTTTAGACACAAACCATAAGAATGATATAAATCGCAAAGACATGCTGAATAATGAACAAGCAAAAGGACGCCAGTAGATAAGCTGGAGCTTTATTATACACAACTTGTCAGTCTGGTTGACAAGCAGTAATGTGATGTTCCATGACATCATAACTACCGTGGTCATATGTGCACTGTGATGGGCTTAGCCACAAGTTGGAACAACTCCTTTTTCAGCTGGACCTCACACAGCTTCATCTTTCTGTAAAAAAACAGCAATAAATGCATGAAGGAACATTGTAGGATCAGTTAAAAATATGAATTTTCTTACGGTTGAATAACTAGTCTGTGACTTGTCCGAGTCTAGTAAATTTTATTTCTGATGTGTAAACTCAGATAATAATGTCCTTATGCCGACACTAGAGTCTACTGAAGATGACAGACATGTTCTGCAGTGGTAGAAATTGGGAAAAGTCCCATGTTCCTTGCCAAACTGCCCAATAGTTAAAGTATCCTGAAGACTAGTAGAAATTTGTCCTTTTTAAGAGTTTTGCTATATGTGTAATCATTTTAAGGACTAGTGGACTAAAACTGTTAGTTATATGGCTGTTCTGGATAGTAAACTCACAACTAGCATATAAAATTCTAAAATGCCATGAAGACATCAAATAAAAGACCACTATTATTAGGGCTGGCTAAAAAGGTCGATAATCAGAATTATCGTCGATTGGAAGAAATATTAACGATTATCAATATGAAAGTTGTCTTATCCTTAATATCTTACATAAACTATTGTGATGCAATAGTTTAAATTTCCTGAAAAAGACTTGATATTGTTAATCATGTCAATTGCTGAAGACGGAAAGTAACTGCTTTAGTTATAACCTAAATGTCCATAAATTAATCCATGCATCAATATGTCACCACTCACCCGTGACGTAAAATATGTTGATCTCTTTCGGACTTTTGCATATTTGCTCAAAGTTACTTTTCTAATATTTATCGATAATTGATCGATATTTCGTTAATGAATACTGATCTCTATGATCTATTTTGATAGCCAGCACTACTATTTATAATGTCCCTAACTGTTACACTTTTTTGTGTCATGAACTGTAAATGTTGTACTCACCCTGATGAGGTCAACATCATCGTATCTACAAAGGCCCAGCGTGTTGGCCACGTCCAGTAGTCCTACAAAAACAACTGCTGTTTACTCTGGATCTTGGGAAGGCTCCAACATTTCCACAATAACAATTCCATTCAGGACTTACATTTACAATGACACATTACATGAGTTTCAACTTTCTACATAATTTATTAATTTCTTTTTCAGTTTTTCTAAATAGTGAAATAAAATTCTACTCAAAATATCTTAAAACCATGTTGATCAAGAATTGAGAAAAACAGAAATACAGGAACAATTGACATGCTTAGTATTCTGTAAATTCTAGGAAATGTATCGTCTGACATGGTTAGCTTCCAAAATCAGGGAGTCATGATATAATCACACATTTTAGATCCATACTTTGTTCTCTAGAACAACAATTTTTATTAATCTCATAGGGGGCACGGGTGGCCCCGTCGTCTAAGGCGCCACAATTCGCTGTGCAGAGAAACCTATGATTGTGGGTTCGAACCCCGGTTTGCCCCGATTATGTTTCTAGGTTTGTCAGCACCATACCCGTGCTCCTGGGTTTACTGAAGTGGTAAACGTCTGAGACTCGCATTACTTTGGGCTTTCCTCCCACATTAAGCTGACACGCCGTGATATAACTGTAATACTGTTAAAAGCAGTGTTAAACCCAACTCACTCACTCATTAATCTCATAAAAAGAATAATGACAGAGATTGCACCACAACTGATGCATACATGTAAACAATGCAAGATTTGTGTGTCAGATAAAACCCTGACTTATGATGCTAATATTTGTGTGAACACTGACTTTGTATTCTTGAGTCCATCTTGGATCCAACTGGGGCATAGTCTGGATCCAGAACCTCAGCAAGCTTTGAATCAAATCTGAAATAAATTTGAACCCAGTAAGTATAACATTAGAAGACTTGCTCTGCTCCAAGGAACATTAATCGTTTCAAGTCTAGGTCTCTATGTTACCCCATTGTATGGTAATTGGTCTTGTGTGAAACTGAAACATAGACTCTATTCAAACAATTGTCCAGTGACTTATATCTCCATTTTATGATGATGAATACCCGAACCCATTATCTACCATACATTCTTTTTCAGCCCTTTTGGAAAGAAATGACAACTGAAAATAACCATCAGAGCTCCAGATAAGTTTTTGGTGTTGTGGGTATTTTACCCATGCATGTTAAAATCATTGGGTTTCAGTAATTCTATCTGGGTATCCAAATTTCTGTAACCCACTAGTTTTTACACATGTTAAATATTTAACAACACTATTCATCTAGTCCCTGCAAACTGGTGTCATGTGGTTTAGAGAGCTTTATAGGACTAAAAAATACCATGATACTTCCACAAGAAAGTGTGATGGCAAATGATCATGATGTAATTGTCATCGTGGAGTTTGGCAAGGTTGACGGAATGCCCGTTTATAATTTCAAAATAAGTTGCTGATTCGCTAATCGAATACGCAGGGTTACTTAACAATATTTTGATGATACGCACAAGTTTGATTTTTGTAGCGTATCTGTAGTTTCGTTGCGTATTTGATACGCTTGGATTTTATTTTACTGCATATTTCTGCATTTCTGATGCGTATTTTACGCAGATACGCAGCTTATCTGGAGCTCTGACCATCCAATCAAGTCATACAGTTCCTACATGAAACAGTTGCTGATATCAATATTGCTTGACACGTCCTGTTACATACTGTCTAAATATAACTGGGAATTTAACACCTGGTTATATGTGGACTTCCATTTTCAGTACATTAAAAGTAATACATCATTTCTGACAGTCTTAAGGTTCCCTTAAACTCATCAAATATATTCAGGGCTCTCGCTGTGGGGACAAAGCAGTTTTGGAAGTGGGGTCCTTAATTTCAAACTAAAATGTAAGATATTCTGTGGGAAGCTACTCAATAGAATGATTAGAATGCAGTGTATCTTCCCAAAAGAATCTATGGAATCAAATGGTTCCAGTGTAGTACCATAATACAATAGATATAGATAGGTGTACATCAGAACATTTTAGTAACCAGATAAAATGGCATGTTAACATTGGTATAAGTACTCACTACAAATACAACAAATGTATACATTCCAATTTCAGGAAATATTTATTCATCACAACTATGGCATACACCTCACTGTTTCTGCAGCAGACATTAGAATAGTAATATTTAACATAATAATCAATCCTTATAACTACATACAAACTAAATACTTTTCCTAATTCTAAACACAGATTGTATGACTAAGTATCACAGAGCAAAGCTGTAAGTTTTTTCTAAAATAACTACAGACTTGAATCAAACTAATGAGAACTGCAAATTGGCCCTAAAAGCCCTCCTAGGTTAATTTTCAAATAATTTTGATAACAATGAATATGTATCTTTAGGGCACCAGAGTTAAAAAAGCTTACTTTGAGAATAGCCACTGTAACAGTCTAATTCTTGGTTCTCCAGGTTTGAAGAGTGGTTCTGTAATCCATGATTCATCAACACCCTCTGTAAATGGGCAGCCAAGTTGCTGGGAGGAGAAAGGAGGGGTATCATGATGTAGCCACATTTTTACAGTTATTATCATAGTAATACAGTTCTGGGATTAAACAAGTTAAAACAAGCATTGTTCCAAGTGATTAATCATTTTCCAAATATAGTTCAAGATAGTGAATTTGGTGCAAGAAACAAAACTTAGCGTATAACATACTGAAGATACTGAGAGAGAATGCTTAATTGCATGAATTTTCTAATCCCATACATTACTGATCAATATTGATCATGGATTGGTTTTTCAAGCAAAAAATGAATCTTGAAAACTTAAACAAGTCACAACACCAATATCACCAGACTAGAAACTATTTTTTGTGACAGAATGTTGTAAATGGAGATATAATTCACTGGACCAATAGTGCCAAATCTGACATTGTGAAGCATTCATCATTCCCTTTAGAACATGTTGACTAGCCAGTAAGTTCCCAACAGTTAAATGCGTTATGTGCTCATAATATTTACAAAGATTGATCCTACGTGCATCCATCACATTTGTGATGTAGATACCAAGTATACCTCTCTTTGTAATCCAAAAATCGACTGATCCTCTACTCATGTCTATAGATTGTTTTTTTATTTATGAAACACATCAACAAACCCTGCTTAATGCTTATCAACGTTCTCAACTTCTACATGTTTCACTATAGTCAGATAGTTCAGGCACTGATCACTGTCCTACCTATCAACCAATAGTTGTGTTCAACATTGATCATTGATTGTATTGTGTGGTATCGTATTATGTATGAGGAAGCTTTCATATAAAGGCTTTTCCTGTTCCTATTTATATGACTTTATTAAAATGACTGATGCACAGGGTAGTTTATATAATCATAAGTCATTTATCAACTCTACTGTTCATTATATTTGTTTATATTCAAGATAACCAGGTAATTATGTATATGACTGCATTTGGTGTACAGTAAGGACAACGTATGATTTGCGTGTACCCTCATATTTGAAATGACCAAGAAAACGAAGCAAATAATAAGGATCTAAATAGTATGTTAGTAAAAATACAATCGAAATCTCAAGAATAATTGGCGATTAAATGACCCACTAGCTATCATTCGCATATTAATGTGTTCTCGTATAACACACTATTTACTTGATCTATCACGAACTTATGCGAACAAGAAAATAACATGTTTTGACAGGTCGACAACACAACAATCAACATAACTTTCTCCATTCCTTCCCATCTGTGCCCTATTTTTATGTACCCAAATACAACAGACTATCCCATATTATCATGGATGTCACTCAGAGTATATGATAGACAACAACTAACATCAAGTTTCTCCTTGAAACATTTCCCCAACTTGGCTGCCTTCGAAGTTGCCGCCATTTTGACTCGGTTACATGTAAAAATTTTGCCGGTCATACTAAAAGTGAAGCTGCTACTACGAAATGAGATCGATCATATACGAACTTACAGGTCGTTGATATGAGCCTGTGATGAGAATTATGAACAAAAAACAAACAAAAATAAATGCAAACGAAACAGATATTTTGATCATTTTAAGTACCTAATTATTCAAGTCAATTTACGTAAATTCTGCAGTCCAATTTTGATAATATTCTGCCCATTTTAAAGCTTAGTTTTCATGAAGTTTGTGGTTTTGCATCTGTTTGACTTGTGGCAGGCATTTTTCTGACAAACCTATCCATAGCTAGAATGGCTTTTGAAGTCAATCTGGTGATCACTCGTGGAAACATACAGACATGCACTTTTGGCAAACAATCATACAATAGTCAACTTCACCTCCAAAGAAAGTAAATATCCATTTACATGTTTAAAACCAACTTTCAACTCACATGTTAAAAACCCCTTTTGCAGTGTATTTGATAAACTCTGAGGTGGATAAATGTAAAATTCTTCACAAGTTCTGCACATAATGTGATTTTCTGCAAGAGAGGTACATTTCTGAACCAAGTAGTCATTTCTGCAAAATATTCCGCGACCACGACCACGGAACACAGCATGGACTATTGTGGATTTGTATATTAGATAGTTTTTCGTAATAACTGATTATTATCATATGTTAAGTAAGTCCAAGGATTTTAGTTATTTCTTGTTCTACTTCCTGCTTGCACGGAACAATAGGTGGATGTTAATTTTCATGCCATGCGTAGGACTGAGATTGTCAAAACATGTGATCCTGCATAGACTAACATCTAGTCTCTGAAATGAACATATCGTACAGAAAAAACAGTTGTTCAGTTATCTTAATAAGCCCAGTGACTCTCTTCATTTTCAGATACTGCAGTAATCTAGACTTGCCAAACATTATAGACTTGCATGGGCTGTATTTGATATATATTTGTATCAGGGTCTGTAAGACAGACTAGATCCTGCTCTACAGTTAGGGATCCTAAGTAAAGATCTAGGTAAAACTTATTTGTAATTGCAGGGTCCAACAAAATATTTGTTCTGGGTAGAACAGGATCTGCAGTGTCTCTGGAATATCAGTTGTCCTGCAGAACATGTGCTGCACTTTTACACATCTATGTCACACATTCTTACAATTTCTGTCCTTTTATTCTGTGAACAAAATGAGGAGGCTGACATTTCAGTCAGTTTGACAACTGTGATTTGAAAGACACTTGTCTTGATTAATGTTTGCTGGCATTTGTCTAGTGGGCAGCAATTGTATGTGTAATTGTATCAGTTGTCTCCCCATGACACAAGAGTGCTTCCTGGCAACATATTGTTTTGACTAGGGTTGGGACGGGTAACTCGGGTACTTGGGTCGGGTGTGTACTGAGCAGGACCTGGGTACCCACAAGACACTCTGGACCTGTGGACCTGTGGTTAGATATATAGTTTGACAAAAATTATACATGAATACACTACAGGTCATGAATGTTCACATTCCTTCTGACTTTTATATTTTTGAATAAAGACTTCAGTGTATGCATGACCAGGGCTCTAGTCAAACAATTCCCAATCAGACATTTTGTACCCATCTCTCGAGACAACAGCAGGTACCAGGTAGGTTTCGGGGAATAGGGGCCAGGGTACCCAGTAGTAAATTTAGACTCATCCCAGCCCTAGTTTTTACAGAAACTCATCCCTCTCAAGAGCTGTAGACCGCCTCCGTGGTCTAGTGGTAGAGCGTCCGCCCGGGGTTCGATCCCTGGCCGCATCATTTCAAAAGACGTTAAAAGATGGTACTTGTTGTTACCCTGTCTGGCACTCGGCATAAAGGGGCTAAAACAAGGACTGGTCGGCTCGGAGTCAGTATACTGTGTCTGAGTGGGGTATTCATGTTAAACTGCTGCATGGTATCTCAGTGAGCTAGCACTATAAATCGGCATCAATCCGGACTAGTCCAAGCAGACACACACACACGTGCATGCACGTCGTTATATAAGTGCAATAATCTTGGACGTGACGTTAAACCCAATTTCACCTCACCTAACCTCAAGAGCCGTAAACCTGACATATAATTCATTAAAGGAGATCATACTACAAACCAAGCTCATAGCAGACCAAGAACAGAAACGTCTGGCTTCATCAGATGGTAACATTGTTGTTAAAAGAAAACCAACCAGATATACAGGCTACAAACATTTTAATGAACATAATGTATGACACATCAATTGATAACATACATTATCCATTGGGTTCAAGATAAGAGTTAACAAAAGTGCCACGTATGGTACTGAAGCTCACCTGGATATGTAGTCAACAGCTTAAGAAACAAAAACAGCCACGGAACAAATGTTGCTGACATCACTGATACTCAAATATTTTCTGGATAAATACGAACAACTAACACTAAAAGCCAACAAACAAAACATAATGTTCTCATGAGGAGAGCATTCATGCCAAATTCAGCTCCCTCAGCCTGGCAATTTCAGAGAAGGTTACAGAGGCAAATACATTTTGACAAAACCAAAGAGCATGGTCAAGCTAGGCCAAAGAATAAGAAAAATTGAAAACACGTCTTGAGCCCCACTACTAACAACACAAGTACCAAATTTTGAAACATTTTGAGTGAGTGAGTGAGTTGGGAATAACGCCGCTTTTAACATTATTCCAGTTATATCACGGCGTGTCAGCTTAATGTGGGAGGAAAGCCCGAAGTGATGCAGGTCTCAGACGTTTACCACTTCGGTGAAACCCAGGAGCATGGGTATGGTGCTGACAAACCTAGAAACATAATCAGGGCGAACCGGGATTCGAACCCACAATCAAAGGTTTCTGGCGTGACCAAGGGACGCAACTCTGCACAGCCAATCTTTGCGCCTTAGACGACTGCGCCACCCGTGCCCCTGTAACATTTTGAAAGAAAATGGATGAGTAATTATGGCCATGAGCAGTTTCAGCCTTCAGAAGAGGGAACAGTTTCAGTATTCAGAAGAGGGAGCAGTTTCAGCATTCAGAAGAGGGAACAGTTTCAGCATTCAGAAGAGGGAGCAGTTTCAGCATTCAGAAGAGGGAGCAGTTTCAGCATTCAGAAGAGGGAGCAGTTTCAGCATTCAGAAGAGGCGACTATGTTTGTCATCAGAGGTGACTAACGAGATCAGGTGATCAGGCTCGCTGACTTGGTTGATGCATGTCATCGTATCCCAGTTGCATGGATCAATGCTCATGATGTCAATCACTTGATTCTCTGGTCCAGACTCGATTATTTACAGATGGCCGTCATATAGCTGGAATATTGCTGAGTGCGGCGTTAAACAACAAACAACCATTCAGAATGGTTTAAGTGCAAAGGTGAAATCAAGGTCAAAAGTATAACACTGCCAAAAACGGAACATGTATGTATGTGGAACCTCACTACTAACTACATGTTCCAAATTTCATTGCATTATGAACAAACATGTCTGTGTAACGGCCATAAAGGTTTTTCAGTATGCCTGTCATATTCAAATCGGATTTGAACCTCTTGAACTAATAGTGATGCCATCATTGGTGGTAACAACTGTGTGATGTTTCAGCTTCATTGGTCCAGTGCTTTCTGAGGACATAATGTTTATGCTGGACGCTAGGGCTGGCTATGGATATAGATTCTAGAGATCGACGATCACTAAATAAATATCAATCAGTTATTGATAAATACTGGAGAGGTAACTTTTACAAATATGTGAGAAAGTCCCGAAAGAAATCAACATACTTCCCGCCACCGGCGAGCATTGACACATTTATACATAGATTTTTTGTGGATATTTGAGATACAACAAACACAGTTGCTTTCTCTTTTCGACAATTGATATTACTGACAATAACAAGTCTGTTTCAGTAAATCTAAACTTTATTTTATCACAATGGTTTATGTAAGTTGTTATGGATGACAATTTCAAATCGAAAATCATTAATAGTTCTTCTCATTGACGATAATTCCGATTGATAATATCGATCTTTTTAGCCAGCCCTTGTGGACGCCGGATAACATGCTTGACAAACAGGCCATGACATAAGCTAACTTGACTTTAAGTCAGGTGAGCTAATACAAATCCATACACAGTACACATGTAAAGACAAGGTATTTCTTTGGAAGACAACTTCATCCACAAAGTCTGGAAGTTGTCATCGATAAAAACATCTTATCTTTACAGTTACTTACCAACTTCTAAAAAAGAAGAAGAAGTCAATCAAACAGTTCAAGCACACACACGTAATTAGGATTTCACATGCTGTCATTTTTTTCATGTAATCATCTCTACCAGTAATTAGGGACCAGTCATTTAAACTTTTGGATGCTTAATTAGTAGATCAAATGTGCCTTATATTCCAGTTTGCAACATTGCTCAACCAATCAGATTGTGACACACCCTCTCATAATTTTCAAACATATGTACACAAAATATATATTCAATAATTATTAGTGTCAGAGTAGGTCAACAAATTAACAAGTAACCTTGTGAATAGAATCCTTGGTAACATATTCTTCTACAGTATTCAATATAAGGCTTCCAAAAATAAAAGAATTGGTTCTCAGGCAATGTTTTTTTTAAAACATAGAGCGGGCAGGCGTTTTTTGGTTTGTTTTTTTGTTTTTTTTTTGTTTTTGGGGGGGGGGGAGGTTGTCTAGACTAGTATGTAACGAAATAAACAGTTGCATAACCATCTGGGAAAGGGCCTCCCTACATAACTGTATTCCTTGATGAGTAAAATACTTGAATACAGTATTTGACTGAATATTTAAGGATTTTGTTTTTAAAATGGAAATAAAAACAAAACGTGCAGCAAACTTTATGATGATGCAGGTGGTGCCTGAGAACCAAGACTATTATTTTTTTAGCCTAAAACCCACCAGAAACAGTATACCAGTCATATATATCACTGTGTGTCAGCATTTGTCAGTTTAGTTAGCTTGATTTGTTTAGAATCCTGGTAGAGATATTTTCCTGCCTTAGAGGTCCTTGATTATGGGCAATGGCTGACATTGTACCTGTAATTTGATACTTTTGATGACCTCATCAGTATAAAAATATTTTCTATTCTAGAAAGAAATACAGCAATCGTGCAGAAGAAAAAATTATCTCTTTGTGGCCTACCGGTCACATATAAAACCATCCTATGTTACGTGCATCACAAGGACTATTTGATAGTACTCCCACAAGCACAAACACATCATTTTGAGATCGACCTATTAAGAGCATCACCCATGGGTGTTGACGAGGTGACTAAACACATGAAAATGGTCTGTGAGTTAACACTGACACTTCATACAAACATACGGTTGAAAAGAAAGGAATGTAAAAATAAGTCTTGTAAAATACCTATCATAATAAACAAACTGTGAACATTCTATATGGTTTGAAATATTATTTGGTACATGAAGAAATAGATGCAGAACAAGGGAAAACATGTCTGCTCAACTGACCAACATAATGCTGATGCAGAACACTGATGAAGGTCATGATGAGAAAACTTGTCATGACAACTGAAAGCTCACTGGTTTCAAATCTCTATCTCATGCCAGTACGCACAAGCACATGAGTATAAAAATATATATATTGCACATCTTTGCAGGGCAAGTACACCCAGTTCACTATTCCACTTCCTGGCTATAACACTTCCTTGCTATAACACTTCCTTGCTATAAGACTTTCTCCCCATATCATGTCTCTTCCTTGCTATAAGACTTTCTCCCCATGTCTCTTCCTTGCTATAACACTTTCTCCCCATATCATGTCTCTTCCTTGCTATAAGACTTTCTCCCCATGTCTCTTCCTTGCTATAAGACTTTCTCCCCATGTCTCTTCCTTGCTATAAGACTTTCTCCCCATATCATGTCTCTTCCTTGCTATAAGACTTTCTCCCCATGTCTCTTCCTTGCTATAAGGCTTTCTCCCCATATCATGTCTCTTCCTTGCTATAAGGCTTTCTCCCCATGTCTCTTCCTTGCTATAACACTTTCTCACCATGTCTCTTCCTTGCTATAACACTTTCTCCGCATGTCTCTTCCTTGCTATAACACTTTCTCCGCATGTCTCTTCCTTGCTATAACACTTTCTCCCCATATCATGTCTCTTCCTTGCTATAAGACTTTCTCCCCATGTCTCTTCCTTGCTATAACACTTTCTCACCATGTCTCTTCCTTGCTATAACACTTTCTCCGCATGTCTCTTCCTTGCTATAACACTTTCTCCGCATGTCTCTTCCTTGCTATACCACTTTCTCCCCATATCATGTCTCTTCCTTGCTATAACACTTTCTCCCCATATCTCTTCCTTGCTATAACACTTTCTCCCCATGTCTCCTCCTTGCTATAACACTTTCTCCCCATGTCTCTTCCTTGCTATAACACTTTCTCCCCATGTCTCTTCCTTGCTATAACACTTTCTCCCCATATCATGTCTCTTCCTTGCTATAAGACTTTCTCCCCATGTCTCTTCCTTGCTATAAGACTTTCTCCCCATGTCTCTTCCTTGCTATAACACTTTCTCCCCATGCTTCTTCCTTGCTATAAGACTTTCTCCCCATGTCTCTTCCTTGCTATAACACTTTCTCCCCATGTCTCTTCCTTGCTATAACACTTTCTCCGCATGTCTCTTCCTTGCTATAACACTTTCTCCGCATGTCTCTTCCTGTCTATAACACTTTCTCCCCATATCATGTCTCTTCCTTGCTATAAGACTTTCTCCCCATGTCTCTTCCTTGCTATAAGACTTTCTCCCCATGTCTCTTCCTTGCTATAAGACTTTCTCCGCATGTCTCTTCCTTGCTATAACACTTTCTCCGCATGTCTCTTCCTTGCTATAACACTTTCTCCCCATGTCTCTTCCTTGCTATAACACTTTCTCCCCATGTCTCTTCCTTGCTATAACACTTTCTCCGCATGTCTCTTCCTTGCTATAACACTTTCTCCGCATGTCTCTTCCTTGCTATAACACTTTCTCCCCATATCATGTCTCTTCCTTGCTATAACACTTTCTCCCCATGTCTCTTCCTTGCTATAACACTTTCTCCCCATATCATGTCTCTTCCTTGCTATAAGACTTTCTCCCCATGTCTCTTCCTTGCTATAAGACTTTCTCCCCATGTCTCTTCCTTGCTATAAGACTTTCTCCCCATGTCTCTTCCTTGCTATAAGACTTTCTCCCCATGTCTCTTCCTTGCTATAACACTTTCTCCCCATGTCTCTTCCTTGCTATAACACTTTCTCCGCATGTCTCCTCCTTGCTATAACACTTTCTCCGCATGTCTCTTCCTGTCTATAACACTTTCTCCCCATATCATGTCTCTTCCTTGCTATAAGACTTTCTCCGCATGTCTCTTCCTTGCTATACCACTTTCTCCCCATATCATGTCTCTTCCTTGCTATAACACTTTCTCCGCATGTCTCTTCCTTGCTATAACACTTTCTCCGCATGTCTCTTCCTTGCTATAACACTTTCTCCCCATGTCTCTTCCTTGCTATAACACTTTCTCCCCATGTCTCTTCCTTGCTATAACACTTTCTCCGCATGTCTCTTCCTTGCTATAACACTTTCTCCGCATGTCTCTTCCTTGCTATAACACTTTCTCCCCATATCATGTCTCTTCCTTGCTATAACACTTTCTCCCCATGTCTCTTCCTTGCTATAACACTTTCTCCCCATGTCTCTTCCTTGCTATAACACTTTCTCCGCATGTCTCTTCCTTGCTATAACACTTTCTCCGCATGTCTCTTCCTTGCTATAAGACTTTCTCCCCATATCATGTCTCTTCCTTGCTATAACACTTTCTCCGCATGTCTCTTCCTGTCTATAACACTTTCTCCCCATATCATGTCTCTTCCTTGCTATAACACTTTCTCCCCATATCATGTCTCTTCCTTGCTATAACACTTTCTCCCCATGTCTCTTCCTTGCTATAACACTTTCTCCCCATGTCTCTTCCTTGCTATAACACTTTCTCCCCATATCATGTCTCTTCCTTGCTATAAGACTTTCTCCCCATGTCTCTTCCTTGCTATAACACTTTCTCCCCATGTCTCTTCCTGGCTATAACACTTTCTCCCCATATCATGTCTCTTCCTTGCTATAACACTTTCTCCGCATGTCTCTTCCTTGCTATAAGACTTTCTCCCCATATCATGTCTCTTCCTTGCTATAACACTTTCTCCCCATATCATGTCTCTTCCTTGCTATAAGACTTTCTCCCCATGTCTCCTCCTTGCTATAACACTTTCTCCGCATGTCTCTTCCATGCTATAACACTTTCTCCGCATGTCTCTTCCTTGCTATAACACTTTCTCCGCATGTCTCTTCCTTGCTATAAGACTTTCTCCCCATGTCTCTTCCTTGCTATAACACTTTCTCCGCATGTCTCTTCCTTGCTATAACACTTTCTCCGCATGTCTCTTCCTTGCTATAACACTTTCTCCCCATGTCTCTTCCTTGCTATAACACTTTCTCCCCATATCATGTCTCTTCCTTGCTATAAGACTTTCTCCCCATGTCTCTTCCTTGCTATAACACTTTCTCTGCATGTCTCTTCCTTGCTATAAGACTTTCTCCCCATATCATGTCTCTTCCTTGCTATAAGACTTTCTCCCCATATCATGTCTCTTCCTTGCTATAAGACTTTCTCCCCATGTCTCTTCCTTGCTATAAGACTTTCTCCCCATGTCTCTTCCTGGCTATAAGACTTTCTCCCCATGTCTCTTTCTTGCTATAACACTTTCTCCGCATGTCTCTTCCTTGCTATAAGACTTTCTCCCCATGTCTCTTCCTTGCTATAACACTTTCTCCCCATGTCTCTTCCTTGCTATAACACTTTCTCCCCATGTCTCTTCCTTGCTATAAGACTTTCTCCCCATGTCTCTTCCTTGCTATAAGACTTTCTCCCCATATCATGTCTCTTCCTTGCTATAACACTTTCTCCCCATGTCTCTTCCTTGCTATAAGACTTTCTCCCCATGTCTCTTCCTTGCTATAAGACTTTCTCCCCATATCATGTCTCTTCCTTGCTATAAGACTTTCTCCCCATGTCTCTTCCTTGCTATAACACTTTCTCCCCATGTCTCTTCCTTGCTATAACACTTTCTCACCATGTCTCTTCCTTGCTATAACACTTTCTCACCATGTCTCTTCCTCACAATAACACTACCTTGCTATAACTCTTCCTTGCTATAACTCTTCCTTGCTATAACACTTCCTTGCTATAACACGTCCTTGCTATAACTCTTCCTTGCTATACCACTTCCTTGCTATAACACGTCCTTGCTATACCACTTCCTTGCTATAACACGTCCTTGCTATAACTCTTCCTTGCTATAACACTTCCTTGCTATAACACTTCCTCACAATAACACTTCCTTGCTATAACACGTCCTTGCTATAACACGTCCTTGCTATACCACTTCCTTGCTATAACACTTCCTTGCCATATCACTTCCTCACAATAACACTACCTTGCTATAAAACCTTTACTTATGTTTCTAATCATCAAACATTTATTGACTGGAAAGTTTTGGTTTTGAGGCAAGGCAATAAATATTGACCTAAAACTTTGTCCACTTAATCTTCAATATGAAGCAATACTGTGTGTGATGGTAATGCTGTATTTGTCATGCTAAATTCTATGTGATAATAAATAAATTTTGAACATTTTCACAGAAATCTAGACTCTGGAGTGGAGAAAAGAAAACTGGCCCTTGGCTTGTCAAGTTCAATAGCCTATTCTCCTCAGCCTATTCTCCTCAGCCTATTCTCCTCAGCTTAGTAAAACATTGTGATTCAAGAAAAGCTTCAGGCTCATAGAGTCGTGATAATCACCTGCAACATAGATGACACTGAAATACTGCACTTGCTGCGTCCTGCACAGACTGCAATACCTGCATACTGAACAAAGCCTTATTCACCTTTTTCAACAACTTAAATGCTCTACGAATTGAGAGACTTGCAATTACAACGCATGAACTATTAGGCCGGAGGAGCGTTGCCCATTAAGAAGCATGGCCCATGTCATCAACGGCACTGATTCAGAACTTTCACAAGAGAAAAGTCAAAAGACAGAACTGAAAAGTACATTATCAAATTGATACATATGTACTGTAAATCTTGAAATTAATGCGTCTCCAAATTATTACGACGGCTGACCTCTAGTTAGAAGAGACCCACCCCATCCCCAGTGGAATGATACATAATCCTTACTTTAATCCAACCTTACCTTAATACAATGAAACAGCAAATAGGACCCCTTATTAGCGCTGAGTTGAGCACTTCCGTAAAAACAATAAACAGTGTTTTCCTAAATACAATACACAGTTTATATGTTTAATCTGTTGACTGGCATTGAGGAAGTTCAAAGGCAATAAAATTCTGGAAGCAATGCCTATTGTGTAATTCTGGAAGCATTGCCTATTGTGAAATTCTGGAAGCAATGCCTATTGTGAAATTCTGGAAGCAATGCCTATTGTGTAATTCTGGAAGCAATGCCTATTGTGTAATTCTGGAAGCAATTCCTATTGTGAAATTCTGGAAGCAATGCCTATTGTGAAACTCTGGAAGCAATGCCTATTGTGAAACTCTGGAAGCAATGCCTATTGTGAAACTCTGGAAGCAATGCCTATTGTGAAATTTTGGAAGCAATGCCTATTGTGTTATTGTGGAAGCAATACCTATTGTGTAATTCCTATTCCTTGAAAGACTTTGATATATACTTGTTACAACTGCTCAATGTTTGTGTTAATATTCAAGTTGGAATTTCCACTATTTCTGTTATTGTTGATAGTCATTTTGGAGACATAAATGCGAAGTTTCATTAGCGCGAACAAAAACCACTCGCATTTTGGCAATATAATTCACGCTCGCGTTAATTTCAAGATTTACAGTATATAAAATAATATTAATTCTAGATTCGGTTTCACAGCAAATACATCGATGCTGGCCAATGGGTGGAAGGGTTGATATATAACAGGATGCGTCAACACACGTCAAGTCATCGTCTTCCTCACTCCCACACAGCTTGATCCTCCTGGGAACTACGTCGACGTCGACGTAGTCCACGGTGCCAGGAGTATTGATAGTTGCTGCAGATGTCCTTCAGTTCTCGTACAAACAACGGGAAGATGCACACCCCCGTCAGGAACGTCTGGGGAGAGACCAACACATGTAAACTTGGGCAGGCAAATTGGGAAAAAAATCATTATTTTGCACAAAAAGAAATGTCGATATTTTTTTTGTTCTGCTTGTTTTAAGTCAGAGGTACTTGAACAATGTACTTTCATATTGCATTCAAAGCACTGATGTAAATCTGGGCATTAACGCCTCTTCATTGGTCCTGTAAATATCCGAAAAAGGATTAGTTCCAATATGGGAATATTTGCTGCAGACATTTGGCTGATTATCGGTCTCTAACTATTTGTAGATAAATTCCTGATATACACACACAATGTTCTACTTGGTACCACTATAGGGGATGGCGCCACTTACACAAATCATGAAGAGGTAGAAAACAGCTCGCCAGCCAAGAGCTCTCTGTATCACCGGAACCAGGATCTGGATCAGATTATATCAGTCATACAGGTCCCAAACAGGCAATAACCACGATCATTTATAGCTCTGCAGTGACATCTTTCAAAATATACAATTCATCTTATTGACCAGGAAAGAAAGAATCAACTGGCAATTCAAGAACAGAAGAAAAGTTGCTTCAAGGGCCAGTATGAGTTTATAAATCATGCATGAATAAATTCCCGAGTGTGACTTCATGCCATTAATTCATGCATGATTTAATTCTCAAACAAAAACAATAGAGGTCCACACTGCGAGGCCAACGACCCAAGTGGTACGAATAATAACTTCAACAAACTGGTAGGTTGGCAAAACTGTGTAATATGGCTCTGTGAGTTAATCCTAAACATACTTTTGGCAGATGTACCAAATACTAGTATGTAAATCAATGTATGTATAACACTGTCTACCTGTCCAATGGCCGCCCCGACACTTCCTGTTCCATCTATGATGCCGGTGACGGTCGCCAGGGCCTCAGTGTTGCCTTGTATAGGGCCCTGGTTGCCTGTGGTACAGAGATACTGAATCAATAACACACAACACACTTTCATGACACCTGCCTGAAACTAAGGACAAAAAGTAACAAATAATTAATTGATAACTTAAAAATATTCATATCCCCCGCCCAAAGTCGTTGCTATGGAAACTCGAAAAATAAACTTAACAAAAATTCCAAACTATCAAAAGGCACTAGTTTATCACAAGACCTATCTATGTGCCAAGTTTGGTGAAGAAATATTGTACGGTTTTGAAGATCTGCTCCAAAGGGAGCACTACCGCCATTTTCTGTCCAAGTCAAAGTTGTTGCCATGGAAACTCGAAACATAAATTTAAAAAAGTCCCAAACTATCAAAAGGCACCACTAGACCTATCTATGTGCCAAGTTTGGTTAAGAAATCTCTCATGTTTTTTTAGTTCTGCTCCGGAAACGAAACGTGATGGACGGACGGACAGCACCCATTCCTATATCCCCCTTCCACCTACGAAAATATTGCTTATTATTTAGTGTGTACACAACATACAACCTGTCAAGGTGGACAAAGTACCTTGCAATCTCATTAAAATCAGACCTTAGTTCTCGCTACCGCTAAACAAAGATCTGAAGACATCCCATTAGGGGTAACGTCAGAACGACCTTTGATCCGACCAATCAGTGCATCGCTTACCAGATTATGAAAGTGACAGTCGGGAAGGGGATTTCTAGTCATGCAGCCTCAAAAACTTTAACATGGTGTATTCCGAGCCATAGTTACAGGTTTAACAACTGAATCCTTACAATCTAGACCATCTATTAGCCATTCCAGAATGTTTTTTTGTTCAGGTTTCAAATTTGTAATCAAGAATTTGTCAAAATATGTTTCGAAGCGTAGTCGCCAATTTGAAATTTGTGCCGTAAAGCACGAGAGAGCTGATTCTTGAGTTACATTTTGGCTGGACTAACGAGTCTATGCAAAGTCCAATCAAAATTGCGTAACAAAATAGACATCCTGTTCGTCAGCAGCATGGATTTCAGTGTGTAGATTTTGGTCAACTGCAGGATTTGCAAAGCTTGTGTACCGTCAACTGGATGTCGACGGATATGCTGAAATCTTTTCTTGTTTTAATCAAGGTGCTCAAGTAATTTGATGCACTTTGCAGGGTAAGACCTGTTTTATTACAATATAGATTTTGATTATCAATAAGATTTTCTTGAGTGGGCACCGCCATTTTGTTTGAAGCAAATGCAAGTAATACGAGAGGTGGAAACTGATTGGTCAATAGGAGGGACATAAAAGCGACATAACTCAGAACGGCTACTGGTGGCACTACGCTCAAGCTCAGAAATTCCAGCCTAGTTCGGCAAGGGTGGAAACTGGACTTTTATAGTCAGTTAACTCCCTTGCCTCAGGAAGATGACTTACTCTATATCAAACATGATACATGCAGAAATGTTTGAACAGCAAAATGAAATATCACAAATGGGCGCTATGGCGGAGATGTCGAAGACATAAAAGTTAACAATGGACAATGCACTACAACAAAATATCTCTTGTCCTTTCACTAGAAATCGTTGGGCAGTATTTCTTGAACTTTTGAATTTAGATTATCTACAGTCTGACACAATATATACTTAATTTTTGCTACAGTGGTTAAACAACATTCATTGATGAAGGGAAATGCAAGAGCTACTTTCCTACCTAGATCTGCAGCTACAGCAGCGCTGACGAGGTTGGCAACTCCGCCAATGAAGAACCCAGCCACTGACATCAGGAATGAGTTGATTGTCAAATTAGCAGGAGAATCTGAGGAAATTAGTACCACATGATACAGCAAAACGTTTACTCCAGCTGAGGACCTTGGATGATGCGGTTTTGGTTAGGCCTTCTATAAACAGCGTGCCTGCTTGTAGCAGTATTTGAATAAAACCACATGAATTCAAAGTTCTGACTAAAATAATGAAATGTTATGTCATTGTTTGACAGTAAAAAGGACATAATTGTTTCTAAATTCAAATCAAAACTTTGTATTTTCGTGATTACATATTGGCATGTCAGCTTTATTTTACAGGTTATTGCTCTTTAAGGCTAAAAAAATAATTATCTTGGTTCTCAGGCACCGCTGCATCATCATAAAGTCCCCCGCCTGTTTCGTTTTTATTTCCATTTTCAATATATATAAAAATCCTAATACTTAAAAACAATACAATCCAATATAACACACAGTTACTTCCCTTTACATGCTCACTGCTTTACTGCGCATCTTGTGTTATGGTCATGGCGGCAATAGAAATTTGTATGCTTGTTTATGAAGAGAGACCCTTTCCCAAGTTGATGGTACACAACTGTTTATTTGGTTACATACTAGTCTGGACAAGCGAGAAAAAATAAAGGCACCGCCCACCTGCTCGATATTTTAAAAAGCCATTGCTTGAGAACCAATTCTTTGGGGGACAGGATGCATGAAAACAGATGCTCTTACAGGGGAAAAAATGGAGGCCTTAATTATTGTTGTGAAAGTCTATACTACCGCCCAAAAAATCACAAATACTATATTTGAACCATTACTTATAATGGGTGAAGATCTGGGCTAGAATAGGTCTTCAGCAACCCATGCTTGCCGTAAAAGGCGACTATGGTTGTGGTAAAAGGCGACTAACAGGATCGGGTGGTCAGACTCGCTGACTTGGTTGATGCATGTCATCATATTCCAAACTGCGTGGATCGATGCTCATGATGTCAATAACTGGATTGTGTGGTCCAGACTCGATTTACAGACCTCCGTCATATAGCTGGAATATTGCTGAGTGCAGCGTTAACAAACAACAAACAAACATGTTATCATGGTAGGCAATGCGCATACAAAATGTCATCAGATTTACTAAGACAGAGGCCACCCCCTGGATCCGCCACTGCTACTTATTTCAAATTGTTTCTTAAATTTTCTCTGCTGCACACAGATAGTGAAGACAAACAGATATTGGCTTGTCCCTGCTATGTACTTACTGCCATATATAAACAGTGATGGAATGGCAAGCCCCAGCATCGGGATGACAACTATCGCTCTCCTCTCAAACCTGTCCTGTAAACACAAATAGATGTAAGAGATTATGAGCAAAACCAAACAAATAGAACTGCAACCATTGAGAATTATTTGTAGATAAGATGAAATATGTCAATGATGTTTTGACTTATGATCTCAAAAACTTGATGACCATTATATCAATATTCAAACAAGAAAATCAGTTTATTTTGAAAATTCCCTTTAAATAAGGAATGATTTTGATACATATTAATATCCTGACCTAGATGGTTCATACTCACAGATATAAAACCTCCTATAGTTCCCCCTGAAACAGAAGGTTTGTCCTTTCAACAATGATAAGGCATCACAATGATAGTGTTTTAAAAACTTGAAGTTTACCTTTCGTGAGTGAGGTGAGACTGGAGAGAGTGTATGGTGAGACTGGAGAGAGTGTATGGTGAGACTGGAGGGAGCGTGAGGTGAGACGGGAGAGAGTGTGCAGTGAGACTGGAGAGAGAGTGTGGTGAGACTGGAGAGAGTGTGGTGAGACTGGAGGGAGTGTGTATGGTGAGACTGGAGAGAATGTATGGTGAGACTGGAGAGAGTGTGGTGAGACTGGAGTGAGAGTGTGGTGAGACTGGAGAGAGTGTGCAGTGAGACTGGAGAGAGTGTATGGTGAGACTGGAGAGAGTGTATGGTGAGACTGGAGAGAGAGTGTGGTGAGACTGGAGAGAGTGTGCGGTGAGACTGGAGAGAGAGTGTGGTGAGACTGGAGAGAGTGTATGGTGAGACTGGAGAGAGTGTGGTGAGACTGGAGAGAGAGTGTGGTGAGACTGGAGAGAGTGTGCGGTGAGACTGGAGAGAGAGTGTGGTGAGACTGGAGAGAGTGTATGGTGAGACTGGAGAGGGTTTATGTGAGACTGGAGAGAGTGTTTGGTGAGACTGGAGAGGGTGTATGGTGAGACTGGAGAAAAAGTGGTGCGAGTTGGGAGAGAGGGTTTGTGGTGAGACTGAAGAGAGTGTTTGGTGAGACTGGAGAGGGTGTATGGTGAGACTGGAGAGAGTGTATGGTGAGACTGGAGAGAGAGTGAGGTGAGATTGGAGAGACTGTGTGATGAGACTGGAGAGAGTGTATGGTGAGACTGGAGAGAAAGTGGTGTGATTTGGGAGAGAGGGTTTGTGGTAAGACTGGAGAGAGTGTATGGTGAGACTGGAGAGAAAGTGGTATGAGTTGGGAGAGAGGGTCTGTGGTAAGACTGGAGAGAGCGTATGGTGAGACTGGAGAGAAAGTGGTGTGAGTTGGGAGAGAGGGTTTGTGGTAAGACTGGAGAGAGCGTATGGTGAGACTGGAGAGAAAGTGGTGCTAGTTGGGAGAGAGGGTTTGTGGTAAGACTGGAGAGAGTGTATGGTGAGACTGGAGAGAAAGGGGTGCGATTTGGGAGAGAGGGTTTGTGGTAAGACTGGAGAGTGTATGGTGAGACTGGAGAGAAAGTGGTGCGAGTTGGGAGAGAGGGTTTGTGGTAAGACTGGAGAGAGTGTATGGTGAGACTGGAGAGAGTGTATGATAAGACTGGAGAGAATGTGCGGTGAGACTGGAGAGGGTGAATGATAAGACTGGAGAGAGTGTATGGTGAGACTGGAGAGAGTGTATGATAAGACTGGAGAGAGTGTATGGTGACACTGGAGAGGATGTATGGTGAGACTGGAGAGAGTGTATGATAAGACTGGAAAGAGTGTGCGGTGAGACTGGAGAGGGTGTATGATAAGACTGGAGAGAGTGGGTGGTGAGACTGAGGAGAAAGTGGTGCGAGTTGGGAGAGAGGGTTTGTTGTGAGACTGGGGAGAGTGTTTGTGGTGAGACTGACCTACGATGCCGCCGACATCGTACCAGATGGATATGGAGTCCGCCACCGTCTCCTTCCAATGGTAGGCGTTGGAGAGGTAGTACGGCAGCCAGAAGAAGAAGGAGTAGTTGACCAACTTCAGGAAGGCGTAGGCAAGGGAGTACTGCAACACAAACATTAAGCAAATGAGATGGTGTGTAACTCACCAGTATGACCCCAGGAAGGAGATGGTGTAACTCACCAGTATGACCCCAGACAAGAGGAGATGGTGTAACTCACCAGTATGACCCCAGACAAGAGTAGATGGTGTAACTCACCAGTATGACCCAAGACAGGAGGACGTGGTGTAACACACCAGTATGATCCCAGACAGGAGATGGAGGACCTCATCAGTATGACCCCAGACAGGAGGACGTGGTGTAACACACCAGTATGACCCCAGACAGGAGATGGTGGAACTCACCAGTATGACCCCAGGCAGGAAATGGTGGAACTCACCAGTATGACCCCAGACAGGAGGAGATGGTGTAACTCACCAGTTTGACCCCAGACAAGAGGAGATGGTGTAACTCACCAGTATGACCCCAGACAGGAGATGGTGGAACTCACCAGTATGACCCCAGACAAGAGGAGATGGTGTAACTCACCAGTATGACCCCAGACAAGAGGAGATGGTGTAACTCACCAGAATGACCCCAGACAAGAGCAGATGGTGTAACTCACCAGTATGACCCAAGACAGGAGGACGTGGTGTAACACACCAGTATGATCCCAGACAGGAGATGGAGGACCTCATCAGTATGACCCCAGACAGGAGGACGTGGTGTAACACACCAGTATGACCCCAGACAGGAGATGGTGGAACTCACCAGTATGACCCCAGGCAGGAAATGGTGGAACTCACCAGTATGACCCCAGACAGGAGGAGATGGTGTAACTCACCAGTTTGACCCCAGACAGGAGATGGTGGAACTCACCAGTATGACCCCAGACAAGAGGAGATGGTGTAACTCACCAGTATGACCCCAGACAAGAGGAGATGGTGTAACTCACCAGTATGACCCCAGACAAGAGTAGATGGTGTAACTCACCAGTATGACCCCAGACAGGAGATGGTGTAACTCACCAGTATGACCCCAGACAAGAGGAGATGGTGTAACTCACCAGTATGACCCCAGACAGGAGATGGTGTAACTCACCACTATGACCCCAGACAGGAGATGGTGTAACTCACCACTATGACCCCAGACAGGAGATGGTGGAACTCACCAGTATGACCCCAGACAGGAGATGGTGTAACTCACCAGTATGACCCAAGACAAGAGGAGATGGTGTAACTCACCAGTATGACCCCAGACAGGAGATGATGTAACTCACCACTATGACCCCAGACAGGAGATGGTGTAACTCACCAGTATGACCCCAGACAGGAGATGGTGTAACTCACCAGTATGACCCCAGACAAGAGGAGATGGTGTAACTCACCAGTATGACCCCAGACAGGAGATGGTGTAACTCACCACTATGACCCCAGACAGGAGATGGTGTAACTCACCACTATGACCCCAGACAGGAGATGGTGGAACTCACCAGTATGACCCCAGACAGGAGATGGTGGAACTCACCAGTATGACCCCAGACAAGAGGAGATGGTGTAACTCACCAGTATGACCCCAGACAGGAGGAGATGGTGTAACTCACCAGTATGACCCCAGACAAGAGGAGATGGTGTAACTCACCAGTATGACCCCAGACAAGAGGAGATGGTGTAACTCACCAGTATGACCCCAGACAGGAGATGGTGTAACTCACCAGTATGACCCCAGGCAGGAGATGGTGTAACTCACCAGTATGACCCCAGACAGGAGATGGTGGAACTCACCAGTATGACCCCAGACAGGAGGAGATGGTGTAACTCACCAGTATGACCCCAGACAGGAGATGGTGTTACTCACCAGTATGACCCCAGACAGGAGATGGTGTAACTCACCACTATGACCCCAGACAAGAGGAGATGGTGTAACTCACCAGTATGACCCCAGACAAGAGGAGATGGTGTAACTCACCAGTATGACCCCAGACAAGAGGAGATGGTGTAACTCACCAGTATGACCCAAGACAGGAGGAGATGGTGGAACTCACCAGTATGACCCCAGACAGGAGATGGTGTAACTCACCAGTATGACCCCAGACAGGAGGAGATGGTGTAACTCACCAGTATGACCCCAGACAGGAGATCGTGTAACTCACCACTATGACCCCAGACAAGAGATGGTGGAACTCACCAGTATGACCCAAGACAAGAGGAGATGGTGTAACTCACCAGTATGACCCCAGACAGGATATGGTGTAACTCACTAGTATGACTCCAGACAGGAAATGATGGGACTCACCAGTATGACCCCAGGCAGGAGATGGTGTAACTCACCAGTATGACCCCAGGCAGGAGATGGTGTAACTCACCAGTATGACCCCAAAGAGGAGATGGTGGAACTCACCAGTATGACCCCAGACAGGAGATGGTGTAACTCACCAGTATGACCCCAGACAGGAGATGGTGGAACTCACCAGTATGACCCCAGACAGGAGGAGATGGTGTAACTCACCAGTATGACCCCAGACAGGAGATGGTGTAACTCACCAGTATGACCCCAGACAGGAGATGGTGTAACTCACCAGTATGACCCCAGGCAGGAGATGGTGTAACTCACCAGTATGACCCCAGACAGGAGATGGTGTAACTCACCACTATGACCCCAAAGAGGAGATGGTGGAACTCACCAGTATGACCCCAGACAGGAGATGGTGTAACTCACCAGTATGACCCCAGGCAGGAGATGGTGTAACTCACCAGTATGACCCCAGACAAGAGGAGATGGTGTAACTCACCAGTATGACCCCAGACAGGAGATGATGTAACTCACCAGTATGACCCCAGACAAGAGGAGATGGTGTAACTCACCAGTATGACCCCAGACAGGAGATGGTGTAACTCACCAGTATGACCCCAAAGAGGAGATGGTGGAACTCACCAGTATGACCCCAGACAGGAGATGGTGTAACTCACCAGTATGACCCCAAAGAGGAGATGGTGGAACTCACCAGTATGACCCCAGACAGGAGATGGTGTAACTCACCAGTATGACCCCAGAGAAGAGATGGTGTAACTCACCAGTATGACCCCAGACAGGAGATGGTGTAACTCACCAGTATGACCCCAGACAGGAGATGGTGTAACTCACCAGTATGACCCCAGACAGGAGATGGTGTAACTCACCAGTATGACCCAAGACAGGAGATGGTGTAACTCACCAGTATGACCCCAGACAGGAGATGGTGTAACTCACCAGTATGACCCCAGACAAGAGATGGTGTAACTCACCAGTATGACCCAAGACAAGAGGAGATGGTGTAACTCACCAGTATGACCCCAGACAGGAGATGGTGTAACTCACCAGTATGACCCCAGACAGGAGATGGTGGAACTCACCAGTATGACCCCAGGCAGGAGATGGTGTAACTCATCAGTATGACCCCAGACAGGAGATGGTGTAACTCATCAGTATGACCCCAGACAGGAGATAGTGTAACTCACTAGTATGACCCCAGACAGGAGATGATGTAACTCACTAGTATGACCCCAGACAGGAGATGGTGTAACTCACCAGTATGACCCCAGACAGGAGATGGTGTAACTCACCAGTATGACCCCAGACAAGAGGAGATGATGTAACTCACTAGTATGACCCCAGACAGGAGATGATGTAACTCACCAGTATGACCCCAGACAGGAGATGGTGTAACTCACCAGTATGACCCCAGACAAGAGGAGATGATGTAACTCACTAGTATGACCCCAGACAGGAGATGATGTAACTCACCAGTATGACCCCAGACAGGAGATGGTGTAACTCACCACTATGACCCCAGACAAGAGGAGATGGTGGAACTCACCAGTATGACCCCAGACAGGAGATGGTGGAACTCACCAGTATGACCCCAGACAAGAGGAGATGATGTAACTCACCAGTATGACACCAGACAGGAGATGATGTAACTCACCAGTATGACCCCAGGCAGGAGATGGTGTAACTCACCAGTATGACCCCAGACAAGAGGAGATGGTGTAACTCACCAGTATGACCCCAGACAGGAGATGATGTAACTCACCAGTATGACCCCAGACAAGAGGAGATGGTGTAACTCACCAGTATGACCCCAGACAGGAGATGGTGTAACTCACCAGTATGACCCCAAAGAGGAGATGGTGGAACTCACCAGTATGACCCCAGACAGGAGATGGTGTAACTCACCAGTATGACCCCAAAGAGGAGATGGTGGAACTCACCAGTATGACCCCAGACAGGAGATGGTGTAACTCACCAGTATGACCCCAGAGAAGAGATGGTGTAACTCACCAGTATGACCCCAGACAGGAGATGGTGTAACTCACCAGTATGACCCCAGACAGGAGATGGTGTAACTCACCAGTATGACCCCAGACAGGAGATGGTGTAACTCACCAGTATGACCCCAGACAGGAGATGGTGTAACTCACCAGTATGACCCCAGACAGGAGATGGTGTAACTCACCAGTATGACCCCAGACAAGAGATGGTGTAACTCACCAGTATGACCCAAGACAAGAGGAGATGGTGTAACTCACCAGTATGACCCCAGACAGGAGATGGTGTAACTCACCAGTATGACCCCAGACAGGAGATGGTGGAACTCACCAGTATGACCCCAGGCAGGAGATGGTGTAACTCATCAGTATGACCCCAGACAGGAGATGGTGTAACTCATCAGTATGACCCCAGACAGAAGATAGTGTAACTCACTAGTATGACCCAAGACAGGAGATGATGTAACTCACTAGTATGACCCCAGACAGGAGATGGTGTAACTCACCAGTATGACCCCAGACAGGAGATGGTGTAACTCACCAGTATGACCCCAGACAAGAGGAGATGATGTAACTCACTAGTATGACCCCAGACAGGAGATGATGTAACTCACCAGTATGACCCCAGACAGGAGATGGTGTAACTCACCAGTATGACCCCAGACAAGAGGAGATGATGTAACTCACTAGTATGACCCCAGACAGGAGATGATGTAACTCACCAGTATGACCCCAGACAGGAGATGGTGTAACTCACCACTATGACCCCAGACAAGAGGAGATGGTGGAACTCACCAGTATGACCCCAGACAGGAGATGGTGGAACTCACCAGTATGACCCCAGACAAGAGGAGATGATGTAACTCACTAGTATGACCCCAGACAGGAGATGATGTAACTCACCAGTATGACCCCAGGCAGGAGATGGTGTAACTCACCAGTATGACCCCAGACAAGAGATGATGGTGGAACTCACCAGTATGACCCCAGACAGGAGATGGTGGAACTCACCAGTATGACCCCATAGAGGAGATGGTGTAACTCACCACTATGACCCCAGACAAGAGATGGTGTAACTCACTAGTATGACTCCAGACAGGAGATAGTGTAACTCACCAGTATGACCCCAGACAGGAGATGGTGTAACTCACCAGTATGACCCCAGACAGGAGATGTTGGAACTCACAAGTATGACCCCAGGCAGGAGATGGTGTAATTCACCAGTATGACCCCAGACAGGAGGAGATGGTGGAACTCACCAGTATGACCCCAGACAAGAGGAGATGGTGGAACTCACCAGTATGACCCCAGACAGGAGATGGTGTAACTCACCACTATGACCCCAGACAGGAGGACGTGGTGTAACACACCAGTATGACCCCAGACAGGAGATGGTGGAACTCACAAGTATGACCCCAGACAGGAGGAGATGGTGGAACTCACCAGTATGACCCCAGACAAGAGGAGATGGTGGAACTCACCAGTATGACCCCAGACAGGAGATGGTGTAACTCACCAGTATGACCCCAGACAGGAGGACGTGGTGTAACACACCAGTATGACCCCAGACAGGAGATGGTGTAACTCACCAGTATGACCCCAGACAGGAGATGATGTAACTCACCAGTATGACCCCAGACAGGAGATGGTGTAACTCACCAGTATGACCCCAGACAGGAGATGGTGTAACTCACCAGTATGACCCCAGACAAGAGGAGATGGTGTAACTCACCAGTATGACCCCAGACAGGAGATGGTGTAACTCACCAGTATGACCCCAGACAGGAGATGGTGGAACTCACCAGTATGACCCCAGGCAGGAGATGGTGTAACTCACCAGTATGACCCCAGACAGGAGATGGTGTAACTCACCAGTATGACTCCAGGCAGGAGATGGTGTAACTCACCAGTATGACACCAGGCACGAGATGGTGTAACTCACCAGTATGACCCCAGACAGGAGATGATGTAACTCACCAGTATGACCCCAGACAGGAGATGGTATAACTCACCAGTATGACCCCAGACAGGAGGAGATGGTGTAACTCACCAGTATGACCGCAGACAGGAGATGGTGTAATTCACCAGTATGACCCCAGACAGGAGATGATGTAACTCACCAGTATGACCCCAGGCAGGAGATGGTGTAACTCACCAGTATGACACCAGGCACGAGATGGTGTAACTCACCAGTATGACCCCAGACAGGAGGACGTGGTGTAACACACCAGTATGACCCCAGACAGGAGATGGTGTAACTCACCAGTATGACCCCAGACAGGAGATGCTGTAACTCACCAGTATGACCCCAGACAGGAGGAGATGGTGTAACTCACCAGTATGACCCCAGACAGGAGATGGTGGAACTCACAAGTATGACCCCAGACAGGAGGAGATGGTGGAACTCACCAGTATGACCCCAGACAAGAGGAGATGGTGGAACTCACCAGTATGACCCCAGACAGGAGATGGTGTAACTCACCAGTATGACCCCAGACAGGAGGACGTGGTGTAACACACCAGTATGACCCCAGACAGGAGATGGTGTAACTCACCAGTATGACCCCAGACAGGAGATGATGTAACTCACCAGTATGACCCCAGACAGGAGATGGTGTAACTCACCAGTATGACCCCAGACAGGAGATGGTGTAACTCACCAGTATGACCCCAGACAAGAGGAGATGGTGTAACTCACCAGTATGACCCCAGACAGGAGATGGTGTAACTCACCAGTATGACCCCAGACAGGAGATGGTGGAACTCACCAGTATGACCCCAGGCAGGAGATGGTGTAACTCACCAGTATGACCCCAGACAGGAGATGGTGTAACTCACCAGTATGACCCCAGACAGGAGATGGTGTAACTCACCAGTATGACCCCAGACAAGAGATGGTGTAACTCACCAGTATGACCCAAGACAAGAGGAGATGGTGGAACTCACCAGTATGACCCCAGGCAGGAGATGGTGTAACTCACCAGTATGACCCCAGACAGGAGATGGTGTAACTCACCAGTATGACCCCAGACAGGAGATGGTGTAACTCACCAGTATGACCCCAGACAAGAGATGGTGTAACTCACCAGTATGACCCCAGACAGGAGATGGTGGAACTCACCAGTATGACCCCAGGCAGGAGATGGTGTAACTCACCAGTATGACCCCAGGCAGGAGATGGTGTAACTCACCAGTATGACCCCAGACAGGAGATGGTGTAACTCACCAGTATGACTCCAGGCAGGAGATGGTGTAACTCACCAGTATGACACCAGGCACGAGATGGTGTAACTCACCAGTATGACCCCAGACAGGAGATGATGTAACTCACCAGTATGACCCCAGACAGGAGATGGTATAACTCACCAGTATGACCCCAGACAGGAGGAGATGGTGTAACTCACCAGTATGACCGCAGACAGGAGATGGTGTAATTCACCAGTATGACCCCAGACAGGAGATGATGTAACTCACCAGTATGACCCCAGGCAGGAGATGGTGTAACTCACCAGTATGACACCAGGCACGAGATGGTGTAACTCACCAGTATGACCCCAGACAGGAGATGATGTAACTCACCAGTATGACCCCAGACAGGAGATGGTATAACTCACCAGTATGACCCCAGACAGGAGGAGATGGTGTAACTCACCAGTATGACCCCAGACAGGAGATGGTGTAACTCACCAGTATGACCCCAGACAGGAGGAGATGGTGTAACTCACCAGTATGACCCCAGACAGGAGGAGATGGTGGAACTCACCAGTATGACCCCAGGCAAGAGATGGTGTAACTCACCAGTATGACCCCAGACAAGAGATGGTGTAACTCACCAGTATGACCCCAGACAAGAGATGGTGTAACTCACCAGTATGACCCCAGACAAGAGATGGTGTAACTCACCAGTATGACCCCAGGCAGGAGGAGGGCTGTACAGAAGTTGATGGCAGGTCGGGGGCCACCAGACACTTCCACAGTTGGTTGGCCATCATCGTCACTTTCCTCTTGGACAGTCAACAGAGCTTCTGTAAACACAAGCCAGACTTGGTCACCTGTTTCAGGTGTAAGACAGGCTAGACAGCAAATGTTTGTGCCAAATTTGTATAATGGATTCAGAAAACAAGTTGTTCATTCAGAACAGAGAACACAGCCCCTCTGACAAGTGACATGGACCTAAAAATACTCCTGATTCCCAAACAGTGTCCATATAAAGTTGAAATACCCCAACAATTGGTTTTATCAAATGACAGAGGTCCGCAGATTTCTGTCTTTTCAATTCTATCCACTTTAGCTATAATAACAATTAACCCACAACATAAGCTTACTTGAGCTTATAGCCCTTCCAGCCTAAAGATTGAACAAGATACCAGTAATCCCATTCTGTGGATGCCATGTACAGTCTCCTTAGTCTGCTATCTGACACTACCAGGGAACATAACGCTGCTTTCAAAGAATTACCCTCATCAAGCATGGCGTCGGTCAGGGGTGGGGTGAGGGAGGTGAATGATGTGTCTCTATATCTACCTCGGTCACCCGCTGCAGTGGATCCCTTGGCATCCTCGTCTGCTGCTTGGAGGCCTGAACAGATGAAACATTCCACACATAACAGACTGCAGCAGCATTGCGAAGATGACATCTAAGGTGAGACAGTAGACCTGACAGTCACAGTACACTCATCTTCCCGAGGCAAGAGAGTTAACTGCCGAACTAGGCTGGTATTATGGAGTTACATTTTGGCTGGACTAATGAGTCTATGCTCAGTCCAATCAAAATCGTGCAACGAAATCGAAATCCAGTTAGTAAACTGTCATGCAGATTTCAGTCGATTGCAGGATTTGCAAAGCAGTCAGCTGATATTTTCCAAATCTTTTCATGTTTTTGATTAAGGTCAGGCTCGCTGACTTGGTTTGATGCATGTCATCGATCCCAATTGCTTTGAACGATGCTCATGATGTCAATCACTGGATTGTCTGGTCCAGACATGATTATTTACGGACCGCCATCATATAGCTGGAATATTGCTGAGTGCGGCGTTAAAAGAACAAACAAACAAAGATCATGCAGATATTTTTCCCTTTCAGGATATTGAAATGAACATGCTCAGCCCCATACTGGTTGCCAGACGACCACCTTGGCGGAAATGGATAACTAGCATGCACTAAGTAGATAGCCTCTTAAAGACATTACTTACCTCATTATAACCCTTTTTTAAACAAGTGCTGTGAATAAAATAAGTTCCTAATTCATCTGTAACAATGTCACTCTACCAGAGCTTGAAAACTCGCAGAAACAAAACTTCTGTTTACCGCTTAATGAATTTTGACATCATGCTATCATGTAGCTGCATACCCTGTGCATTCATTGTTCACATTCAGATCATTAATAAATTAAGCTCCTGTTTATAGGAGTATTATTATTTCAGCTGAAAATTTCCCCATGTTTTCCATTTTTCCACTGGGATGCCATTTGCGATTGATGAAATGATGGGTAAAATAGCTTCAAAAAGAGACAAAACATTTTTGTCAGATTAGAAGAACTTGTCAATATTTTCCCCAACTTTGTCAATGCTATTGGGCCAAAGAGCACCCTTTTCTTTGTTAAAGCACTTCCAAGCCATGTCAGTGCACCACAATAATACACAGGTGTTCTACAGACTCCATGTCTTACCTAGCTCTCTGGGACTTACCCAACTCTCTGGGACTTACCTAGCTCTCTTGGACTTACCTAGCTCTCTTGGACTTACCTAGCTCTCTGGGACTTACCTAGCTCTCTGGGACTTACTTAGCTCTCTGGGACTTACCTAGCTCTCTGGGACTTACCTAGCTCTCTGGGACTTACCTAGCTCTCTGGGACTTACCTAGCTCTCTGGGTCTTACCTAGCTCTCTGGGACTTACCTAACTCTCTGGGACTTACCTAACTGTCTGGGACTCACCTAACTCTCTGGGACTTACCTAACTGTCTGGGACTCACCTAACTCTCTGGGACTTACCTAACTCTCTGGGACTTACCTAGCTCTCTGGGACTCATCTAACTCTCTGGGACTTACCTAACTCTCTGGGACTTACCTAGCTCTCTGGGACTCATCTAACTCTCTGGGACTTACCTAACTCTTTGGGACTTACCTAACTCTCTGGAACTCACCTAGCTCTCTGGGACTCATCTAACTCTCTGGGACTTACCTAACTTTCTGGGACTTACCTAACTCTCTGGGACTTACCTAGCTCTCTGGGACTTACCTAGCTCTCTGGGACTTACCTAGCTCTCTGGGACTTACCTAGCTCTCTGGGTCTTACCTAGCTCTCTGGGACTTACCTAACTCTCTGGGACTTACCTAACTGTCTGGGACTCACCTAACTCTCTGGGACTTACCTAACTGTCTGGGACTCACCTAACTCTCTGGGACTTACCTAACTCTCTGGGACTTACCTAGCTCTCTGGGACTCATCTAACTCTCTGGGACTTACCTAACTCTCTGGGACTTACCTAGCTCTCTGGGACTCATCTAACTCTCTGGGACTTACCTAACTCTTTGGGACTTACCTAACTCTCTGGAACTCACCTAGCTCTCTGGGACTCATCTAACTCTCTGGGACTTACCTAACTTTCTGGGACTTACCTAACTCTCTGGGACTTACCTAACTCTCTGGGACTTACCTAACTCTCTGGGACTTACCTAACTCTCTGGGACTCACCTAACTCTCTGGGACTCTCCTAACTCTCTGGGACTCACCTAGCTCTCTGGGACTTACCCAACTCTCTGGGACTTAGCCAACTCTCTGGGACTTACCTAACTCTCTGGGACTCACCTAACTCTCTGGGACTTACCTAACTCTCTGGAACTCACCTAGCTCTCTGGGACTTACCTAACTCTCTGGGACTTACCTAACTCTCTGGGACTTACCTAACTTTCTGGGACTTACCTAACTCTCTGGGACTTACCTAACTCTCTGGGACTTACCTAACTCTCTGGGACTTACCTAACACTCTGGGACTTACCTAACTCTCTGGGACTCACCTAGCTCTCTGGGACTTACCTAACTTTCTGGGACTTACCTAACTCTCTGGGACTTACCTAGCTTTCTGGGACTTACCTAGCTCTCTGGGACTTACCTAACTCTCTGGGACTTACCTAACTCTCTGGGACTTACCTAACTCTCTGGGACTTACCTAACTCTCTGGGACTTGTGACCAGCCCGAAGAAGTTGATGATCCCTCCAGCAAACAACATGGCTGACGTGAAGAGGAAGGCGTACTAGAACAGCACAAGTAGAGCAATGCTGAAAACGACCATAGGCATACAACATACACAGTTCTACCTGCTTCTATGCGAACGATATCCAATATCCGATTGTTTCATACTAAGGCTTAACAAAATAATAGTCTTGGTTCTCAAGCACCACCCACATTATCATAAAGTATGCCGCCCGTTTCATTTTTCTTTCCATTTCAAAATAAAAACAACCCAAATCCTTAAACATTCAAAGTCCAATGGTAGTCAGATACTGCATTCCAGTATTTTACTCATCAAGGAATACATTTATGTAGGGAGGCCCTTTCCCAGGTTGATTGTACACAATTATTTATTTGGTTACACAACTGTTTATTTGGTTATATACAAGTTCGAACAACTAAGAAAAAAACCAAAAAACAAAACACTGCCTGCCCTCACTATATTTTTAAAAGCCATTGCCTGAGAACCAATTCTTTTATTTTTTTTAAGCCTAAAACTAATTAATACATGGATCATTATGGCTCCATTCTATAATGATGGTTTATTTGTCGTTTAAGGTAGAACCAATTCCAGCTATATGGAAACAAAAACACTAAAAGAATTGCTGTCAGCCAATCAAATGCCACAGAAAGATTTGCAATGTATTTATTACCTGATAACCATAGTCTAACACTGCAGACACCATAAGAGCTCCTAGAATGTTGCCCACAGATGCACAGGCACTCCACAGCCCGAAGACCAGCCCTCGACTGTACAAATACAGGCAGCAGGTTAGTAATACTTCATAAACAACGTTCAGGACAAAGATAGTACTACATTTTGACCGCTAACAAAGATAGGAATGAATGAATGAATCCAAGATTCAACTGGAAAGCCTCAAAAAGACATGAAAGATTAGTTTGTTAGTTGGAACCTCCTACCTCATTGTAGATAATGGTGTGCACCTTTTTGCTTTGAAGCTGTGTATAGGGATTTATTCAATCTCATTAAAATCCGATCTTTGTTCTCGCTATCGCTAAACAAAGATCTGAGGACATCCCATTAAGGGTCACGTCAGAGCGACCTTTCATCCAACCGATCAGAGCGTCCCTTACCAGATCGGGAAAGTGACAGTCGGAATGTGTTTTCTAATCATGCAACCACGAAATATTTAACACAGGGTATTCCGAACGAGTTATGGGTTTTATGATTATATCCATTACAATCTAGGCCATCTTTTAGCCATTCCAGTATGTTCTTCTTATCAGTATTAATTTTTTTAATTGAGAATACGTCAAAATATGTTTCGAAGCGTAGTCGCCAGTTTCAAACCAGTGTCGTAAAGCTCGAGAAAGCTGCCTTCTTATTGGCTAATGTCGATTTCTTGTCAGTCATTTCATTGGTCGGTCAAAATTCGCGAAAGGTCGTTCTGATTTGCTCATGGTGGGGTACAAGAGATTTATTGCCCCGCTGAGAAATTTATTCCCCCAAGGCAGGTTACACAGTATTTTATCATGTGACAAAACGAATTATCATTCTTGATGGAGTCAATATGCAAAAAACAAGGACCCTTGTACCTGACCCCTTCGGCGGTCTGACCAGACCTCGGCCTGCTGCCTGTGGTCTGGGGATGGTCAAACTACCTCAGAGGTTGGGTCCTTGGGGCCTTGTTTTCGTATATTGACCGTGTGAAGAGTTAATATTTGTATAATGTTGTCCTCGTCTACTTTGGATATCTCAGCAGAGTCTACTTGCTAAAGCTGAATTAAAAGAACCAAATGCCTCCTCATGTCCAGCACAGGACATAATGGTTGACATACAGAGTAGCATCTTCCCAAGGCAAGAGAGTTAACTGACTATAAAAGTCCAGTTTCCACCCTTGCCGAACTAGGCTGGAATTACTGGGCTCGATCGAAGCGCCACTAGTGGCTATTACCAGTTATACCACTTCTAAGCCTCTCCTACGGACCAATCAGATTCCACCTCTCGTATCACTTGCGTTCGCTTCACACAAAATGGTGGGACTCAGTCAGGGCGATCTGATTGATAATCAAGATCTATATTGTGATAAAACGGGTCTCATATCATGAAATGCATCAAATCATGTGAGCACCTTAACTAAAAACATGAAAAGATTTGCAAAATATCTGCTGACGAGTTGGCACTGCACATGCTTTGCAAATCCTGCAATCGACCAAAATCTGCACGACAGTTTACGAACCGGATTTTGATTGCAGTGGGCGATTTTGATTGGACTATGCATAGACTCGTTAGTCCAGCCAAAATGTAACTCCATAATCCCAGCCCAGTTCGGCAAGGGTGGAAACTTTTATAGTCAGTTAACTCTCTTGCCTCAGGTAGATGACAGAGTAGCAGTACCTAGATTTTCCGAACCAGTTGCCCATGACGGCCACAACAGTGGGCCAGCCAGTTGACTGCAGCAGGCCGTTGATGATCCACAGGAAGACGTAGAGGTACTTGTTGTAGAGGTGGACCCACTCCAGAACACACCCAAACAAGAACACCTGCAACATCACCACACCAACTGTTAATGACAACATCAATAAGAAGATGTTATTTGTTTAACACCATATTCAGTAATTTTCAACCTGCCAGTGTGGACCAGACAAACCAGTGATTGATATTATGGGCTCTGTTTTACACATTTGAAGTACAACGACTTTCGGACAAAAAATCTTGCATCAAATGGTCTTACCATGAGGCTACCTAAAACATCCGTGAAACTGCTTGATGCATTATCCATCATCACATAATTACATCCAGTGACAACAAATATGATGATGGTGATGATGATGATGATGATGCATCAGATGAATCACTTGACACAGAGCTCCAGAGAAGCTGTGTATATGTGTAAAACACACAAAATAAATTGCCATTACCCAATCATTTTGTTTGTTTGTTTGTTTGTTGTTTAACGCCGCACTCAGCAATATTTATGACGACGGTCTGTAAATAATCAAGTCTGGACCAGACAGCGAGTCTGACCACCCGATCCCGTTAGTCGCCTCTAACGACAAGCCTAATCGCCTTTTACAGCAAGCATGGGCTGCTGAAGACCTATTCTGACCCGGACCTTCAATGGTCCCATTACCCAATTAATTTGAGTTGCTTGCACGTAAATATGCAAGAGAAACTTAAAAAAAACAATTTCATCACTGCACATAAATATGCAAGAGAAACTTTTAAAAAACCCAATTTCATCACTGCACATAAATATGCAAGAAAAAGTTTAAAAAACAATATAATCACTGCGTAAATACCAAACGTATCCTTTTCTACTTGCGAACATGTATTTCTTCACACATCTATATTTACTGATCAAGTGCAGGCATAAACTCAAAACCAAAAGGCGCTGTGTCTCGCTTATTGTTCACCAGACATGTATATCGCTGTTGTGAGTTTATGTGACATGCTACACACTTTAGGCAGCAAACAAACAAATAAAAATTAGAAGCAGCATTTCTGAAGCTGCATTTCAAGCAGAATAATTTAACAAAATGTCTACTCATTGGTGTAAAATACCCAGCAGACTGGACACAAGGGAGTAAAGCATATTGAATACCCAAGAAAAGCTATCAATATTTGTTTGTTGTCTAACGCCGCACTCGACAATATTCCAGTGATATGACGGCGGTCTGTAAATAAATAATCGAGTCAGAACCAGAAAATCGATCCACCCAATTGGGATACGATGACATGCATCAACCAAGTCAGCGAGCCTGACCACCCGAACCCGTTAGTCACCTCTTACGACAAGCATTGGTAGCTGAAGACCTATTCTAACCCAAAAGCTCTCAATACCTGGTGTGAATGATAACATGAGCAAATACTCAATCACTTAAAAGGTTTTCCGGCGTCTGATAATTATTCTTTTCATAAGATGAATATAAAGTTTAATTCTAAATGTTTTGAGTCTGAAATGTTTTTCTGGAGCCCTAAGACAATTCGGCCATGAGACACCACTGGTCTTGAATCAGAGACAAGTTTGTCATCAGAGCAACTCCCATCCTGGGTGATGAGCGTCCAACCTTTGTCTTACCATCACTGCTGTTGAACACATCCCGAACGTCAGGACGTACCTCATGTTCAGCCTGTGGAGAGAGGGAAGAAACAGACACTTTGAAACACTCTTTAAAGAATGAATAATAAGAAGAATAAGTGAATAAGTGAATGAGTGAATTGGGTTTAACACCGCTTTTAACAGTATTCCAGTTATATCACGGCATGTCAGCTTAATGTTGGAGGAAAGCCCGAAGTGATGCAGATCTCAGACGTTTACCACTTTGGTGAAACACACGAGCACGGGAATGGTGCTGACAAACCTAGAAACATAATCGGGTCGAATTCAAACCCACAATCATAGGTTTCTGGCGTGCCAAGGGATGCAACTCCGCACAGCGAATCGCGGCGCTTCAGACGACTGGGCCACCTGTGCAACCCAATAAGAATAAGAATAATGAATAAGAATAATGAATAAGAATAATGGAAATGAGGACATATCAGTAGCAAACTGTAACAAGAACTTGTAGTAATTCCTGTATAAACTACAGTTTACATGGCTTTCCATTCTTTAGAGAGTGAGTGAACTAACGGATGAATTGAGAGATTGAGTGAGTGTTTGTTTGTTTGTTGTTTAACACCACACTCAGCAATATTCCAGCTATAGAATGGCGGTCTGTAAATAATCAAGTCTGCACCAGACAATCCAGTGATGAACATCATGAGCATTGATCCACGTGTTTGGGATCAATGACATGCATCAACCAAGTCAGTGAGCCTGACCACCAGGTCCTGTTAGTCGCATCTTACAACAAGCATAGTCTCCTGTTACGGCAAGCATGGGTTGCTGAAGACCTATTCTACCCCGGATCTTCACAGGTCAGAGAATGAGTGAGTGAATTGGTGGATGAATTGAGAGATTGAGTGAGTGGACTGGTGGATGAATGGAGAGATTGAGTGAGTGTTATAAAATATAAATATAATATTAAGCATTACAGTCAGCAATATTTCAACTACCGTATTTTCTTGAGTATAGTGCGCATCCATGTATAATGCGCACCCCCCTCTAGCGGATTCAATATTTTGGAATTTTTTTCTTCCGAATACCAAGTGCAGAAAAGAAATTACACCGTACCCCTTTAGCGAAGTCCGGCAAACGAACGGGTGATGAGAAACTTGGTCAGTACAAATATGAAATTTGAGATAAAAAATCACCAGAAATGTTGATTTACCATTTAAATTGTATTTTTTTGTTCCGCTAGGCATTGTTTTATATCCAGGGATTAAGATTACCATGTGTATTTTCTCGTAAACTAAGCCGGAAATAGCAATCAGCTGTACACATGTTTTCTTGGACTCTCCCGGTGATTCAGTCAAGACACACCCAACTTTATAACGCCGCCGGGTTCAACGCCGCTTTTAACAGTATTCCAGTTATATCACGGCGTGTCAGCTTAATGTCGGAGGAAAGCCCGAAGTGATGCAGGTCTTAGACGTTTACCACTTCGGTGAAACCCACAAGCACGGGTATGGTGCTGACAAACCTAGAAACATAATCAGGGCGAACTGGGATTCGAACCCACAATCATAGGTTTCTGGCGTGCCCAAGGGACGCAACTCTCCACAGAGAATTGCAGCGCCTTAGACGAGTGGGCACCTGTACCCCCTGCAGTTGTGAGATGAGAGTAACTGTAGGTGACTGAGACAAATATAGTTCTAGTTAATTATCACTGATTGGATAGAAAGATCAATCGATGTCTATCTTTATTATGTCACAAGTTTCGGGGTTGGAGGGTGGGTGTGAAACCTGCATTCCTAAAATTGAAAAGAGAAATATCTTACGATGTTAAAATTATATAATTCACTTTAAATCAAGGTTACCGTACATGACTGTAGATAAGCCAAATTTGTTGGAAGGGGTCGGCTTATGTATGGGTTACACTTTCAACAAACTTTTTCTGTCGATTAAAACTACATTGTATCGCTTCAGGTGAATGAAAAACGCTATCACAAACTTTGTCAATGAATGACGGAATACTGTATTAATCTCCAACTCTGGGAACAATAAAAAAAAATAATAAAAAAAAAAATAAATATTTTTTTATTTTTTTTTAAATTTGTCAATGAAAATGTGAAATTTGCGATTTAACATCACTAGACATGATGATTTACCAGTTTGATTGAAATGCTAGGCATAGTTCTATATGCAGTGATTAAGATTACCCTGTGTACTTGACATGCGCCTGCTAGTGATACTCGTGACATACATGGAATCCAACCCGTTTTATATATACAACACAGGTCTCCCCACAACTAATGAAACGATCGCGTATATTCTGTACCCGGCTGTTGGTAATATCCAATCAGCTCGCAAGCCGAGCCGGCCATGCTAATTAAGCCACGCCTCCTTTTTGGCACCTTTAAGATTCGTTTGGGTTGTGACAAATACAGACCTCAAAATATGTACTTTTAATCAACTTGATGTTTTCACACTTTTTTTCCTGGCCATCATATTGTACATCATTCTGGCTACATAATTACGTAAGAAAAATCTATGACTATTTTTCATGATACTTGCACTTTAACTATTTAATGGCGGCCTGTATATGATAGAGACTGGGCCAGTAACATCTATGGCTAATAGCGTTTACATTACGTTACATTAAGCTCACCTGTCTCCAACAATCCCACTGATGAATAAACCCTGGAAGAGAAGAAAACAACATATGTTTATACAGCCATACTAATGAGCAATGACAGTGCATGCACACATGCACTCAACACACAGACACACACGACACACAACACACATGACACATGCACACGACACGCACAGACACACAACCACACATGACATACGACACACACAAGCACACACACAAGCGCGCACGCACACACACACACACACACACACACACACACACACACACACACACACACACACACACACACACACACACACACACACACACACACACACACACACGACATATGACACACACAAGCACACACACACACACACACGTCTCTATATCAGTGCATTAATCTTTAATACAATGTCAAGGACCAGTCTGGGCAAGAAGGGCTCCACTGCAGTATTATACCTATTTGTCTTACACTTGGATGAAGGGAACACACAAAGCCAGACATCAGTGAATGAGGAAGTGTGAGTTTTGCCACACACCAACATGACTAATGCTAATGTCATCATATAATCATGCATCATCATGTATACACATTTTTCAACTTTATACATTTTTGGGGGGTTTTAATCAGTTCAGTAGATGTTACATAGCTTCCCACACGGAAACACATTTCAGAAGTGTAGGCTGCATGCATTTACATCAGACAGCTAATTATTGGAAGCACGTCAGGATGGTAGTGAAATGAGAAGGCTACATTTGCCATGCTTATTGACGACTTCATTCACTGTTAAGCTAACCAGCATATTTTTGCAACACAATAGTGGGAGCTAATCATATTAAAAAGTAGAAAAAGATAAATCAGACAGTTTATTTGCCAAATTTTCCCCATTTCTGTCAAACTCTCATATTGTATTGTTTGTTTGTTGTTTAATGCCACCATTGCAGCTATATGACATAGGCCTGTAATAATCAAGTCAGAAGAATACGGTGATTGATATGATGAGCAACGATCCATGCCATTGGGGCACAATGACACACCATCAGCCAACCAAGCCTGACCACCAGATCAAATAAGATCATCTTACGACCAGCAAGGGTTGGTGGGGACCTATTCCAATCCCTACAGGGACACTAGCATGGGTTGGTGGGGATCTATTCCAATCCCTACAGGGAGACCAGCATGGGTTGGTTGTGACCTATTCCAATCCCTATGGGGAGACCAGCATGGGTTGGTGGGGACCTATTCCAATCCCTACAGGGAGACCAGCATGGGTTAGTTGTGACCTATTCCAATCCCTATGGGGAGACCAGCATGGGTTGGTGGGGACCTATTCCAATCCCTACAGGGAGACCAGCAAGGGTTGGTGGGGACCTATTCCAATCCCTACAGGGAGACCAGCATGGGTTGGTGGGGACCTATTCCAATCCCTACAGGGAGACCAGCATGGGTTGGTGGGGACCTATTCCAATCCCTACGGTGAGACCAGCATGGGATGGTGGGGGTGTATTCTAACCCAGAATCTCCACGAGAGATCAGCATGGGATGGTGGGGGTGTATTCTAACCCGGAATCCCAATGGGAGACCAGCATGGGTTGGTGGGGGTGTATTCTAACCCAGAATCCCCACGGGAGACCAGCATGGTTTGGTAGGGATGTATTCTAACCCAGAATCCCCACGGGAGACCAGCATGGTTTGGTAGGGATGTATTCTAACCCAGAATCTCCAAGAGGATACCAGCATGGGTTGGTGGGGGTGTATTCTAACCCAGAATCCCCACGGGGAGACCAGCATGGGATGGTGGGGGTATATTCTAACCCAGAATCCCCAAGAGGATACCAGCATGGGTTGGTGGGGTAATATTCTAACCCAGAATCCCCACAGGAGACCAGCATGGTTTGGTGGGGGTATATTCTAACCCAGAATCACTACGGGGGAACAAGCATGGGTTGGTGGGGGTATATTTTAACCCAGAATCCCCACGGGAGACCAGTATGGGTTGGTGGGGGTGTATTCTAACCCAGAATCCCCACAGGAGACCAGCATGGTTTGGTAGGGATGTATTCTAACCCAGAATCCCCAAGAAGATACCAGCATGGGTTGGTGGGGGTGTATTCTAACCCAGAATCCCTACGGGGAGACCAGCATGGGATGGTGGGGGTATATTCTAACCCAGAATCCCCAAGAGGATACCAGCATGGGTTGGTGGGGGTATATTCTAACCCAGAATCCCCACGGGAGACCAGCATGGTTTGGTGGGGGTATATTCTAACCCAGAATCCCTACGGGGGGACAAGCATGGGTTGGTGGGGGTATATTCTAACCCAGAATCCCCACGGGAGACCAGCATGGGTTGGTGGGGGTGTATTCTAACCCAGAATCCCTACGGGGGGACAAGCATGGGTTGGTGGGGGACCTTATCTAACCCAGAATTCCCATGGGGAGACCAGCATGGTTGGTGGGGGTGTATTCTAACCCAGAATCCCCACGGGGAGACCAGCATGGTTTGGTGGGGGTGTATTCTAACCCAGAATCCCCACGGGAGACCTGCATGGTTTGGTGGGGATGTATTCTAACCCAGGATCCCCAAGAGGATACCAGCATGGGTTGGTGGGGGTGTATTCTAACCCAGAAGCCCCACAGGAGACCAGCATGGTTTGGTGGGGGTATATTCTAACCCAGAATCCCTACGGGGGGACAAGCATTGGTTGGTGGGGGTATATTCTAACCCAGAATCCCCACGGGAGACCAGCATGGGTTGGTGGGGGTGTATTCTAACCCAGGATCCCCACGGGGAGACCAGCATGGGTTGGTAGGTATGTATTCTAACCCAGAATCCCTACAGGGAGACCAGCATGGGTTGGTGAGGACCTACTCTAACCCAGAATCCCCACGGGGAGACCAGCATGGTTGGTTGGGGTGTATTCTAACCCAGAATCCCCACGGGGAGACCAGAATGGTTGGTGGGGGTGTATTCTAACCCAGAATCCCCACGGGGAGACCAGCATGGGTTGGTGGGGGTGTATTCTAACCCAGAATCCCCACGGGGAGACCAGCATGGGTTGGTAAGGATGTATTCTAACCCAGAATCCCCACGGGGAGACCAGCATGGTTTGGTGGGGGTGTATTTTAACCCAGAACCCAGAATCCCCACGGGAGACCAGAATGGGTTGGTGGGGGTGTATTCTAACCCAGAATCCCCACAGGGAGACCAGCATGGGTTGGTGGGGGTGTATTCTAACCCAGAATCCCCAAGGGGATACCAGCATGGGTTGGTGGGGGTGTATTCTAACCCAGAATCCCCAAGGTGAGACCAGCATGGTTAGTGGGGGTGTATTCTAACCCAGAATCCCCACGGGGAGACCAGCATGGGTTGGTAGGGATGTATTCTAACCCAGAATCCCCACGGGGAGACCAGCATGGTTTGGTGGGGGTGTATTCTAACCCAGAATCCCCACGGGGAGACCAGCATGGTTTGGTGGGGGTGTATTCTAACCCAGAATCCCCACGGGAGACCAGCATGGTTTGGTGGGGGTGTATTCTAACCCAGAATCCCCACGGGAGACCAGCATTGTTTGGTGGGGATGTATTTTAACCCAGAACCCAGAATCCCCACGGGAGACCAGAATGGTTGGTGGGGGTGTATTCTAACCCAGAATCCCCACGGGAGACCAGAATGGTTGGTGGGGGTGTATTCTAACCCAGAATCCCCAAGGGGAGACTAGCATGGTTGGTGGGGGTGTATTCTAACCCAGAATCCCCAAGGGGAGACTAGCATGGTTGGTGGGGGTGTATTCTAACCCAGAATCCCCACAGGGAGACCAGCATGGGTTGGTGGGGGTGTATTCTAACCCAGAATCCCCACGGGAGACCAGAATGGTTTGGTGGGGATGTATCCTAACCCAGAATCCCCACAGGGAGACCAGCATGGGTTGGTGGGGGTGTATTCTAACCCAGAATCCCCAAGGGGATACCAGCATGGGTTGGTGGGGGTGTATTCTAACCCAGAATCCCCACGGGGAGACCAGCATGGGATGGTGGGGGTATATTCTAACCCAGAATCCCCACGGGAGACCAGCATGGTTTGGTGTGGGTGTATTCTAACCCAGAATCCCCAAGGGGAGACTAGCATGGTTGGTGGGGGTGTATTCTAACCCAGAATCCCCACAGGGAGACCAGCATGGGTTGGTGGGGGTGTATTCTAACCCAGAATCCCCACGGGAGACCACAATGGTTTGGTGGGGATGTATCCTAACCCAGAATCCCCACAGGGAGACCAGTATGGGTTGGTGGGGGTGTATTCTAACCCAGAATCCCCAAGGGGATACCAGCATGGGTTGGTGGGGGTGTATTCTAACCCAGAATCCCCACGGGGAGACCAGCATGGGATGGTGGGGGTATATTCTAACCCAGAATCCCCACGGGAGACCAGCATGGTTTGGTGGGGGTGTATTCTAACCCAGAATCCCTACGGGGGGACAAGCATGGGTTGATGGGGACCTATTCTCACCAAGAATTCCCATGGGGAGACCAGCATGGGTTGGTGGGGACCTATTCTAACCCAGAATCCCCACGGGGTGACCAGCATGGTTTGGTGGGGGTGTATTCTAACCCAGAATCCCCACGGGGAGACCAGCACGGTTTGGTGGGGGTGTATTCTAACCCAGAATCCCCACGGGGAGACCAGCATGGTTTGGTGGGGGTGTATTCTAACCCAGAATCCCCATGGGGAGACCAGCATGGTTTGGTGGGGGTGTATTCTAACCCAGAATCCCCACGGGAGACCAGCATGGTTTGGTGGGGATGTATTTTAACCCAGAACCCAGAATCCCCACGGGAGACCAGAATGGTTGGTGGGGGTGTATTCTAACCCAGAATCCCCACGGGAGACCAGAATGGTTGGTGGGGGTGTATTCTAACCCAGAATCCCCAAGGGGAGACTAGCATGGTTGGTGGGGGTGTATTCTAACCCAGAATCCCCACAGGGAGACCAGCATGGGTTGGTGGGGGTGTATTCTAACCCAGAATCCCCACGGGAGACCAGAATGGTTTGGTGGGGATGTATCCTAACCCAGAATCCCCACAGGGAGACCAGCATGGGTTGGTGGGGGTGTATTCTAACCCAGAATCCCCACGGGGAGACCAGCACGGTTTGGTGGGGGTGTATTCTAACCCAGAATCCCCACGGGGAGACCAGCATGGTTTGGTGGGGGTGTATTTTAACCCAGAACCCAGAATCCCCACGGGAGACCAGAATGGTTGGTGGGGGTGTATTCTAACCCAGAATCCCCACGGGAGACCAGAATGGTTGGTGGGGGTGTATTCTAACCCAGAATCCCCAAGGGGAGACTAGCATGGTTGGTGGGGGTGTATTCTAACCCAGAATCCCCACAGGGAGACCAGCATGGGTTGGTGGGGGTGTATTCTAACCCAGAATCCCCACAGGAGACCACAATGGTTTGGTGGGGATGTATCCTAACCCAGAATCCCCACAGGGAGACCAGCATGGGTTGGTGGGGGTGTATTCTAACCCAGAATCCCCAAGGGGATACCAGCATGGGTTGGTGGGGGTGTATTCTAACCCAGAATCCCCACGGGGAGACCAGCATGGGATGGTGGGGGTATATTCTAACCCAGAATCCCCACGGGAGACCAGCATGGTTTGGTGTGGGTGTATTCTAACCCAGAATCCCCAAGGGGAGACTAGCATGGTTGGTGGGGGTGTATTCTAACCCAGAATCCCCACAGGGAGACCAGCATGGGTTGGTGGGGGTGTATTCTAACCCAGAATCCCCACGGGAGACCACAATGGTTTGGTGGGGATGTATCCTAACCCAGAATCCCCACAGGGAGACCAGCATGGGTTGGTGGGGGTGTATTCTAACCCAGAATCCCCAAGGGGATACCAGCATGGGTTGGTGGGGGTGTATTCTAACCCAGAATCCCTACGGGGGGACAAGCATGGGTTGATGGGGACCTATTCTCACCCAGAATTCCCATGGGGAGACCAGCATGGGTTGGTGGGGACCTATTCTAACCCTGAATCCCCACGGGGAGACCAGCATGGTTTGGTGGGGGTGTATTCTAACCCAGAATACCCACAGGAGACCAGCATGGTTTGGTAGGGATGTATTCTAACCCAGAATCCCCAAGAAGATACCAGCATGGGTTGGTGGGGGTGTATTCTAACCCAGAATCCCTACGGGGAGACCAGCATGGGATGGTGGGGGTATATTCTAACCCAGAATCCCCAAGAGGATACCAGCATGGGTTGGTGGGGGTATATTCTAACCCAGAATCCCCACGGGAGACCAGCATGGTTTGGTGGGGATGTATTCTAACCCAGAATCCCTACGAGGGGACAAGCATGGGTTGGTGGGGGTATATTCTAACCAAGAATCCCACGGGAGACCAGCATGGGTTGGTGGGGGTATATTCTAACCCAGAATCCCCACGGGAGACCAGCATGGTTTGGTGGGGGTATATTCTAACCCAGAATCCCTACGAGGGGACAAGCATGGGTTGGTGGGGGTATATTCTAACCAAGAATCCCCACGGGAGACCAGCATGGGTTGGTGGGGGACCTTATCTAACCCAGAATTCCCATGGGGAGACCAGCATGGTTGGTGGGGGTGTATTCTAACCCAGAATCCCCATGGGGAGACCAGCATGGTTTGGTGGGGGTGTATTCTAACCCAGAATCCCCACGGGAGACCAGCATGGTTTGGTAGGGATGTATTCTAACCCAGAATCCCCAAGAGGATACCAGCATGGGTTGGTGGGGGTATATTCTTACCCAGAATCCCCACAGGAGACCAGCATGGTTTGGTGGGGGTATATTCTAACCCAGAATCCCCACGGGGAGACCAGCATGGGTTGGTTGGTATGTATTCTAACCCAGAATCCCTACAGGGAGACCAGCATGGGTTGGTGAGGACCTACTCTAACCCAGAATCCCCACGGGGAGACCAGCATGGTTGGTTGGGGTGTATTCTAACCCAGAATCCCCACGGGGAGACCAGCATGGTTTGGTGGGGGTGTATTCTAACCCAGAATCCCCACGGGGAGACCAGCATGGTTTGGTTTGGGTGTATTCTAACCCAGAATCCCCACGGGAGACCAGCATGGTTTGGTAGGGATGTATTCTAACCCAGAATCCCCACAGGGAGACCAGCATGGGTTGGTGGGGGTGTATTCTAACCCAGAATCCCCACAGGGAGACCAGCATGGGTTGGTGGGGGTGTATTCTAACCCAGAATCCCCACGGGAGACCAGCATGGGATGGTGGGGGTATATTCTAACCCAGAATCCCCACGGGAGACCAGAATGGTTGGTGGGGGTGTATTCTAACCCAGAATCCCCAAGGGGAGACCAGCATGGTTGGTGGGGGTGTATTCTAACCCAGAATCCCCACAGGGACACCAGCATGGGTTTGTGGGGGTGTATTCTAACCCAGAATCCCCACGGGAGACCAGAATGGTTTGGTGGGGATGTATCCTAACCCAGAATCCCCACAGGGAGACCAGCATGGGTTGGTGGGGGTGTATTCTAACCCAGAATCCCCACTGGGAGACCAGCATGGGTTGGTGGGGGTGTATTCTAACCCAGAATCCCCAAGGGGATACCAGCATGGGTCGGTGGGGGTGTATTCTAACCCAGAATCCCCCAAGGGAGACCAGCATGGGATGGTGGGGGTATATTCTAACCCAGAATCCCCACGGGAGACCAGCATGGTTTGGTGGGGGTGTATTCTAACCCAGAATCCCTACGGGGGGACAAGCATGGGTTGATGGGGACCTATTCTCACCCAGAATTCCCATGGGGAGACCAGCATGGGTTGGTGGGGACCTATTCTAACCCAGAATCCCTACAGGGAGACCAGCATGGTTTGGTGGGGGTATATTCTAACCCAGAATCCCCACGGGGAGACCAGCATGGGTTGGTGGGGACCTATTCTAACCCGGTTTAAGTAAGCAACTGAATGGGCCAAAACATTATGGAAACTGACCACTGCATAGGAGATCATGAAGGAAGCGTCCAGTATTCCTAGGTACGGCTCCACAGCAGAGGGGGAGGAAAACATGTTCCTTGTGTTCCAGATCTGGAGATGTACAGCAATAACCATGGTTACAGACAAACATTTAAAAAAAAAGAAATTTCACTGTTGTGTGTGTTGTTGGTTTGTTGTTTAACGCCGCACTCACCAATATTACAGCTAGATGACGGCGGTCTGTAAATAATCGAGTCTGGACCAGACAATCCAGTGATTAATATGAGCATCGATCCACGCAATTGGGATCGATGACATGCATCAACCAAGTCAGCGAGTCTGACCACCCAATCCCGTTAGTTGCCTTTTACGACAAGCATAGTCGCCTTTTTACAGCAAGATGGGTTGCCGAAGACCTATTCTACCCCGGATTTTCATGGGTCCACAGTGGACCATCCACTGTTGTGTGTGAATAGGCAGACATGCATGATCAGCAGCATTATACAATTGAGCTTTAACAGAATAATACTTCAAACAAAGCTGACAGGTATTATGTCATAATATACAATGGCTCACATTTTTAATTCAGGGTCTGTTCTACAAAGCTATTGCAGCGCTTATGTTATCATAACTCCCATACTATAACATAGACATACGACTGTCGTTGTGCTACGATTGCCTTGTGGAATGGGGCCTTACACCACAAAGTTTACAATCATGTCACAATACCCTATGGCGTAATTTGTGGAATTTTGTTACAAGAAACAGTCATATATGTGACCTCACCCTAGCAACAGGGTTGCTGGGGTCGCCCATTGTGCATAAGCTCCTCTCAGTGATCTATCATCTCTACATGCAATGTCGTTGAATAAGCCCTGGGACGTTGGGAGTGTTCAACATTTGTTAGTGAAACTTGTTGCCACGATACAAAAGCACACGCTTTGATATTACACAATGTGTAATACAGCTGTATGTTTATCAATCAGGTGATCTCTTCACCAGCAAAAAACAAATCGGTTTACTAAATGGCTAGGGAAATGTAGAAGACTTCCATCTCTGTTACTGCCAAATGAGTTTCTGGGTTAATTTCTTCTGGTATGCTATATAGATATTCATCTAAAATCTGTACTAACAGACCTATGTTACTAATCAAACTTCTATTAAAACTCCACTATTGTCTGATGCTGCACTGTGGCCTTTACTTACAGAGTCAGGTTTTGTTTCACAGACGGTGGCATTGTGGAAGCTCGGTGTCCACTCTTCAGAGATCGTGGTCTTCACATTGCTGAATGTTTTCCGGGACATGTGGAAGAAGGCATAGCTGAAATAACAGAGCAACATACAGTGAGTGAGGGAGTGAGGGAGTGAGTATGGTTTTACGCCGCTTTTAGCAATATTCCAGCAATATCACGGCGGGGGACACCAGAAATGGGCTTCACACATTGTACCCATGTCGGGAATCGAACCCAGGTCTTCGGCGTGACGAGCGAACGCTTTAACCACTAGGCTACCTGACCGCCCAGAAACATACAGATAGACATACATGATGTAACATACAGACAGATACACGAACATGGTACAGTTGATCCTTGATAATAGTTTTGGTTTGGTTTGGTTGTTTTACGCCGCACTCAGCAATATTCCAGCTATATGACGGCGGTCTGTAAATAATCGAGTATGGACCAGACAATCCAGTGATTGATGATATCACGAGCATCGATCCACGCACTTGGGATCGATGACATGCATCAACCAAGTCAGCGGGCATGACCACCCGATCCTGTTAGTCGCCTTTTGCGACAAGCATAGTCGCCTTTTACGGCAAGCATGGGTTGCTGAAGACCTATTCTACGCCGGAATATTCACGGGTCTCCTTGATAATATGATGGTTAGGTGAAATTGGGTTTAACAACGCGTCCAAGATTATTGCGCTTATATAGCGACGTACATGCACGTGTTTGCGTGGCTGCTTATACTAGTCTGGACTGATGCTGATTTATAGTGCTAGCTCACTGAGATACCATGCCGCAGTTTAACATGAATACCCCACTCAGACCCAGTATACTGACTCCGAGCCGACCAGTCCTTATTTTAGCCCCTTTATGCCGAGCACCAGACAGGGTAACAACAAGTACCATCTTTTAACATCTATTGGTATGACGCAGCCAGGGATCAAACCCCGGACCTTCCGCTCTCCGGGCGGACGCTCTACCACAAGACCACAGAGGCTGCCGATGATGTGATGGGAAAACATTCCGATATACTTGTAAGTGCATGAAAATGGCCTTATGTAAGGAATATCGTTTACATGGGTCTACCCTTTTACCTATTTTTCAGCGTCCTGTTTCAGTATTTTATATAGATTGAGCAGTGGGCAGACAATCTTGAACAGAGTTGCAGTTTGTGATATTGAGTGCATAACAATGGTTGGTTGGTTGGTTGGTTTGTTGTTTAACGCTGCGCTCAGCAATATTACAGCTATATGACGGCGATTTGTAAATAATCAAGTCTGGACCAGACAATCCAGTGATTAATATCATGAACATCGATCCACGCAATTGGGATCGATGACATGTATCAACCATGTCAGCGAGCCTGACCACCCGATCCCGTTAGCCGCCTTTTACGGCATAACAATGGTAAATATTTTAGTCACAATAAGCTGATGTAGTGATGCATAATGAACATGCACTGAAACACTTGATACGCCTGTCTTTGAGTCACATATGTTTTAATTCGGTATCGATTTTCAAAAAGTAATAATGTTTTGCAATAACGTGATAACTATAGTAACTGATAACTATTTCGCCTCGGGTTACTGTTTAATTAGAAACAAAATACTACATCGGATTAGATCAAGCCTAGACAACTAATCATTAACTTGATTTACACACAAACTGCATGGACGGCAGCTGTTTGGAACAATTCATGTGCAAATAATGCATCGATGTTGAGGTAGGCGTAACCATGGTCACATACTCCTGATTCATGACATCCTAAAATGACATTACAGCCCAAAATGAGATTTATCAAAAGAGACACACCTGAAGAAAGTGAGGACGAAGATCACCGGGTGATAGGTGTACTTTCTTCTCCCCATCTCCCTTGGGATAGGATTTCCCTGAATTGGAGCTGATTCGGATGTTTCCGGGTTTAACATATCTGAATAAAGCTAGATCTCGGCTTTGGAACCTATATGGTTTCAGATCAAACTCTCGGGTAGATGTTGTTTATAATCAGCAATGTGTTAGATTTGTGTTGAGCCAAGAATAGGTGTTATGATAGAGGCATACGTCGTGTTCGACGATTGTTTTGCTTTGCAAGCGGTCGTATATACAAGGGAGGTTACTCTAAAATGTATTTTTTTATGGCAGACCACGTCAGGAAAACTGCCTTACATACTGTTCGAAACGAAGACAGGTGACAATACGCATTTAGAACGAAGACCAAATTGACAAAAATTAACTGAACGCCCCAGATATGTCAATGTTCGTGTGTGCACAAATACTGGCCACGTAGAGATTATTGGACATGTTGGATATATGTAGATCTATGTTTGTTTGAGTGTGTACTCAGAGACCATATAATTATTATATTATATGGTCTGTGGTGTGCTGATGTACATTTCTTCGTAATATATACGTACAAACACATTAATTTATCACTATTCGTTTTTCACTTCGTTCACGAACAGCCGTTAATCAGGCCACATGAAGATGATGTGTAATCAGGATTTCACAGCCGTTTATATATAGCGTTGATGGTCTACGTAAATAATATAAAGAGATTAAAATGTGTGTTATATACTGAATTACGAACCGACTGTCAGAGTCCCTGTATTTATCGAGCTATAGAGCGAGAATATACATGAATTCTGACGCTCGATTCTTAAAATCAGTATACATCAGTACACACGCGAGAGTAATAATTTCTCCATTACCAATTATTTCTTTGGGCTCAATGTAGGAAAGGATTAATGCTACATTCTGAACACATACAGCACGAGATAATTAGCTATTACAATGCTACGAAGGTAATGTCATTTACAAATTGTAACTATGCAATTTTTTTAGTATCTGTCCTTCCTTCCGCACTTTGTTTAAAACTAATTTGTAATCTTTACAATGATACAGTACGTAGACTTCACAGGCAAGAATTTATATGTATGAAAAGTGAGTGAGTGAGTATGGCTTACGCCGCTTTTAGCAATATTCCAGCAATATCACGGCGGGGGACACCAGAAATGGGCTTCACACTTTGTACCCATGTCGGGAATGGAACCCGGGTCTTCGGCGTGACGAGCTAACGCTTTAACCACTAGGCTACCCGACCGCCCCTTGTATGAAAAGATATACACTTCTTGAATACTATGTACCACAATTTTATTGACATGAATATGTGTATATAAATGCTGTACCTGCTGAGACGGAAGGAAAGAAGGAATTTTTAAAATTTCTTTGAGCTCACTTTTAGAAAACATGCACTGATCACGACTATCAAACACTTTGATCAAAAACTTGGTCAAAGAAAACTTTGATCAAGTTTTCTTGGTCCAAGTTGGACTGTTTACACTCATCAAAGTTTTTGACAGGCCGTCAACGTTTTGGTGGGAATTATCTTGCCAAGGTGAATGCTACTGACGAAGTATTGTTTGCTGTTGTCATATGTATATGTGTATTGCCATGTTGACAAAGGGGCGCCGGGGTAGGCAAAGGCATATTTGGTCCCGAGAATGGCTGCTCGTTGTTGAAACAAATCAATTAATTCTTCCAACATCTCGTCAGTCCAAAATAGTTGACTCATTTTGACTTGACTCTATGCACTTTCGGTTGAAAAGGGGTAAATGTTCCTTGCAGTCTTATTGGCTAAATTAAATCAATGTCATCAAACTTTGATCAAAGTTTGACGAGAAATAGGATCGGTTTCTATTTCATCAAAATCCCGTCAAAACCTTTGTCAAAGTTTTTGACGGCATGTAACACTATCAAAAACTTGGTCAAAATGGACTATGACCAAGTTTTTTTATCCAAGTTATCAACAATCTTCAGCTATGACGTCGTTCCTAGTGTGACGTCACTCCAACTATCGTCACAATGAAATTCGAACAACGTCAACAATGTCTGGACGACGTGAACAATACCCTGTTGTGCGTGATTTGACATTGACTAGTGCACAATTAAACGATGTTTTTTATGAATATGGTTATATCTAATCCTATGGGGGGCGGTCGGGTAGCCTAGTGGTTAAAGACTTAGCTCGTCACGCCCAAGACCCGGGCACGATTCCCGGCATGGGTACAATGTGTGAAGCCCATTTCTGGTGTCCCCCGCCGTGATATTGCTGGAATATTGCTAAAAGCGGCGTAAAACCATACTAACTCACTCACTAGTCCTATGGGTAATACACCTTCGTTTAGTCGTTTCCCTGGCAACACGATTTTGATTGTTGCTTAACGCTGCACCCCGGCTATATGACGGCGGTCTGTAAATAATCGAGTCTGGACCAGACAATCCAGTGATTAATATCATGAGCATCGATCCACGCAATTGGGATCGATGACATGCATCAACCAAGTCAGCGAGCCTGACCACTCAATCCCGTTAGTCGCCTCTTACGACAAGCATAGTCGCCTTTTACGGCAATCATGGGCTACCGAAGACCTATTCTACCCCGGATCTTCACGGGCCCGTTTTAGTGCCCACCCACTTATTATCACATATCATGCATCACGGATATCCCACTCGAACATGTATTCAGCGTCTGCCCGGGGAACAGAAGGTTGGTGCATGGTTCGATTGACCGGTCGCGTCATACGACGTCAAAAGATGTTGTTACCCTGCTTGGTGCTTGCATAAAGGGATAAAACAAGGATCGGTCGGCTCGGAGTCGCTGTACTGAGTTTGAGTGGTATATCCCAGGTTAAAACTGCGGCATCTGGGCTAGCACTAATAGCCCGGCATTAGTTCGAACTAGTACAATAACAGACACACGTGTATGCACGCTACTACATACAGCCATTTTTCTTGAGCTCTACTTCACATAACCCCAGAGAGATTAAATAAAATTAAAATTAACCTTTCAAATAATTTCTTTATCAAATTAATATCAAATCAGAAGCAATGGATTCTTTCCCCAATCAATAATAATCAATATTGCAATAAATATTACAAACAATGTTAGATTTACAAGTATCATTATATATTAAGAAGCAAAAGGTGTCAAACTTCATAAAGTGTGGACCCGTGAAGATCCGGGCTAGAATAGGTCTTCAGCAACCCATGCTTGCCGTAAATGGCGACTGTGCTTGTCGTAAGAGGCGACAGACGGGATGGGTGGTCAGGCTCGCTGACTTGGTTGATGCATGTTAAATTATCGTACCCCAATTGTGTGGATCGATGCTCTTGATATCAGTCACTGGATTGTCTTGTCTAGAATCGATTATTTACAGACCGCAGTCATATAGCTGGAATATTGGTGAGTGCGGCGTTAAGCAATGAACAAACACATCAGACAGTGTGCACTTGAAGCGCGACTTCGTAAGTGAAGCGACAGTAAAATATGTCACTCATATCGCTAATATTTAACAGTATCATGCACTCGACGCTAGCAAAGTTACAGCCAACCTGCGCTTGTGGAGAACTGTATGTTTTGTGGAAAACCGTTTTTCGATAAGAATTATACAATGTCACCTTTAGCTATTACGTACGTGATCACCTGCACTTCAAACTACGAGCGCTAACACAGTACCCCTAATGCTGTCACCCCCATATATATCGACTATGATCAACTGATATATAAGTTAACAAACTGATTTCTCCAGTCCCTTGTAGTTCATGATGTCCATGTTTTGCTGTAGTATTTGAGTCCCAAACATGATATCATTGTACAGGATGAATCATTTATTGTTTAAAGGCATGTAAAAGTAAGCATATTGTCTGTTTATAGGCATGTAAAAGTAAGCATATTGTCTGTTAATAGGCCTGTAAAAGTAAGCATATTGTCTATTTATAGGCATGTACAAGTAAGCATATTGTCTGTTTATAGGCATGTAAAAGTAAGCATATTGTCTGTTTGTAGGCATGTAATAGTAAGCATATTTTCTGTTTATAGGCATGTAAAAGTAAGCATATTGTCTGTTTATTGGCATGTAAAAAGTAAGCATATTGTCTGTTTATAGGCATGTAAAAGTAAGCATATTTTCTGTTTATAGGCATGTAAAAGTAAGCATATTGTCTGTTTATAGGCATGTAAAAGTAAGCATATTGTCTGTTTATAGGCATGTAAAAGTGAGCATATTGTCTGTTTATTGGCATGTAAAAGTAAGCATATTGTCTGTTTATAGGCATGTAAAAGTAAGCATATTGTCTGTTTATAGGCATGTAAAAGTAAGCATATTGTCTGTTTATAGGCATGTAAAAGTAAGCATATTTTCTGTTTATAGGCATGTAAAAGTAAGCATATTGTCTGTTTATAGGCATGTAAAAGTAAGCATATTGTCTGTTTATAGGCATGTAAAAGTAAGCATATTTTCTGTCTATAGGCATGTAAAAGTAAGTATATTTGTCTGTTTATAGGCATGTAAAAGTAAGCATACTGTCTGTTTATAGGCATGTAAAAGTAAGCATATTGTCTGTACATTGCAGGAAGCCAACCCCTGGTGTGTGGTCACTGCATTGGTTGTTATCTCGGACAGTGTAGGTGATGTCCAGGCTATCATAGAGGCACTGATGGTCAGCCACTCTCAGTGTACGTCCATGGAGGTTCTAGAGTGTCTGTACTGTATTGCGATCTTCCTCTATACCTTCCGTCTCCTGGCCGGGGCCGATGTGTGGAGTGGGTAAGTAGGCAATCACTGGCTAACAAGGAGGGCTTGATTGGTTTATACTGATTTTCAATACTAAATGTTAGTGTGTGCCCAAAAGTCAGCTACAACAATTCTGTCTTTTGACATCATTTTAGTAAATACATATGTGTTAGCTATGTGTGGACTAGTAGTAGCTGAGCTAGGTAGATATGAAGACAGTTCACCAAATTCTGGAGTCAGCTTCGTGACTATGGCCACACGCTCATTACAGTTTATAAGGTATATATATGTCATTACTTATGGTTTTAGTAATCTTAAGGACAGTTCATAAATGTCCCACAAATTAATGCTGAAACTACGTTTTTGTTTTCTACTTCAGTTGTCAAGGTACCTTTTATTTCAGCATGCACTGTTGAGTGTCCTATGCCCTGTACCTTGTTGTCTCAGCAAGTGTTCTACTTCCTGTACCTTGTTGTCTCAGCATGCATTATGAAGTGTTCTACGTCCTGTAACTGTTGTGTTTCAGCATGCACTATCAAGTGTTCAATGCCCTGTACCTATTTGTCTCAGCATGCACTATCAAGTGTTCTACGTCCGGTACCTTGTTGTATTTCACCATGCACTATCAAGTGTTCTACGTCCTGTACCTTGTTGTGTCTCAGAATGCACTATCAAGTGTTCCTTGCCCTGTACCTTGTGTTTCAGCATGCACTATTGAGTGTTCTATGCCCTGTACCTTGTGTTTCAGCATGCACTATCAAGTGTTCTTTGCCCTGTACCTTGTGTTTCAGCATGCACTATTGAGTGTCCTATGCCCTGTACTTTGTGTTTCAGCATGCACTATCAAGTGTTCTTTGCCCTGTACCTTGTGTTTCAGCATGCACTATCAAGTTTTCTTTGCCCTGTACCTTGTGTTTCAGCATGCACTATTGAGTGTCCTATGCCCTGTACCTTGTGTCTCAGCATGCAATATCGAGTGTTCTATGTCCTGTACCTTGTGTTTCAGCATGCACTATCAAGTGTCCTATGCCCTGTACCTTGTTGTATCAGCATGCACTATGAAGTGTTCTACGTCCTGTACCTCGTGTTTCACCATGAACTATGAAGTGTTCTACGTCCTGTACCTTGTTGTCTCAGCATGCACTATCAAGTGTTCTACGTCCTGTACCTTGTTGTGATTCACCATGCACTATTGAGTGTCCTATGCCCTGTACTTTGTGTTTCAGCATGCATTATGAAGTGTTCTTTGCCCTGTACTTTGTGTTTCAGCATGCATTATGAAGTGTTCTTTGCCCTGTACTTTGTGTTTCAGAATGCACTATCAAGTGTTCTTTGCCCTGTACTTTGTGTTTCAGCATGCACTATCAAGTGTTCTATGCCCTGTACCTTGTGTTTCAGCATGCACTATCGAGTGTTCTATGCCCTGTACCTTGTGTTTCAGCATGCACTATTGAGTGTTCTATGCCCTGTACCTTGTTTTTCAGCATGCACTATCAAGTGTTCTTTGCCCTGTACCTTGTGTTTCAGCATGCACTATCGAGTGTTCTATGCCCTGTACCTTGTGTTTCAGCATGCACTATCGAGTGTTCTGTGCCCTGTACCTTGTGTTTCAGCAAATGTTCTACGTCCTGTACCTTGTTGTGTTTCAGCATGCACTATCGAGTGTTCTATGCCCTGTACCTTGTGTTTCAGCATGCACTATCACGTGTTCTATGCCCTGTACATTGTGTTTCAGCATGCACTATCACGTGTTCTATGCCCTGTACATTGTGTTTCAGCATGCACCGCCGAGTGCGCTATGCCCTGTGCCTTGTGTTTAAGCATGCACTATCAAGTGTTCTATGCCCTGTACCTTGTGTTTCAGCATGCACCATCGAGTGCTCTATGCCCTGTACCTTGTGTTTCAGCATGCACTATCAAGTGTTTTATGCTCTGTACCTTGTTTTTCAGCATGCAATATCGAGTGTTCTATGCCCTGTACCTTGTGTTTCAGCATGCACTATCAAGTGTTCTATGCCCCGTACATTGTGTTTCAGCATGCACTATCGAGTGTTCTATGCCCTGTACCTTGTGTTTCAGCATGCACTATCGAGTGTTCTATGCCCCGTACATTGTGTTTAAGCAGGCACTATCGAGTGTTCTATGCCCTGTACCTTGTTTTTCAGCATGCAATATCGAGTGTTCTATGCCCTGTACCTTGTGTTTCAGCATGCACTATCGAGTGTTCTATGCCCCGTACCTTGTGTTTCAGCATGCACTATCGAGTGTTCTATGCCCTGTATCTATATGAGAATGCTTCAGTGACCAGCCACAGCATGCTTCAAGAGGCCATGACATCATCCAATGCTGGTCAGCAAACCATCGTCAAATACAGGAATGCTTATGCTTTGTTTAAACATATACATCTATTTTAAAGTTTAATCACAGTAATAAACTGACCAACACAAGGAAATAAGTGCTTGTTTATGCCTCAGTAACATTTGCCTGGGCGGCCATGGGGTCTAAAATATCTACGACCAACAGCAATCATAGGGCCGCTGCAGCATTCCCACGGTCACATACTGTACCAGTCACATATGTTAGGGTAGCCGCACGGCGTATTTTGAATTTGTGGAGACAGAAAACCTGCCGCTGCCGTACGGCCTTTTAAGTGATGACGCATAGTTTTTTTTACAAATACCAAGGCAGACGCAAGGTAGGCGCAAGACACCCGCAGGGGAACCATACGGCGACCGTGCGGTCAGACTGACGTTACTGCGACACAGAGCAGCAGGATGGCAGACGCAAGGTAGGCGCAAGACACCCGTAGGGAAACCATACAGCAACCGTGCGGCCAGACTGACGTTACTGCGACACAGAGTATCAGGATGGCAGACGCAAGGTAGGCGCAAGACACCCGTAGGGAAACCATACAGCAACCGTGCGGCCAGACTGACGCTACTGCGACACAGAGTATCAGGATGGCAGACGCAAGGTAGGCGCAAGACACCCGTAGGGAAACCATACAGCAAACGTGCGGTCAGACTGACGCTACTGCGACACAGAGCAGCAGGATGGCAGACGCAAGGTAGGCGCAAGACACCCGCAGGGGAACCATACAGCAACCGTGCGGCCAGACTGACGCTACTGCTACACAGAGCAGCAGCACTGCAAACGCAAAGCCACCGTATGCCTGACGTATAGCCGCCGTTAACAGCATGGCTACGGTGTGTCTAATTGTCTACATGTCTAATTGCTACAGCGAACCTAGAAATTTAAAAAGTTATAACTCCGCGCTATAATTCCACGGCGACCCTTATGGTCTGTAAAAAGATAGGGATACGCCCTAGGGCGACCCTGAGGCCACCGCAGATCCTCTGTGGCCTCTACAGGTATCTCTCATTTTCGGGGGGATATGGCCGCCGTATCCCAGCCCTAGAGCAAATGTGACTGAGGCATTATTCACCACAAGTTGCAGTTTATTGTTATGTCCCACATGGTGGTGGTTCAGAAGGTAACCAGTAGCTCATGTCATTGATTGTCATGCAATTATTGAATAAAACAAGTCACTGTGCCTGACCATCCGATACAATCCATTTGGGACATCTTTAGGACACACGATCTGTGTTATGTGCTTGTGAGTGGAGGTTGTAAGGTGGAGATTCAGTTACAGGGAGGGTTGTGTAAGGTGAAGGTGAGTGGGGGTTGTAAGATGGAGATTCAGTTACAGGGAGGGTTGTGTAAGGTGAAGGTGAGTGGGGGTTGTAAGATGGAGATTCAGTTACAGGGAGGGTTGTGTAAGGTGAAGGTGAGTGGAGGTTGTAAGATGGAGATTCAGTTACAGGGAGGGTTGTGTAAGGTGAAGGTGAGTGGGGGTTGTAAGATGGAGATTCAGTTACAGGAAGGGTTGTGTAAGGTGAAGGTCAGTAGAGGTTGTAAGATGGAGATTCAGTTACAGGGAGGGTTGTGTGAGGTGAAGATGAGTGGAGGTTGTAAGATGGAGATTCAGTTACAGGAAGGATTGTGTAAGGTGAAGGTGAGTGGGGGTTGTAAGATGGAGATTCAGTTACAGGGAGGGTTGTGTAAGGTGAAGGTTAGTGGAGGTTGTAAGATGGAGATTCAGTTACAGGAAGGATTGTGTAAGGTAAAGGTCAGTAGAGGTTGTAAGATGGAGATTCAGTTACAGGGGAAGGCTGTGTAAGGTGAAGATGTGTGGAGTTTGTAAGATGAAGATTCAGTTACAGGGAGGGTTGTGTAAGGTGAAGATGAGTGGAGGTTGTAAGATGGAGATTCAGTTACAGGGAGGGTTGTGTAAGGTGAAGATGTGTGGAGGTTGTAAGATGGAGATTCAGTTACAGAGAGGGTTGTGTAAGGTGAAGATGAGTTGGTTAGGTGAGTATTTGAGAAGCTATGGGCTTCATGATGGGACGTGAATTGAGTCTTAATAAGAGACTACTTGGTGGATATAACATATAGAGTGCTGGAGCCCCTGCTAACTGGATAGAAGTCTGATGGGAGCAGTTAGGGAAATAGTCCAAGAAAAGCCTGTGTGGATTGTACGTAATGGTATGGCAGTCAATGAGATCTCTTTGTTTTGCATGTTATGTATATGTGTATATATTTTGTATGGAGCTTCTTGAAACATGTATGGTAATTATACAACATCTAATGTTATTTCATGTTAAATTGGTATACATGTAGTAAGCTGGTCTTCTGTAAATATTGTACAAATATGTTTATACATACAAATATTTCTTTTGACTATTTTGGAGTTTTGTTTGTTTTGTTATGGTCAAGTTAAGAATGATTTGTTGAATTAGGATTAAAGTCCAGTTGACTCATCCACTTTGGTATTCAGGGTTCCGTTCCACAAAGGGAACTTACTGCTATGAAACCAACCATTGAAGCTGAGGTACGGGAGCACTAAGATTGCTTTGTGGAACAGAGAATCAGAGGAGGAATCCACTTTAACAGGAACCCAGTTGATCCTCACTCCATTGACCCTCAATACCCTGACTTCACTGTGCAGATTAGCATCCAGAAACCGATGATTGTGGGTTCGCATCATGCCCACACCATACCATACTTGTGGGTTTCACTAAAGTGAAACCTGCATCACATTGGGCTTTCCTCCCACATCAAGCTGACACACCTGATATGACTACTGGTCAAAGATGCGTTACACCCAACCTGCTAGCATCTTCCCACCCACCAACGGGGGCATGGGTGGCCCAGTCGTATAAGGCGCCGCGATTTGCTTAGCAGAGTTGCATCCCTTGGGGCATGGGAAACCTTTGACTCACCAACTCACCCACTCACTCACCCACCCACTCCATGCCCTGACAACTGCTGGCCTGAACATGTCGATGGGCTGTAATACAATCATAGTGTTGCTGACTTGGACACTGAAGTGCACTTAACCATCAACCCTTCTGTATGGACAACTGCATAGGGTCAACTTTGACATTACTTAGTCTGGTGTAATTGCCTTGATCCTGGGAAGCAATAATTGCTTTCGTAGATCCGAAAAAGGTCAGGGTGCTTTTATTGATTAGTTTCATTAACTCTTTCTTGTTAAAGGTAGTTCATGACTATACACAACGCCCACCTGGAAAATTAATTTTGAAAAGAAGCTGGTCTGTTGGTGCCTAGGTGGAGGTATTTATATCACCCTGACATCAGTAATGTCATCATGTTTGGTCATCCACTGTCTGTCAGTCGTTTCAACACGGAACTGAAAAAAATATGTTTCTCCAAAATATTTAAGGTTTCAATGCGATACTCACCTGACATTTTCTGTATGCCCTAAATGAGAGTTAAGGAAATTTTTGTTTTGAAAACATCCAAATGGCCATTCCAACTCAAACCATCCACTGATGACTGGATTTCAGTTGACTGTCAACCATTAGTAGAATCACCAGAATTCTGAAAAGCAGTCGTTGGAATTCAGGTTTGCAAAATGAAGATAATGTTGAATGAATCACCACTAAAATATATAACATCTGTTGGAAATCTTCCCAATATTGAAGAAGGAAAGTCCCAGTTGATATGTAGACGAATCAAATTGCAAATTATTGAAGATTGATCCAAATTATCAGAAGATTTATTTTTTTTATATAGTTTTGAAAAGTGTTGAATGAATGAATGAATGAATATTGTTTTACGCCACATCAGCAATTTTCAGCTATTCACGGCGAGTGAAGTGTTGAATAGTCTGAACGTAAATAATCAGTTTGCAAAGACACACAGTGTATACATGGCATTAAGAGTAATCTGACTTAAAAAAAGGACATAGAGATACTAAACATTGACCACTACCTTCTTCTGACCACTACCTCCTTCTGACCACAAACTCCTTCTGACCACTAATTCCTTCTGACCACTACCTCCTTCTGACCACTACCTCCTTCTGACCACTACCTCGGTATTCTTTCTCCTCTTTTTAAGTTTATTGGTGCATCACACACCAGACCGTAATCATTTACACACTGTAGTGTATCTGGGTTTATGAGAGAGACGGCGTGTTGTCAATCCAAGACATTCATGCGCAACAAACGAGAGATGAACACAAAAAATGCACATTAAAATCACCTGACGTTATCAAAAAAGGATTATAATGCAAATGTAGGTCACTCTGCAAAGCAGAGTTATTAATGGGTATTTACTGAATATGAAGCTGATCGTCATAATTTACACAGACCGCCTCCGTGGTCTCATGGTAGAGCGTCCGCCCGGAGAGCGGAAGGTCCGGGGTTCGATCCCCGGCCGCTTCATACCAAAAGTCGTTAAAAGATGGTACTTCTTGTTACCCTGTCTGGCGCTCGGCATTTAGGGGCAAAAACAAGGACTGGTCGGCTCGGAGTCAGTATACTGTATCTGAGTGGGGTATTCATGTTTAACTGCGGCATGGTATCTCAGTGTGCTAGCACTATAAATCGGCACCAGTCCGGACTAGTACAAGCATCCACACACATACACGTGCATGCACGTCGCTATATAAGTGCAATAATCTTGGACGCGACGTTAAACCCCATTTCACCTCACCTCATAAGTTACACGATACCAATTAAATATGATGAAACAACACAATTGGGCAGGCTAAGTATCAGGGAGAGATTCGTCTAAGTTTCATAAGTTTATGCATTGCGGATACAGTTGCGGCTTGAGATGGAACCAACGCGTCACACTGCATTATCAAGACAGCTTGTCCAGTGGGAGACACACCCTTAAAGATCCAGGTTTTAAGTGGTCGTTACTTGTTGTAAGAGGCGTCTATGCTTGTCGTAAGAAACGGCTAACGGGATCGGGTGGTCAGGCTCGCTGTTGATGAATGTTGTATCCCTACTGCTTTTCGTGATGCCCAAGATGTCAATCACTTGAATTTCTGGTCCAGACTCGATTATTTACAGACCGCCGTCATATAGCTGGGCTATTGCGTCGTTAAACAACCAACGAACAAAAATAAGTTAGAGGCATGTTCCTAAAAGGGGTGGCCGAGTCGTCTATGGCGCCGCGATTTGCTGTGCAGAGTTGCGTCCCTTGGTCACGCCAGAAACCTATGATTGTGGGTTCGAATCCCGGTTCGCCCCAATTATGTTTCTAGGTTTGTCAGCCCCATACCCTTGCTCGTGGGTTTCACCGAAGTGGTAAACGTCTGAGACCATCACTTCGGGCTTTCCTCCCACATTAAGCTGACACGCCGCGATATAACTGGAATACTGGTAAAAGCGGCTGTAAACCCAACGCACTCAGTCCTAAAGGGATACACAGTAAAGCATTTCACAATTAATCCAAAGATGAGTTTCATCCTTAACTTCGTCACACAATCTACAAATACGTTCACGCATTCGTCACCACTCGCCCCTTTCCGTAACCTGCAAGAAGACTCGTCCCCCTATCGATGAATGTTATTCGAAAATACGACAAATCAATCAGAATGCGCGCATGATTTCAAGTTCTTCGTCAAAGAATCCCTCAGAAATATATTTTGATTTTACATATGTCTTGCATCTTAAAATATACCCAAGACACAGTTACATGTGTTCAATCATACTGTATAATTCCACATGTCCCGATGTGCTTTAAATTGCATCTGAAACATATATAACATATGGGGGGATATATGTTAACCATAAGACAACGAGTTGACCATTGTTTTAGGTATGCCCGTTTGCGCTAAGACGGAACCCGGTCGCAAAAATGGCCATGAGAGGGGCATGAGTCGATTTTCGGCTTGTCCCGGAATAACCCGGGTTGGTCACGAATGACGTTCACGAAGAGTATTGGGACGTGAAAATCACCAACTACAATCCCTGAAGTAAACGTATCACAACGTAACTCGAGATCTATACAAAATGGTGCTTTCATTAAATGAAGTTTCAAGTCCTCAACATTCCACCTTTACACAACGTTCCACAGTCCCCGATGGCAATTTTTGTGATCAACACAACGAAGTCTACTTTTATTATACATGTACAGGAAATCAAATTCTGAAACGTTATACGCCATGAGCTGGTAGCTGTAGTAGATGAAGCCTTTTTAAAGAGTTTACCACCTATGACTAAGATCGGACAGTACTGACACTACGCCAAACATATCATTTCAATTCTTTCTTCAGCGAAGCCAGATTACCAACCCTTTTTTTTCCGGACAGCCAAATTTGTTTTTTCTATTTCTATACCAAAGAACAAACGACACGCCTTTGGGTAAAACGTATCCAAAACGAGCTTCCCGTGATAAGGATCTAGAGATTTCATATGGCAAGGGTTGACTGGACTGAACAATGAGTGTATCATACAGGCAGAGATATATATTTTTGTTTCAAATTGTTTGTTTTATAGAATTTCAAGTCAATAAAATGAAACAGGTGATTTGTTGACTGCAAATGGAACGATCCATATCTCCAGGGCCATGATATGGGTATGTGCTCTGTACATCCAATTATGTCTTCCCCCTGGAGTGCAAGGGTTCACACTGTTCATCATATCGGATTCGGTGAGGTCAGGATATCCGATGAATATAAGTCCGTTGATATCACTGCTGTCATACTTCACTCTTCAGTGGGGGGCACGGGTGGCCCAGTCGTCTAAGGCGCCGCGATTCGCTGTGCAGAGTTGCGCCCTTGGGCACGCCAGAAACCTATGATTGTGGGTGCGAATCCCGGTTCGCCCCGATTATGTTTCTAGGTTTGTCAGCACCATACCCGTGCTTGTTGGTTTCACCGAAGTGGTAAACGTCTGAGACCTGCATGACTTCGGGCTTTCCTCCCACATTAAGCTGATACGCCGTGATATAACTGCAATACTGTTAAAAGCGGCGTTAAACCCAACTCACTCACTCACTCTTCCGTGACAAGGGCATAAGGTGAGGTGGTGAAATGGGGTTTAACGTCG